CCTCCTGGTTTTCCGCTTTGTTAGACTCCATCGTAGCGTGGCACGGTCGCCGTGCAGCGCGCAGCTCTGCGACGCGAGCGCAAGCGAGCCACTTTCTGCATGAGCCGCAACAGTCGCGCGCACGGGCGCGTGCGACCTGCGCGAGATCCGCGGCAGCGCTCATCGAGTCATTCGATATATGGTCCATGCATAACGGCGCACCTGAGCTCCCCGGATGTCGCTTGGTCCACGCGCCACAAGCGTCCCTGAAAAGTGATTCGAGATGGCGGGCTCGCTTGAGGGGGACAGCAGACGGTCACTGAGGCGATGCGGACATCGCGAATACGAGTGTCCGGACCCGGCGCGGGCGCCGCGCCTCGGCGCCGGAGCAGCGCGTCCACAGCAGCTCGGGGTGTGTCGGGACTCGCTGTCAGGGCCCGCGGCACGGCCTCGGCGTCGCTCGCCGCGCCCAGCTATGCCGCCGTCGCGATCGAGACGCGCACCGCGGCGGCAAGTCTCGAGGCACGTGCGAATCACGTCATCAACACCCCCCCCCTTTTTTCATGTGGGCGTACTCCTGTTGTTTCCCCTCGCGCGACCGGCGCTTCATACCCGCTCCGACGTGCCGCCCTGATTGTCCCCTCACCGTCGCCACACCTCCCAGAGGCCCGCAACGCCCCCCAAAGTCCCCCAACGGCACTCCCCCATGGGTCGTGTTGTACGCTCCCCACAGTGCCTCCGCGCGGGCATATTGGGCGGCAAGCGCGCCGTGATCGGGTCAGGCGCTGTGGACGATTCCTCCCTGTAGCACTTCTGCTTCAATATTTGAGGCCGTGCGCGATGCCGGAGTAGCAGGGCCTGTGAGGGCTGAAGGAGGGTCGCGGCGCGCTGGTAGGGGCTCGAGCGCGACGAGAGATGCCGGCGCGCCGTTGTGTCAGGCTTGGGGGCCCAGGGCGCGGGAGCAGAGGTCGCGACGTGCCGCGGCTGCGTCAAGGCAAGGGGTAGCATTGCATGCGGTGGCTGGCTGCTCAGGGACAAGGGCGTAGGGTGCTCGCGAGCAGACGGCTGCGCACGGAGCTGCTTGGGTGCTGAGGTGTCGTTGGGGTGGTCGCGGGTGGCACGGTGTCCGTCGCGCTGGGGGCTCGGTTTGCTGTCGGCGGAGCAACCGACCCTGCCGCTGCGACGTGGGCGCACGCAACGCCGCTCGCCGGCAGCAGTCAGGAGACACAGGTGCTGAACATCCTCGGACGCCGCCTGGGGCGAGCACGCCGCCGCCGTGCGCTCTCACCCAGGAGCAACAAGCATGGTCACGCACCCATCGCGGACTGGTGCCCCGATCGCGGCACCTGCCCCGTCGCGCGCGACCTGCGTGCGGCGCTGCCAGGCTCGAGGCGTGTGAGCCAGCGGCGGTGCGGCTTCTCGCCCGTGCCTCGCACCTCACCTTGTACGTCGAACTGCCCGACGCTCAGCACAGCCAGGCTCGACGCGACCGCAGGCTGCCTCGGGCTCACACTCGATCCCCCGCCCTCGATACTCTCTGTCTCCGAGTGAGCTCCAGAGCACATGGATGTTTCTGTTTCGAGTGCCTTGCCACATGCATGTGCAGCGAGCACCTGCGGACCGCCGCCTGCCCGACGTAACGCCGCACGCTGTCCCCGACGCCTCCACGGCCCGCGGCGCGCTCCATCTCACTCCCTGGCTTCCTTTTTGACCCCCCCCCCTCTACGCTCTCTAGATCACCTTACCGTCCACGGTGACGCTGGCCCCGTCGCTGGCCGTCGCGTTGGCCCGCCCGTTGCGCGCGCACTCCACGCCCGCGAGCGTCACCACCGTCCCGCGGCCCTCAGCGGAGCACCCCGGGCCCTTGTTGCGCGTCATACTCCCCCCCTGCATCGCAACCTGCGCCCCGTCCCTCACTTCGATTCCAGACTTGACGTACCGGGTGATCTCGACGTCCTCCAGGTCGATGCGCGACCCGGCGCCGTGCGCGACCACGCCGGCAAAACACCCCCCGCTGACGCTGCACCGCTCCAGTCTGACCTGACCGCGTCCATGTGCGCCCACCCCCGCGCCGTTCAGGTGCATCTCGCAGTCCCCCGCGGACACCGTGGCCCCGCCGCTCGCGGCAATCCCGAAGCAGACGTTCCTCCGCAGCGTCGCGCGCTCGAGTCGCACCGTCGCGCCGGCCCCGGCCAGGACACCGAACTGGCCGCCCGAGCAGTCGACGTTGCTGGCGACGATGCTGCTTCCGGCGAAGCGCACGGAGAACCCCGCGTGGAAGCCCGAGATCCTGCCCCCGCGGATCGTGCACCGCGCGCCGTCCACGCACACGACACCTTCGGTGAGCGACCCCCTGCACCTGTGTCTGTTCTCCCCCATGACGCACTCCACGTCCGTCGCCGCGAGTCTCGCGCCCGCGCCACCGGCCATGATCGCGGCGACCGCGTTGCCGTCCATGCGGCAGCGGTCCAGCACAAGCTTGCTGCCCGCTCCTCCGCCGGCGCTCGTCGTCGTGCTGGCGCCGCAGTGCCGGTTGCCGCTGCACACCGTCTCGGTCGCCCGCACGTCGCTGTCCACCGCGAAAATGCCGTCCAGGCCATTGTCGCTCAGCCGCGAGCCCGCCACGTCGATGCGGGCGCCGCTGCTTGAATGAATGCCGGACATGTTGTTTCCACGTATCTCTGAATCGTTGACGACGACGAGCGAGGCGCTGCCGGTGGCCGCCAGCCCGGGGCCCGTGTTGTTGACGAAGCGGCAGTTGTCGATCCGAACCGTCGAGTTAACCACGGTCAGGCCCGGCGCAAAACACGCATCGCTTTTCTCCCTCTGCTCGGGGGGCGTTGCGTCCTTGAAGGTGCAGTTCTGAAACGAGATGCCGCGAACGTTCTCCACGTTGACCGGCCCGCACATTCCGACCTCGTACAGATCAGGCGAGGGCTGCCGTGCGTCGCACGCCACCGCTCCGGCCCCGTTGCCTCCGAAGGCCACGTTCTCGAACCGGATGTTCTCGGGCGCGACACCGTCGATCGACTCGCAGACGATCTCGCCGTTCCTGAACGTGCAGTTCGCGATCGTCACGTCGCGATCGTGGAAGTTTGTCTGACAACCGCCGAGGTCGACGGTCCTGCCCCCCAGGTCCAGCGTGTCGTCATCACGCCAGAGCGCAGCGTTGTACTCATTCGCAAACTCCTCGAAAGTCATGTGCGACTGACCGGTCTGCTCTGCCGCAGGAGCCGGGACGGCGGGGCCCGTCGAATCCGTCCCTGGTTTCGAGGCCGTGCCCGGGCGCGCCTTGCCCTTGTGGTGCTTCTTCCTCGCGTGCTTCGACCCCGTCATAGCGCGGCGTGATCGCAGCGTCGCGCGCAGCGCGTCGTCGACCCTGCACGGCGAACGCGAGCAAGCCGTCTGTTCCACGAGACACAATTTGTGGTTTCTCGGGCGCGTGCGAGGTGCGCGGGACCCGCGGCTGCCCGCAACGAGTCATGCGATATACTTCTCATGCGCCAAATCGCACCCGAGCTCTCCAGACGCGCACCGGCGCGCGTGCCACACGCCCCCTTTTGCACAGCAGTTGATAAGGGCGGGCTCCGCCGTTGCGACGACACGAGACAGTAACTGAGGCGGTGCGGACCTCGCGAGGCACCAGTGGCCGCGCCCCGCCGCCGGCGCCGCACCTCAGCGCCGGATCGCGCGCACAGCCCCGGGGGACATTTCACGCACGTTGTCAGCGCTGTCAGGGTTCCTAGCGCGGTGCACGGCCTCGACGTCGCTCGCCGCGCCACCGACATCGCCGCCGTGGCCGAGGCGAGCGCTCGGCCTCGCAGCCGCTCGTCTTGGGTCAGGTGCCCACCAGGTCGTCACCGACGCCTCCTCGCAACATCCGCATGTCGCTCTCGCACGGCCGCAGCTTCGGACCCGCTCCCGCGCCAGCCCCTGATGTCCTCATCGTGAACGCTCTTCTCACGGGCCCGCAAAGCCCCGCAGTGGCCCTTACGTCACGGCTGTCACTCCCCGCGGGGCCGTGTTGTTCACACCCCGCAGCGGCCCCGCCGGGGCCTGTGAGGCGCCGAGCGCGCCTGGCGCGGGTGATTGCTGTGAAGGCGCGCTCGATGCGACGTTGCCGGTGCACTGTCTGCGGCCGCGCGCGACGCGAGAGCAGCGAGCGTGGTGGGGATGCACGTGCCGCATTGCGGCAGGCTCGAGCACCGCGCCAGATGCCGGCGCACGAATATGCCGAACACAGGGGTCCGGCGCGCGGCAATAGAGGTCGCGACGTGCCGCGGCTGCGTCAGGGCAAGGGGTAGCGTTGCCTGCGGTGGCTGGTGGCGCTGCTCAGGGACAAGCGCGTAGGGTGCTCGCGCGCAGACGGCTGCGCACGGAGCTGCTTGGGTACCGAGGTGTCGTTGGGGTGGTCGCGGGTGGCACGTTGCCCGTCGCGTTGGACGTGGGGCTCGGTTTGCTGTTGACAGAGCAACCGACGCTGCCGCTGCGAGTGCGCCGCACGAAGACGCCGCTCGCCGGCGCTGATCGGAGCCACAGGTACACAGATCATTCAGGTCCAGCGAGGAGCGAGCGCGCCGTCGTGCGCTCCATCACTCTAGCACCAAACCCACTGCAGCAACGCGTTCATTCCGGCACCCGGCACCTCGCGCGTGGGCTCTGTGGGGCGGTGGGGCGCAGCGCAGGACCAGGAGGTGTGAGCCAGCCGCGCTCCGGCCTTCCCTCCGCCCCCCTCTCCTCCCCCTCCGTGCGCCACACAGCGCGCGACGCTGCCGCAGCCCCGCACTGCCAGCATGCATCGCATGCGGGCGCGCACCCTCTCTGGCTCACAGTCCACCGTTCCTCCACCCCACGTTCGCCCCCAAACCCGAGCACTTTGATCGACTGATTATCAGTATAATACGTCCTTCATGTTTCTGCTCTTCTCGCCCTGAACGTGCAACGCGCGCGCACCGCGAGCCGCCGCCTGCTGCCCCGATCCCGCACGCGCCGCCCGACGTCTCCACGGTCAGCAGCGCGCCCTACCCCCCTCCTGACTCAGGCCGGATCGCAGCGCCGTCCACCGTGAGGCTCGCCCCGCCGCGCACCTCCACATTCGCCCCGCCGTTGCGCGCGCACTCCACGCCCGCGAGCGTCACCACCGTCCCGCGGCCCTCAGCGGAGCACCCTGGGCCCTTGTTGCGCGTCATACTCCCCCCCCGCATCGCCACCTGCGCCCCGTCCCTCACTTCGATGCCAGACTTGACGTACCGGGTGATCTCGACGTCCTCCAGGTCGATGCGCGTCCCGGCACCGTCCGCGACCACGCCGGCAAAACACCCCCCGCTGACGCTGCACCGCTCCAGTCTGACCTGGCCCCGTCCATGTGCGCCCACCCCTTCGCCGTTCAGGTGCATCTCGCAGTCCCCCGCGGACACCGTGGCCCCGCTGTCCGCGGCAATCCCGCAGCAGACGTTCCTCCGCAGCGTCGCGCGCTCGAGTCGCACCGTCGCGCCGGCCCCGGCCATTATGCCAAACTGGCCGCCCGAGCAGTCGACGTTGCTGGCGACGATGCTGCTTGCGTCTCGCGCGGAGAGCCCCACGTGGAAGCCCGCGATCCTGCCCCCGCGGATCGTGCACCGCGCGCCGTCCACGCACTGGACCCCTGCAATGAGCTCCCCCCTGCACCTGTGTCTGTTCTCCCCCATGACGCACTCCACGTCCGTCGCCGCGACTCTCGCGCCCTCGCGGCAGGCCATGATCGCGGCGACCGCGTTGCCGTCCATGCGGCAGCGGTCCAGCACAAGCTTCCCGCCCGCTCCTCCGCCCGTAACCGCCACCGCAGCGCCGCAGTGGCGGTTGCCGCTGCACACCGTCTCGGTCGCCCGCACGTCGCTGTCCGCCGCGAGAATGCCGTCCAGGCCGTTGTCGCTCAGCTGCGAGCCCGCCACGTCGATGCAGGCGCCGTTGGTTGCATTAATGCCAGACAAAAGGTTTCCACGTATCTCTGAATCGTTGACGACGAGGACCGTGGTGCTGCCGGTGGCCGCCAGCCCGGGGCCCATGTTGTTGAGGAAGCGGCAGTCGTCGATCCGAACCGTCGTTTCGAAAACGTTCAGACCTGCCGCGAGCGCGCGGCCCCGCGGGTCGACGGGAGCCTTGGCGTGCCTGAACGTGCAGTGCTCGAACGAGACGCCGCGCGCGCCCGCTACGACGACCATTCCGTCCTCGCTGACCACCTCCTTGGACGGCTGCGGCATGTTGGCGGGGATGCCCGTTCCGTCGCCCTCGAAGGTGACGTTCCGAAAGCAGATGTTCTCGGCCGCGTCGCCCCCGCGGGGCTCGCAGTACACGTGGCTGGCGCGGCACTTGATCGTGCAGTTCGCGATCGTCTTGTTTCTGCCGCATATGGTGAGTCGTTCTTTGATAAGCTCGATGGTACGCCCTCCCATGTCCACCACCGGGGCAGGGCCCTCGATCGCCGCCATGAGCTCGTTGCAAGTCGTATTCTGCCGAATGGTCTGCTCTGCGGCTCCCGCGCGCGGCTTCGCGGCACCACAGCCGTGAGACGAAGCTCCTGCTTTCGAGGCCGAGCCCGAGCGTGCCTTGCCCTTCTGGTGCTTCTTCTTCGATCCCATCGTGGGGAGAAACGGCCGGGACGTGGAGCGCAGCTCTCCGCCGACCCTGCACGGGGCGCGCAAGCCGCCTTCTCGTGCGGGTGGTCAGCTGCCGGATGCTCCGGGTGCACTGACCCTATCGCAGCAGCGAGTCCATGTTCGCCACGACTAGTCTTGTACGAGCCGAAACGGGTAGAATCAAGTACCAAGCGCGACTTGTCCGCGCAGCACACACGCGCAGAGTGAACTAGCCAGCTGCGAACAGTCGCACGGCGGTGCTCACCGTCGCGATAGCGTTGAGACGACGCACGACCCCGAAATGTCAAGCCCGGACCAATGACTTCCAGGGAATTCGCGATTCGCACTTCGTCCACGCCCGGAGAAGCGGCAATCGCGGAGAAGAGGCAGCGTGTCACCGCTCCCGAATGCACTCTCGCAGACAGGAGGCAGCGACTGTTTGCGTATGCTGCCATGCGTGAGCGGCCCAGCTCCGCCGTCAACGCCGCACCTGAGCGCCGGAGCGCGTCCACGGCACCTCGGGGGGGAGTCCCGGCCTCGCTGTCGGGCCCGCACCGCCCCATACACGCTCTGCGTCGCTCGTCGAGCCCGCCTGCATATCCACCCTGATCGACACGCGGCTCACAGTCCACCGCTTCTCGACCCACGCGCGCACCACGTCATCGTCATCAGTGCTGCACCCTCTCAGCTGTACACAGCCGTGTCATTCTTTCACAACCCCCTCCGCCGCCGCGACCCAACCCCTCACGTTCCCCGGCACCTTCGAGACCTTTGGTTGAGTTCTCCCTAGCTGGAGAACTCAATTTCCTTCAAGAAGACAGTCGAGGGGAGGGCGTTGTCTGCCGTCGCCGTCCCGTCTTCCTCGGCGCCCCCGCCGCTCGCGCGACAGCGCTTCAGCAACACACGCCCGCCGTCCCGAGCTCTCACGCAGCTCTGCCAGTCCTTGCGCAACTCCACGTCAGACCCACGAATCATAGCCCCCCGCCCCACCGCACCGAGACAGTGCGGGGCGTTCTCCCGGAACGTCGACCGCGTCAGACGCAGCGACCCACCGTCGCTGGCCATTCCGCCAACTCGCGATCCCGAGCACGCCACGTCGTTTGCCGTCAACCTCCCGCCCTCGCTCGCCCACAGCCCCACAGCCTCGTTGTCAGCCACCCGGCACCCCTCCAGCGCGACCCGCCCCCGATGGCACGCGTAGGCGCCAAGCGGGTTGCCGCGGATCGTCGTCCCCGCAGCGCGAATGTAGCCGCGTCCCGTCGCCCACACGCCGTACTTGCTGTGGGCCTCCAGCACGCACGCAGCGAGGTCGATCGCGGCCTCATCGTACGCCCACGCGCCGGCGGTGTCGTTCCGCACGAACTGCGAGTCCTTCACCGCGACGGCGGTGTCCTGGTGTATGGCCGCCACACCAGGCCCGGAGTTGTCGACGAAGCAACAACCCTCGACCTGGACGTCGACCACGCCGCGCACGCACAGACCGGCGAACAGCTTCCACTCTACGTCGTCGGCCACGACGCGCGGGCAATCGCGCGCGGCCGCGTTCGCGAACCGGCACCGGTCGAACACCACGCCATCCGCGCCATGCCCGCACAGCACCATGCCCGTGACGGCGACTTCCTCGCTGGCCGCGCGGGCCGGGTGCTCCCTGCCGCTGCTGGCCGGCGCGGCGGAGCCCTGGAACGTGACGTCCACGAAGCGCAGCCCGAAGCGCATTGCGCCGTCCTCGCAAAGGCCGGTGACGTACACGGGCCCGGACTTGATCGTGCAGTTCGAGACCGTCTTGTCGCCGACTGTGAGCTCGATGCCGCCCTCCACCCCGCTGAGGTCGAGCACGCGGCCCCCGAAGTCCGCCGCGCTGCCGGGGGCGCGCGTGGCGCCCTCAAACTCCCGCAGCGTGATCTCCGACTGCGCACCGGCCGCTGCGCCCGCCTCCCCGGTGGCTGGCGCTCGCGGGGCGTCGTCGGAGCGCTCGGCCGCGCGCTGCCGCCGGGCCGCGGCCCTCGCCTTGGCCCTGCGCCTGGAGCCCATGTTGTCCGCGACGGGTGCGTGGTGGTCGGCGCGCTGGCTTCCGAAGACGTGCTTGCTCGCGCCCACCGACGCCTGCGCGGCGCGAGAGCGAGCGGCGGTCGTCGTCGCGGCCGTTGGCGCCGGAGGGCCTTGCCCGCGGAACCAGACATGGTTGTGTGTGTGATTGTCGCGTCATCGAAAGCGCTCTCACGGCGCCAACCGCACTGTTCGCGCAACACCCGTGATTGTGGCTCGCGCGTCGTGTCTCCTCGCGGGGCGTTCAGCGTCTCTGCGACAGCAGCTTCGAGGGCCGGTGCAGCTCCTCTGCAACTGCTACCTGGAAAATCAGCCGAGGCGCACAATGCTCAACGACCCGCCCCCGCAAGATCTATTCGTCTTATCCGAATCGCGAAACAACGACTTTCTGGGCGCATCCTGACCGCTCTGAGGCTATGCCCCTCACCAGGCTCTGGAGTCCCGCAGGTCCGCGCACCGTGCCCGTCAGCGGGTGTTACGGGTCGTATCTGCTCTGTCGAACGCATCACGGCTGAACCAACTACCAAGCGCGGCTTGCCCGCGCAGCACACACGCTCGGAGAGTGCTGGCGAGCCGCGAACAGTCGCGCGGCGGTGCTCACCGTCACGATAGCGTTGAGACGACGCACGACCCCGAACTGTCAAGCCCGGACCAATGACTTCCAGGGAATTCGCGATTCGCACTTCGTCCACGCCCGGAGAAGCGGCAATCGCGGAGAAGAGCCAGCCTGGGTATGGACAGTGTGTCACCGCTCCCGAATGCACTCTCGCGGCCCGCACAGCTCCTGCGCGAGTGGCACAGAGCAGCCCTGGTCCGCGGCAAGATTCACAGCTCGCCCTCGCAGCCCTGGACCCGCGGTGCGACACACCCGGCGGGACGTCACCAGTTGCGTCAGCCCGAGCCTCTGCGCGAACATCGGGCGCAGCGGGGCCCGGACACACGCAGTCTTGCACATGGACATTGGCGCGGCGTGCTAGACAAACGGCATCGACGCTCTACTGCGCGGGAGAGGGGGTCACTGCCGTGCAGCCGCTCCTGCGGCGGTTTCCGCGGCGCCCGCCGCGCAGGCGGGGCGGAAACTGGCAGCTCGTGAGACCGGGGCGCCCACCGCGCACGCAGGGGCAGCGCCTGCGCAGGGGTGCGACGGTCTCACACGGGAAGCTGGCCTGACCGAGTAGCCGTGGCAAGGCGCGCCCCGCTTGTCCAGGCGGCGATCGCGCGCCCTGCCAGGGCTGCTTGGAACGTCCAGCTTCTTGCGCGGCACCGCCGTGCTCCCTCCGCCACGGCCGCCGAGCTACAGCTCACCAGGGCTCAGGAATAGCTGCGTCTGCGGGCCGCAGCGACCGTTCCGAGACGTCCGCGAAGGCCGGCATACAAAGAGGCCGACTTCAGGTCTGGCGACGAGCAGCAGATGGCTCCTGACGCGCGCACGGCGCCACGCGTGCAGCAGCTGTGCTGCCTTGGCGACCGGCAGGAGGGGGGGGTCTCTGTGCAGAGTGCGCTCCTCCTGACGTCAGCGTCTACCTGCACACCTTCATCGCGACCACGTTCGCGAGCTGCCTGCGTCACCGGCCCGGCACGAGTGTGCGTTCGCAGACGGCTTCTGAAGTGTCTCCGACGTCCTGCTGGCGGCGGGGGCCGCCAGCGCGCCGTCCTGCCGCCAGCAGGACGTAGGTGACGACTCGGAGGCCGTCGTCGAGCGCGCGGACGTGGCGGGCGGGTGACTCCAGCAGAGCAAAGCAGCGAGTTGCCCCACCTGTTTGTTTGAGCCGCATCGCTTCCCTTTCTCGAGAGCGACGCAGAGGCCAGAGCGACCGCTCGAGCGCCGCGCGCCAGCTGCTCCGGCGCACTGCGACCGGGGCGAAAAGCAGTTCCAGCACGCGCACAACCACAGCACCCTGCGCATGTGGTGTGGTTGTGCGCGTGCTGGAATTGCTTCTCGCCCCGGTCGCAGTGCGCCAGATACACCTGCCGCGCGGCACGCAGCCCGCCGTCCCCCACCTCGTCTGCGAGGAAGCAGCGCCGCGCCTACACCACGTGTGCCGGCGGCGCAGGCGTTGACGGTCGCGGCGGTCGTCAACGCGAGCTCCGCCGCCATCGACGCGAGCGCCTAGACGCGGGCTTTCGCCCAGCTGAACCGCGCGCTCCCGGTCGAAGACTTGCCCGCCAGGCGTTTCCAAAACTCCCCCACAACAAGCTCACACCCCCCCTCTGGTCCCCCGGGACCGGCATGGCGGACGTCGGACGCAGCACGCCTCACGCGTCCGTGCCGACCTGCCGGACCGTCGTTCAGACACAGGTGCGGGCGCGCAAACACAGTCTCTGTTTGCCCATTGTCAGTCAGCCAGTCATCATCATCACTGCTCCTCCCGCCCTGTTCTTGACTGTTTCTCCGCGTCTCCTGCCCCCTGCTCAACACCCGTGCTCATTCGAATCGCCGCGGAACCGCCCTGCTGTCAACTCCCCCCTGCGTCTCCCCGACACCCCCCGGTCGTGCCGCCAAGCACACTCTCAGTCCCCGCGGGGCGACACGTGGCACAGCGACCCTCGCAGAGCTACTCACGCGCCCGCGACCGCGCGTCCTGCCGTCGCAGGTCCCGATCCGTCATCGGGCTCCCACGTCGCTTCTCAGGGCTCCCCGCGGGCTCTGCGCACGGACCACGGATCGATCACGTTGCAGGACGGAGCCCGCCGGCCCAACGGCACCGCAACGCTTCGGCGCCCTGTTTCTAGACAGCCGAGCCCTGTGGCCCAAGAGCTGAGACGAGAGCACCGATGCAACGAACATGCCAACACAAGATGTCACAAGTGCACCCGCTCCTCAGCGCTCACGTCCTGCACAACGAACCCGCCTGCCTCGCACGGGCCGGGAGCGCCCCGCCGTCCTGCCTGCTGCGCTCCCGAGCCCCCCGGGGGGTGTCCTGCTTGTTTGAGAAGGACATAAAAGGACGGCCTGTGATCGCAACTCACGGCGTCACCACGACCTGTGATCGCAACTCACGGCGTCACCACGACCTGTGATCGCAACTCAACTCACGGCGCCACCACGACCTCCGCGCCGCCAGTGACGCACGTTGCGGGCTGCCCGCTCCCCGTCCACGTCACGTCCGTCGCCGTCACCTTCGCCCCCTCGCCCTCGGCGTAGATGACGGTCGCGCTGGCCTCGCACCACACCTCGCCCCCCCGCACGTCGACTCGCCCCTCCGCGATCGCGCTGGCGCACGTGGCCTTGCTCCCGGCGATCTTCGCGTTCTCGGAGCGCACGTGGCCGCCGCCATCCGCGACCAGGGCGATATCGCACCCGTCAAACACACAGTCGCGCAGCTCGGCCGTCCCCCCGGTCGACGCGCCCGAGCCCCCCGCACGCACGCCTTCGCAGACGTTGTGGCACTCGACGGCCTCCGCGACCACAACGCTGCCGCGCCCCAACGCGGCGATCGCGCCCTGGACACCCCGTATCTTGACCCTGGTCAGACACAGCCGCCCGCCGTCGCGCGCACAGGGCCCAACGGCATCGGTCTTGCCCCCTGGGGGGCCCACCGACACATCCGTCATGCTCAGGACGCCACCGCTGCGGACCTCGGCTGCCCGGTGCAGCTCAATCTCGCCCCCCTGCACCGTGCACGTCGCGCCTTCGTCGACCGCCACCCCCAGCAGATCGTCACCCGATCTCTTGCAGTTCCGCTTGCACTGCAGGTCGTTCGCGGTGACGTTCGAGCCGCCGTCGGACACGAACAGCCCGGCAAATGCACTGTTGAAGAGCGCGCAGTGGTCGAGTTTTGCCTGTCCCCCGCGGTGCACGCGGATTCCGCGTATGTTGTCCTCGCACACCACGAAGTGAGCCTTGAGTTTCGCGCCGCTCGCGCGCACGCCGTCCCCGAAGTTCATTGCAGCGAGCACCTCGCTCAGGTGCAGCACAGCGCCGTCCTCGGCGAGCACTCCGTCGCTCGTGTTGCGCACGAACGACGACAGATCCGTCACCGACACGCGGCACTTACCGCTCGCGTACAGCCCGGGCCCACGCTGCGCGGTGAACGCGGTCTTCCGGACGCGCACGGCGCTCGAGCCGTGCACGGAGAGACCCGGCAGCCATGAGCAGAAGTACTCGCCGGTCCGCTTGATGTCGGCGAGAATCTGGCGGCGACGCGTTTTGAAATCGCCGAAGACGCACTCCTCGAACGCCACGTCCCTCGCGCCGGCCACCTCCACCACGCCGTGCCGCATCGCCTCCTCCCTCTCGGCCTCGGTCTTCAGGTCGAGCGTCGCCGCGCTGCCGCCGGGCCCCGCGAACGTCACGCGCCGGAACGCGACGTTGCGCACGCCCGCGGCCAGGGCGAGCGTGCCGCCGCGGATCGTGCCGTTCACGAGCGTCCAGTAGCCCGTGGTCAGACAGAGCCCGTCGCGGCCGATGTCGACCGTGCAGCCGTCGAGGTCGACCTCGCCCAGGTCTGACTCGAGAGCGGCGAGCAGGTCCTGGGCCGACCACGTGGGTTTCCGACCTCCGCGTGCTTTCCCGGCGCGCGGGCCCCCGCGAGAGAGACTGGGCGATGTGACCTTTGGGCGCCGCGGGCTGTTGGCGGGCGAGGGCGGGCCTGCGTCCGGACGAAGCGTCATGCCGGACGAGCCCATGGGCGGTGCGTTGCCGTCGTGTGTCGCGGCGGAGCGCCTGGAGGGCCCTGCGGCGCGGCGGAGGGACATTGGCTATTGCGAATGAGGAATCTGTCTCGTTGGCAGGCGTTGGTGCCGCTCGCGCTGCCGCAGCGCGTCCAGGTCGTCGACGAGGACCTTACCTGTCGGTTCAGCTGAAATACGCTCGCTCTGTGCGGCTTCACGTAGCGAACAACGACGCTCGAGCTCAGCACCAGCACCGGCGTGTTCCCGCGACGCGCCCAGTCGGGGTGCACCAAGCCAGGTCGTCAGCGGCCCGAGAGAGCGCTCAAGTGGCGCGTTCGCAGCCCACGCGCCCGCCTCGGGCACCTCCCGCGCCCACCAGGCCCCTCGATCACTCCCCCCCCCTGACAACGCCACCCCCCACACCCCCCAAGCGCACTCCACCGCGCCCGCGGCACCTCCGCAGCCGCTCCACGACCCACTCCCACCCTCCTCGATCACAACACCGACAGAACAATCAACACACCCCCTCGCTCCGCGCACCCCCCCCCACCAGCACCATCACGCCCCCGCCTCCACACACGGCGTCACCACGACCTCCGCGCCGCCAGTGACGCGCGTGTCGGGCAGTCCGCCGCCCGTCCACGTCACGTCCGTCGCCGTCACCTTCGCCCTCTTGCCCTCGGCCTCCAGCTTGGTAAACCTGGTCGCGCTGGCGTCGCACCACACCTCGCCCCCCCGCACGTCGACTCGCCCCTCCGCGATCGCTCTGGCGCAGACCTTGCACCCGGCGATCTTCGCGTTCTCGGAGCGCACGTGGCCGCCGCCGTCCGCGGCCAGGGCGACACCGCACCCGTCGAACACGCAGTCGCGCAGCTCGGCCGTGCCCCCCCTCGCCGGGCGCTTGTACCCCGCGAAGGCGCCCGAGCCGACGTTGTGGCACTCGACCGCCTCCGCGACCACGACGCTGCCGCGCCCCAGCGCCGCGAAGGCGTTCTCCACGCCGCGTATCTTCACCCTGGTCAGACACAGCCGCCCGCCGTCGCGCGCAACGGGCCCGATGGCGCGGGCCTTGGCCCCCGGGGACGTCACCGACACATCCGTCATGGTCACGACGCCGCCGGCGCGGACCTCGCACGCTCGAAACACCCCAAGCTCCCCCCCCTGCAGCGTGCACGTCGCGTCGTCGCCGACCGCTAGCCCCAGCGGCCCGTCGTCACCCGCAGCTCTGCAGATCTGTGTGCACCGCAGGCCTGTCGCCATGACGTTCGAGCCGCCATGCTCCACAACAAGCCCTGCCATGGTGTTGTTGTGCAGCACGCAGCGGTCCAGCGTCGCCGTGCTCCCCCCGGTCACGGCGATGCCGCTCAGTTGGTTGTCGTTGCACAGCACGAGCCGAGCCTTGAGAACCGCGCCGACCGCGGAGACGCCGCTCTCAAAGTTCGTGTCAGCCACCACCTCGCTCAGGTGCAGCACCGCGCCGTCCTCCGCGAGCGCGCCGGTCACGTTGCGCATGAACGACGACCGATCCGTCACGAGCACGCGGCACTTGCGGCCGCTCGCGTACAGCCCCGGCCCCAGCTGCGCACAGATCGCAGACTTGCAGACGCGCACGGTGCTCGAGCCGTGCACGGAGAGACCCGGCAGCCACGTGCAGAACTCGCCCGTCCGCGCGATGTCAGCGTTCACGCGAGCTACTTGGTCGTCGAGGTCCCCTCCGAAAATGCACTCCTCGAACGACACGTTCCTCGCGCCAGCGACCTCCACCACGCCGTGCCGCATCGCCTCCTTCTGCTCGGCCTCGGTCTTGAGCGTGCGCGTCGCCGCGCTGCCGCCGGGCCCCGCGAACGTCACGCGGCGGAACGCGACGTTGCGCACGCCCGCGGCCAGGGCGAGCGTCCCGCCGCGGATCGTGCCGTTCACGAGCGTCCAGTACCCCGTGGTCAGACAGAGCCCGTCGCGGCCGATGTCGACCGTGCAGCCGTTGAGGTCGACCTCGCCCAGGTCTGACTGGAGAGCGGCGAGCAGGTCCTGGGCCGTCCACGTGGATTCCCGGTCGGATTTCCGGCCTCCGCGTGCTTCTTCTCCGCCGCACGCTTGCGAGGAGGCTTCGTCCGTGAGATCCGGGGCGCGCGGGCCCCCGCGAGCGCGGTCGGGCGATGCAACCGCTGGGTGCTGTTGGCCGTTGGCTGGCGAGGGCTGGCCTGCGTCCGGACCAAGCGACATGCTGGACGACTCCATGGCTGGCGATGCGCCGTCGTGTGCCGCGGCGGAGCGCCTGGAGGGCCCTGCGGCGCGCGGGGGGGGACGTTGGCGATGGTGGATGCCAAGTCGCGTTTTGCGTGCGGTGGTGCCGCTCGCGCTGCCGCAGCGCGTCCAGGCCGTCGATGATGACCGCACCTGTCGGTTCCGCCGATACGCGCCCGCGATGTGCGGCTTGACGCGGCGAACAACGACGCTCGAGTTCAGCACCAGCACCAGCGTTGTTCCCGCGACGCGTCCCGTCGGGGTCCACCAAGCCAGGTCGTCAGCGGCCCGAGAGGGCGCGCAAGTGGCGCGCTCGCAGCCCACGCGCCCGCCTCGGGCGCCCACCAGGCCTGCCCCTCGATCACTCCCCCCCCCTGACAACGCCACCCCCCCACACCCCCCAAGCGCCCTCCACCGCGCCCGCGGCACCTCCGCAGCCGCTCCACGACCCACTCTCACCCTCCTCGATCACGACACCGACAAAACAATCAAAACACAGAGTAGTAATTGACCACCCGCGCACGAAACGAAATGCGGGTGTGCTATCGTCCTGATCAAGGCGGCAGCGTGCTAGGAGTACTCGCGCGAAATGCCATGTGAGCGTGCCATCATGTGCCAAGGGAAGGCTCTGACCTGCAATCAGTTAGAGTGAGTGGCGGGCGTCGTCAGCAACAACGCGGCGAGCCGCGCGAGTACTGGACGACGCCCGCCAGCCGACGCGCCGAAGTGCTGGTCCACGTCCTAGGCTGCTTGTACCAGGGGGTGTCGGCAGCCGGCTGGGTGACAGCGGTGACTGAGTCTGCGGCATTGTCCGCGTTGTGTGGCGACGCGCCGACGGCTACTCAGCTCTCCTCGTCATCGCCGTCCCCCGCGCGTGGCCTGTCATGCGAAAAGGGATCATACCTCGGTCTAGCGGCCACGGAATACGCGCATGGCCAACATGTCAACATCGGGGGGGTAACAGAGTGCGTCATGTGTGCGGGCATGGCTGGATAGTTCCGAGCCAGCTTCGCAGCGCCGGGATCATGTATGAGGGTGACGAGTTGCAGGGCGCCGGGCACGCCCTGTCAGCAGGTTGGCCAGTATGGTCTGCAAACTGCACGTGGCGACGCACGAGGTCAGCCAGGCCCGCCGGCGTGGCAGGGCCAAAATGCGGGCTCGGGTGCGTCCGGCAGGCGGCGCGGTGGATCGCCAGGACCTGTCGCATGCAGTAACCTCGATGCGTACGCATGTAGCGCATCATGGCCGACATCTTGGCTACGTAGCTGTCGCGGTCAGTCACCTCGCTGGACACGCGGATGTGTTCGGTGCGGACGATGTTGTAAAGGTGTCGTCGCAGCAGCGCACACGAAGCGTGGGGGTACTGTATGAGGTGAATGTTCTCAGGAAACAGACCGCGTTTGTCATAGTGCGAGATCAGGAGGAAGCCCTGATATTCGGGATGCGGACGCACGCGGAGGTCTAGGAAGGAGACACCGTCGAGCGGGTTCGCTGGGGCGTCAAATTCGACCTCAAGACAGGGGGGGTACATGTTATGTATACCAGAGATGAGATCTACGATCGACGACGGGGTTTCGGGGGGCGGGGTGGGGGGGCGGGGGTGGGTGTTGAAGTAGCGGTACAGTGCGTTCGCGAGAGAGAAATTGTCGTCGATGTAGCGCCTGGAATAACGGAAAGACCCCAAGACCTTCAGCCAAGCGACGTCGCCAGTGCTCAACCAGCGGTCGCGAAACTGGCAGAGGAACGCGAGCTCATGCCGGAACATGTAGCAGTTCGCGAGGTGGGGGGAGGCCGAGAGCCCCATGGGCACACCGCAGGTCTGGTGATATACGACGCCCCCGAACACCACGTAGGCGCGTTTGACGAGGATGTGCACGAGACCATGAAGTTGCTCGATGCTCGGTGCCCATTTCCCAACCATGCCGTCCGCGTCCGGCAGCTGCGCCACCCACCACCACGTCTCCCTCGCGTCAAACGCGGGTTGCAAGTCGATCAGGAGGTGTTGCCCTGGATGCAGTGCAAAAACAGCGTCGATGTGTTCGATGACGCAGTCGATGAGGCCGGTCCCGTGGTCCGCGCTCGTCTCGTGCCGGATGTGCGTGTAGAGCCGCTTGATGTCGGCGCCCAGCAGCAGAGGTGGTTGTTGAGCATGTATCGCTGAGCGTGGTGGGTTGTCATGTAGATACGCGGTCACCATGTCACGCATGCCGCGGCTGGAGTCCACCAAGAAGGGCGCGAAGCTGCTGCAGAGGTCCTCCGGGACGCCGTCGAAGATGGAGCTCCAGACCTCCACGAGGGTGGCGTGGCACATGAGCGCGCCGAGGGCCTTCGTCAGCAGCTGCGCTGCGGGGCGCGTGATGTCGCTCGAGCAGTCCGAGATGTACCGCACGTCCACCTTGGCCTTGTGAAGCTTCATCGTCCCGTAGTAGTGCGGTAGACCACCGCACTCGCGTTCGGTGCGTATTCCTGGTAGCTGCAGGTTGTCCAACATAGCCTCCGTCGTGTTAGCGACGTTCACCACGTGCCTGGCATGCGTGATGTTGGCATTTGCCGGCTCGTTGACAGCGAAAGCGTCGTTGCTGTGCAGGTCGTGCAGGAGGACCTCGATGTAGGCGCGCCGACACACGAAAACCAAATTCCCGGCGTTCTTGTCCATGGTCGTGATGGTGAGGCGTGTCGCGTCTCGCCGCAGAGCCACGCGATCGTCGGGCTGAATGTCCGCCAGCGGCGGGGGCCATGGAAGGCGGAACCCGGGTTGAAGAGCGGGTTGGAGTGCCGTTTGCGTAGCAGCAAGTATAGCATCAATGTACGGCATGCACGCTGCCGCGTCCATGTCGGCGGCCTTGCTGACGCGTTTCGTCCACCCGAGCAGCGGCTTCTGGTAGGCTTCAACGATGCTAGCTACGGTCGCGCTCGTGGCTTGGTGCAGCTCCGGGACGTGTCGGTGCTTGGCACCGCCGACGGCGAACAAACGGCGGTACGCGGTGCTCTGGATGCCCGCCGCAGCAGGGTCCAGCGTGCAGAGGTGCCGCACAGGCTCGCCGTCGATCTGCCAGTAGGGGTCCTCGAGCGTGAAGTGGCGTCGTAGGTCCGGTCCTTGGTGTTGCGCACAGTCGCACTGCGTCGCCATGATGTCGTACAGGCGACTGCGTGCAAACTTGGCAACTCCGCTGTGCGTGCACACCGAGCGCGACAGCGGTGGAAACCTGACCGAATAGCGCGGGGCCACCAGAAACAAGCCATCCATACCTTCGCGGATACGCTCAGGTAAGAGGTTGAGAAAGTCATCATTATTGACGAGGGTTTCGAGGGGGGCGAGGCTAGCCAGGGGGGTAGGGAAGTCGTGGATCATGAGGGTACGGCTCCCGAGGTCGATGTCTGCGACGGGAGGGTAGTGGTGGTTGATGGCGGCCTGCAAAACGGTGCGGGCACTGTCCAACATCTGCTGTGTGTAAAAGGGCTCGTCGAGACCCAGGTTAAGCGCATCGGGATGCATGTGCGACACGCAGTGATGGAGGGAGAAGAGGTATTTTCCGATGTTCGCTGCCGTGCAATGGTTCACCGCGCGTCTCCAATGATCGTGCTCTGTGTCGCCGGCGCGGCGGAACAAAACAACGTCAAGAAGGAGGCGAGTCTGGTAGATATACTCGCGTGTACCGAGGCGCGGAGACATGCCTGCGATAGCGGGGGGCAGGGACAACGCTGGTGCCGTAGTTGTGAGGCAGTTGTCAGCGTCGAGGTGGATGGTACGTTGATGCGTGGAGGAGATGGCAAACGTTGGCTGGAAGAGGGTCGCCAGCGCTGGGAGCCCACTCGGGCCGGGCGGGACGGGGAAGTCGTTGTGGGGGATCGCTACGGGGTGGGGGTCAGCGGCGATTTGGAACGCCAGGGGGGATAGAGGCCATGGGGCAGCATCAGAGTGGCCAGCTCCGTAGCCGAAATTCCACATGCCCTTGCAGTAATTGAGGCCGCCGGGGTGTGTGGAGCCCAGACAGCGTATCATGGTCTGCTCCCAGGCCAGGGAGTAGGTGCGGAACTTGTGGAACCAGGCCTTCAAAGCGTCCGGGCTAGTCGCCGGCGGGATGGGCACCTGGCGTGCGAAATTGATGCGAAAGAGGGGCACGATGGTGAAGTCGCGCCACGGGACATGGCCGTTCGGCGACTGCGCCCACACTCGTCGCATAAACTCGTAAAGCGGGGTGTGCACGGCGTTCGGATGGTGCGTGAATGCTGCATCAAAGTGCTCCTGCAGTCGTTCGATCGCTGTGCGGTATGTCTCCCCGACATAGTAAAAGAAGGGGTATTTCCGGCACAAGAGGACATAGACAACCCCGCGCGCCGCAAGCGGGGGGTTTGCCGTGACCGATGGTAGCGCGGCGAGGTCCGAGAGCGCCGGCGGGGGCGGTGGGAAAGGAGCGCTCGGTGGGGGGCACGGGTGCGGGTATGCGGGCGCCCGTTCGTCGCGGGGCACGTAGTCCCAGTAGGGTCGAGGGGCTAGTGCGGAGGCGGGGTGGGAGGGTGTGTGGTGGGGGCTAGGAGGGGGCCAGGCACGGGGAGATGCCTGCGGAGCAATAGCGGCCGCGATGCGGCGTGCGTGCGTGATGCTGGGTCGAAAGTTCGGGTCGTGGTCATTTAGATTTGCGACATGGTGGAACAGGGTGCCATTCGAAAGGTGGCCACGCAGCGTGCGCGCCTCGGCGGTGCCGGCCTGGTCGCTGAGACGCAACGCTGCTTGGAGCCGTTTCCTCCGTCGGCGACCGATTGGAGTGCGCATGGTGAGAGGTTTTGGGGGTGAAAAGAGGGTGGTGTGCGGAACTAGACCGAGGATGCAGTAATCAAGCCACGACGGGAGGGCGACGATGACGGGGAGAGCTCTACCTAAGTTGCGCGTTCCTAGCACGCCGGGCGGTGAGCCACGGACGTGAGACGGCGGAGTCAGTTAGCCGGAGGCAGGCTCGTCTACGCCGACGGTTGAAGGCCGGAGTAGGGAGGTAGCTCTCAGCTGGCACTGCGCCAAAGCCCCATGTTCGAGGCCCGGCGCAGCACAACACGACACACAGAGTAGTAATTGACCACCCGCGCACGAAACGAAATGCGGGTGTGCTATCGTCCTGATCAAGGCGGCAGCGTGCTAGGAGTACTCGCGCGAAATGCCATGTGAGCGTGCCATCATGTGCCAAGGGAAGGCTCTGACCTGCAATCAGTTAGAGTGAGTGGCGGGCGTCGTCAGCAACAACGCGGCGAGCCGCGCGAGTACTGGACGACGCCCGCCAGCCGACGCGCCGAAGTGCTGGTCCACGTCCTAGGCTGCTTGTACCAGGGGGTGTCGGCAGCCGGCTGGGTGACAGCGGTGACCGAGTCTGCGGCATTGTCCGCGTTGTGTGGCGACGCGCCGACGGCTACTCAGCTCTCCTCGTCATCGCCGTCCCCCGCGCGTGGCCTGTCATGCGAAAAGGGATCATACAAAACACCCCCCCTCGCAGCGCTGCGTCACAGGTCGCGCCCAATCGCGTCCATCCGCTCGAGCAGCGCGTCCAGGTCGCTCTCGTCCACATTCCACCCCGACGCAAACACCATCCGGAAGAACGCCGGGAGCTCCCCGAGCGGCTGGTACCCCACCAGCGCGTCCCCCCCCTCCTGCATCCTCCGCTTCAGCGCCGGCGCCACGCCCGCCAGCCGCGCCCGCGCCTCCGCGCCCGCGCTCCGCACGTCGAACGGCCGCAGCCCCGGCGGGACGTACCAAAAGCACACGTTCGCGCCGCTCCGCGGCACCGCGAGCACGAACCGCCCCGTCTCCCGTTCCTCGCGCCGCACGCGCCGCTCGAGGTACTCCGCGAGCGCGAACCCGCGGTCCACGCGCTGCTCCCACCCCGCGTCGCCGATCGCCTTCCACGCGAGCCACAGCTTGAATGCGTCGGCCCGCCGCCCGCACTGGATGGTCTTATCGCCCAGGTCCTCGGCGGCGTGGAGCTTGTCGTGCTGGAATAGGTAGTTCGCGCCCTCGGCGTTGCAGGCCGCGAGCGCGCCGGCGTGCCGCGTCAGGAAGGCGCTGCACTGCATAGGCATCCCGAGCATCTTGTGCGGGGACCACGTGAGGCTGTCGGCGCGCGCGATGTCGGACAGGAGGGCGCGGTGGCGCCGCGAGAGCAGCGCGGACGCGCCCCAGGACCCGTCGACGTGCAGCCACGCGCCGTGCCGCGCGCACACGTCCGCCACGGCCCCCACGTCGTCGAACGCCCCCGCCACCGTCGTCCCCGCCGTCGCGCACACCAGGAACGGCACCGCGCCGTCCGCCGCCGCGCGGTCCATCGCGGCCGCGAGCGCGTCGGGCCGCATCCGCCCGCGCTCGTCGCACGGCACGCGCGCCAGATTGTCAAGCCCGACCCCCGCCACGGCCACCGCTTTCGCTACCGAGTAGTGCGCCTGCTCGCTGGCGAACGCGACGAGCCGCGGGCCGCCGTGCGCGCCGCGGCGGCGCGCGGCGGGGTCCGCGCGGTGCCGCGCGAGCAGCAGCCCGTACAGGTTTGCAATAGAGCCGCCCGGGACGAAGATCCCGTCGTGCCCGTCAGGGGGGGAGTCCCAGCCGACGCAGCGCGCCATGCGCGCGAGGACCTCGCGCTCGATGAGCGTGAACGCCGGCGCGACCTCGTAGGTGTGGACGTTGGTGTGCGCGGCGGACGCGGCCCACTCGCCGACAAGCGCGACGGGGTCTGGCCGCGCGTAGAGCTGGTTGAAGAAGAGCGGGTGGCTGGTGTTGGCGCTGTAGCGCAGGGTCTGGCGGAGCGCGCTGAGGAGCGCGGGGGCCTGGAGCGGCGCCTGCCCGGGGCTGAGGGGCAGCGGCGCGCCCGCCGAGTCGAAGACCTGCGCTTGGGGGTTATGGGTGAGGGGTTCGCAGGGGTGCGTGGGGGTGGCTGAGGGGGTGGTAGAGCGGGCGGGGCGCAGCGGGCGCGTCGTCGGGGCGCAGCGGGGCCGTGCCGCGCGCACGGGCGCGCGTGGGGCTCGCGGAGGGAAGCGGGCCGGTGCGCGGGCTGACGTGGCGGTGGAGTGTCGGTGAGACGGCGCGGCGAGCGGGAGAAAGCCCGCGTGCTCCGCTCGGGGACGAATTTGCGTCGAACGATCCGTTGCGCGGCGCGGAATCCCGGGCTGAAGCGTCCGTGAAGGAGTGTGGGCGTTGCGACGGGCGGCCGCGCACCTCGTAGAGCTGCTCGGGGGTCCTGAGGCGGATGACCGGCTGCTCACGTTCCTGGGCTTGCTCGGCGAACCCCCTGATGATCGAAACGGCCTCATCGACGAGCGTTGTCGGCGACACGGAGGCCTGCTGAGGGAGTGCGGTCGTGCAGTCCACAGGCAGGCCGCAGCGCGGCTTCCCGGGCACTCCCTCGAGCATTTCACTCCCTTCGCTGCGACAGGTGCGACGCCAAGCTGCCCTTTCCAAGCTCCCCGCCCCTCGCAATTCTGCTTCTGCTTGGCTGTGCAGCAGGCCCAGCGGCGCGCGGCTGCCAGGCGCAATGAACGCTCTTTCTATCTCGGCGCGACGAAGAACGAATGTCCTCAAGCTGCCACTGGGCCCGCGGCGCGCTCGTTGCCCACCCTCGAGCCCAATCGACCGAGTCCGACGCACGCTCCTCGTATGAACAATTGCGAAAGCACACCCCCCGTCCCGCGCCGCACACCGCGCCCCCACGACGACTTCCCGGGCGCACGCGCCGCCGCCGCGCCCACGCCCCACTCCGCGAAACCCCGCACGTCGACACGGGTGCGTGTGTTGCCACTCCCGCGCAACCTCACGCGCACGTTTTGCGCAGGGCGGGCGGCGAGACGCGGGCGCCCGACCGGGCCGGCGCGTGCATGGACAGATGTTACACGCATCCGCGTACGGGATGAGGACAGGAAGTTGACGGGGGGAGTCGAGGGGGGTGTGTTGCGTTGGGGGGACTGCAAAAGAACGGCTCGAGGTGTGCGGCCCGCGACCGGCCGCCCGTCGCTCAGCTGGCGGGCTTCGTCGCGGGCGCTCGTTGCGGTGTCTCCGTGGTCGGGTCCCGCAGCCTGACTGACCGCCCAACTCGTGGCGGTCGGTGTTACGGCGTCTCTGCCAAAGGGCCTGTCTGGTCAGGCCGGCGCGCGGATTTGAACGCGATCGGCGCCGCGGGGGCATGCCCGGGCGCCGCCCCGTTGCAGGTCGAAAAAGGGGGTCTGAAGTGGGGGGGGGGGGAAAAAGTTCCAGAGGGGGGGTGGTGTTGAGGGTCTCTAACGGAATGAAGGAAGGAAAAAGGAGAGGGGAATGTCCCAGCAGTATCTGCCCTGCCGCCTACGCATGCTGAGATCCACGTGTGCGGGAGAGGGCGCGTGGGTCGTTGTGCGCTGCTCGACCAGCCGCGCTCAGGGGGGGGGGGCTCCGGTTTCTTCCCCGCCGCTGGGAGGGGGACTCTGCTCAGGACGGAAGCAGTGGTGCACGGAGAAGCACGGTGGAGTCGAGAGGGGGGAAGGGGGTTGGTGATGCTGGCTGGTACAGGGGGAGGGTAAAAGAGCAGTGACGTGGGGTGGTGGGGTGGGCGACGACGTGAGGAAGAGAGAGGTGGTGGCGATACAGGGGCGCCGGGCGTCGGGAGACGCGGGGCGTCGGGGCGCGCGCGTGCATGGGGTGGCGTGCGAGCAGAGTGTTGGTGGGGCATGCAGCCTTGGTGCGCGACAGGGCGCCTGCGACGATCGTAGACGCGCGGCGTGCACGGAAGGGAACGTCGCGGGGAGGGCCCCCTCGGATGGTGTGGGGTTGGGTGGGGGGGGTGTGTTGAGAGGCTAGGAGATGGCAAGGGGGGGTTCGGGGGGAGTCCGGGTCGTGCTGGGGCGCAGGCTCAAGCACGCGCGTCCGCCGCGTGTCATCTTCCCGCAGGATGAGCTCTCCTGCCACGCCACGTAGCCGGTGGTGTCTTGGACGTGGGGGGGGGGTGTTCGACGTGGTTCCAAAAAAGGTGTGCAGCTTCATGCTGTCAGGCCCGTCAGGCCAGGCCCGCGCCTCGTCGCGCAGCCACGGAACACGCGCGACGGCGGGCCTGCCCGCCGGGCCGCCGCCGCCGCCGCCGCGTCCTGTCCCGCGCGCCGCCTAGCGCTGCCGCTGCTGCATCATGTACGAGTGCGGCAGCGTCGCGTACGACCGCGGCGTCGGCGACGAGTTCACCGCGCCCGCCGTCGGCCTCTTCGCGTGCACCATCGCCAGCTCCCGCACCCGGTCCAGCAGCTCCGCGGGGAGGTCCTTACGCTTGTCGGTGCGGCCGCGGTTGTTCGGCCCGAGCGCGATCCGCGTCAGGTTCCTCCACTTGTCCTTCAGGTCCACCGCGCTGCGGCGCTCGATCGCGCGCAGGTTGAGCTTCTTGATGTCGGCCCACTTGCCGCCGCCGCAGATCGCGACGCCCTCCACGAGCGCCTGCGTCTCCTCGGGCGTCCAGGGCTTGTGGTGCTTGCGGCCCGAGGCCACGACGGCGGCCGAGCGCGACGCGCCGCGCTTCCCCGTCGCCGCGCCGATGCCGAGCCCGGCGAGCCCTCCCGTGATCTCGTGGCGGGCGCCGCCGGACCCCTCGTGCGTGCCCTCGCTGCCCTCCGACGCGTTGCTGTCCGTGCCGCGGCTGTCGCCGCCCACGCGGCCGGGCGAGGCGCGCGCGGGCGCGCCGGCGCCGCCGCCTCCGTCGTCCTCGACCACGCCGGCCGCGAGCGCCGCGGCGTACTTCGGGTTGGGCCGGGGCTGCCGCTTCGAGGTGCCGCGGGGCCCGCCGGTGCTGCCGGCGGCGGCGGCGCGCGGGGACGGCCCGCGCGAGGCCGGGAGCGGCGCGGTGGTGGTGGTCGTGCGCGCCGAGTCCGGCGCCGGGGCGCCCGCCCAGGCGTGCTCGGCGTGCATGCCGAGGGCCTCCGCGGAGGGCAGCGGGAGGGGGGAGTCCGGGCCGAACGCGGCGTCGAAGTCCAGGTCGGCGTCCGTCGCGGCGCGGTCGTGGTGGTGGTGGTGGTGGTGGTGGTGGTGGGACGCCCCCCCGTGGGCGTGCGCGGGGGCGTCCCAGAAGTGCGGGGGCATCGTGGCGCGGTGGCCCGTGGGCGCGGAGGAGTCGCGCTGCGCGAGGTTGGAGAGCGACACGCTGTTGCGCAGGTGCGCGGGCGCGGGGGCGCCCAGCGGGCCCGACGCGCTGCGGTGGTGCGCGGGCGCGGGCGCGTGCGCGTGCGCGTGGAGCGGCACGGGCTGCGACGCCCAGGGGCTGCGATGCGCGCCCGCCGCGAAGCTCGGCCACTGCACACCAGACAGACACAGACAAAAACACCCCCGTCAGAGTCCGACGCAGCGAAACACAGCACAGCACACCGCAAGCGCCAACACACAAAAGAGCACGGCGCGCGACGAGCGCGGTGTCCACGCACCTCCGGCGCGCCGGCGCCCTGCGGCAGCGGCGGCGCGGGGGGGTCCTCGGCCTGACTCATGGTCGGCATCGACATGTTCCGCAGCACCGGCCCGGCCGACGCGTCGCGCTCGCGGTCGTCGTGCGCGGGCCGCAGCGACGACGTGCCGCGCGGGACGACGCCTCCGCCGCCCGCACCCCCGCCCGCGCCCGCCGCCGCCGTGCTGTACCGGTGCGACCCGCGCATGCCCTCGAGGAGCAGCTCGGGGATCGTGCCGTACTGCTTGAGGGCCATTTCCGCCTGGACGAGGCGCTTGACGAGCCACTTGCGATTGTTTGAGGTTGTGGTCTTGCCAAACAAGCGCGCGTAGCGGTCGCGCAGCCCCGCGAGCGTCACCTTGGGGTACGGGTCGACGTCGCTCCCGGCCTCGAGGATCCTGCGAGGGGACGGCGGGTGTTTCGTTCGGGGGGGGGGTGTCGGGCGCCGCGCGGTGTGCTAGGGGGTTGCGTGGTGGCTGTTGCTGCGGGGTGTGGGGTGCGGGGAGGGGCGGGGCAGGGGCGCGTCGGGGCGGGGCGGGTGGGGAGGGGCGGGCGTGCGGGGGGGTCGGGCGGCGCGGACCTCTGGAGGTCGGGCTGGGAGATGATCGGGTGGTGGTGGGGGCGGGGCGAGGGGGCGCCGTGGTCGTCCTCGAGGAAGATGTTACGCGCCGAGTCGTGGTAGGAGCCGATGAGCTGCGAGCCGGACGTGGGGATGGAGCCCGCGGCGAACGGGCCGGGCTGCGTCGGGATGGGTACGACGCGCTCCGAGCGACGCACGTCGATGTCCTCTGCGCGCGGCGTGTGGGCGGCGGAACGGGGAGGTGAGATTGGGCTGCGGGGCGAGGGCGCGCGGCTGCGGGCGTGCGACGGCGGGATCCGGCGCGCGGCGAAAAGGCAGCATGCTTGGTGGAAAAGCCGCCGGAACGGCCCGGCGCCGTGGCGCGAGGCTGCCGGGAGCGGGAGAGCGGAACTGAACTAAACGAGAAAGGGCGCGGGCGGGGTCACTGTCGCGCCCCCCTGCGCGGCAGCGCGGCGCTCACCTTTCCCGGCCGTGACGCTCGCCAGCTGCTCCGCGAAGCTCGCCTCGCCGTCCTCGTACTTGCTCAGAGTCAGCGGGGAGTGAATCGACGGAGCGGCGGATCTGTGGTACCACGCCGGGTCCCGATTGTTGAAATCTAGCACCCCGTCGAGGATGTGGGCGCTCGGGCAGCCGTTCTGGGTCTGGAACGACTGCATGCCTGCGCCGCGGTCGTCTGCAGATCACCGGGGGGGCGCCGGGGGTCTGGCGGCGGCGCGGCGGGCCGCGGGCGAGGCGCACGGCGGGCCTCGGTCGAGCAACGACCGCCCGGGACGGCCGCGAGGGCGCGGGGGCGCGCCGTGCGGCGCTGTGCACTTGCCTGGACCGCCGAGGATGCCATCTATGCCGACGGAAACCTCAGAGAGGCGCTGGTAGACGTCCATGGCGTCGGTGCCTAACAGAGCGGGCCAACTGCGGAGGACGGCGCACGGCGCGGGGGGGCGGGTGATGCGCGCTGCTCGCGGCGCTCAGGGGCGACGGGGGCGCAGAACGGAGCGCTCGGGCGCGGGCGTGGCACGCACGGCCGCGTGGGGCGAAAACGGTGGCGCCAAAGCTCGGCGAATAGGTCTAAGGGCCCGCACGGCCCGCACAGCGCGCGAACGGCGGCGTTCCGGCGCTATTCGCGCAGAAGACGATCTAGAGAGCTCGGTTTCGCGGTAACTTCCGCGTCGTCACGCCCGCAGAGCGCCCCAGGCGCGATCGCGGGTGTTCGCGACTCTCGGCCCTGGCGGGCGCTCGGCACGGGCCGGCCGGCCGTTTGCGGCCACGATCGATGCCAGGCGATGGCGAGGAACCGATTCGCGCGCGAAAGACTGGACCACACCCGTCGCAGGCGTCGCGTTCGCCGCACCTGGAGGCCACGCTCGTAAAGCGGGCTGCCTCTCCGGTGGGGCCTGCCTCGCCGTAAAGCCGACGGTTTGGGAAGCTACGGTGCGCGACGGAGGCCGTTCGCGCGCGAGGAGGGAGATCCGCGAGAGCACGCGGCCGGCCGGAGGCACCTTTCGCACAGAGGCACTGCAGCGCCGCGAGCCACGCGACGCAGAGCTGAACGTTGGCCTGAAGTGCACGGACCAGGCGATAGCGATTGCGCGCGCCGCCGCGCACGCGGCCCCCACGAGCGCCCGCGTCGCCCGGCGCGCGGGAGACAGCTCCGTCTGTCTCACGGAGCCGCGTCAGGCGGCCCCGGCGCGCCGTGCGCGCCTTCGGCCCGCGGGCCCCGCGCGGCTCGCCAATGGAGCTGGCTGGTGCGCTCGACCGTCGGCCATCCGCGACCACCCGCGACTCCGGCACGCCCATCGCCCCTCGTGCCAGGTGCGGGGTAGCTTCGCCCCAGCGCACGCAGCACCGCCCTGCGCGCCCCGCGCGCGCCCCGCACGCCCCGCGGACGCCCCGGGTCCGCGCGTTCCGGCGCCAGAGCGCCGCAGCGCGCCCCACGGGCCATTGCACCCCCGCCAGTCTGGCGCCCCCGCGCGCAGGGCGCGCCGGCCGCGCGACGCGGCGCGGGTGTGCTGCGCGACGCGGCGCGCGGGAACCGGCAGCGCCGCGCGCGGCCGCCCGCGCGCGTCGCGCGGGCGCGCTCTGCCCCTTGACACAACAACCCGTTTCTCGCGGGCGACGTGCGCGCCGTGCGGGGCCGGTGCCGCGCGCGCGGCCGCGCCGCGACGTACCCGTGCCCCCGTAGCGCGCCCAGGGCGGCGCGAGGCCCGGAATCCGCCCGCGCTGCGCCACGGCGCGCCGAGAGAGAGCCATTTCAACGCTCTCCGGCGCCGTTGCGCGCCGCTGCGGCCCCCGCGCGCCCCCGCGAGCGGCGTTCCCACGCCCACATCACCCGCTCTGCCCGCAGGCGCGCGGAGAGCACGCTTCGCGCCGCGGCTGGGCGCCAACGCACGGGCGTGGCACCACGACGGAGGCTTGAGCGGCGATGAACGCGTCGATACAGAGCTCCCTCGCGTACGAGTACGCCCACGCGTGTACCTCCGCGGGAGTACAACCCATTGACGAGTTCACCTCGTCCTTCCTCGGAAAACACGACACCTGCCGGCTCGTCGCCCCAAGTGCGCTCCCTTCCCGAGCGCGGGCCGCGCGCCCGCGCCCCGCGCCGCGCCGGCTCCCCCCGCCGCGCGCGGGCTGCCCCGCCCTCCGCCCTGCCCGCCGGACCCCGCCGTCCACGCCGCACCGCGCCCGCACTGCCCCCACGCACCTCGCTCCTGCCGACCACGCCCCCGGCCCACGCCGCGCCGCAACCCCGCCCGCCCGCCCCGCTCGCATGCTCCCGCCCCAACCATCCCGCCGCCCCGCGCCGCGCCCCCGCGCCCCGGAACGCCCCCCCGCCCGCCCACAACTCGCAGATGGACTCGCCGGGCCGTCCGCGTCCGCGTCGCTCGAGATCTGCGCCAAGTACCTCCCGCAGGTCCCGGTCTCGTTCCTCACCGTGCGCGGGTGGGAGGTGTCCCAGAAGGCGCTGCAGTCGCTCGTGGCGACCCTGGCGAGTTGCCCGCAGCTCAAGGGCCTCGTCATCGACTCGTGCGTCATCCAGGACGGCTCCCTCGTCGAGGTGCGCGCGGGACTCCCTCGCAGCTCGCGCGTTCGCGCGGTTTCCGGCGGCTCCGCCGCGCGCGGCGCCGCAGCGGGCGCGCTGGGGGGCTTGAGTGAACTCGCCCGCCGTTGCGCGCGCGCGGCCGCAGGTGCTCGAGGTGCTCGCGCAGAGGACGCACTTCGAGAAGCTCGGGCTCGTGAACGTCCAGGCCGGGGACTCGGCGGTCATGGCGCTCACGCAGGGCCCGATACTGGGCGCCACGTCGGCGCTGCGCAAGCTAACGCTGGGCGTCAACAACATCACCGGCGCCGGCGTGCGCACGCTCGTCGAGCACCTCTCGAGCCCCTCGGGCGCCAACACCGCCCTCAAGGAGCTCGACGTCTCCGGTACGGCGCCGCTGCCTCGCACACGCTCACGCACACGTACACGTACACGTGCCCGCACGCACGCCTGGCCGCGGTCCCGCGCGCCCCTCGATGCCGGCCACGCCGCGCGCACGCCGACAGCGGACCCGCACGACCCGCCGCGAAACGGAGGGGAGCGGGGGGGGGGAGTTTTCAAGCCCCGGCCCTGACCCCCCCCCTGGCACGTTGTTCCGCGCGATGTTGGTGGGCTCACGCGGCCGCGCCCGCCCGGCCCCGCGCGCGCAGGCAACGCGATCGGCGACGACGGCGCACGGCTGCTCGGCACGCTGCTGTCGGGCGCGGCGCCGGTGCGCCTGGACGGCCTCTTCGTGGACCAGTGCGGGATCTCCCCCGTCGGGGCCGAGGACCTCCTGCGCCAGGTCGGACGCGGACACAAGCTCCGTGAGATCTCCCTCAGCGGCAACCAAGGTCCGCGCCTGTGCACGCGCGCGTATATATATATATATATATATATATATATATATATATATATATATATGCACACCCCCCTCGTTGCCTCGCTGCTCCCCGTCCCCGTGTGGTTCGTTCGCGTTTCAACCACGCCGAGCGATCGCCCGTGGACAGACGCGCGATGGGTCCGGGGTGTCCGACGGTCCGCGTTCCACGCACGTGTGTGTGGTTTGCAGTGGGCGACGCGGCGTTCTCGCTGCTCTCGGGCATCCTCGACACGGGCGGCGCGCTCGAGGAGCTCAACGCGGCGCGCACGTCCGCCTCCGACGAAGCCCTCGCGTCCCTCTTCGACCACGCCGCGTCGCACCCGCAGCTCCGCGCGCTCGACGTCTCCGGGCAGCCCCTCGGCCCCGCCGCGCTCAGGGCCGCCACGCGCATGATCCAGTCCAGCGCGACGCTCCGGCGCCTCCGCCTCGACGTCGCCGCGCCGGCCGAGTCCGTCGACGTCGCGCGCGCCGTCGGCATCAACCCCTCCCTCATCGACGTCAGCGTGGGCGGCGCCGTGGACCCGTCCGCGCGCGAGAGCATCGCGCGCCGCGTCAAGGAGAACGCGTCGGTCTTCGCGGGGCCCGTGCCCGGCGCGCACGCCGTCCCGGACCTCGCGCAAGCCAACGCCGCGTCCTTCATGGAGGCGACGACGGCGCTCATCGACGGCAGCCTCGGCAGCAACCCGCGGCCAGTGCGGACGAACTCGCAGGCGAGTGCGCGCGCCCCGCTAGACCCCGGCGCCCGCGCCCGACGCATCCGTCCATCGATCGACCGCGCGTGCGCGCGTTCAGGACGAGGCAACAGGGGGTGTTGGGGTGTTCCTCCGCGCGGCCCCGTGTTCTCCGCGCCGTAGCGCCCACGTCCGCTGCGTCCTCGCCGCGGCTGTTCGCAGGTCAGCGGGGTGTCGTGGAGCGGTCTGTCGCAGTCGGCGTCGCAGGTCAGCGGAACGCGCAGCCTGCGCCCGGGGCTGAACCGGCCGACGACCCCGACGGGGTCCACGCTCGGGCGCGAGCGGTCGGCGCGCGAGCAGGGCCCGACGCTCACGGCGGGCGGCGCGGCGTCCGTCGCGGCCAAGGTCTTCAACGAGGTCGACGTGGGGCACCAGGGCAGCCTCGACCTCCGCGGGATGGTCCTCGCGCTCACGAAGCTCGGCGTGCTCGACGGGTACACGCAGAAGGAGGTCGAGCGCATCGCGCGCAACGAGTTCCGCATCGCCGACATCTCCGGAAACGGCAAGATCAATCTGGATGAGTTCACGCGGTACTACACGCAGCTGCTGGCGTCGCGGGCGCAGGAGCTGCGGAACGAGCGGCTGAACTCGACGAAGCTGATCTCGTACCCGCCGGGGTACCGGCGGCACGAGGAGCTCCGGGAGGTGTTTGCGACGTTCGCGGCGTTCGGGGGCGGGCACGGGAAGGACCGGCAGAAGGCGGCGAAGGAGATGGACGGGTCGCGGTTCTCGAAGCTGTGCAAGGACGGGCGGCTCGTGGAGCCGGACGGGCCGCTGAGCCAGTCGAGCGTGGACATCATCTTTGCGCGCGCCAAGCCCAAGTCCTCGAAGCGCATCGACTTCAAGCACTTCCTGCGCGCGCTCGCGATGGTGGCGCAGGAGGTCGGCGTGTCGTTCGAGGAGGTCGTCGAGAGCCTCGGCGTGCAGCCGCTCGCGCTCGACGTGGCGTGGAAGGCCCCGAGCCGGCGCAGCTCGCTGGCGAGCAGCATGGTCTCGCGGTCGCGCGTGTCGGGGATGAGCAGCCAGATGGGGGCGTCGGCGTTCATCGGGCTGGGCGGGCAGGGCATGACGTCGCAGGAGGTGGCCGACCGGGCGCGCATGGCCAGCAGCATCACCGGCGGCGGCGCGCGGAGCGCGGTCGGGAGCGCCGCGGGGGGCGCGCGGCCGCTGCCGGGGCGGAGCCCGTCGATGACGTCGCAGACGTCCGGTACGGGGTTCTTCCGGAGGTATTACAAGAATGACAGGGCGGTGAACACGGCGGCGGCGGAGGCGGCGGCGACGGCGACGGCGGAGGACACGTCGGCGATGGTGACGGCGTACCTGAACTCGTCGGCGCCGATGGGCGCCGCGGGGGGCTCGCAGGTGCGTGGGCGCGCCCTGTGCCGCAAGGAGGGGGGTGGGGTGCATGGGGGGGGAGTCTAGAACAACAGAAAGCATGTCGTCGCGCGCGCTTGCGTTGTGCTTGCGCTGACGACGCCGCTGCGTCTCCGCGCGCCGTCGCGGCCCGAGAAGCCCCACCAAACAACCCGTCACACATTTCAGCATGTGCTCAGCCCAATACCCCCCCCCTCCCGCCTTTGCGCGTGCAGGTTGGAGCGCCGAGCGGCGTCGGCGGCGCGGGCCTCGTCACGCCGTCGATCACCAAGCAGCCCTCGCGCCTCGGCTCCACCGCGGGCTCGCAGTCCCCCCTCCACACCAATTACACCACCCCCGCCTCGGACACCGTCGCGACGGGCCCCGGCGCCGTCACCTCGCAGCGCGTCACGGCCATCGAGTCCATGGCCCGCGACGCGCTGCAGCAGCTCCACCACCTCGAGCAGCGCTTCGTCGAGCTCGGGCGCGCTCAGGAGAACGTGGCGGCGGCGGCGAACGCCAGCGCGGGCGCGGGCGCGGGCGCGGGCGCGGGCGGGGCGGCGCTGCAGGCGCTCACGCAGCGCGTGGCGGCGCTGGAGCGCGGCGGCGCGGCGCAGGTGGGCGCGCAGATTGGGTCGCTGCTCGAGCGGCAGGCGCGGATCGAGCAGGCGCTGCTGAGCATCGCGCAGCGCGTGGACCAGGTGGACAAGAACGTCAAGGCGGAGCAGGAGCAGAGCTTGAAGGCGCTCGAGGCGATCCTGTCGGCGTCGAAGGCGCTGATGAAGACGTGAGGTGTGTGGGTGGGGCTGCGCGGGGGGTGTGAGGGTATGAGGTCGCGAGTGGGTGACGGTTGCGGGTGGGTTTGCGTCACAGGGGGTCCGCTCGCGCGGCTGGGACCGAGGCGCTGCTTGTTAGACACCATTCCTCGATGTTCGTTTCGCCGGAACTCCTTATTCCTTCTTCAGGCCCGGGAGCACGCCGACGACGTCCCCCGCGATCTTCTCCGCGTCGTCCATCGGGTCCACCTCGTCCTTGACGTACCTGCGCGCACCGCACCGCACACCCCCCCCCTCAGCACACGCACACAGCGCTCCCACACATGGCACGCCCGGAGGGGCACTCTCGCGCCACGCGGACCCCCGCGCGCGCCGCGCGGTCCGCGCGCACTCACCGCAGGGCCAGGTAGATCGCGGTGAACAGCCCGATGATCTCCAGCGGCTCCCCAAGGAGGAGAGACAACAGCGGCGCGTGAATGATCTTCTCCGCGAGAACGAACGCGATCGTCCCCGCAACCGAGTATCCGATGACGGCGGCCTGCGAGCAGGGGGCGCGGGCGGGGGTCTCGCGGCAGCGCGGGCCGGCGCGGCGCCCGGCGCGGCGGCAGCGGCCCGGCGCAGGTCGCCTATTGGCGAGTGCGCGCCGGTCCAGGAACGCCGACTCATTGGGCGGTTGGATGCGCCGCGTGCTGGGGCGCGCACGGCCGCTGGAACGCCGCTTTCCCGCCGCGAGAGGCACGGCTGGGCCTGTGGCGGCGGTGTGCGGCGGGCGCGCGGGCGGGCCGCGGCCCGGTGCAGCCGCACGCGGCGCGCGCGCGCACGGCTTGGCTGCGGTTGTTGCCTCCCCTCCCCGGCGCGCACCTTCTTGTCCGTCTTCTCGAACTTGTCCTGGAGGTCCGCGGTGAGCTTCTCGGCGTCGAACCGAGTCTTGAACGCCGCGGCGCGCACGCTCGCGCGCGGGCGCGCCGCGGGGGCGCTGCCCTTGGCCACTGGCCTGGCGACATTGACGGAGCGCGCGAGCATTCTCGAGGGACGTCGGGAGCGGGCGTGGCGGTGCCGGGACGGTAGAGTGGGGCCGTGGCGAGGGCGCGCGCGCGGAAACGCGCGCGCGCGGCGCCGTGGGGCGTCGGGGGGGGGTCTCGATCTCGGTCTGCCCCCTTGAGCCTCATTGGCAGGCAGGGCCGCGCGTTCCCGCGACTCTGTGCGATTCCGTTGCCCAAGATGTTCGCCCTGCGCTCCTCGATCGCGAAGCCGGCCGCGCCGGCCGCCGCCCGGACCTCCGTCCGCGCCCGTGCGAACGCCGGGTGGCTCCCGGGCGCCGAGGCGCCTTCGCACCTGAACGGCTCCCTCCCCGGCGGTGCGCGTCCCGGCCGCCCCGCGCGCCCGCGCCGCGCCCACCCCGCGCCTCTATTTCCCCTGCACCGCCCCGCGCGCCCGCGGCCCCGCGCCGCGCCCACGCCGCCCGCCCCGCGCGAAACCCGCACCGGTGACGATCGCCTCACCCGCGGACCGCCCCCGCGCCCCCGCGCAGACCGCGGGTTCGACCCGCTCGGCCTCGGGTCCGACCCCGACCGCCTCAAGTGGTACGCCGAGGCCGAGAAGATGAACGGCCGCTGGGCGATGGCTGCATGCGCCGGCATCCTCTTCACGGTGCGAACCCCCCCCCCGCGCCCCGCCGCGCCGCGCGCGCCCGCGCGCGCCCTGCTCTGCTCCCAAACATGGCGCCCGCGCCGTTCCGGCGCCGATTCGCCGCGGGAGCGCGCGCTACGGGGCGAAGGGATCTACGGCAGATCCACAGCGATCGCGTGCGTGGCAGCGCGGCGGGCGGCGCCGCTGGCTCCGCGGCGCGCGCGCGCGCGCGGGCCGCGCGTGCGCGTGTTGCGGGCGCTGGGCGCGCTCGGCGCCGGGCCGCCCGCGCGAGCGCCCAGGGATGTGCGCGGGGCGGTGCACGCGCGCGCGCCCGGCCGCGGCGCGCGGCGGGAACGCTGCGCGGCGGCTCCGCGCGACGGCTCCGTGCGCGCAGAGCGCGTTCGCGCGGGACTTTGCGCGCTACCTGCCGCGCACGCGCGGAGCTGCCCGTGCGCAGCATCGGGGAGGTTTGTCCGGCGACGGGGCTGACGCGAGCGCCATCCCGCGTGCGATGCGTCCCCGCAGGACTTCATGGGCCTGCCTAAGTGGTACGAGGCCGGCGCGGCGGAGTACGCGAGCCCTGGCACCAACGGCCAGCCTATCCTGCCCCTGATTGCCATCGAGGCTGTCGTTATGGGCTTCCTCGAGACCAAGCGCTACCAGGGCTTCAAGGTACGACTAGACCTCGCGTCCGCTTCCTCTCTGGCACGCCTCTGAGCCCGAAACCGAGCAGACGTGCGGATCGTGCCACGCGAGATCGAGAGATTCCGGTGGATTCATAGTTGCGAATTGGTGTCTGGTTGTCGGTCGCAGGAGACGGGCAAGTCCGGCTTCCTGAACGCCTACCCCTTCGACCCCGCTGGCATGAACTCGGCCTCGATGGCCGAGAAGGAGGTCAAGAACGGCCGCCTCGCCATGGTCGCCTTCGCCGGCTTCGCCATCCAGGTACGTCGCACCACATCTCTGCGGCAACACCCACACGACACACACACAACGCATACACACGCTCTGTGCGCGCGCGAACGAACGCACCCGCGGCCCAGCACGCCCTCGCCCACGCCGACGCCATCCGTTCGCGCCCCGCGGCGCGCGACGTCCTCCTCCGAGCCGCCAACACATATCATGTTCATATGAACGATGAAATCAGAACATCACATCATTCCGTATCTCGCGGCTACCCGCCCCGCGCCCGGCGCCGCGCGCGACCCGCGCCCCCGCGCCCCCTCGTCCGTCCCGCAGGCCGTTGTGACCCGCACCGGCCCGGTCGAGGGTCTGGGCAAGCACCTGGCCGACCCCTTCGGCTACAACATCGGCGCCAACGTCATGAACATCCAGAACGTCATCTCCCAGTAAGAAGAGACGCGGTGACGTGGATGTCGGTGTGCGCGTCGATGTGACGCGGGCGCGGACCTGACAGGGAGAAGGAAAACACCCCCGCGGACGGCGCGGGCGCGCGCAGGGACGCTTCTGGCCGCCGCGGCCAACTGCGCGTGTGAACGTGGAAGCGAGCTCTGCGGCGGTGCCGCTCCGGACGTCGTCCGTGTGTCCCCCCCACCGTTGCCTTCCCTCGCGCTGCGCCTGTGCTCGAACAGCCGTCTCTGCAGCGCGCGGCAGGCTGCGTCGGCGGGGCCTAGCCGCCCCGTGTGCGCCGACTCGCGCCGCGGGTCGCTCGACTCAGGACGTAGAACACCCTCCCTGGGTTAGCGTCACCGCCACATAACGGAAGAGCGCCTCCGGCGGTCTTGAGCGCTCCAGTCCCGAGTCCCGTCACCGCGCCGCAACGCTCGTTCACGAGGCGTGCGGCGTTGCCCTGCGCCGCGACCGTCGTGCGCGGTTCAAGTAATTGCACACTGCCCCCGAGCCGTCCGGGGGCGTCTACGTCTACGCCGGACCGGCGCCGCGACCCACAGCGGCGGTCGCGGCACGGCTGGTCTGCGATGTCGCTGCGCGCTGCGAGGGCGCTCGCGACGGCAACAGCGCCGCAGGATCGCAGATGTCTGTTATCATCGCTGTCGTCGTTTGCGCCTGACCCGCGGCGCGCAGGAGTCAGGGCGCGAACGGACGGGGCAGGCCAGGCGGAGGCACGCGCACTCGGGCGCAGCTTGGACTCGTGGGGCGGACGGCGTGGGCGCGCGCCGCGTGGGTCACATGGGGGGGGTGTTGCAGGGGCACTCTGCTGTCCGCAGTGGTTCCGCCGCGACGACGCACCGCAGCGCTTGCGCGCGCGCCGGTCGACCGCGGCCGCGGCGTGGGAGGCCCGCCCGCCCGGCGGCGGAGGGGGGGGGGACTCACGCAAGCCTCCCCCAGGGGAGGGCAGGGAGGGGGTGTTTTGTGCAACGTAGAGGATGTAAAGATAAGGCGCGCGCGCGAGCTCCTCCTCGCACGGCAGGAGCTCTGCGGCGCAGGACGAGCGCGGGCGCGGCTTGGTGTACGCCCCGCACCGACGCACCGCATTGCGCGCCAACGCGGGCCAGACTCCGCCGGGAGTCGCGCCGCCCGCCGGCGCGAGACCGTCTGCGCAGGGGACGCCCCGCGCGCCTGCCGCGCCGCGCCGGCGGCGGTCGCGGGCTGTTCCAGGTTGCGTGTGTGTGCGCGGGATGCATGGATCACTGCTGCGCCTGCTGGGGCGCAGGGATCGGGGGGTTCGGCCACTCCGCTGGCTGCTCCCTGCACGCGAGCGGGGCGGCGCGGGTCCGGCGTGGGTGCGCAGCGCAGGCGGTGCGATGCGCGCTGCACGGTAGCGCCGCAGGGCGCGCGGCGGCCCGGCGCCCTCCCTGGCTCGCGAGCATGCCGCACCGCGACGCGCGCGGCGCGACGCGCGCGGCCGGCGCCGGGACGCGCGCGCCGCCGCCGCGCCCGCGCGCCCCGCTCCGCCCCGCCAGGCGCCGCTCCGGCGCCGGCGAGGCCGCACGCGGCGAGGGAGACTCACCACTGCGTCGTCGGGATGTCTGGATGGTGGAAGTACGGGTCCCCGGACTCCGCGTCGATGTACATCACCCACCCATTGGGCCCGTACGCCGGCTGATTCGCCGTGGGCGGTTGCTGCTGGTACTGTCCGCCGCCTCCGTATCCCTGCGGCGGCCCGCCGCGGCCCCCGACCCCGAAGCCGGCCTGCTCGTACCCCTGGCCTCCCCAGTTGTTGTAACCGCCGGTGTTGCCGTAGCCTCCGCCGTACCCGCGGCCTCGCCCGCCGTACCCGCCGCGGCCTCCCCGTCCGCCTCCTCCTGACTCCTGCTGCGGGAGGGACCGTAGCTCGTGCTCCCCGTGCGCGAAGTTGCATCGCTCTCCCTGGGGTGTGGAGGAGAGGGGCGGGATCGCCGGTGGGTCCGGGCGGGGCGAAGGGGCGCGGGGGGCGTGGTGGGGGTCGCGGGTGCGCGTGTGCGGGGGCGGGGCGGGGTGGGGGCGCGGGGGGCGGGTGGCGGGAGAGGGTGCGAGGGGGCGGATGCGGGGGGTGGGAGGGGCGCGGGGGCGCGGGGCGGTGCGCCGCGGGATGCGGAGTTCGAGGTGGGAAAATGGAGGCGGGCCGCGGGGGCGGGAGGGGGGCGACGGCGGAGATCAGAGGCGCAACGGACAGCCCTTGCTGGACCGGCGTCCGGCGCCGTGGGGCTGCGAGAAGGGTTGCCGGCGCGCGGGCGGGCGCAGCGCAATATCTCGCGCGCGGCGGGCCGGCCGAGGCGGCGCCCCGGCGCCGCGGCGCGCGTCCAAGGCGGTTGGTGGGTGGGAGCTCACGAATGCGCAGTGCCCGTCCTGCCAGCGGCGGCATATCTTGGTCTTGGCGTTCTCAGGCGTGCCGCGGAAGCCGCCACGCCCGCCGTAGCCGCGCCCGCGCCCGCCGCCGTACCCACGCCCGCCGCCCCCGTACCCTTCCTCCCCATAGCTATTCATGCTATCCATTATTCTATATTCCCTAAATTCCTTTCACTAATTCGCGGCCGCCTTATCTATACCTCGCCCATTTGCCCGCCCGCCGCGCGCCGCGCCCCCGCAAACCCCCGCGCCCGCGCGCGCGGGACCCTGGGGGGCACCGGCGCCGACAGACTGCACCGCGTGTCCGCGAGCTGCGCGGTCGCGAGGGGCGCGCGCGATGCGGGGGGCGGTGCATTGCGTCTGACGGTGCTCGCGGGGACCTTAGTGCGACTGAGCGCTCGCCGGGCAGGCTGCACGGACGGCAAGAGGAGAACAGGCGTAGAGGAGCGAGGCTGGAGCCGCGGTTGGCCGGCGCGCCGGCGCGTTTCGGAGAAAGCTAGTATGAACTCGAATAATTTGTTCGCGGCGCTGGACGAGAAGGTGCTCCGCAAACATGAGAAGGTTCGTCGCCCAGCCGCTGTCCCGCTCGCGCCGGCCCGCCCGCCCTGCGCCAGCCCCCCGCGCCCGCACCGCGCACCGTTCCCGCACCCTCCCTTTTCCGTCCCCCCATCCGCGCCCCCACAACCCCGCGCGTACGCGCCATCAGCGCGCTCTCGCCCCCCAAGCCTCCCCACTCCTCCTCGGCCGCTCCCGCGCGCCGCGCCGATCCCTGATCGCCCCCGCGCACCCGCCACGCCGCCCTCCCCCCCCACCCCGCGCCCGCGACCCCCGCGCCGCCCCAACGCGACCCCACCCCCTGACGTGACCCCCAGGCCAAGACCAAGGCAGAGGAGGCCGCACAAGCCGTCGAGGCGGACCAGGCGCGCGAGGCCGCGATGAGCCATGCGGAGCTCGAGGCCGCGATGTTCGGCGGCGGCGGATTCGGGGCTTCGAACTGGGCGGACGAGCTCGACGACCACCACGGCGGCGCCAGGCAGTGGGCGGAGGTGCGTTCCCGCGGCGCATGGCGCTCCTGCGCCGCTGTGCCGGCGCGCGGCGGGTGCCGGGGGGTGCGTGCTCGGCGTGGGCGCGGCGGCGCGGGCCTGGTGCGGCGCGCCGGGTGCGCGGCGGGCGAGGCCGGGGGGCGCTGGCCGAGCGAGCGCCGCGAGCGCGGGCGACGCGCGGGCGCCGTGGCCCGGCCGAACCGACGCCTCGGCGTGCGTCGATTAATTTTCGAAATGCACCACGGTCCGGCGGCCGCGGAAGCCGCCCGCGCCCCCGGAGGCCGCCCCGCACCCCCCAGCCTCGCCCGATCCATCGCCTGCCGCCCCCTCCGCGCCGCTCCGCGCCGGCACTGTTTCCGAGGGTCTTCCCTGAGCAGCCGCGACGCCCAGAGCGCGCAGAGATCCGCGCTCCCTGCTCCCGCAACGCGGCGCTGCGGAGCAACAGAGTGCCTGTCCGCGGCCTGAGCGCTCGGCTCCGCCCGCGGCGTCTCCGTGCAGGCCGCTCCGGACGCGCGCGCCGCGTCGGAGTCGGAGGAGGAGTCGGAGATCGACGAGCACGAGGAGGAGTCGGACCACGCCGAGCCGGAGCCAGAACCTGCACCACCAGCGCCACAGGCGCAGCAGGCGAGCCCGCGCGCCCCGCTCCGCGCCCGCTACGGCGCCACGGACCCCGCGCGCACCCCCACGCCCGGACGCGGTCGCAACTGCGCGGCCCCCGCGCGCGCCGGGCGCCGCTGCGCACCCCGCAGCCCCGCTCACTCGCTGCGCGCTCGCGCGCCGCCGTGCCGCCGCAGGGGAAGAACCCGCCGAAGCAGTTGAGCAAGAAGGAGCAGAAGAAGAAGGAGATGGACGACCTTGAGGCCGCGCTGGCCGAGCTCGGCATACCGGCGCCAGACCAGCAGCAGGCCGGCAACGGCGCGGCGGAGGGGCAGCCCGGCGACGGCGGGAAGAAGAAGAAGAAGAAGAACAAGGGCAAGGGCCAGGCAAGCGCGCACGCACCGCCCGGTTCACGAAGCTGCGCTGCGCCGCGCTGCACGTCGCAAGCCTCTGCGCCTGCGACGACCGTGGCGCCGCAGCCGCACCCAGAGCGCCCCCCGTCACGCCGCTGACCATGCGGACGCGATGGCGCGGGCTGCGACGGGGCCGCGTGGACCCCGCTCGCGACTCCTACGCCAGCGCCACGCGACGTCAGCCCGGCCGGCGGCGTTCCGCGAGCTCCGCGGCCCCGCACGCAGCGCAGCTAGCTCGCAGCCATGCTAGTCTCGCTGTTTCCCGCCTAGCTGCGCGCGCCCACGTCCGCGGCCCGGCCGCCCGTGCCTGCAGGGGGGCAGCGACAGCGCGGCAGACACCCCGACGGCGACGTCGGCGACGGAGGCGTCGGCTCCGGAGCCCGCTGCGGCGATCGATCCGGCCAAGGCCAAGGCGAAGCTCGCTGCGGAGGCCAAGAAGAAGATGGCGGCGCGCAAGAGCAGCGCGGCAGCGGCGGCCAAGGCGGCAGCGGAGGCCGCGAGTCGGAAGAAGGGGAAGCGGGACAAGAGCCAGTTCAACCAGGCGCCGGCGTGGTAGCGGCGGCGCGGGGGCGGCAGCCGTGCGGGTGCGCGCGAGCTTCTGCGGCGCACGCGTGCGGGCTGGTTCGGGGGGCGGCGGTGCTGGTATGTGCGTGTTGTTGCGTGCTGCGAGGCGGGGCGGAGGGGGCGGTGCGGCGTGTGACCCCAGCGCTGACTGACAGCAGTCGTCCTGGGGGCGTGCGCGCGCGTGGACGCGAGGAACGACGGCGAGGTGTCGCGCCGCGCGGATCCCGCGGCGCGCTCGCGTGGCGCGCTTCGTGGGCCCTGTAGCTGGAGGGGGGCGGGGGTCTTGTTTGTGTGCCATGGCATCTGCAAGCCTGCAGCGCCCGGTGTTGCTGGGAGGTGTGCAGGTCAGCCGGGTCTCCCGATCGCGAGACGCGGGCCCGCACTGCATGTGACGTCGCGCGGGCAACGGACGCCTTCGCTCCCCGGCTGGTCTGTCCGTCGTCGAACACGAAACCAAGCAGCTTACTCACCTTCACATCCGAAGTGGTTCATATCTTCTTCAAGGCTTCCGTGCGCTTCGAACACGGCGCCTCCGACGCCGCCCCGGGCTCGGCGCGCAGTAGCACGCCACACCGGCGCGCAGAGGTCCCGCGCCGTGCCGTGGTGACGTGCGCCGCACCAGGGGGCGCGCTAACACTCCGAGCCGCGGCGAGGCTGCGTGTCGCGGCGGCCCCCCTTCGGCTGCGGCGACAGGGCAGCCGGCCGCGAGTGGCTCTGCGTCTCGCCAGTTTCGAAGAATCGAGAATCCGCCAACTCCACCACCTGCCCAATTGTAGTCTCCTGGTAGTAGTGCTGGGGCATCGCGCCGCGTGCGGCCGCAGCAGCGCTCCCGCCGCGCTGTGCCGCGCTGGGACCGCCCCCGCGTGCGACGCGGAGCCGCTCCCGCGTCGGAGGTTCGCGGCTGACGTCATGTCGGTGCAATGTATGACTCAGCAGGCCTGAGGTTAGTCTGCCCGCAGCGGCCTCAAGGAGCCTGCGCGCCGCGCTCGGAGGTCAGATTTCGCGTGTTTGAATCCTCTGTTGAGGGCCTACGCAGGCTGTGTGCGAATACAACGCAATATGGGCTGTGCGAGCTCTCGAGAGGTCGGTCTCGGGGACGAGTGCGCGAGCCCGTGCCCGCGCGAGCCATCGAGGAAGGACGTCCTCCGCAGCAAGCTCGACCAGCCGTTCGTGCCCGGCCGGCGCTTCCACGCGCCGCACGGCGAGATGTCGCAGGCAAGCGCGACCGCCCTCGGCTCTTGGCCTTCAGCTGCCCAGGCCCGAAAATCGCCACTCGTTCACGAACCTCCACGAATTTCGCATATTATCGTCGTGCTACGCGAGAATTCAAGCCTAATCTCCGCGAAAACGCCTCCACGACGAGCGGAGCGCAAGGGGCATCGGAGGTTACCCCTTTCCAACAGCGCCCCGCACACGGCAGCGCCTGCAGTTCTCGCCATTTCAAGCGCCGCCCTGACCTTTCACGGTCCCAAACGCCCAGTTTCTCCCACTTCTAGCCCCCAGAAACCAGGGTCCATCCGTCCCCCGGGCCATGCCTGTTCAGCACTGCATGATGACGAACCTCGCGCGGCGGCGCGTCGCTCACCCCGGCGCGCCCCGGCCACGCGCACGCAGGTCTACGAAGCAGCGCGGCGGTCCAGGACCTCGCTGAACGAACCGAGGACGTCCCTCGGGGTCGCTCCGTCCCCCCGCAGCATAAGCCGTACGCACCCTCCCCCCGCCGCGCACCGCACGGGTCTCTTTCGCACGTCATCTCACGCGCAGGAACCATACGTGCACACCAAAAGCGCGCGGCATCCACTCACGCCGCGAAATGCGGCTTGCGCTGCGCGTGTGCGGCCCTGGCGTGCGAAGCGTGCATGCGTGGTCGCGCGCGCGTGGCTCCCTGCACAGCTCCCTGCACGCCACCGTGTGCGCCGCAGAGGGGCGCGCGCGGGCGGTGAGGGTCACGGTGCTGGACACGGCCGACACGCAGGGGCTGGACAGTGGTTCGAACAAGTTCCTCCGCAGCCCGCTGCCGCGGCAGAAGTTGCGCTTGTCCCGCCACGCCGAGGCGAGTTGTCCCGCCACCGACACCGTCCTCACGCGGGCCGGTCGCCTTTGCCACATCCAAGTCGACTTTATGACATTTACATTCATATACACTCATGACAACATTATGAGTGGCGCTCGCCGGCCCTGCGCACGCGTCGGCCTCGTGAAGGCCGCGGCACATCTGAACTTTATCCCGCCCCGCCTGCGGCCCCACCGCGCCCACCACGCGCCCGCCGCCGCCCTCGCGCTCAACGCAGGACCGGAGGCACTCGCTGTCCAAGGCGCCGAACAAGACGGCCTCGAACGCCTCGGCCCACCTGCGGCACGCGCCCTCGCCACGGTCGTTCGTCGACGCCCCCCTGCATCCCCGCACGTCGTCGCGCCGCACACACTCCCTGCACATTGAGCGCGTGATGCACGTCAGGCGGCAGTTCGCAGGTCCGCACAGCCGCACCGCGGCGCCCGCGCACCCCTTCGCCGCGCCGCACGCGCCCCCGGCCGCGCCGGCCACACCACATGTGTCTCTCAGACTCGTATTCGATTTATCTCTATGAATGAATTAATTCCAAGGAAGTGATTGGAACTGGAGGGTTTCGTGTGCGTGCAGCGTCGTTCTCGGAGCAGAAGGCCGCCGCAGTGCGCCTCAAGGCACACCAGAGATCCGCCTTCGCGAGCCCGGACGCGGTGCTGCGCGACACCGACGCCGAGGCGCGCGGCACGCCGGCCGACGCGCACGTGGCGCGGCAGGAGGAGTTCACGGCCGGCGGCGCGTACTGGGCCGACCGGATGCTCGAACATGGCCGGAAGATGCGGAACATCTGCTTCTGAGGCGCTCCGAGCGCACAGTGCGTGCGTGGTCCCGCACCGAACAGTTTTGCTCGCACGCCCGCGCCGCGTCACGGGACGTTCTGTCGCCGTTGAAGCGGCGAGGGGCCGCAGAGCCGTGCCCCGTCCCTCCCCTCGCTTCGAGGGTCCGTGCGCGTCCTTGCACGTCCAGTCCAGGATGAAACGACCACCAAGAACTATCTATCTATATCTATCTAGCTCACGAACACGTGATGGGCGAACGATCGCCGCTGTGGCGCTCCTCAGCCCCCGGCGACAGCCTCGTGGACCTGTAGCGATCCGACGCGGGCTCGAACGGCGCGTCGGCGGCCCACGTGGCGGACAATGGCCACGGGGCGTCGCTTTTTGGACCGAGAACAATACCCCCCCCTCCAACCCCTCCCATCGCGACACCCGCGAGCATGCCCCCCTCGTCCTGCGTGGACGGTCCGACACAGAGTCGGAGACACCGCTCGTTCCCCCCGACGCGCTGTGCTGACTGACCAGGGACGGACTGACTCAGCACGGATGCGTCGCGTTGACACCCCCCGCCCCGCACGTCCGGCCCCCGGCCCTGAGCCGAAACCCGATCGCACGTGGAAATGCGCTGCCCGACCCGGAGAGCCCCCGTAGAGACCCCCATAACGTAATCACACCCCCACCCCTCGTGTACGCACGCCACACGGGCCCTGTTGGACGTCGGCGCAGTCGATGGATGGCGGCGCACAGGTCATCAATGCGCCCAGTCGCGCGCACGGTCACGGGTCATCGAGCGTGGCCGCAGCAACACCCCCCGACGCTTTACTCGGACCCCCCTCTCCGTTTTTGCTCACAGACTCGTGCCCGTCCTCTCATCCGCCACCCTCATCCTGCTACTCCGACCTTGTGTGTGTGAAGCTCGCCCTGGGCGGCCCGCCGACGTTGTCGACATGGTCCTGCTGTCCGTTGGTGCGGCATGACTGACGCTCCGACACGCCTGGTCATACGCGGCGGCCGACTCACGGCTGCTCCGTCTAGCTATGCACGCGTTCGGTGCGAGGACGGTCGCTCGATGCCCTGGGCGTCCGTAGCGAGCGCCCGCTTCCTGCCCAGAACAAACCGCGCATGCAGCTACCTCCATCTTACCTCGATGATCAATCGGGCTTCGTGAGACTCGGACGCTCAGCCACGTTCATATCTTTGTGCGGTCGGCCGGGGCCTCGTCAGCACGCGGTGTGAGCGTCTTCATCCTCTGTTACAAATCAAACACTATTTCAGACCGTGCCGCAACATCCGACTTCTGGTGCCACCGGTGCCGTAGCTGGACTCGGCTACGGCACGCGCGACGCACCATGATGCTGAGCAGTGCAATGTAAGGGTCTGTGGCTGCACTGAGTCACTGCTGCCAACCACAGCTGCGAGGAAGATCGCTCGTCTCAATCAGCAGGATCATCGTCGTCCTCCGAAACAGAAACAGAAACAGTCCGAACGCCGCGGCGCGTCCACCTTCTTCCTGACGTCGTCCACCGACTGCAGCACCGCCGCCACCTTGCTGTGCTCCGGCCCGTACACCTGCTCCTGTATCCGCAGCGCGCGCTCATACAGCCGCATCGCGTCGTCCAGATGGCCCTGCTCCAGTTTGACGTCGCCAATGTCGACCAGCGTCACCGCCACCGCACTGTGCTCCGGCCCGTACACCTGCTCCCGTATCCGCAGCGCGCGCTCAAACAGCTCCATCGCCTTGTCCAGGTCATCCTGCTTCCGCATGACACCCATGTCAGCCAGCGTCGTTGCAACCTCACTGTGCTCCGGCCCGTACTTTGTATACCGTATTCGCAGCGCGCGCTCGTACAGCCGCATCGCGTCGTCCAGCTTGCCCTGGTCCCGCATGACATTGGCCATGTTATTCAACGTCGTCGCCACATCTTTGCTTTCGGGCCCGCACTTCTCCTTGTATATTTGCAGCGCGCGCTCATACAGCTGCATCGCGTCGTCCAGCTTGTCCTGGTCCCGCATGACGTCGCCCATGCACAGCAGCGTCGTCGCCTCATCTTCGCTCTCGAGCTTGCCCACCTGCTCCAGTATCCGCAGCGCGCGCTCGTACAGCCGCATCGCGTCGTCCAGCTTGTCCTGCTCCCGCACGACTCGGCCCGTGGACACCAACGTCATCGCCACCTCACTGTGCTCCGCCTCGTGCACCTTCTGGTCAATCCGCTGCGCACGTTTAAACAGCCGCATCGCCTCGTCCAGCTTGTCCTGCTTCCGCTTGACGATGCCCATGCACACCAGTGTATCCGCCACCGCACTGTGCTCCGGCCCGTGCTTGATCTTCTCGATCAGCAGCAAGCGCTCGTACACCCGCATCGCGTCGTCCAGCTTGTCCTGCTCCTCCATGACTTTCCCCATACGATCCAGCGTCGTCGCCACCTCTTTGCTCTCGGGCCCGCACTTCTCCTCGTATATCCGCAGGGCGCGCTTATACAGCCGCATCGCGGCGTCCGGCTTGTTCTGGTCCCGCATGACACTGCCCATGCACACCAGCGTCGCCGCCACCTCACTGTGCTCCGGCCCGTACACCCGCTGCTCGATGCCAAGCATCCGCTTGTACAGCCGCATCGCGTCGTCCAGCTTGTCCTGCCCCCGCATGACTTTCCCGATTCGATGCAGGGTCCCTGAAACCTCAGTGTGCTCGGTCCCGCGCGCCTGCTCGACAATGCGCAGCGCGCGCTCGTACAGCCGCATCGCGTCGTCCAGCTTGCCCTGCTTCCGCACGACACAGCCTATCCTAGCGATCGTGCCCGCCACCGCACTGTGCTCCGGCCCGTACGCCTTCTCCTCGATCCGCAGCGCGTGCTCGTACAGCTCCATCGCGTCGTCCAGCTTGCCCTGGTCCCGCATGACACCGCCCATGTTGACCAGCGTCATCGCCACCGCAGTGTGGTCCGGCCCGTACGCCTGCTTCTCGATCCCGAGCGCGCGCACGTACTGCTTCATCGCCTCGTCCAGCTTGTTGTGCTTCCGCATGACCTGGCCTATGTCAGCCAGGGCTGTTGCAACCGCGGTGTGCTCTGGCCCGTGCAGCTTCTCAAGCATCTCCAGCGCGCAGTCGTACAGCTCCATCCCCTCGACTGGCTTATCCTGATCATGCATGACACTGCCCATGCACACCAGCGTCGCCGCCACCTCACTGTGCTCAGTGCCGTGCACCTTCTCGAATATCCGCAGCGCGCGCTCGTACTGCTGCATCGCGTCGTCCAGCTTGTCCTTGGCGTGCATGACGCCGCCCATGCAAGCCAGGGTCTTTGCCATCTTGGTGTGCTCAGCGCCCGGAGACTCTGACCCGCACGCCTGCTCGAATACGTGCAAAGCGCGCTCGTACAGCCGCATCGCCTCGTCCAGCCTGTCCTGCTCCACCATGACGCCGCCCATGTCAGCCAGGGTCTCTGCAACGTCAGGATGCTCCGGCCCGAATGCCTTTTCCTGTATCCGCCGCGCGCTGTCAAACAGCTCCATGGCATCTTTGAACTGGTCCTGCCGCGCGACGGTGCCCCCCAGCGACTTCAAAAGAGGCGCCGCCTCAGGGCTATCGTCTCCATGTCTGCTCTGGCACCCTCGCAGAGCCCGTCGGTATAGCGTGGCAGCGTGCTCGAAGTCGTCATTTCGGCGAAGCAAGAAGCCCACGTGGCTCAGGAGAGAGTAATGGTCGTCGCTGCAGATCTCCGTAGCGCGGAGGATGTTGTGCCGTTCTCGCATGAAGATCATCCGCGCTTGTAGCTGCTCGCTGCCTTCTGTCCACTCCTTCAGGCGCCCCGCGATCTTCTCGATGTGGGCTATGAACCGCCTCTCGGCGCACTGGGCCACCTCCTCGCGGCCTGCGCTCCCGGCATGGGTCTGGGCCAGGCGCCGCGCCTCCTCATCCAGCTCCCACCTCCCGCTCTCCTGCCACAACTGGACGTAGCCCGCTTCGACCAGCTCACGCAGCAGCGCCGCAGCGTCCAGTCTGTCCAGCACGGCCGTGGCCGCCTCGATGTCAAAAGACCCCGTAAACACCCCAAGGCAGACCAGCACATCGCGCTGCTCGTCCGAGAGGCCGTCGTCTTCTGCAGTGCTGGCCCGCGAAGGAGCATGCCGCAGAGAGCGGAGCTTCGCCAGGTCCCGTTCGTCGAGAGGGTTGACGCTGATGTGTCTGACAGCCTTCTTGATGTCTTCCTCCAGGCCTTCGACGTCCAGCTCGGCCTGCGAGGTCGAAGCAGGATCTCTGCATTGTTCGAGCACGGCTCTACCCCAGTGCGGCAGTGCGCAAGACACAAGCCTCGTGTTGCAGGCATCATGCAAGTCTGTTCAGCACACAGACGTGCGCACCTCGCTCGTCACGAGGATCGACACCCCTTGCCTCTGTCCGAGCACCTGCAGGCTCTGCTCCTTGAACCTCTGAAGCAGCCCCGTCACCAACGGCCTCAGCCCCCGCCCCTCGGCCTTGCGCCGTGCCTGTTTCCACAGCTCCGACGTCACGCCCGTGATCACCAGCAGCACCGACCCCCTGTGGACGCGCGTCGTCGCCCTCAAGAAGTCCGTCATGTCGCGCGCCTGCTTCCAGTCCCGCCCCAGCTGCAGCCCCACCTCTTTCACGATGTCTTCTTCCGACCGCCACATCTCTTTCAAGTCGACGTGCAACAGCCCCGCCGGGTGGTCCTTCATCACCTCGCGCGCGATGATGTGCGCCAGCACGCGCCGCCCTGACCCAGGGGAGCCGTGCACGACCGCAACAGGCTTCTCGTCCAGCGCTTCAACAACGGTCTCCACGTCGTCCTCGCGCTGCTGCAACGGGTCGGGCAGCTCGGGAACCGTGCAGTACGTGACGCCGTTCCCGAGAATCTCCCGCACTCTGTCGGCGACGTTCTTGTTCGCCGGGAACACGCTGTCGACGAGGCTGGGGTTGACTTTGAAGGTCGCGATCGACACGTCATCGGCGTCCAGCTCTACAATGAGCTCCACGACCAGCTTCTTTGCATCCGTCTTGCTGTTGTCGTCGAGTGACGACGCAAGCTCATGCTCAAAGGACACGCCGCGCAGCCAGGCCGCAAGCTTTCGCACGAACGTTTTCGTATCAACCTGCACGCACGTTCACGCACGCTGTGGACGTGGTGAGATCTCGCCATGTCGGACGCGTCCAGATCAGACGGCGAGGCGAAGCACGGGCCGTGCCTCGCCCGCCCCTCGTGGCTGGCAATGGTCGCCGGCAGCGCAAGTCCAGCACAAGCCGCATTCAAGGCGCTGAAAAGCCTTGCATGCTTCAAAACTATCATGGCATCGACGCACCTCGTTGCCCTTGATCTCCTCGCTCCAGAACACCCGCAGCTCGTCGTTCCGGATGATGCTGTGCGTGCCTTTCCTGTGGAACTCCAGCAGCTGCTCCATCGACGCCGCCACCTCCCGCGCCAGCCCCGCCACGACCTGCCCCTGCGCGCCCATGCTCGCGACAACCTCGCCCAGCGCAGCGTCGCTGCTCAGCACCGCGCTCATGCCGCCGAGGTCCTCGATCTTTCTTCGTAGCGCGTTGTCCTCGTCGTTCCTGGACATACCCCCGGCCGACACCCTGCTCTGGATCTCCGCGACCATGTTCTTCATCGTCTGCACGTCCGCGCTCACGTCGTTCACCACGCCCGACACGTCGGCGACCACGTCGAATTGCAACAGGTCGACCTGACGCAGGATGTTGGTCGTGACCTCCTGCGAACATTGGCACGTACAACGCACACGTGGTTCGACGCACGGAGGGCCATACAGAGGGCGGCCAAGCCGGAGCCCGTCGCTGCCTGCCGTCGCGCAGCAGCAGCCCGTTGGCGATCTACGCCCGCAGCCCTCTTCCAGAGTTCTGGCCGTCAGTGGCCGACTGCGCAGACTCAGTCACGCGGCACTGGTGACAGCTCACGAGCGGGGGGAGGGGTGTTACCTGGAACTCCTCCTCTGTCCGTCTGCAGAAGTAGATCTTTACCTGCACAGGCACACACACACCGTCGAGCACGTCGCGCACGAGCGCGCTGGACCAAGCGCAACCTCCCACTACCGCGACAGTCAGGCGCGAAGCAGCCGCGTCGCGCTGGCAACGCACCAGGAACGACCGCTTGCTGAACTTGTTGACCAGCGCCACGCCCTCCTCGAGCGCGTCCTCGAGCTGCTGCACTTGTCGCGTCGTCGCTTCGTTCTCCCTGATCCTGCTCTTGTGCTTGTCCAGCGTCGCGGCAACAGTCCTGGAACGCACGCCGGCACAATCGAAGCCCGTCATTGCCGTCGGTGCCTCATACATTGACTAGCGTCGCTATCGCACGGGGCAGTGCGTGCACGGAGAGCGAACCCTCGCGCACGGGTACTCACCAGGCGATCTCCGCGAGCTCCAGGCAGCTCTCCTTCGCAGCATACACCCCCTGCACCCCTTCAACCAGCTTCGAACACGCCTTCACCACACACCCGAGCCACGGCGCCGAGTCCATCACGCTGCCCACGAAAGTCGCCACAGGGGTCACCAGCGACCCGATCTTCTCGAGGAACTCGCTCGCCTTGCTCGTCGCAGCGGCCACGTCGACGCTCGCCAGGTATGCACCATGATCAGTGAAGTGGTAATTGCGTCGTTCTTCTTCCACGTCCCCGGGGCGGGCGGGCCGCGATCCGGGAACGCTGCAAGCCTTGCCGTCCGCTGTCTGGGCGGCGAACGCCGCTTCCAGCACAACACCCCCCCTTGTGGCGGCGTCCCGCGGAACCGTGTCGGTGACATCCTCACCGCCAGGGCGCGCAGACGGCACGGGGTCGCAGCCAGTGGTTTCCGTCCTGGAGACCCCCCGGGCCAGCTCCCGCGGCGCCCGGGAGCGCGTCGCGCTGCTGGCCTTCGCTGCCGGTGGCGTGTGCGCGGGGCAAAACAGCTCCTCCAGCGCGGCGTAGAGAGCGAACTTGTGCGACCCGAGCTGGTCCTTGGGGTCCTTGATGCCGCTCGCGCTGCGGAACACGCGGAGACGTGATGCGTCCGCGGTGAGTCGGCGCATCGAGTCACGACGCACACGTGCACGTCTGTCGCGTCGGGCGCGGTCCCTCACCCGCCCGCCGCGCTGGCTTCGCGGTACAGGGCTTCGAGAGCCCTGCCCGTGAAGGCCGTCAAGAATTCCAGCACCTCTGACGGCATCCTGGTGTCCACAAGCCACGCCTGCACACGTACCAGGCACACACGGGTTCAGCGCGGCATGCGCATCGCTGCGCGCGCTGTAACCGCAAGGACTCGAGCATGCACTGTCACGCAAGGCCACGCGCCGGGCGGAACGAGCGTTAGGACCGCGCACGGCCTGCGAGCAAGCGCGATGTAGCAACCACACGCGCTCGGTGCGGGCGGTCAGCGCGGCACGCAAACGCGGTTCGGTCAGGATAGAATGGCGAAGAGTCAAAGAACGCGGACCCGGGTCTGCGAGGTCGATCCGTGCCGCGTACCTGCACCATCTGCCGGCTCCACTCCTGCACTGGGGTTGCTTCCCATGCGGGATTGTGCTGCGCAACGACGGCCACCCTGTCCGCAACGGGGTTGTCAGACACCGCTGATGCGTCGGCGGGGGAGAAAACGCAGCACCACATCGCGGCAAAGACGTGCGGGCGCTCGATCAGGCGTGTAGACCTCCACTACAGCAGCTACGTGGAGATTCCGGGGACACAAGACGCGCTGGAGCCTCCAATCGCCTCGTATGCGTGCCCGGAACCGACTGCTCGTGACGGCAGTGCTCGCACGCCACGAGCAGCGCCCCCGCTCGCCCGTCGCCGCGTGCTGTTGGTCGCCGACACAGCCAGAGGCGCCGCGATCAGCCCCTCGGGCTAGGCACCCGCCCTCGTTCGCGTGGGGCGCACGTGCTTCATGCGGGGCCTCGCCCCGGCCCGCCCGCCCAACGTGGCCGGCGACCGCGACTCCGCCCTGCTGACAGCGCCCCCTGTGTATGACTGTCCGACACCGCGACGCACCCGGCCGCCCCGCGCCTCCGTCGGCCAGCCGCGCGTACGTCCCTCCCCTCGCTTTGAGGGTCCGTGAGCGTCCTTGCCATCCAGTCCAGGATGAAACGACCACAAAGAACTATCTATCTATATCTGTCTAGTTCACGAACACGTGGTGGGCGAACGAACGCCGCTGTGGCGCTCCTCGACCCCCATAAACCTCCAGCGATCCAGCGTGGGCTCGGACAGCGCGTCGGCGGCCCACATGGCGAACAATGGCCACGGGCGCCGCGTTTTGGACCGAGAACGGCCACCCCCCTCCACCCCCTCCCATCGCGACACCCGCGAGCATGCCCCCCTCGTCCTGCGTGGACGGTCCGACACAGAGTCGGAGACACTCTCAGCTCGTCCCCCCTGACGCGCGCTGTGCTGACTGACCAGGGACAGACCGACTCAGTACGGCTGCGTCGCGTTAACATCCCCCGTCCCGCACGTCCGGCCCCCGGTCCGAGCCAACAGCCGACCGCACGTCACGCTGTGCCGCTTGCCCCAGAGAGACCCCTTGAGACCACCGTCACGTGGACACCCCTCGCCCGGGCCCCCCTCTTGTGTACGTGTGCCACACGGCTCCTGTTGGACGCCGGCGCAGGCGATGGATGGCGGCGCTCAAGCCCCCAAACGCGCGCAGTCGCGCGCACGGTCACGGTCATCGAGCGTGGTCGACATGGTCCTAGGACAGCAGGCCTGCTGTCCGTGCCGCATGACTGACGCTCCGACATGCTTGGTGCCGCATGCTAGCCGACTGATAGCTCTCCCGCCTCGGCCAACGACGTTCGTGCCTGAAGCGTTGATGCTCGCTTGACGCCCTGGGCGTTCGTAGCGATCACTGTCATCCCTGAACAAATGTGTGGCATGTGCCTCGTCGCGCACCGTGACGTCGATCGTCGTCCAGCCTTCTCAGGGCTCGGACGCACTCACGTGTCCGTGCTTGTGTGGCCTCCCTCGGCCCGATCGGAACAAGCGGTGCGCAGGTCTTGACCCTCTGCACAACACCCAGAAATAGAAACAACGGCACTATTTCGTCCCAACCAGCGCAAGTATTCTGCGGCACATCACGACATGCTGTCATGGTCTCCGACGGGGTTTGTTGGGCGCGGCCGGATATGTCGCGGTTCACATGGTTCTACATCCGCGTTCTGGTGGGAACGCCCGAGCATGGAGTACAATCCAAGTGTCTGTGTTCTGAACTGATTCACTGATAACAACAGAAAGCGCACAGCTCATCTACGATATCTGGCTCTTCCGAACGCGCTTGCCCATGCGTGTTCTGCCTGAGAATTTCCATCATCTCCACCACCTCGACAACCGCACTGTGCTCTGGCCCGTGCACCTTCTCCCTTATCCGCAGCGCGCGCTCGTACAGCCGCATCGCGTCGTCCGGCTTGTTCTGGTCCCGCATGACGTTGCCCATGCACACCAGCGTCACCGCCACCGCACTGTGCTCCGGCCCGTACACCTGCTCCCGTATCCGCAGCGCACACTCGTACAGCCGCATCGCGTCGTCCGGCTTGTTCTGGTCCCGCATGACGGTAGCCATGTTGTTCAGCGTCGTCGCCACCTCACTGTGCTCCGGCCCGTACACCTGCTCCTGTATCCGCAGCGCCTCGCACAACCGCATCGCGTCGTCCGGCTTGTTCTGCTTGTGCCTGACGACGCCCATGTTCACCAGCCTCACCGCCACCGCACTGTGCTCCGGCCCGTGCACCTGCTCCCGTATCCGCAGCGCGCGCTCGTACAGCCGCATCGCGTCGTCCAGCTTGTCCTGGTTGTACTTGACGCCGGCCATGTTGCTCAGCGTCGTCGCCACCGCACTGTGCTCCGGCCCGTGCACCTTCTCCTCAATCCGCAGCGCGCGCTCAAACAGCCGCATCGCGTCGTCCAGCTTTGTCTGGTCCCGCATGACGCCGCCATGTTGTTCAGCGTCGTCGCCACCGCACTGTGCTCCGGCCCGTACACCTGCTCCCGTATCCGCAGCGCGCGCTCGTACAGCCGCATCGCGTCGTCCGGCTTGTTCTGGTCCCGCATGACGGTAGCCATGTTGTTCAGCGTCGTCGCCACCGCACTGTGCTCCGGCCCGTACACCTTCTCCTCAATCCGCAGCGCGCGCTCGTACAGCCGCATCGCGTCGTCCGGCTTGTTCTGGTCCCGCATGACGGTAGCCATGTTGGGCAGCGTCGTCGCCACCTCACTGTGCTCCGGCCCGTACACCTGCTCCAGTACCCGCAGCGCGCGCTCGCACAGCCGCATCGCGTCGTCCAGCTTTGTCTGGTTGTACTTGACGCCGGCCATGTTGTTCAGCGTCACCGCCACCGCACTGTGCTCCGGCCCGTACACCTGCTCCTCGATCCGCGAGCGCGCTCGTACCAGCCGCATCGCGTCGTCCGGCTTGTCCTGGTTGTACTTGACGCCGGCCATGTTGCCCAGCGTTGCGCCACCGCACTGTGCTCCGGCCCGTGCACCTGCTCCAGTAGCCGCAGCGCGCGCTCAAACAGCCGCATCGCGTCGTCCGGCTTGTTCTGGTCCCGCATGACGCCGCCCATGTTCACCAGCGTCGTCGCCACGTCACTGTGCTCCGGCCCGTACACCTGCTCCTGTATCCGCAGCGCGCGCTCGTACAGCCGCATCGCGTCGTCCAGCTTTGTCTGGTTGTACTTGACGTTGCCCATGCTGCTCAGCGTCGTCGCCACCTCACTGTGCTCCGGCCCGTACACCTGCTCCTCGATCCCGAGCGCGCGCTCGTACAGCCGCATCGCGTCGTCCAGCTTGTCCTGCTCCCGCATGACGTTGCCCATGTTGCGCAGCGTCACCGCAACCTCACTGTGCTCCGGCCCGTACACCTGCTCCCGTATCCGCAGCGCGCGCTCGTGCAGCGCCATCGCGTCGTCCAGCTTGTTCTGGTCCTGCATGACGTTGCCCAACGCGTTCAGAATAGAAGCAGCTGCAGTGCTCTCGTCTCCATGGTTGCGCTCGCACCCTCGCAGGGCCCGCTGGTATAGTGCGACGGCGCCATTCATGTCGTCGTCGCGGCGAATCAAGAAGCCCACGTGGTCCAGCAAAGCGAAATCGTCGTCGCTGCAAACCTCCGTAGCGCGGAGAATGTTGTGCCGCTCCCGCATGAAGATCATCCGCGCTTGTAGCTGCTCGCTGCCTTCTGCCCATCGCTTCAGGCGCTCCGTCAGCTTCCCCACGTAGTCGACGAAGCGCCTCTCGGCGCGCCGGGCCAAGCTCGTGCGGTCGCCGCTGGCAAGGGTCTCGGCCATTCGGCGCCCTTCCTCGCCCAGCTCCCATCGCCCGCTCTCCCGCCACAGCTGCACGTAGCCCGCGTCGACCAGCTTGCGCAGGAGCGGCGCAGCGTCCAGCCTGTCCAGCACGGCCTTGGCCGCGTCCAGATCAAACGACCCTGGAAGCACCCCCAGACAAACGAGCGCCTCCCGCAGGTCGTCCGCGAGGCCGCCGTCATGAGCCATGCCACATGATGAGGGGGCACGCCGACGCGTTTGCGTGCGGAGCTTCGCCAGGCCCCGTTCGTCAAGAGGTTTGATGCTGATGTGTCTGACTGCCTTCTTGATGTCTTCCTCCAAGGCCGCGACGTCCAGCTCGGCCTGCGAGGTCGAGCCCAGGCACTTCGCGGTCGGCGGCCCAGGGAGCTGGGACGGTGCACACGCAACAGGACGGCAGTCTCGCACCAAAGGCACCACGCAAGTCTGTTCAAACACACAGACGTGCGCACCTCGCTCGTTACGACCAGAGACAGCCCCTGTCTCTGTCCGAGCACCTGCAGGCTCCCCTCCTTCAGCCTCTGGAGCAGCCCCGTCACCAACGGCCTCAGCCCCCGCCCCCCGCCTCGCCGCGCCTGCCTCCATAGCTCCGACGTCACGCCCGTGATCACCAGCAGCACCGAGCCCCTGTGGACGCGCGTCGTCGCCTCCAAAAAGTTTGTCATGTCGCGTGCGACCTTCCAGTCCCGCCCCAGCTGCAGCCCCACCTCTTTCACGATGTCTTCTTCCGACCGCCACGTCTCTTTCAAGTCGACGTGCAACAGCCCCGCCGGGTGGTCCTTCATCACCTCGCGCGCGATGATGTGCGCCAGCACGCGCCGCCCTGACCCAGGGGAGCCGTGCACGACCGCGACAGGCTTCTCGTCCAGCGCTTCAACGACGGTCTCCACGTCGTCCTCGCGCTGCTGCAACGGGTCGGGCAGCTCGGGAACCGTGCAGTACGTGATGCCGTTCCCGAGCATCTCCCGTAGCCTCGCGGCCACGGTCTTGTTCGCCGGGAACACGCTGTCGACGAGGCTGGGGTTGACTTTGAAGGTAGCGATCGACACGTCATCAACCACGTTCAGCTCCACGATCAGCTTGTCCGTGTTCGCGTCAACTTGCGTCGCCAGCTCCTGCTCGAAGGACACACCGCGCAGCCAAGCCGCCAGTTGCGTGACGAACGTCCTCGTGTCCACCTGCGCAGACGACGCACCCGCATGTTGTGGGCGATGTGAGGGGCCGGCTTCAAGCGAGCTCGGATCGGGCATGCAGGCAGCATACAAGACGTGCGCATCCCTGCACATCGCGCCGGCAGGGCGCGAAGTGCCAGGAGACAGACGCGTCGTTGCTTTGAAACACCAACTGACAGACAGAATCGGTAGCAATCTCGACGCACCTCGTTGCCCTTGATGTGCTCGCTCCAGAACACCCGCAGCTCGTCGTTCCTGATGATACTGTGCGTGCCCTTCCTGTGGAACTCCAGCAGCTGCTCCATTGACGCCGCCACCTCCCGCGTCAGCCCCGCCACCACCTGCCCCTGCGCGCCCATGCTGTTGATCACGTCGCCCAGCGCGTCGTCGCTGCTCAGCACCGCGCTCATGCCGCCGAGGTCGTCGATCTTCCTCCGCAGCGCCTCGTCCTCGTCGTTCCTGAACATACCCCCGGTCGACATCTTGCTTTCGATGGCCGCCACGACCTGCTTCACCTCCTGCACGCCCGAGCTTACGTCGTTGACCGCGTCCGACACGTCGACGATCACGTCGAACTGCATCAGGTCGACCTGACGCAGGATGTTCCTCGTGACCTCCTGCGAACATCCATTTGTAAACATATGTACAGGTGAGGGACGCGGATCGATCGAACCGCTGACCAGCATTGCACACCAGCATATTGCCTTAGTCTAGGCCCGCAATCATGTCCACAAGATCGCCGTCGGTGACTGTACATCACTACGCGGCACTTCTGGTGGCTGGCCCACTGCGCGATCGGCGTGACGTCTCACCTGGAACTCCTCATCCGTCCGCCTGCAGAAGTACAGCTTGACCTGCGCAGGCACACAGCTCCAGGCACGTCGCGTGAGGACTCGCCGGACCCGAACGCTGCTGCACTGCCCATCGCATCAGACAAGTGAAACGGTGACAACAGCCAGGCACGTCGCAGGGGCCGCGTACCAGGAACGACCGCTTGCTGAACTTCGTCACCAGCTCCACGCCCTCCTCCAGCGCGCCCTTCAGCTTGTCCACTTGCTGCGACGTCTTCGCGCCCTGCTTGATCTTGCTCTTGTGCTTGTCCAGGGTCGAGGCGACGGTGCTGCGACGCACGCGAACGCAGTCGAGACGCGTCAGCCGCGTCGGCGTCCGGCGCTTGAGTGAGCGTCGACGCAACCCACAGCGTGTGTGCGCTATTGTGATGCAAGCGCTTGGACTCACCGTGCGATCTCTGCGAGCTTCAGGCAGCTCCCCTTCGCAGCGTGCACCGCCTGCACCCCCGCTACTAGCTTCGCGCACACCTTCACCGCCGGTCCGAGCCACGGCGCCGACTCCATCACGCTTGTTACGAAACCCGCCACCGGGGCCGCGATCGACCCCACCTTCTCCAGGAAGTCCGCGCCCTTGCCCGTCGCAGCGACCAGCTCGGTCACGTCCCCGACGAAGTCCTTCGCGACCTCGAAGTTCTCTGCAAGTGACGACACACTCTCGGGGCTTGTGTGTGGATATTACGTCGTCATGCCCGCGGGGAGCGTGTGTGGCCATCGCGGAGCCCTGAGAAGGCTGGCATTGGCTATCGGACGACTGCCAAGTACCTGCCGCTTCCTCTGCAGCGACCCCCGCCGTGTCGAGCGTGCCCGCGACAGCTGCGGCGACACCGCCGGCAGACGCGGAGGGCACGGGTTCGCAGCGAGACGTCTCTGCCCCAGGAGAATGCCAGGCCCGCTCCGGTGGCACCTGGATGGGAGCTGCGGCGTTGGTCTTCGCTGCTGGCCCCGCAAGTGGCGCGCTCGCAGGGCCAAAGAGCTCCTCCATCGCATCGTACAGAGCGAACTTGTTGACCCCGATCTGGTCCTTGGTGTCCTTGATGCCGGCCGCGCTGCACGACACGTAGGGCGTCAAAGTCCGTCAAGCAGGTGTGTCGAGCTGCCTAGATGCACGCACATATCCGCCGGGTCGGGGGCGGGTCCTCACCCGCCAGCCGCGCTAGCTTCGCGGTGCAGGGCTTCAAGGGCTCTGCCCGTGAAGGGCTTCAAGAATTCCAGCACTTCGTGCGGCATATCGTTTGCCCTCAGCCACTCCTGCAAACGTGAGCGGCGCAAACGAGTTCAGCACTGGATGCGAATCGTTCATCCCACTGCCCGTGGTAGGACTGGACTCCATGCTGTCACGCGAGGCCAAGCGTCGGCCGAGGTGACTGCCAACTGCGCACGCACACTGGTGCGCTGGCATGCGGGCCTTGGTAAGATTCATGGGAGCGGCAGGGCTCGATACGGGGTTGCTGCGAGCGCAAAGACGCCCCTCCCCGCTCATCATGTATGAACACGACGAAACGGGGCGCAATGTCGCATGAGAGGTCAACGACCTCGCCGCGCGCACCTGCACCATCTGCCGGCTCCACTCCTGCACTGGGGTCGCTTTCCACGCGGGTTTCTGCTTCAGATCGACAGCGCTGCTCGTGATCGGCTGCTCAGACACCACTGTTCCAGGAGGATAGGCCGCATCGCACTCCATCGCGGCCAAGACGCACGGCCGCTCGCCAGGGCTTGTGTTGAAGAAACGTGAGAGATGCACCGCGAAATGACGCGCTGGAGCCTCCAATCGCCTCGTATGCGGGCCCAAAAGCTACTCCTCGTGACGGCGGTGCTCGCACGCCACGAGCAACGCCCCCGCTCGCCCGTTGCCGCGTCCTGTTGGCGCAACACAGCCAGAGGCGCCGCGATCAGGCTCTCGGGCTAGGCACCCGCCCTCGTTCGCGTGGGGTGCACGTGCTTCATGCGGGGCCTCGCCCCGGCCCGCCCGCCCAACGTGGCCCGCGACCGCGACTCCGCCCTGCTGTCAGCGCCGCGTGTGTCTGACAGTCCGACTGCGCGACGCACCCGGCCGCGCCACGCCTCCGTCGGCCAGCCGCGCGCACGCCCGGCACCAGACCCGCCGCTCGGCGCCCCGAACGTCCACAGCGAGCGCCCGTAGGCCCGCGCCGCAACGCCTTGCAACCCCCACCGCGCATCCCGGGCCACTGCGCGGCCCCCGCACGGCCGTCTCAGGCTCCGAGACCCCCCTCGCACACGACAGCGTCGCCGCGGCCGCGAACGGCACCGAAACGGCGCCGTCCGCGCTCGTCCAAGTGGTCCGCACCGCAGCCCGTCGTTGTTGCCTGCCAGCGATCGCGCCCGCACGCACCAGCGCACGTCGTTTCCGCTCCGAATCCTATCGGAAAGCGCGCACCGCTCGATTTTCATGCCCCACGCTGCCAGAGCGTCCGCGTACAGGCGCCCAGTCGGACGCAGTTGCGTCAGTGGTGGGCCTGTTGCTCACATTGGTTCGCCTTCGCGGTGTTTCGGGCGCAGGCGTGCGGTTCCGGCGCGATGGGCGCGACGGCCGGCATGGAGGCGATCCTCCAGGAGCGTATCGCGGCGCTGGAGGGCACCTTGAGGGAGTCGGAGCGAGAGAAGTCGGAGATGCAGGGAAAGCTCAGCAGTCTTGCTAGAGAGGCTAGCGACGCACGGCACGCTGCTGAGACGCGAGGGGAGGAGCTGCGGCGCGTCACGGCGCTGTACGCGTCCTGCAAGGACAGCCTCGGGGGCCGGCTGGAAGGCATGACTTCGGACAACGCCTGGCTCGAGCAGGCAAGTCTCCCAGCGCACCGGTAGCTGCTTAGTTGCCCTGGCCGCGGGCGAACCCGGGCCCGAGCGCACCGTCTGGGCGCTCTGACGTCGCTTTGCGGTCACGAGCGTGCAAGCGCGCGCGGTGTCGTGCACCGGGGGGTGCTGGATGTGGCGTGGGAGCGGGAATCGAGGTTTCCTGGCTGCGTGTGGGCCGTTTGCAGATGGTGGGGCGCATCCAGGAGGAGCTCAAGGTGGTCAAGACGTCCGAGGCGGCGACGTCGGAGCGCGAGGGCGCCCTGCGCGGCCTCCTCACGCGCGTCCAGGAGGAGCTGTCGTACGCAACTCGACAATTCTCGATTGAGCTTTCAGAACTCAAAGCAAGGTGCGCCCGAGGCCGCCCCAGCGGCCGCACGGCCCGCCACGCGCAGCACGCACGCCTCCCAGCACACCAAGCCGACACCCCAATCAAGGAACCCACGCAAACCAACAAATACCCAAACACGACTTCTTTTCCCCTCGCTCTCCCGTCCCCCGCGCGCCCGACGACCCACCGCCCCGCGCGGCCCCCGCAGGTTCGAGGGCGAGCGCCGCGTCCTCCAGGAGAGCATCGACGACTCCGCAGCGGCGCTCCGCAGCGCCCAGGCAGACGCTGCAGTCCTGCGCACCTCCGGCGAGCACCTCCAGGTCGAGGTCGCGACGCTGCGCGCCCAGAACAGGTACGACCCCACACGCACACCCACCCTCCGCCCCTCGCGCCCCTCCCTGCGCCCACGAGCCACCCACCACCCAACGACGACGCGTCGCGTGGTTCGTCCGTGGCTGCAGCGACCTCGGCGCGCACGTCGCGCGCCTCCTGGCCACGGTCGAGCAGGTGTCCAAGGAAGGCACCGAGGCGCAGGGCGGCATCCTCGCGGACCTCTCCGCCGCGAACGCGCGCGCGGCGGCCGCGGAACGGCTCGTCGTGCAGGTACGGCCCGCCGGCGCCGCGCCCTGCCGCTGCCAGCCCGCCACGAGCTGTGCCCGCCTCCACAGCGCGGCCGCGGCCCTCGGTCACGACCGAACCACCAAATCTGATCGTTTGTTCCATTCTGTTTTTGCGCATCGCGTTTCGCCGCATTCTGTCGTGTTGTGCTCGGTCTCTCCGCTCGAACCGCGCTGCGGTGCGTCTGTGGTGCTCGCAGCTGCGCGAGGAGCTCATCCAGGCGCGGGCGCGGCACGAGGGGGAGGTGTCTTCGCTGCATGAGTCGGGCGAGCAGCGGTGCGTGGCGGCGGAGCGCCGCGTGCTGGAGCTCGAGCACGCGCTCGAGCAGGCCACGCGCGCCGACGAAGTCAAGGTGCGCACCCGCCCCGCCTCGCCCGACGCGCTCAATGACCCCCCCTTTTGTATCACTCTGTGTCTGCAAAAGCCTTGTTATCGTGCGCGGCTGGCGGGCCTGTTGCGTGCAGCGCCTCGCCGACCGCCCGCGTCGCTGTCGCTCCTCGCTCACTCCGCTGAGACGTGCTGGCCGGCGCGGCGGGACGTATAATTGGCATTTGGCATCATTTGGCATTCGTGGTGTTGTTGTGGGGTGCAGAGGCTGCGGAGGGAGCTGGAGGCGGCGCAGCAGCGGGTGTCGACGGCGGTGGGGGACCTGAAGTCCGTGACGGTCGAGGCGTCGGAGATCAAGGCGTCCTTCGAGGAGGCGCTGGACGAGGTGCGACGACGACGACGACGACGACGACGACGCACCCGCGCCTGCGCATACGTGCGGGCTTGTTGCGAACCAGCCGTCGAGCCGGCGCGTGGACGTACACGCCTGTTCCGTTCCGCGTCGTATCGGAGATGCGTGCGCGGCGCAACAGGGTCGTGCGGCGTCGCACACGTGTGTGTCGTTCTCCTTATTTGTTCGCGCACAAACACGTGAAGAATGTTCTGGTTGTCCGCGGCGCGACGCAGATGCAACAGTCGTTCACGGCGTCCTCGCGCGAGCTCGAGACGGACGCCCGCGCGCTCTGCAAGGCCGCGCTCTCCGCCCTCATCGACGGCGCCGACGCGCTGTTTTCTACCCTGGGGGTGTCCGGGGGACTCCCCCAGGACGTGGTCGGCGCCGACAGCCCGCCCGCGCCGGGCGGCCGCAGCCCCGCGCACGCCGCGACGCTCGCGGCGCTCCGGCGCCTCGCCGCGTTCGCGCAGCACGTGGGCGCGCAGATGCACACCGCGCGCGACGCCGCCGGGGACCTGAGGGCGGCGCTGGACGCGTCGCGCGGCGAGGCGGCGCGCCTCAACGACGAGGTGCGTGGTGTGCGAGGTCGTACGCGTCCGTCCGTCTGGGCCGTTTGCGCGGCATGTTCTGTCCCCATGCATGCATCCATCCATCCATGCATGTGGGGCGGAGTGGGGCGGGAACGGCCATCCTTGCGCTTCCCGTCATCTGCTGCGCTGGTTCGAACCAATCAAGCAGCCACACGTCAGTAACAGTACATGTGTCCTCATCCCCATACAACATGGGGGGGTCCTCTCAATTCATGCATATCCCTGCTGTATGAACCCCTGCAGGGCCGCGAGCTCGCCGAGGCCAACGGGAAGCTCACGAGCGAGGCGGACGCGCAGCGCAAGCTCGCCGCGAGCCTCGAGGAGCAGCTCCGGAGCGTGCGCGCGACGCTGCGGGACACCGCTGCGCGCGCCGCCAAGGAGCAGGAAGGGAGGGAGTCCGCGGAGGCGGCGGCGGCGGCGGCGAAGGAGGCCGCGCACGCGCAGGGCGCGCAGGCGGCCACGCAGCGGCAGCGCGCGGAGAGCGAGGGTGCGCCCACGCGACAACCACGAGCATTATGGCGCAATAAGAAAAACAATAACACGCAGCCTAAAGAGCAGAGGAGGTCCTCAGTGTTGCTGGACAGCGCCTGCTGCCGAGCACAAACATCCCTCGCTCTCTCTCTCTCTCTCTCTTTCCGTCTGCTGACCCTCTGCCTCATCCTCCGTCGCTCCGCCAGCGACCAGCGACTTGACTGCTACAAATGCTCTTCCATGCTTCCTGACGGCAGCGCACAAGACCTGTCCGGCACAGGTGCGGCCCGCGCGAAGCTCGAGGCCAAGGTCGAGGGCCTCGACCGCCAGATCGAGCGCATGGCGGGCGAGGCGCGCGAGAGCGAGAAGCGCGTTGCGGCGCTGCAGCACTCCGAGGCGCTGCAGCGCGACAAGCTCGAGGAGAGCACCGCCGCGGCGGCGCGGCAGACCGCCGAGCTCGAGGTGCGCGGCGCTGCGACGCCCTCGTGAACGTCTCGTTCTTGATTATTGTTTTATTACTGTGCGTTTCTCGAACATGGTCGGTCTGGGCGACTTCGTTGGCTTGGCGACTTTGCTTGGTCAGTCGCGCTCAGGGTGGTGGTTCGTGCTGGGGTGTTCGAGGAAGCGCTCGTGCGTGTGTGTTGCGGTGCGCAGGCGGTGAGTAAGGATAAGGTGCAAGCGGAGTCAAGGGTGGGGGAGTTGAGTCAGGAGGTGGACTTCCTGCGGCGGGAGCGCGCGGCGCTCGAGAGCGACCGCGACGGCCTCGCCGCGGAGCTCCAGGCCACCAAGGCGCAGCTCGAGGGCATCAAGGTGCGCGCGTGCCTCCAACAACCACCACTCCATATCTCCCAACTCATCCAACAACCACGAACGCACACCCAGAGCTACCCCGATCGAACCCTCGCGCCAGCGCACACCTCCCCGACGCGCCCCACGCCCGCAGGTCGAAGTCGCCGCCCTCCACGACAGCGACCGCGCCAACGCTGCGGCGGTCGCGGAGCTCCGCGACACCGTCGCGTCGCTGGAGCGCTCGCTCGGCGAGGAGCGCAGCCGGAGCGGCGCGCTCGGCGTCGCGGCGCAGGCCGCGAAGGAGCACGGCGTGAAGCTCCAGGCGGAGCTGGCGGCGGCGCAGGAGCGCGTGCGCGAGCAGGGCGAGGGCCTGCGCGCCGCGGAGCAGGAGGCGCGGGAGGCGGAGAGGCGGATGCGGGACAAGTGCTGCGAGCTCGAGGCGGCGGTCGGGGAGGGCAACCGGCTCAAGTCGCAGGTGAGGAGGGGGGGGAGTCTAAAAAACGCGTCTGTTGCGTTGCTCGTTCCGGCCGCGATTCGCCGCCGTTTGCGGTCGCACGGCTGGCTTGTTTCGGAGTCCGGCTCGCGAGGCGCGGCCGGACCCCGGTTTCTGCAGCGCAGCCCCGTGTTGTTATGTCACGTGTTGTTGTTGTTGTTCGCGCGCTGCACCGCAGGTGTCGGTCCTGACGCAGGAGCGCGACGGACTCGCGGAGAGCGACCGCAAGCACAAGGCGGCCCTCGCGGACGTCACCGCGCAGCACGCGCGCCTGCAGCTGCAGCACGAGCACCTCGTGGAGGCCAAGGCGAGTGTCGACGCCCGACTGGCAAAACTCGAGGAGGCGGCGGTGGAGAAGGAGACCGCGCTGGCGACGGCAAAGGTGCGCAGGAAATGCTCGGCCTCGCGCCCGCCCTGAACGACACGAATCCACCCCGAATCGACTTGTATCACGATGGCAAACGAAACATATACAATCCCCAAGTGTCATTGCGTTCTTTCTTCGCTCCTTCTGGCTCGTTGCGCCCCCCGCTGCGCCCACGCCATCGCTGTTTCAAGCCACGTCCGTCCGCAGGAGCGCTGCCGGCACCTGACGTGCCAGCTCGAGAAGGTGGCACAGTCAGCCCTGCGCATGAGTCAGGTGGTCAAGGCGCACGTGGCCAACCCGCCGGGGAACCCCGCGCACCACCTCGCGACCTCCGTCATCGCCGCGTCCACCTGCCAGGACGTCGCCGTCGACGACCGCCTCCCCGACGTCGTCCACGACGCCAGCTGCCGCCTCGAGGGCCTCGCCCGCGAGTACGGCTCGCGGCTGCACGCGCTCCTCGAGCAGCACGCGCAGCTCGAGGCCACGCACGCGCAGACCAGCGAGGACCTCGACGCCGCGAAGGAGCGCGTCCGCGCCGGCGAGATCGCGCTGGCGGACGCAGCGTCGGCGCGGCGGGAGGTGGAGGGGGATCTGCGGCGGGCGCGGGACGAGGTGGCGGCGTGCAGGGGGGAGCTGGCGGCGTGCGCGGAGGCGCGGGAGCGGCTGCAGGGGCGGTTCGATGCGGCGCAGGTGCAGGCGGAGCGTCTGGCGTGCGACAACGCGCGGCTGGAGCATGCGGTGGCGGCGGGGGTGGAGGAGCGGGGGCGGCTGGTGCGGGCGGCGGAGGGGGCGGCAGTGGAGCGGGACGCGATGGCGAAGAAGGTCGGGGCGCTCGAGAGCGGCCTCGCGGCTGCGCGCGCGGAGGTGGCGGAGGTAGGTTGCTGTGCTGTGCCGTGCGGTTGCGTGTGGGGATCGGCGGGTGCAGAGATGGACGGCTGAAGGCGATAGGCCAGCTTGGCTGGACGCAGACTTCGGAGGACGCTGCCAGCACTGAAATATGGTTTGTTGTTTGTGTTTCTGCTCTTTGCGCGTGTTCGCTCACCGGCGGGCCTTTCCCGTCTGATTCGCGTACTGCAGAAAGCGGTGGCGCTGCGGGAGGCGGCGCGCGAGCGCGACGTGGCGCTCGAGCGCCTCAACGAGGCCCGGGAGGTCCTGAGTCAGGCCAAGTCCGACCTGACGCAGGCCAAGGAGCGCGAGGCGCGGTTGGCGGACCGGGTCCGCGCGCTCGAGGCGGCGGAGAAGGAGGCTGCCGCGGCGGTCGCGCAGGCGGCGCGCGGGGCGGCGCGGGCGGCGCAGCGGGCGCGGAGCGCTGCGGGCGACGTTGCGTGGGCCGAGGTCGAGGATGTGCGCGGCGACGGGGTCGTCGAGGGCGTGCGGGCGCTTGCGAAGATGGCGGAGGCGGCGTGCGGGGGCGCGGCGGCGGCGCTGGAGGCGCTGCGGCGGCGCGGGGAGGACCTGGAGGGGGAGGTGCGGGGGGTGTCGGGGGAGCTCGCGGAGGCGCGGACGGAGCTGGCGACGCTGCGGGAGCAGGTGCGGGCGAGGAACGAGCAGACCATGGACATCGAGTGTCGCGTGCTTCTGCAGACCTCGATTCCTGTTCGAGCGGGCAACACACACGGACAAGATCTTCGAGCGCATACATACACTCGCACACCGCGCTACTTCGCGCCGCGAACCGCGGACCTCCCGCCCGCCCCTCACGCGCAGGAGCGGCAGTCGAGGGAGTCGCACGCGAAGCTGAAAGAGAAGCTCAGGACTGCCAAGGGGCTGGTCGAGGAGTCCACGGCGCGCATCCGGGAGCTCGAGGACGGCGTCCGCGGCGAGCAGGGCGCGGCGGAGGTGCTCCGGCGCGAGCGGGAGGCCGTCGGGCGCGCTCTCGAGGGCACAGAAGAGGAGCTGCTGGTGACGCAGCGGCGGTGCGCGGAGCTCGAGCGCGAGGCGGCGAAGCACGCGGGGAAGCTCGAGGAGGTGCGTGCACGGGCGCGTGGGTCGCTGCGTGGCGTCAGCGCGCTCCTTGCTGCACACCATGTGCACCCTTTCGTCTGCAGCGTTTTGGTATCATGATTTTTGTATATATGAATGCACGGGCGCGTCGTGTCTTGACGTGGCACGGGCGAGAGGTGCCTCTGCGTGTGCGCGCGCCGGCGCGTCGACCGGCGGGTCGCGCCGCCCCGAACGACACACGCACACGCACGAGCGCTTGGAACGCGATGCGTGCAGGTCGCACAGGACCGTGCGCGCGTCGCGGCGGAGTTCGCGCAGCTGAAGCAGCACGCCGAGGACGTCGAGGTGCAGCTGCGGGACGCGCGCGGCGAGCTCGAGGAGCAAACGCGCGCCAACGTCACCCTCCGGCACACAGGTGAACACGCGCCAGACACAAAGATAGGCACTCGACATGTCGCCTGACATGCCGCGCACGGCGCGCCCACGTCGCACCTGCCTGATGCAAGCCAACCCGCATGCCGCTTCGACGCACCGCTGCTGCAGCCGGGCTGGGCGGTGGCGCGGCGTCGGCCGACGCAGGCCCAAGTCAGCCGGCGGGCCGTGCGGCGGGCGGGGGCGGCGCGGCGGCGCGTGCGCGGTACGGGGCGGACGCGGAGGCGGACGTGAGCGCGGCGGCGCGCGCGCAGAAGGAGCGGGCGCGCGCGGTGGCGTCGGCGTTCTCGGTGGCGCGGGAGGCGGCGCACAAGGTGGACGCGGCGCGGCGGCGGGAGAAGGCGGCGCTGAAGTACGCGCTGAAGGGCGCGCAGAGGACGCGCGAGTCCCTCACGTGAGGACTCGCAACCAATCGCCATTCCTTGTTCCTTTTTCTATCATCTTGCGCTGTTGTCGTTCTCCCGTAGAGTGGACCCGACCTCCGCGGGACGCTGAATTCGCGCCGAACGTTCGAAAATCGTGCGTCGTCGCCGCAGGTCGCGGGACCGGCTGCTGCGTCTGTTGCAGCAGGACCCCCCCGGGGACCCTGTCAGGGAGCCCCTGACCGCGCCCGACACCAACGCGCTCCTGCGCAAGGAGCTCACCGTCGCGCTGGAGCGCGAGCTGATGCAGAGCGTGCGCACACACCCCGCAGAACCTGGCGCGCCGTGGAACACGAGATACGAATCCTCGAGATATGAATTTCGGTTTGTTCTGTATTTGACGTGGCGCTTTCCGCCCCAGCGACGCAGGCGGACGACCGCACGGTGCGGAGGGCGCGGAAGGAGCTCGCGGAGATCCGCGCCGCCGCGGAGGCCTCCCTGAAGGGGCTGGCCGGGAAGTGACGCACCATGAGAAACAAACAGTTTCGGAACTTGCGTATGTCGCTTCGACGCGGAGGATCCTCGAAGGAGCGGCAAATTACGATCATGCATGACCACGCGAGAGAGAGAGCTCTTCGAACTCTGTGACGCGATCGGTGCGCGCTGGTCATTACTGTTCCAGACACACAGCAACGCAGACTCGTGCCACGAGTCAGGACTCTGGCCCCAGGCGGCAGGAGTGCCATGTGCCGTGTGAGCGTCCGAGACCGTCGGACTGACCGTCTGATGGTGGCAGGGCTCTCGAACGGTTCATAGAACGTGGTGCGTTTGTCATCTCCAGCGGCCTGGCTCTCTGCCCGAGGCATCGAGAAGACTCCGTCACAGCTGCCGAACCTGTCGCCACCATGATGGCGCAGGGTTGACATGACTTGACTGCCACCACCTAGTCGAATTATCTCTTCACGTCCAGCAGCCTCATGGCCCACGACGCCAAGTATGCGACACCCCCCACCTCCCAAGAGCCAACTCCCTCACACGCCCCTCCGCCCCCCCACCCCCTCAGCTCACCCCTCCGCGCCCCCCCCCGTCAGATAGGGCAGCACATTCGCCAGGAACCACTCTTTCTCGAACTGCAGGTGATCCCCCGGCGTGGTCAGCTCCACGAGGCGCCCCGCCTCGTCGAGCGCGCGCAGCCCGAGCCAGTCCTCGCGGTACATCCGCGTCTCCCGCAGCGGCACCACCGTGCCGTCCTCCTGCAGCTCCCCGAACAAGCTCGACTCCCGCGGGACCACCATGTGGTCAGCCGCGAATAGCACGAGGACGAGGGCCTCGAGCTGCGAGAGGCGCTCGGCGTACCTGCGGGTTGCGAGGGGCGGGGGGGGGACTGTGGGCGCGATGCGGGCTGGGCTCGGTGGTTGGATCGAAGGGGAAGTGTGGAAAACTACATATGAGGTGGTATTTGATTGTGGAAACTAGATATGAGGTGGTATTTGATTGGTTTGCGGTCGTGCTGGGGGTGCTGCGGGGTGGAGGGGAGGAGGGGGAGGCAAGCGTCGTGCGAGCTGGGTTTGGTGGTTGAATCGAGGAATTCGCGAGCGAAGTAGAGATATGAAAACCAGATTGTTCGGGGGTCGTGCTGGGGTGCTGCGAGGAGCCGAGGCTGGGGGGGCGGTCGGCGTTCCGCGAGCGATGCGCCTCGGGAGCGCGTCGACGTGCGGTGTCGGGCGCGGGGCGCGGGGCGTGTCGACACTGGCCAGCAGCGGTCGCGAGCGCAGGCACGTGGCGAACCCGGCCCCCGCGTGTCGATACGGTGGTGGGTGCGCTGCTGTCCCCGTCCGTGCAGGCGCCGTCGGGACAACGCCGACGCAGGACAGCAGGGCATCCACCACCGTATTGACACGCGGGTGTCGAGGTGCCCCACGTGCCTGCGCTCGGGGCCGTGGATCTGCGCTTGTGGCCGCGACACGCTCCGCGCCGCCCGCGTGACACACACCGCACGACTCGCTCACGCGGGCGGCGCCGTCCGCGAGGCGCCCGCAACACGGCATCGTGGTAGAACAGATAAGAAAAAGACCGAAAAGTTAAAAAGAGAGTAAATAAATAAAAGAGAGCAAGTAAATAAACAAATAGGAGACGGACGGGGCGGTCGCGGGCGGCCTGTACTCACTCGGCCTTCTTCTCCTCGCCCTCGTTGTTCACGTCCGGCAGGAAGGGGTTGTTCTTCAAATACACCCCCAGCTCCCCCGGGTCGCGGAAGTACTGCGCCTGCACGATGTGGTCGCGCACCCACGGCCAGTACGCCCCGCGGCGCAGCATCCCGCGCATCGCGCCGCACGCCGCGCTCTCGTCCTCGTCCGCGGGCGTCCCGCACCGCGGCGCCGACGCCACGCCCGCGTGCTGCCCGCCCAGCGACACGAGCCGGCGCATGCGCGGGTGCGGGCACCGCTGCGCGAGCGCGCGCAGGAACTGCGCGCCCTGCGAGAACCCGAGCGCGTAGAACCCCCCGGCGAGCTCCGGGACCCCCGCGAGCTGCTGGCACGCGGCGGCGACCTGCGCGTTCACGTTGCCGTAGAAGCCTGCCATGCGGTCCGCGGCCTCGGAGTCGCCGAGCTGGATCGAGTGGATGAACGGCCGCCCGGGGATCTGCTGCTGGAGCCAGGGGAGGAACTTCCCGAGGGACCTGCGCGGGGGCGAGGCGCGGCGCGGCGCGGGAGTTGGGGCTGGTGGTTTCCGGGCCGAGGTAGCGCGTTGCGCGCGTTTCGGTGTGAGAATTGTGAATAACGAGCTCGAAAGCGTCTTCGAGGCGCAGGTTACGGGGTTGCGGGCGCGCGTCGAGTGCGGGAGCGGGTGGGGAGCGCACTGGGGGTCGCAGCAGGAGTCGCCCATGCCGTGCCAGACGACCAGCGGCACGGCATCGCCTCCCTCCTGACCCACGAAGCTCGGGCCGAGCTGCGCCGGGGCGGCGTCGTCGTCGCTGAGCGACGCTTTCACGCGGTGGAAGGCGGTCTTGTGTGCCCGGGCCAAGTAGACGAGCAGGCCGGCGAGGAAGAGGAGCGCGAGCGCGAGGAAGATGAAGAGGTTCCGGAGGAACTTGGCTGCGCGGATCGTCGCGTCCGCGGGCCCCTCCCTGCGCCGCAAGCGCTGGACCTCCATCGCGCTCCTGCTTGCCACGCCCGCGCCCCGCACCCACGGACCCCCGGAGGCTGTCCCGCCGCTCCGCGATCAGGAACGAAGTAGGTCCCCCCTCCGCGGGGTCAGGCGCGCTGAAAAGGGCCCGTGGCGCGCTCTAGGCGGCTGAGCGGTTGGCCTGCAGCCCAAACGCGCGAAGATCTGGCGAAATCCAGTCTCTGTCGGACGGACAGCCGAGACGCGCGGCCTGCGAGTGCCGCTGCTGCCCCGCGCGCCGCGCAACGACGCCCCCGTCCGCGGCAGGCGCCCTCGCGGCCCGGAGGGGTGCAGAGGGGGGTCCGCGGCGGGCCCGGCCGCACGCGCGCGCGAGGCCGTCGTTGCGGCGCCCGCGCGGCGGCCCGCGCAACTGAGCGTCGCGCGCAGCGCCCTGACGGCTTCTTCGGCGCAGCACTGCGCGGGAATTCACCGTCCTTGGGCGCTGAGCAACGCCGGTGGCCGCGTGGGGCCTCCGCGAGGGCGGTGGCGGGTCGTTTCTGAGGTCGGGGCGCGGCTGGGACGCAGAGCAGGATGTCGGACGTGTTCGACGCGTACGAGAGGGAGTTTAGCGATGTTGTGGCGGGTGCGGGCCCGGTCCTAGTTGCACGCCACTCACACCGCGGCTTTCCTGACTCAGGGAGCCACGGCGCCGCTCGCGGCGTCGGCGCAGGCGACGAACGTGCGCGAGGAAGCTCTCCGCCCCTCCGCACCGCGCGTCGCGCCGCCATGCCGCGCCGCGGGCCCCAGAGCGCACCGGTCAAGGCCGTGCGCGCCACGCGGGCGCGCCTGGCGGCCGCGCACCTCGCGCGAGGCTCACCCCGCGACTGCGTTCCGGACCGTCCGCGCAGGCGTGGCGAAGAAGCGCGACGCGCTTGCGCAGCTCGTGGGCGACGCGCGCAGCGCCAGGCTGCGTGACGCGGAGAACGGCATCGCGGAGGCCGAGGACCTCCTCCGTCGCATGGAGCTCGAGGCCAGGAGCGTGCCGTCCGCGCAGAAGCAGGAGCTCTTCGCGAAGGTGCAGGACTTCCGGTGCGTGCCCCGCGCGCCGTGGCGCGGCGCTTTCCGGCGCTCCCACCGCCGCTCCCGCGCCCTACCACACTCGTTGCCTCACCAGCGCTCTCGCGAGCGCCGAAGCTCCGCGTATGAGCCCGGGCGCGAGCTCTGTAGCCCTCGTTGCGGGCCTCTGAACAGCTCCCGCGCGGGCTGCGGGCGCGTGCGCGCAGGTCGAGCCTCGCGCGGCTCCGCGCCGACGTGCGCAAGGCGTCGCAGGGCGTCGCGGGCGGCGACGCGGCGCGGGCGGAGCTGGGGCTCGCCGACGATTACTACTCCACGGCTGCGGGGCAGCGGGAACGCCTGCTGCAGACGACCGCGGTGATGAACCAGACGAGCGACCGGATCCGGCAGGGCCGGCAGCAGGTGCGGGCCGCGCAGCGCGTCCCGGCTGCGCACGCAGCGAGTGCGCGTGTGCATGATGGGGGGGTGTTGCGTGTCGGGGAGGGGGGGTGTTGTGTGTTTGGCTGCGGGGCGCGCTGCAAGGCGTCAGTGCGCGTCGGCGCGGGGCGGTGGGGCCGCGGGGCGCGATCGAGGGCTGTTAGTGCAAGAGCAGACCTGTTTCGGTATGTGTCGGTGCGCTGCAGCTGCTGGAGACGGAGGACCTCGGCACGGCGATCCTGCAGGACCTGCACCGGCAGCGCGGGACGATCCTGTCCACGCGCGACGCCCTCGGGTCCGTGGACGACTCCATCTCCCGCTCCCGCAAGATCCTCCAGTCGGTGAGTCATCGGGAGTTGGAAATCGTCGATTGGCGAAATCATCGATTCATGAATCACGCACCGAGACGGAAGATCGATCTCACCTGCGCGCCACGGCACCCTGTTTGACGCGCTCGCACGGCACGGCACGGCACCGGCGCCCAACCGCTCGACATTGCATCATCGTCGTTGCCCGCGGTGTGTGTTTGACCGTTCTCCGAGTGCCTGTGCGGCGCAGATGGGCAAGCGCATCATCGCGAACAAGCTGATCTTCTACGGCATCATCGGCGGCCTGGCGGGCGCCATCCTGCTCATCGTCTACTACCGCATCCTCAACTGAGCCCGCAACCACCCATCTATAATTATCAAAGAACGAACTCTCAGTACCTCATATCGCTACTACGTGTCTGCCGAACGAACATGTGAGTCTGCGGAACGTGGCGCCGGAACGGGCGTGCGACGATAGCCCGCCTTCTTCATAACGGGCCATTATGATACCAGGACGGACGTTAGCTACCCCCGCTCGCAGTCGCATCGTGCACGTGCGTGTCTTCTGGCACGTGGGTTCAGCCTCAGGCGCCCTCCCAGCGACGAGTGACTTGCGGGCCAGCGAACGCCAGCGCGCAACGATCTCGCCGCCCCGCAGAGACCTCGCGCTCCGCCCGTTCCGGGCTCACATGGCGCCGCCGGCCACCGCACGGCGGGACAGCTCGGCGCGTGCGCACGGCTCGCAACCCTCCCGAGGCACCTACTCCGGCCACTGTGCTACCGCTGTCAGGGGGGGGGTTTGACAGTGGCTTGGCTGCGGCCAGGCTGCGAACACAGCGAGTCACGCGCCGTGCGAGTCCGTCCTGCCCAGGCCGCCGTCTCTCTACGCACGTACGTCATTCTTCGATCCAAGCATGTGTTGCTGCAGTCGTGGTGTCGCTGTCGTGGTCCCTCCCGCCTGCGCCCCGGATCCCTCGCTCGAGAACGAAGCAGCAAAACGAAGCAGGAACTACCATTTCTCTTCTCGCGCGACGCGCCAGGAACCAGACGCGCTCTTCTTGTGTCTTCGAACCGCGCCCGGAATCGCTCCAACCCCACACTGTATTCTTGCGCACCCGCCTGCCGCGCCTCCCCGTCGCCGCGCCGGGCCCCCCTCTGGTGCCGCGTGGTCCGGGTGTCGCGCCGTGAGTCCACGTCCTGGGCCTGTTGCGGGGGAGTATTGATATCGGGGGGTGTTGACGTCACTGACGCGCTGAGCGTCCTGGGTCCGACTGCACGTGTCAGGAACGAGAAAGCCGCGCCGCGGTGCCGCTCCTCGCTTGGACGCCGCCCTCGACCGCGGCCGTCGGCCGCCTCCGGCCTCGTCCAGCCGTCGTGCGTTCGCACCACGCTGTGTCGACGACGACGGCGCCACGGGTCAAGGCAGGGCGAGCGGGAGCGACACTGTGCAGGCAAAAATGAGGCGCATGCGAGAGAGGAGAGAGCATCTGTCAGGTGCGTGCGGTATCGGTACTGCGTCGGTCGGTTGGCTGTACCGTCCGGCGCCGATCTGCGTCGTCGCGGCAGCATTCGTGTTGCCGGGGTGGAGCATCAGCGTCAGAGGTCGCCGCCGCGCTGCTTCCCTGCTGCCAGGCACGCCAGGCGCCGCGCCCGCGCGCGTCCGGGAAGCACGGCGCCCGTGCGTCAGTGCCGCCTCCACCTGTGTCGGGTCTTCACTCCCCCCCTCAGAGCTGCTTCAAGAAGTTCTCGACCGACATGTTCGCGTCTCCGTGCGCCACCGCGTTCCTCTCCGGCAGCCGCAGCTTCCCCACCGACTTCCGGCAGTCCACCACGACTCCCCCCCCCTCACCCCCCGCCACCACCTCCGCCCCGTGGTCCCGCAGCCACTCCTCCGCCGCCCCCTCCGCACCGCCCTCCTCGTCCTCCTCCTCCCCGTCAAACCCCAGCATCCCCACCATCGCCGCCACCGCCAACGTCGGCCGGTACGCCTTCACCGCCACCCGCGCCGCGTCGAGCCGCAAATGGTTGATCCGCGAGCCAATGAGGTCGCCCGAGCAGTGCGGCGCGTCGCCCCACAGCCGGAACAGCTCCCGGTAGCTCCCCGCCGCCAGCGCCGCCCGCACCCGCAGCGCGTGCGCCACCGCGCCGTCCCCGTGCATGCCGCGGGCGTACGTCTCGCGGAGGGTCCGGAGGAGCTCGTAGGGCCGGTCGCGCTGGAAGAGCGCCTGGTAGAGGATGCGGTACGCCAGGAACTCGGCCTGCGACCCGGACACCCCCTCCCGGTATAACAACGCGAGCTGACTCTGGCACGCGTTGAACTCCCCGGTGTCGCCGTAGGAGAGCGCGGCGCGCGCGTGGGCCTCGTAGATGCGCACGGTGAGCTCCGTGCGCACGCCCTGCACCGCGCAGTCCTGCCGCATGGCCTTGAGCTGGTCGCACGCGTACCAGTAGTCCGTCTGACCGGAGTCAAGGAGGCCCTGCAGGCGCGCGAGGGCGCGCTCGAGGACCGCGGCGGGGCGCACGGTGTCCGCCGGGGGCGGGCCGTGCAGCCTGCGGGGGTGGGGGGGCGCGGGGGGGAGTTGGAGGTCGATTGCGAGGGGTGTAAAAGGAGCGACGTGGAGCGCGGAATCGTTGCTGCGCCGCCCGGCGGCGGCGCTTGCGCGCGTGTGTCCGTGCCGCATAGTGAGTACCGTATCGTGTTGCATGGCCGAACCAAGGAAAATGAAGGAAACATAAACCATTTAATAAATAGGGATTCGTGTGTCGCGTGGCCGTGCGGGACTGCACGGGCGGCACCGCCAGAGCGTGCGCGCGGGGCCCGGCGAGGCCCTGCGTGGCCGCGGGGGGGCTCTCGTGCCAGTCGGACCTGTGGTAGGACTTCTCGAGCTCCTGACAGGTGCCGACCACGGTCGACGGGACCTCGTCCTCCCACTCCCCCCCGCCCCAGTCCGGCGCGGCGTCCTCCGTCACGCGCGCACGCTTCCGGTCCCCGCTCGCAAACCGCGCCGACCGCCGCTGCGACAACAACCACCACCGCGAACGCACAGCACCGTCAAACCCCCGCACCACGCAACACCCCTCCAACCCTCCCACGCCACGCCGTGCCCTCCCACGGTCGAATCCGCACATCACGCACGCGCTCGCGCGCTGCACGCGAGCCCGGAATGCACCGGGCGCCGCACACCCCAGCGTGGTCGTCAACACCCCCCACGGGGGAGTCATGCATTGTGTGGGGGTGTTCCTCACCTCGAGCGCGGCCCGCGCGCGCGGCGACAGCGAGCCTCCGTCCGGGCTGTCCGCGCCCCCCGCGTCGTAGTCGAACTTCCGCCCGCGCTTCCTCCCCCGGGCCTTCTTGCCCCCGCCAAAAGACCCCGGCAACTCCCCCCCCGCGAAGCCCCCCGCCGCGCCGCGCGGGGACTCCGCGTCCGGGCGCGCGCCCCACCGGCTGCGCCCTGCGCGCCACAGCCCGCGAGCGCCTCTCTCACCCCCCAAACAACAACAACAACAACTCATGATCAAACAAGCAAACATCAAACATCGAATATCTTTCAACCATGACAGACAGCGCGCCGGCCAGGGCGCCCCGCACCTTTCGCGGCCGCCGGCCGCACGCCCGTCACCGCCGGCACCGGCTGCTGCGCCCAGTCGATCCGCCACAGGTCCCCGCGCGCGTTGGCGCGCTCCACCATCGCGCGCAGCGCCGCCTTCATCTCGCTCGTCTGCTCCGGCGTCCGGCACGCCAGCAGCGCGCGCTCGACCCACGGCTTCAGCGACGGCGGCTGCGACTGCGCCGGCGCCGGCGCCGGCGTCGGTGCTGCGGTGCTGCCCACCGCAATGTAGGCGGGCTGCTGCTCTTGCTGCTGCGCGGCGGCCTTGGCGGCGTTCGCGGACGCGACGGCCGCCTTGGACATCTGCGGGCGGATCACGACGCCGCCGCCGCTCGGCCGCGCCTGTGGTTGCTGTGCCTGTTGTTGTTGGGAGGCGTGATTGTGGCCCGTGGACCACGCATAGGCGTTTGGTTGCTGCGCCGGGGCGGCGGCAGCGGGAGCGGGCGTGCGGGGGTCGCGCGAGGCCGGCGCGGGGCCGTGCGGCGGCGGCCGCTGGTGCTGTTGCGCGCCGCCCCACTGCTGCGGGACGGCGAGCGGTGGGCGGCCGTACGCGGCGCCGTACGGCGCGCCCGCTGCGGCGCGTGGCGGGGCGTTCTGCGGCGCGTATCCCGCGTAATGCGACTGGGCTTGCGCGTACGGCGATGCATGAAAAGCATGGGCTGCGGCAGCCTGTTGTTGCACGTGCTGCTGTTGTTGTTGCTGCTGCTGTTGCTGCGCCCAGGGCGTGTAAACGTAGTAGTACCAGTCGTAGTACTCTTTCGAGTTCGTGTCCATCCCGGGCGGGACGCCAGGTGCCGCGGCGGCGCTGGCGGGGGCGTTCGCGGCCGCCGCGGGCTGCGCACCGGCCGCGGTGGGCTGCGGCGCGGACATCGCGTCGCCACGCGGCCTGAGGCGCCGCTGGCGGGGCCGGGGTCGCCTGCAACGCGTCGCCGCGCGAGGGTGGGGGCGCTGTGTGTTGGCTCCCCAGACGCGCGGCGGGGGCGAGGCGCGCGCGCAACGGCCAGGGACGGACGCCAGCGTATGTGGGAGTGCGTCGCCGGACCTGCGTGCGCCGTGCAGCCCCCGCCTCGTCCGGTTTCGCCGCCGTGGAAGTGCAAGCCCCAGATGGGTGCGCGTGCGGTCGTCCTCCAGCGGCGCTTCCGCGCCGGACGCGGCCTCCGCGGGCAGTGATATCACAGCTCCCGCCTCGCAGGAGCGCAGCCGTCGTGCGGGCCGCAGCGCCCCTCGGAGCCCACACACTGCTCCCCCGCACCCCTCACAGCGCGCCCGCGGACGTACTGACGCGCTATGCTGGCCTCTCGCGCTCCGAACGCAGCGCACTCGCGCCCCCAAACGCGCACGCGGCCTCTCGTAGCCGCGGCGCCGCACGCACCGGTCGGACCACGCAGCCAGAGACCTCCGCACCAAGCTCTGGCGCCGGCCCGCCGCGGCACGAGGCCTCCGCGCGCCCCCGCCGCCCTCCACACCGAGCCCCCGCCCCCGGCGTTCCTCCCGCACGACGTTCCCGCCGCGCCCGCCCTCTACACCGCCGCGCGACGCAACCCTTGCGAGAGAGGACACACAACCCGAGCGGCGCGCTCACGCGCCTTCGGAGCGCGAGGGCCCGCGGCCCGCGTCCCGCTAGCGATGGACTACCTCCCGAAGACGTCACCGAAGCGCGCGGCGCTCGCCTACGGCGGCGCGGCGGTGCTGGCGGTGCTGGTGTTTGTGGCAGAGCCCATCGTCCTGACGATCGCTGCGGCGATCCGGACGATACGCATGTGGCGGGAGAGCTACGTGCAGAAGCAGGTGCGCGCCGGACGCCGCCGGCGGCGCTCGACGCGGCCGCGCGACCGCGCCTGCCTGGCTCGCCAGTTCTCCGCCGCACGGCGCGGGCGAGGGCTGCGAGCGCGCGCGCCCCAGCTCCCGACGTCCGTGTTAGCGCACTCCACCTCACTCCGCCGCCCGATCCCCACGCGCGGCCCCGCACAGCACGCGACGGCCGCTGCGCATCGACCCTGCCCCGTCCGCGCACGCGCTCCCGCGGCCGCGCCCGACGTCCGACGCACGCGTCGCGGCGCCAGCCGCTCGCACACCCCCCACTCCGCCACTCCGCCACGCAGCCCGCACGCACGGCGCCCGCACGGCGCCCCGGACCGCCCAGCCCCTCCCAACTGCCACTCTCCTTTCCCCCACACGGCCCCGCAACGCGCTATCCCGCCCCCCCCCGCCCCCCCGCCGCCCCGCCTCGCAGCCAGCCGCGCCCCCCATACCCCGCACACCGCGTCCTCAACTCACGGCCCCTACGCGCGCATCCGGTCCGACGCAGCGGTACGAGCGCGGCGAGACGATCTACATGCGGCTCGGCGGGCCCGGCCCCGGCGACCTCATGATCACCCGCCTCGTCGACCACTTCTACCTTCGTGTGCTAAAGGACGCACGACTGGCCGAGTTCTTCAGCACCGTCGACATGCGGCGGCAGCGGATGCACCAGCGGCGGTTCATCACGCTCATCCTCGGCGGCCCGCGCTCGTACAAAGGTGCGCGGCGAGCGGCGGTGCCTGACGACGTTGTTGTGGGGGTGTTTTGCGCGCGGCCGAGGCGGGCGCTTCCGTGCGCCGCGACGGAACGGCCGCACGCGGGCCCGCGCGTCGTGCCACGCGCACTTCGCTGCGACGCGCGCGCGCCGACGCGTCAGACATGACGATGGTTGCTTTCTCACTCGAAATCACAAGTCTGCCAGTCCCTCCCAACCGCCATATCCTCCCACCCGCCCCCACCCTGCGCCGCGAGCACTCCCCGCCCACCCGCGCAACCCGCCCTCACACCCACCGCAACACACCCCCAACTCCCCCCCGCAGGCAAGGGGCTGTCCACCGCACACGCGTACATGCGCGACGAGCAGGGCCTGTGCGAGCGGCACTTCGAGTACATCATGGAGCACCTCCTCGCCGCGCTCACCAAGGACCTCGACTTCCAGAAAGACATGGTAGAAGAAATCATTGCAAAAGTCATGGTGTTGAAAAACCAGGTCCTCGGATACACCAACAACGGCATCGCGGAGTCGTGGCTCGCCGTCAAGCGCGGCGCCTGCGCCGCCTGGGCCGACGCCTGGACCGGCAGCGACGCGTAGCCGAGACTCCCCCCCTCTTCGCCGCCACCGGCGCAGTGCGCTGCAGCTGCGAGCCGCCGCGTCGCGGGCGCGCGGCCCGGGACGCTGCGGGCCGCCCGTGGACGCCGCAGGGTGCTCTTGAGCGGCGCGGCGCAGGATGCCGTGCTGGGCCGGCAGCTCGCACCCGCTCCGTGGTGTGCACATCGCTGCCGATCGCGGCCGCGGCACGGCGAAGGAGCGCCGTCGTACGCATATAACTCACCCACTAGGAATATACTGCCCTTGAGGGACACCCCCCGCAACGGCAGGTGTACTGGTACTGGACTTGATGTTCTCAGCAGCGCTGCTATTAGCTCGTGCATGACCGCCACGTGACACCACGCGGTACCGCTGTACTCCTCCGGCACCGGGCGCGCACTCTCAGATAGGAATTCTCGTCTGCCTGGGCGCGCTCGGCGCCTGTAAATGCGGCGTGCCACGCACCACCGCGCACCCCGCACCGCCCTGCTACCTTCCGCTCGTTTGCCGTCCCTCACCGCACTTCTCCGTGCGAACAGTTCCCCTTTACCCTCCCCCCGCCCTCCCCTCTCCAGCGAGGACTATTGCAGCAGTGGCGCGTGCTCATGGCGCAGCCCACCTGCCGCACAGTGTAACAAGAGACACCGCCGGTCATCCGCGCTCGCCTGCCGTGCCGGTCCGGGGTCGAACGCCCGCCCGCTGAACATCGCGTGGGTGCGCACCCACCATGGTGGCCTCGCACTGAGACACGTGTGAGACTCATCACGCAGAATACCCCGGAGCATCGAGATCTGCACGTTGACGTATTCACTCATGCGTGCGGCGCTCCGCCGCTGTCGTTGCTCCCGGCCGCCCCATCTGAATCTGGAAATTTCCTACGGCCCTCAAGCAAGCTCATATGTATATGTAAATGTATATGAGCGGTCGTTTGCTGCGCTGGAAGTGACTCACCCATCGCGGCGAGCTAGCGTCCCGCACAGGCCCGCGACGTGCTGGGCGGAGGAACTGCAGTTGCTTCGCGACCTAGCCCAGGGAGCGGGCTGTGCGATGGCTGCAACGGCACACACCCTGACCCAGGGGTCACGTGCGCAGCACACGCCAGCGCGGGCTGTTCGCCGCATGACACGTGTCGAGGTGGCGACGAGAGACACGCCCGATCCACGAGCGCCAAGAAAAAATCCTTCAAACCCGAACCCCCCCGGAATCCGGGGGGATCTCTTGCAACAACCCCCCCCCCACGCCAATTCCAATACCCAATCACCCGCACACCAGCGACCACTCCTCCGCGGCCGGGTCCAGCGCGAGCTTCACGTACAGCCACCGCGCCACGTCGTCCGCCATTCCGCACCGCTGATAGCACTGCACAATCTGGCCCGCGGCGTACGCCCACAGCCGGCCGGCGGGCATGTCGACTGCGAGGATCTCCTCCGCGCCGCCCGGCGCCAGGCCGGTCAGGCGCGCGGCCTCGACGCTCCCGAACAGCAGCCGCGCGGCCTCGTCCGCGCCGACCACGCCGCCGCGCCCAAACACGTCGACGTACGCGGCCGGCTCCTTGGCGTGCGGGCGGGCGACGCGGACGACCCAGCGGTCCGCGACGAGGACCTGCGCCGCGGCGCGCCGCCGCGCTTGGCTGCAGCGGCACCCGGAACGGCAGCGCGTGCGCGTCGGCGAGGGCAAACATACACAAGACAACATGCGCGAAAAACAACCATGAAATGATATGGTTTCGTGCCCGCCGGCCCCCAGCCACTCGTCGGTGCGTCGCCGCGCGACGCAGGGGCGGTCGGGCGTCTCAGCCGCGCGGGGGGGGGGTTGGGGGTCTTTCTGTCCCGCACCTGGCCTCTGTAGGGTCGACGCCCGGCGCGGGCTGCTCGAAGATGGCGCCCTGCATGAGCGAGCCCGTGAGCGGCACCGCGTGCAGCCCGCAGCGCCGCGCGACGAGCGCCGTCGCCACCGCGAGCGAGAACGGCATGCCCTTGCGGCTCGGCAGTGCCAGGTGGAGATGCAGGGGACTGAGGCGCTCGTACAGCCACTCGTGCGGCACGCAGCGCACGCCGCCGACCTCCCAGAGCGCGGCGACGACGTGCTCGGCCTCCACGTCGCCGGCGCCGGCCATGCGCTGGGACTCCGCCGCCATGTGGTCCAGTCGGGCGGGGAGGGCTGAGTCAGCCTCCATGACGCGCGCGGCGGCCTCGTGGCCCTCGGGGTCCATGCGGAAGACGGGGTCGTCGAGCGGGAGCTCCGTGGACCTGCGCGCGGCGCGGGGCAGTGGTGGGGGGGTCAATGAGAGCGGGGGGGGGGTTTGAGGTTGCGTGGTGGACGCGCTGGGGCAGGAACGCCGGGCGGCGCGCTGGAGGTGGGCGGGGCGCACGCGCCGTGTGCAGCTGGGGCCGTTGCGGCGCGCAACGCACAGCCAAGCACGACGGACGCACTTTCAAAGCTTTTTGACTAATTGATTGTTCGCGGGCAGGTCTAGGAGAGACAGCACGTGGCCAGAGGCATCGCGGAGCACGCGCCGCGCGCCCCGGCCTCCCGGTCCCTTCGGCGCGGGAACCAGTCGAGGATCCTCGAGTTCCAGCGCACCTGAACAAAGCAGAGAGCCCAGCCTCGACCTGCCGGCTCCACGCGTCCGCGGGCCCCGTCGGCGGCGCCCCCGGCTCGCTCGGCGCCACGGGCTTCGCGGCCTGCTCCTGCGCGTACGCCAGCTGCCCCAAAACCTGACTCAGCACATCGTCTTCCCCCGCCGCAGCCAGGAGGTCTCTCTGCTGCCCCCTGAGTCGGGCCAGCGCGGAGTCCGCGGCCTGGGAGTTGAACTTCACGTCCGTCTGGCGGAAAATGCGCCGCAGGGCGCCGATGGTGTCCAGGTCCGGGAGGAGCAGCGGCGTCCGATGCAGGGCGTCGCTTCGCAGCCCGGTGAGCGGCAGCCCGGAGCGACTGTACGCTTGCAGGGCGCGAAAGAGGGCGCGGTAGGCGCGCAGAATGCCCGCGGACTCCTTCGGCATGGTGTGCGAGCGGCCGGCCTCGCCCCCGAGCGCCGGTGCGCTGTTGGGGTGGCTTCTGGCTTCTGGGGCGGGCTTGTTGGGGGTTTGTGCGCAGGAACGTTGGGTTTCGTGGACTAGGACGGCGTCGCGTGGCGTTGCAGGGTGCGTGGCTAGGGGTGTGGGGCGTGGCTAGGCGCGGGGATGCACGGCGCCGCCGCGACGGAGGGGTGAAGGGCTGTGGCTGAGCGGTTCCTGCGCTGGAGGTGTGTTCCTGAGTTGGGAATTCCCGACTCCGGTGCAACCGGGGTTCCGGCGCGCTGCCGCGCGCGCCACGGCCCGCGCACGCGCCCCCGCGGCGACACATTCGCGCAGCCGACCCGCTGGCGTTCGGCGTTGGCGCAGCACAGCGCGTGGCACCGCGCACGCGCCGCAATGACGGCGGAAGCACCGTCCGCCAGCGCAGCGACGGGCGCACAGGCAGCGCTGCAGCACTTCTGGCTCCTCTCCGACGCGGACGTCTCCAAACGCATCAGCGCGGCCGAAGGCCTCATCGCGGACATCCTCGCGGACCAGGTGCGGCCGTTCCGGCGCCGAGCGCACCTGTGGCCGCCACGCGCAGACGCAGCGCCCGCAGGCGCTGCTCTCTGCGCGGGCGGCCCGCTCCGACGCCCGCCGCGACGATAGACCACTCAACGACGTCCCTCGATGCCCAAAGTCGCTTTTCGAAGCGCCAGGGCGCGCGTGCGGCCACGCCGTGGCCTCTGTGAGCTCCCGGGCCGGTCCTCGGGCTCTGCCAGCGCATATATCCCCGCTCCGCACCCGCCCCGCCATCCACAGAGTCGTTCGCTCCCCGTTCGCGGCCCGTGCCACCGCCGCGGCGCCGCACAGCCCCCGCAACCGCGCCCTCACCCCTCGCCGGCACGCTCACGGCGCCGCCCACCACCCCACACCGCACCCCGACGTCCCGCAGGACGCCCACGATGCCGGCGAGTCCTCCAAGCCCGCCCCGGCGCAGTCCGACCTGCCCGGCTGCAGCACCCTCGCAGCCTACTGCCTACGTCGCCTCGCGCGCGGGCTGCCGTCCAGCAACGGCGCGGCGCGCCAGGGCTTCGCGCTGGCCTTCTCGGGCGCGCTCGAGCGCCTCGCCGCGCGCGGCGCCGTCGCGCCCGACCACGCCGTCGCGCTGGTAGAAGCCACACTCCCCCCCTCCACCCTACGCGGCTCCGAGGGCCGCGACGCGCTCCTCGGCCGCCTCTTCGCCCTCGCCGCGCTCTCCCGCGCCGGCATCGCCACCGCGGACCCCGCGCGCGCCGCCGCCACCGCCGCCGCCCTCCTCCGCGTCGGCGCCGGCCGCAGCTTCCTCCTCGAGCCCGCTTGCGTCGCGGTGATCGACCTCATCAACGCGCTGCCGCCGGCGGACGCCCGCGCCGCGTGCGCGGCGTGCGAGCCGCTCAAGGAGCTCCTGTCGGGCCCGGCGGACGCGGCGAGCCCGGAGGCACTGCTCGTGGCGATCAGCTTGTGGGATGTGCTGGGGGGGGTGTCGTGCGCGCTGCTGCCGGAGGGGGCGGAGGGGGAGGGCGTGGCGGCGTACTTGGCGGCGCCGGGGACGGCGCCGCACCCGCGGGCGGCGGCGGCGGCGTTCTTCGCCCCCGCGCACCTGCGGAGCGTCGCGCCCGCGCTCGGGCGCACGACGGGGTGCGCGCCGCGGATGCACAGCGTGTGGCCGGTGCTCGTGTCGCTGCTGGTGCCCGGGTTCCGTCCGCGGCGCCTCGGCGCCGCCTCCGCGCCGCAGTCATCGACGGGGGGGGTGTTGGCCGCGGAGCTGCGTCAGTTCTGGTCCGCGGTCGTCGAGGGGGAGCTGATGCCGGCGCCGTCGCACGAGAAGAAGGCGCTCGGGCTGCAGCTGCTGCAGCTGCTGATGCCGCACGCCGGCACGGAGTGTGCGCCGACGTTGCTGTCGCACCAAGTGGTTCACTGCATTGTCACGAACTCGCAGCACCCGGACAGCCACCTGCACGCGGCGAGCAAGAAGGCGGTGGAGCGGCTGGCGCGCGTCGCGGAGCGGTCGGAGGACGCGAGCCTGCGCGCGGCGGTCGCCGTGGCGCTCAAGGTGAGTTGGGGCGCAAAAGCACTCCCGAATTCGTGTCTGGTGGTGCGCCGCGGGAGAAGGTGTCCGTTTCCGAGGTGGTGTCGCTGCGCGCCGGTCCTCGCTGCTGGCGCGCCCAGGGTCGTTGGATGACTGAATCTTCCCTTCCGAAGAAGGGAAACTATGACTGTGGATCCACCCAACAAACAAGAAACAAGACACCACGCTCCTCCCTCCCTCTCCGCGCGCAGTCGTACGGCCGCGTCGGCTTCGACCGCCTCACGAAGACCCAGACCTCCGAAGCCATCCTCGGCTCACTCGAGGATTCCCAACTCGCGTCCTACGTCACCTCCCTCGAGTCCAAGCTCGCCGACGCCATCGCGGCCCCCCGCCCCGACGCCGGCGACACCGACGCGCGCCCCGACCCCGCCGCCGGCTGCGCCTGGGCCGCCGAGCAGCTCCTCGGCGCGATTCGCACCCCGGGGGCCTCGCCCGCGGTCAAGTCGCACGCGCTGCGTGCGCTGGCGACCGCGGCCTTCCTTGCGGGCGGGAAGTCCGCGGACGCGCGGAGGAAGAAGGCGCGCGGCGCGGCCGCGGAGGCCGTGGCGCGCGTGCTGCGCGGCGGCGGGCACGCGGCGGCGGGGGACAGGGCGATGTGTGCAGCGCGGCTCATTGCGGGGCTGTCGGTGGCGCCGGGGGCGGGCGGGGCGGCGGCGGCGGAGGGCGGGGGCAAGCGGGCGGAGAAGAGGCGGAAGGCGGAGGCGCGGCGGGCGCAGGAGGCGGCGGCGGAGGCGTTCCGGGGGTCGCTGCGGGAGGTGCTGGCGTTTGTCGGCGAGGCGAGGGGGGTCGGGGGAGTGGAGCTGGCGGTGGCGGCGGAGGAGGGGGCGGAGGTCGGGGAGGTGGTGGGGGACGCGGTGGCGCGGCTGGCGACGGCGGCGGAGGAGTTCGAGGTGCGCGGATTCGACACCTGACGTGCGCTGCTGCTACATGTTGGTACTATGTGTGTTTTCTTATTGCTCCATATGCCCACGTGTTTCCGATTTTTTCCCGGCTTGACTTCGCCGTTCGAAGACACGGCGAGACAGCGTGCTTGCGTCCGGATGAGCCAACCACGGTTGCTCGGCAGATATTGTTGAAACAAGATCTGTTGCGCGTCGCAAACGTTTACCGCCCGACGCCCCGTCCACCGCGCAGGCGTTCGCGGAGACGCTCGCGTCGTCGCCGAGCCAGGACGACCACGACCTCGCCGCCGCCAGCACCGCGCTGTCAGACCTGGCAAGCCTTCTGCAGCTCTACCTCCTCGCCAGCCCGGAGCTAATAGACCCCTCCGTCTCCGAGGACATGCTCGGCATCGCCCGGGCCATCGCGGGCGGCGCCCGCGGCGCATCCCTCTCGAAGAAGCCCCCCGTCCAGAAGAAGCGGAAGTCGAAGAAGAAGGAGGGGGGGAGTGATGATGATGATGTCAGGGACGACGCAGACGAGGATGGCGGGGAGCCGGCGTGGATGGACGTGGTGGTCGACGTGAGCATGGACCTGCTGTCGCGGCCGACGGCGCCGCTGCCGTCGGCCCCGCTGCGGACGGCGGTGGGGGTGGTGTTCCGCCACGCCGGGGCGCACCTGACGCCAGTCGGGCTGGAGGACATGCTGCGGGTGCTGCTGGAGCCGCTGGCGGGCGGGGGCGGGGACGACGAGGGCGACGTGATGGAGGTCGACAGCGAGGAGGAGGGGGGGAGCGACGTGGAGGAGGGGGGGAGTGCCGTGGAGGAGGCTGAGAGCGAGGCGGGCAGCGAGGGGGGGAGTGACGGGGAGGAGAGCGCGGACCCGGGGATGAGCGAGGACGAGGACGACGCGGGGATGTTCCGCATGGACAAGCACCTCGGCGAGATGCTGCGGTGCGCACACCGACACATATGATTTCCCATCTCATCTTTCTCCCCCCCTCTCCAACGTGCCGCCGACTCAAACCCGACCTGCCGCGCTCCCGCATCCCTCCGCCCTCGCTCCTCGCACCACCGCACGCCCTCCACGCACCCCACGCGGCCAACCGGTCTCTCACACCACCCGCCTTCCACGCCCCGCGCCGCCGCAGAGCGAACAAGGAGCGCAAGTCCTCGGAACGCACGGCCAAGCAGACGCGGCTCAACCTCAAGCTGCGCGTGGTGGCCCTGTTGGAGGAGGTGCTGCGGCGCCACCCGGGGTCGCCGCAGGCCTGCCGCGCCGTCGTGCCGACGCTGCGCGCGCTCAAGATGGCCGCGGGGCCCGGCGGGGACGCGCAGCTCGCGCAGCGGATCCAGGTGCGGTTGGGTTCAGCCTGGCATTGTAGTCGGTTGGTTGAGACGAGAGCGGGGGCGGTTGGACCGGCCGCAGCGCATGAACCGCATAGCATCGCGCAGCTTAGTCTGTTGCTTCCGTGGTTACGCTTGCTGCGGTCCGGGAGACGACCGGGGCGTAGCTGCAGCGTCAGAAGCTCTCACGCGCACGTCGCTCGTGCCCCGTTGCCCGCAGTCGTTCCTCATCACGACGCTGTGCAAGTGCAAGGCGCGGTCTGGCGCGTCCGTGCCCCTCGAGGAGCTCGCCGCGGCGCTCCGCAAGGCCCTGGGCATGGCGGCACGGTCGGCGCCGACGCCCGCAGCAACGAAGCTCGTGCACCCGGCCGCGCTCGCCGCCGTCGCGTTCCTCCTCCACGCCCTCCTGTACGACCGCGGCGGCGAGGGCCCGCGTCCCGGCGCGCTCGACGCCGCCAGCGAGGTCGTCGCCACCGCATGCTCCGGCATGCTGCAGCGCCGTCGTTCGAAGATCCTCCCGCGATTCTTCGCGGACGCGCTGCAGCGCCACCCCGAGCTCGCGCCTGCGCTCGTAGCTGCGGCGGCCGCGGGGTGCGGCACGGGCCGCAACGAGACGCGGCGCGTGGACGCAGCGGAGGTGCTAGCTGCAGCGATGAGCGTCAACCCGAAGCTCCACGCCAAGGCCGTGGGCGCCGCGCTGCGGCCGCAGCTAGCGCACGTGGCGGCGGCGGTCGAGGCCTGCGCGGCGGGGGAGGGCTGGGCGAGCAGCAAGCGGCGCGCTGCGATGGCGACGCAGCTCGCGCGGTGCGTGGAGCTGCTGGTGCGAGTGTACGGCCGGGACGGGGTGCAGCTGGAGGAGGGGCGCGGCGCGGAGGTCGGCGCTGCGGCGGCGCGGGGAGCTGCGGAGGAGGGGGCGTCGCAGAGGCTGGTGCAGGCCCTGCGGAAGATTGCGGGGGTGTTTGGCGCGCCGGTGGTGGCGGGCCCGCGGAGGGGCAAGGGGGGGGGTGAGGGCGAGAAGGGGAGGGCGGGGAAGAAGAGGAAGGCGGGGGGGGACGGCGGGGAGGGGTCCGCGAGGAAGAAGAAGAAGAAGGAGGAGAAGAAGAGAAGGGAAAAGAGGTCTTCGAAGCAGGAGCAGGTGCAGGTCTTGATCGAGGACCCGCTGAACCCCGCGCTGGGCAAGGTGCCGGAGCCGACGATGGGCAAGAAGGCCAAGAAGGCGAAGAAGCAGTGATCGCTGTGAGCCTGGACGCCGTGGTGCGCGGTCTCGGTCGCCGTACGCGACTGCGGGGCTGGCGGTTGCTGGGCGCGTCGTCCGGCTCGCTACAGGCCGACGTGGCCGCTCTCAGTGGTCGGAACGCGTCGTTCGCGACAGAGCGCGTGCGCGAGGGTCCGAAGTGGGGCCGCGGGGGGGGGTTCGGGGACGGGGGGGCACTCTGGCTGCATGTGCGCCATGCTGGCAGTTGTCAGCCTGGCGGGTCTCGGGCTGAGCGTCGTCCTGCCCTCATTGCGGCACGCCAGGGAACGACCACTATAGTACCAATGGATCGGGGCGCAGTTAGAGCTGTGTAGACCACACAAGCAGGCCGGGACGGGCGACAGAAGCCGCCACACAACCCGAACAGTCGCGCGCAGCGGGCAGCTCCCTCAAGCGACGAGGCGGCGTTTCCCGAGCGCGAGCCGGCGCTCCGGATCTGTGTCTGCTATCTTGAGGCCCGCGCTTTCCTTGGAGGGCGTCCGTCGCGTGCGTCGCCGGGCAACGAGTGCACAGAGCCTCTGCGTGCCTCTCCGAACGATTTTTCCGCGGACCATGTCGCTCGTTCATCGCAAGGTGACGCCTACAATCACGTTATTGGGCCGTTTCATAGGTTCGAAGTGCCCGGTATGCCCGGAACGACACGTTGCGCCGACCCTCCCTCACTTCACGTGCACCTCCCCGCAGGGCCGTCAGTCCGGCCGCGCCGCGCTGCTCCGGGGCGTCCTGGACGACGTCGAAGATTTACAGCGGGACCTTGGCCGCGGAAAGGCCGCAAACAACGCGCACAGGGCCTCAGAGGCGCGCCTCGCACAGTTGGAGGCTCGCGTCTCCCAGCTGCAGGGCGACACGCAGCGGCGCCTCGAGCACCTCGCGGGGATCCTCGAATGTCTGCTCGAGCGTTCCGCGCCGGCCGAGGCCGGCTTCGAGTGCAGCGACGGGGCGGCGCACGGCCCCGCGACGCCGCGCGCAGCGCAGCTGCCGCCGCCGAGCTTGAGCGACACATCCCAGCCGGCGGGCGGCGGCTGTGCGCTCAGTCGGACGCAGCTCGTTCGGCTGTTCCAGATTTGCCAGTACTGCTCGCTGGAGGAGGCCGTTGTGGCGATTCTCGGCTCGGGCGGGCCGTTCGTCGCCGGGCTCGAATTTTCGCGGGGCGCGGGCGTCCGCGACATCCCGCTGCAGCCGGCGGTCGTTCTGGCGTGGGTCGACCGGTTCCTGCGGCCGGACGCGGCCCGCGAGCTCCGCGACGCCGCCGCCAAGGCAAGCCCTCCCCGCCGCACACGCGAAATAATTACGTTACGGTCTTCGCGATCGCACGGTCGACGCCGCGCGACCCGCCCCCTCGACGCCGCGCGACCCGCCCCCTCGACGCCGCGCGACCCGCCCCCTCGACGCCGCGCGACCCGCCCCCTCGAGCCCGCGCAGGTGACCAGGCGGCTCCGCGACGTGCGCGCTCGGACGATGAAGGCCGTGAAGACCGCCGCGCTGCGCTGGGAGATGCCGAACTCGCGCGGCGAATTCGGCACGGTCTTCGAGCCGCGCGAGAGCCTCCGCGACGGCTCCCTGGAGGTGTGCGTCAGGTCGGACATGCCCCTGACCACAGCGACGTTCAGCGCGCTGGTCCTGCACGACGACGCGTCCCTCAACCTGGACGAGGGCTCCCTGCTGCTCTGCCTCGTGCGGGCGTACGCCGGGGCGCTCGCGGACGCCGACCCCCAGGCGGGGTCTCCGCACGACACCCCCGGCACGAAAATCACCCCGGGGGGACTCGCGTCGCTCCTGATCGAGGTACGCGCCGTTCTCGACCACGCCCGAGAACGACCCAGCACGCCGCCCGAATTACACCCCCCTCACAAACGTCACACCCCCCCCTCGCTGTCGCAGGCGGAGAACATGTGCCTGCCGCCCAGCATGCCCAGCATGGCGCGTTCCCTCCCCGCCTACCACAAGCGGCGCACCGTCCTGTTCAACCGCCACGTGCGGCCGCTGCTCGGCACCCCGCGTGGGGACAGCGTCTTCCTGCCCGAGCGCGTCGTCGCCGCGTGGCTCCCGGGCGTCGGCCCGCTGCCGACGTGGGCGCAGAAGACGTCGTGGGGGGGAGTCCCGGGTGACGTCAGGGCGCGCTGCGCCGTCCGCGGGCAGGGTGCGCACGGTCCGGACGAGCGTGGGTCGCGGGCCCAGACCGGCCACGCGCCCGCGGGCCCGCACTCCCCCGGGGCCCCTCGTGTGCTGGTCGGACGGGACGGCGACCCCCCTGCGCGGAAGCGCCGGCGCGGCGGCTCGGAGGAGCGGCGCGGCGCTGCGACGGAGGTCGCTGCGGGCAAGCGCGCGCGCGGGGGGGAGTGCGGCGAGGCCCCTGCGTCGCTCGCTGTCAGCGATGTCAGTCAGACGGGCTGCGGTCAGGCGACGGCGACCGTGCTCGGCGCGGCGGCGGACGACGGGCCGGCGGCGAGGGTCCCGGGGGTGTCGGACGGGGGGACTCCGGGCGCGTGCGGGGCGACGCTCCGCACATGGTTGCGTTGTGCTGCAGAGGGCGGGGGGTCGTCCGGGGCGGGGAAGCGGTCCTCGCTGCCGACGGAGATCGACGGCGTGGACGCGCTGGTGCAGTTCTGAGCGAGGGGGGGGTCCGCCGGACGGCTGACGCGACATGCTCCGACCATGCATCTTAGAGGGGGGTGTAATCGCTTCGCGGGAACAGGCTTGCACGCGCCGCGCGCCGTCACGGAATTCAGCGTCAGCCGCAAGCGTAGCGCGAAACTGCCGCGCCACTGCACGCCCGCAGCGCACGTGCTGGTCGCGGGCTGTCAGACAACGTCACAATGATTACCCCCCCCCTTCGGCACGCGCGCACGGCGCGGACGCCGCGACGGGCCGGTCCGGGCCGCCGCAGCTCCTGCGACTGCGCGCTGCGGCCGCGTTGCGGGGGGGTTCGGAGGCGCTGCTGGCAGTTGTGTTGCCGCGCCTGAGGGGGTAATGAGCTGACGTGGGCGCCCGGGCGGTGTGACACGGGGCGGGGCCGCACGTGCGAGGTGCGCGGGGCGCCTGCGTGGCGGCTGAGAGGTGCGCCGGTGCGCGACACACAACGTGGTGGCCAAGGGTCGGACAGTCCCCCGGGGGGCTCTGAGAGGCCTAAGCGAGCTGTTCGGCGGCGATTCGAGCTCTCCGTGAGCACTACTGTCTGTCTGGGGGGCCGTTGAAGGCGCTACGCCGGGAAGCATCCCGGGAGGAGGGCGCAAAAGCTGGTTGGGTCCGCAGCGTGCAGGGCTGCCGTTTTCAGAGAGGACGCCGGACGAGAGACGTGTTTGCGCTGCCTGAGAGGTAGACCGGGTGCCGTTCTTGCGAGGACGCGAATAGGAGGGCGGGTTTCGGGACGTGTGCGCCTCTGAGACGGCGTCGTGCGTCTCTGCGCTGCTTCTGGGCGTTTCTCGGCGCACTGAGCGCGAGGACTTGCTCTTCGGTCCCAGAATGAGCGCCTCAGAGGTGAGACTCTCGAATTTCTACCTGTCAGGCTTCGACACTGGCCTTTTGGCCCGCGCACGCCGCTCATGTTCGACTTGGTACTTGCAACCACCGCGCAGGGTCGCGAGAGGAGCAGCTCGCTCCGCAGGGACCTCCAGAACGGCGTGCGCAATTTGCGCAGCGAGCTCGCCCGCGGCGACGTCCCGGCGGACGCCACTGCGGCGTTCGAGGCACGTCTTTCTCACTTGGAAGCCACAATAGCCCGATTCCAGGAAGACACCGAGCGGCGCCTGGAGCTGCTGTCGCGCTCCGTGGCGCAGCTCACAAAAGTCCTACAGCGGGGGCCGGACGAGGAGGAGGCCGCGCCGCCGGACGACCCCGGGGACGCGCTCGTTCTGGAGGGCATCGTGCAACGCGTCGAGAGCGACGATTCCGACGGCGACGGCGCGCCCGGGAACGCGGCCCCGAAAGCCCTGCCGCCGCCGCGGGCCGGCGACAGCAAGGCGTATCTGCTGAGTCAGGTAAACGCTCGACGAACCGCATTCTTGCCCCTCTGCTGGCTGCGCTGCGCCACCGCCGCCGCCGATGCGGCCACGGCCTCGCGCTCCTCGCAAACGCGACATTTCTGCGTTCCGAGGCGCGCGGACCGACGAGGCCGGGGTCTCTTCGCGCAGGTCAAGCTGGGCCGGCTGTTTCAGATAACCCACTTCTGTTCTATCGAGGAGGCGATGGTGGCGATCCTGGGCGGCGACGGAGCGTACCGTCACACGCTGCGGTTCCAATCCGGGAAGCGGCTGCAGGACATGCCGCTGGACGCGAACAGCATCCAGGAGACAGTGAGGGAGTATCTGACGCCGAACTCGGCCAGAGACATCGTCAACAAGGCCAAGCAGGTCCGCAACCGCGAGCAGTCGGTCTTCTCCTGCTGCCGGGAGCGCTCGCGACGCGACGCGACGCTCGAGTCCGCGCGGCAGCGTGACGGCCTACCAACAACCTTGACGTTTTGTTTTTTACAACCACTGTTTATTTTGATGTGGTTCGTGCAGCTCAAGGCGAGCGTCGGCGAGCTGCGCCGGAAGTCCAAGCAGAGCATGCACCGCGCGGCGCTGCTCTGGAAGACGACGAACCTGCGCGGAGAGACGCGCAAGCCCTTCGACGCGCACAAGAACGAGCCGCACAAAGGCGAGCTCTTCGTCAAGGAGGCCTTCAGGCACGACGTCACCTTCGCGAAGACCTGCCTGCTGCCGGACTCGGGGCTCAACTTCAAGTCGCGCGACACGCTGCTGGCCTGCCTGGTGCTCGCGTACATCGAAAGCCTCAAGGACAGCGTGCCGGAGTTCGCGGCGACGATGGGAAGGGAGTCGAAGATCACGCCGGGAGCGCTCGCGGCGATCCTGCACGAGGTGCGCGCGCAGGAGCCCGTTCGCGCGGGGCTCAGTGCGCCCGCACGCGAGCCCCACGGAGCGCGTCGGCGCAGCGGCGCGCCCGCAGTCGTGTTTTCTCGATTCAATGCCCAAACCGCGGTCCGCGCCCCCCGCGCCGCTGCAGGCGGACACCATGTGCAGACCGGCGTCGAGGCCCGCGCACAGCCGCAGCACCACCGAGTGGCACGCGCGGCGCGCGCACCTGTACCACACGTACGTCGTGCCGACGTTCTCCACGCAGCTCGCAGCGCGGCTGTTCATCGCCAAGGAGGAGGTGCTCAGCTGGCTCCCGGGCGTCGGGCCGGTCCCGCAGTGGGCGCTCGAGTCGGACTGCGGCGGCGCTGTGTCAGACGGGCCGCAGCACCGCGCGGCGCGCTCGGAGCGCGGCAGGAGCGATGCGGGGGGCGGGCGCGAGCGCTGGCCGATGGCGGACGTCGCGAGGTGCGTGGCCGCGCGGCGCGTGCGCGTATCTGGTCTGCGCACGCGGGTCAGTCTGTCAGACCGGGGGGGGTGTGCGCTGCCCACGCTGCGGGCAGTGGGCGTGTGTACGCGAATGCGATTCGACGCGTGATCGTGCAATTTGTGTGTGCGATCGCCGCAGGTCGTCGGCGCGGACCGACCGTCTGCCGCGGCGGGAGTCCCCCCGGGGGTCTCGGCGGCGCGACAGCCCGCCGCGGAAGCGCCGGCACGCGGACTCGCGCGGCGGCTCGCGGGAGCGGCCCGCCGCGACGGAGGTCTCCACGAAGCGCCCGCGTCGGGAGGAGACCGCGGCCAATACCCCCTCCCGCGTCGCGCGGCGGCGACAGCGTCGCCGCCTCGCGGCTCCACGACACCGCAGCGAACGTCGGGCCGACGCTCCGGGTGAACGCGTTCCCCGTGGGGCTCGCGAAGGAGTCGGTCGGCGCGCCGCCGAGGAAGGGGGGGGAGTCTCTCGCTGCGTCAGACGCAGAGGAGGTTGCGCGGGGGGGCGGGAGGGCGCGCATCGACGGCCACGGCGGCGACGAGCCCAGCTGCGATTCGGGCGAGCCGATGCGGGCCACCGCGCCCGCGCCGGCCGCGGCGGGGGCTGTGGACGACGCGGGGGGGGAGAAGGCTGGAGAGGGGGGTGTGGCGGAGGTGTCGTCGTCGCTGGACATCGACGGCGAGGAGGAGTGGGTGCAGTTCTGAGCGGCGGGCGACGACGCCGACGGGCTGCCGCGGCGGCTGACAGCAATGAGTCACGACAAAAGGAAGGGGGGGGGGGAGTTAAATCAATCAGTACGCTTTGTTTGTAAGCAGGCAGGCGTTCGGGTGGCCGTTGGCGGGTCAGTCAGACGGCCGCGTGGCATGCGGAGGGACGGGAGACCGCGTGCTGTGCTTTGTCCGGCGCGTGCTAGGTCGGATGCGCTGCCTGACTGACATGCAGGGGGGGTTGAGCAGTACCGGCGCGGTGGCGGTTGGATCGGGCCGACATTGCAATGGACGTCCTGGTGGGGCGTCCGTGGCGCAGTGGGGGTGCCCCACGACACCCCCCGGGGGCCTGATGCGTCGTTGCTGGAATGGAATGACGCGCCGACCATCGCCGCAGGTCGCGGCGTCGGCGTGGCAGAAGCCGGGCCGCGGCGGCCTGGTCGCGCTGATCGGCCAGCGGCGGGCACTGCGTGTCCTAGCGACGCTTCTGAGGTGCGGGCACAGACGGAGAAGTCCTTGCCCCTTGCGGCACGAATTGAGCGTGTGGCGCCCTCACACTGCGCACGTGGCATGTGTAGATCGAGGTCGGCCTCGTTGCGGCGCAGCACAGGCGCGAGAGGCCGCTGTGAGCCAGCCACGCCTCCATTGGGCAGCCTCGACATTTGTTGTGCCTGCTCCCGTGACGGGTGGAAGTCTTCTTGCATGTCCAAGCGTGGAAACGGTATGTAGATGGAGCGAGGATCTGTCAAAGTGCGCGTACGACGCCACGGACGCCGCGTTGGGACCGCACCTCGGTCACTGCACCGCTGGCGTGTGGCCGGGCACAGGGTCAGGACAGGTGCGCCGTCGAGGACCAAGGTGACACGATGAGACGCACATGTGGTATCCCCCACGGCGTCGGAAAGGCCACGGCACCCCCGTCGTGCGCGCAACGGCGATGAAGCAACAAGTGAGAGCTTTTCGGTGCCCTCCGGACGGGCGCGGCGACTGTCGTGGACTGATGGCCCCGCGCGCTTGACAACGTACCTCTCCTCCCGCGTCCCGACCGAGCGGCGATGGGCCTGCGCGCCGCCGGCCGCAGTCGCACCCACCAGCAGGTGGCGCGTACGGGCGGGAAAGGCGCCACGTCCGCACCGCTGCGCTTCTCGCGATCAGACGCCACGCCGGACAGACGCCACGACCTGCCGCGTCCCGCCGGCGCGTGGTCGGCCACGCGCGGCCTCGGCGGGCGCCCCGTTGAGCACACATTCGCTGGCGGCAAAGAGCTGCGCGGAGGCGTCGCCGCTCGGCGCGGGACGAGGTCCGCGGTGTCTCGGGCGCTGCCGACGGGCGAGGACGCGGGCGCGGCTGCGGCCGCGTGCGGCCGCGACGACCCGGCGCCTGCGCGGGAGCAGCGGCGCGCCGCGAGCGACAGCGTTGCCGAGGTACGCTCCTGCGCCGCACGATCGGTGCGCGGCGGGCCGTGCGCGCGGGCGACGTGGGCGGACGTGTGGGCAGAGCGTCGCGTTGAGTTCGAGCGCGCGACTCATGCGCACGGGATAGGATGTGGCGCATGGTGTGCAGGCGGCGCGTGTGGGCTGGCGGCGGCCGCTGCGGCACCGGGGCCCGCGTTCCTGCGGCCCGCGAGTCGACAGGATGGCGCAGGGCCGGCGGGCGGGAGGCCGGGGTCCCGGGGGGACCGGCGCGACGGCCCGGGGGGGGGGGTTGACGTGCGCTGCCACGGGCGGCGGTTTCGGCGGGAAGCGGCGAGCACCTGGCGCAGAATACGCGACCGCTGCACGGGCGTACCTCCGCGCGACGGGCTCGGCGCAGGAACGCGGGCGCAGATCCACCATTCGCGGCGCGGGTGCGGCCTAGCCCTGTGGCACAAGTGCGCGCTTTGCGGCACGTCAGGGCGACGTTCCACTTGGAGAGCGTCGCACACCGGCTATTCGGCGATCAAGAGGTGAGACCGCGCGCCTCGGGTCCTCGGAGCGCCCACCTTCACGTCGCGCGCGCCCGCACCCTGTCCGCGGAACCCTTCTCCCCACGCGCCGCGTCCCGTGCGCGGTTCCGGGCGCGCATCTCTCGCGCCACGGCACGCAAGCGCCCGAGCGAGCGTGGCCGGGCCGCGTGGACGGAAACCCTCCGCGCTTCCGGGACGCGGCCCGGCGCCCCGCCGGGGGCAGCGCACCCCACCACACAATCGGCCGTCTGACGCCCCGACGTCGCGTCTGGACGTGTGCTTAGCGCCACGGTGGCCGCTTCGCGCACGGAGCATCTCGATACGTGCACTCGATCCATGTATGATGCGCCCTATGTCGGCACCGGCGGCCCGGAAAGCACACGCGCGACGTGCACACGCACTCGGCCCGCCAGCGCCGCTCGTCGCAGCGGCCACGGCGGTCGACCGCAGCGGCGCACAGCAGACCACCGGCCCGTGTCCCGCCGAGCTCGCGGTCCGTGCAGGAGCCGCCATGCCGGACGGGGAGGGGTCTTCGTCCACCCACCACCCGGGGGCTGGGCCCAGTGTCAGCAACGGCGCGCAGCGCGGCGCAACTGGGACGGACGACACGCGCGCTGAGGCGGCCGGCGGGGGCGGCGAGGACCTGTCGGAGCGCGTTCGCGCCCTGCAGAGGGAGCGCGACGAAGCAGTGCGGGCGGTGCGGGCGGTGCGCGAGGCACTGGAGGCGCCAGAAGTGGACGATGCAGCGACGCTGAGCAAGGTCCGGGCGGCGGTGGGTGTGGAGCCGCGCCGCGCGGGAGACGCGGGGCCTCGGCTCCGCTGTCCCGTGACTGTCGACCGCCTGCGCGTTGCTTTAAATAATGCGAGCGGTGACGAGGTGAGCGACGATCTGCGACGCGCGGTGCCTCACGCCGAAGCTGCGATGCTGCGCGCTGTGCAGGCATTGCCCGTTCGCCGCCGCCGACTTGCCGCCACTTGTGTCTGTCCGATACGTTGCAGGTGATCGACCTGAGGGGAATGGAGGTCGCCGGCAGCGGCGGCGACGAGATCACGGTGACGCGTGCGGGCGTGACGCTGCGGAACGGGACGCTGCGGGGCGTCAGGCTGGTAGTCACTGCGACGGCAAAGGACTTCCGCTTGGAGGAGGTCACCGCGACGTGGGGCGCTGTCAGCGGCACTGGCGGCACGCAGGATCGCACAGCAAGGGACCGTCGGGCTGGTGCAGCGGGCGGGCTTTCCGGAGCGGCAACGGGCGGCGGCGGGTTGTTTGGCGGTGGGCCAAGTCTTTTCGGCAACCCATTCTCGTTCGGGCAGCGACCAGGCGCGGCAGGCGGCGGCGCCCCCTCGAACGATACAGGGGGATTGTCGTTCGGCAGGGCGGGCGGCGGCGCCCCCTCGAACGATCAAGGGCGAATGTCGTTCGGCGCGGCGGGCGGCGGCGCCCCCTCGAGCGATCAAGGGCGAACGTCGTTCGGCGCGGCGGGCGGCGGCGCCCCCTCGAACGATCAAGGGCGAATGTCGTTCGGCGCGGCGGGCGGCGGCGCCCCCTCGAACGATACAGGGCGATTGTCGTTCGGCAGGGCGGGCGGCGGCGCCCCCTCGAACGATACAGGGCGAATGTCGTTCGGCGGGGCGGGCGCGTCCAATGGCTCTGGGTTTGTGTTTGGCACTGGCGCGCAGCAGGCTGCTGGTGCCGGCACAGGGACGGACTACCAGGCGACGCGGCACAGCTCGGACTTGGCGGAGACGATCGACTACGTGTCCATCTGCGCCATGGACAAGTACCACGGCAAGTCCCAGGAGGAGCTGCGCTGGGAGGACTACCAGGCCGGGCGCACGGGGCCCAGCGGGGGAGTTGGCGGGTTGTTCGGAGCGTCGACGGGCGGGTTGTTCGGAGCGTCGACGGGCGGGCTGTTCGGCACGACGTTTCGCAGCGCGTCGGCCGGAGGCACGACTGCGGCGCGGCCGCAGTTGCCATTCTCGTTCGGCGCGGCGGGCGGCAGCGCCCCCTCGAACGCTTGCGGGGCATTTTCGTTCGGTCCATTTTTGTTCGGCGCTGCGTCGCCTGGCCCGTCTCCTTTCGAAGCCGGTGCGATCTTCTGTCGCCGGTGTCGAGTGACATCTCGATGCCTGCCGTGCCTCTCAAGCCATGACTGACGCTGAAATGCTGCACGCGGCCGCGCCTCCTGTGCAGTATTCCAGCCTAAAGCAATCGTCGACGTACGTGGTGCCAGCGGGGTCGTGATCGTGAAGTGCAAGCTCAGCGACAGCAATCACCGGGGACGTGAATTGTGCGGGCTGAGAGCTTCGAACGGAGCCGAGGTGAGTCTGTGCGCGGTGCATACCGTAGCCGCGTCGCTGGTGGAGCCGCGGTGCAACTGCGGGTCCAGCCGAGGCTTCAGGAGGCGAGCGCGGCACAGCGCCCCGCGGCATCTTCAAGCGACACTCACGGCTCTGTCTCTTGCGTGCCGGCAACGCGCACCGCCCTGGATCGGATCGTCGTTTGCAGGTGCTCGTGGAGGACAGCGAGTGCTGCAACAACGAGGTTGGCGTGCTGGCCCTCGGCAAAGACACGCGCGTGACAGTGCGACGGGCATTATGCAGCGGCAACGCCAACAGCGGCGTGTGCTCTTGGCAGGGCGCGGAGGTGCGTGCATGCCGGGCAGGGGTGCGACGGGGCTGTCGAGAGGGCTGCGCATGTCGGCGCTCGTGCAGTGTGCTTATTGTTGCATGTCTCCCGAGGCGCGTGCAGGTGGTGCTAAAGGACAGCGAGTGTTGCAATAACGAGGAGCACGGCGTGAGTGCTGAAAAGAGCGGCCTGTTCTGCGAGGCGAAGGTGTGTGCATGCACGGCGCATATGCATGAGCAGGGTTGCGAGAGAGCGCTGCGTGCGGGCAGGCAGCGGCACCACCGCGGCAGCAGTGGTGTCGTTGGCGGGCCTCGCTCTGATGCAGCGGTATTGTCGATCGCCTGCAGGTCACGATGAGCGGTGGCAAGAGCAGCAACAACAAGCGACACGGCGTCTGTGCTTGCGGCGACCGCACGTGCGTCACGCTGCGAAAGGTGACGTGCACCGGCAATGAGGGGCAAGGCGTGTGTGTCGACGCAGGTGCACAGGTGCGTGCCGTCATCCCACGGAGCGTGCCACGTGCTCATCGCGAATGTCTGACACAGAATCTGTGTGCGGGACTTGGACGGTTGTCTCTGTGCGCGTGCAGGTGACGATTGAAGGCGGCGAGGTATGCGACATCGAAGGCCGCTGCGTGTTTCACCAGAGCCTTGGCTCACGCGTGACGGTGAGGGACAGGACGTGGCAAGGGGGCCGCGACGACACTGTGCGAGAGCCTGAGCAGCAGCAGGGCGGGGGATCCGCTGGAGGCGAAGCGCAGGTGCGCACGACCGCACAGCCGCGGCGCGTGCAGGCGTGTTGACACCCGCCGGCCCAGCCCGTGCGCGCACCCGTCGCATGCGCGGATACTGAGTGTGTCACGGGAACTGAAGCATCGTTGCATGAGGTATTGCGCTTGTTTGCTGGTTGTTCCGGCGACCCTGCTGGTCGTTGGGACTCGTGTTGCTTTCCTGGACGAGGCGTGGCGGGATGGGGTGCCTGCAGGCGATGGCGGCGTGGGAGGAGAGGTGGGCGGAGAGCGATCTGCCTGACAGAGTGAAGGCGGCGTGTCGGCGCCTGTTGGAGAACGACACGACGCTGCAGACGCTGAACCTGGAGTCGACCAACATGGGGCACACCGGCGCGCAGGCGATCGCGGGGGCGCTGGCGAGCAACACCACGCTGCAGACGCTGGGCCTGAGCTTGAACAACATCGGGCACACCGGCGCGGCGTCCATCGCGGGGGCGCTGGCGAGCAACACCACGCTGCAGACGCTGGGCCTGAGCAGGAACAACGTCGGCGACCCCGGCGCGGAGGCGATCGCGGGGGCGCTGGCGAGCAACGGTGCGCTGCAGACGCTGGACCTGAGCTTGAACAACATCGGGCACACCGGCGCGCAGGCGATCGCGGGGGCGCTGGCGAGCAACACCACGCTGTGGGAGCTGGGCCTGAGCGCGAACGTCATCGGGGACACCGGCGCGGAGGCGATCGCGGGGGCGCTGGAGAGCAACACCACGCTGCGGATGCTGCACCTGTGGTCGACCAACATCGGGCACACCGGCGCGGAGGCGATCGCGGAGGCGCTGGCGAGCAACACGACGCTGCGGACGCTGGGCCTGGGCTCGAACAACATCGGGGACATCAGCGCGGCGGCGATCGCGGGGGCGCTGGCGAGCAACACCACGCTGCGGGAGCTGTACCTGAGCTCGAACAACATCGGGCACACCGGCGCGGCGTCGATCGGCAAGGCGCTGGCGAGCAACACGACGCTGCGGGAGCTGGGCCTGAGCTCGAACAACATCGGGGACATCAGCGCGGCGGCGATCGCGGGGGCGCTGGCGAGCAACACCACGCTGCGGGAGCTGTACCTGTGGTCGACCAACATCGGGCACACCGGCGCGGCGGCGATCGCGGGGGCTCTGGCGAGCAACACCACGCTGCAGACGCTTGACTTGGACTCGAACAACATCGGCGACACCGGCGCGGAGGCGATCGCGGGGGCGCTGGCGAGCAACACCACGCTGCAGACGCTGGACCTGCGGTCGAACAACATCGGGCACACCGGCGCGGAGGCGATCGGCAGGGCGCTGGCGAGCAACACCACGCTGCAGACGCTGGACCTGCGCGGAAACCGCATCGGGCACACTGGGAAGCAGGCGTTGGAGGACGCTCTGTGCGCAGCGGCGGAAGCACAGGTGCGTGCGTGCGTGCGTGCGTGCGGCAATCAGCGGAGCGAGCAAAGCGGTCGCGGCGAGCGCGTGGACGGCTCGGATGTTGGACGCGCGTGAGGACGGTGGGTGTCTGTACCTGTGCAGGTGGAGACTGAAGGTGCGGAGATGTGCGACGACAGAGGTCGCTTCGTGTACGAGGACGGCATCATCACGCGCACGAGCCGTCAGGGGCGCAGGAGCTGCGACGATGAGACCGCGCACGTGGCTGAGCAGCAGCAGGGCGACGCATCAGCTGGGAGCACGCAGGTGCGCGAGTCTGCGCTGAGGACCGTGATCTGCGCAGGCGCGGCCGCGTCAGGCCCGAAACAAGGTTGTCAGTCAGCCGGGGCGATCCATCAAGCATTGACGCGGCATGCATGCATGTGGCTCCATATGGCTGCTGTTGCGTGGTGCGTGCAGGTGTCCGAACGTGAGCTGCGGACGCCGGAGAACGACGGGGGTGAGGCGCGTGAGGTGGACGGGCGATCGGACGAGGTCACGCAGGCGGACACCGCGGGGGCCGCTGTTGGCGGAGTGACTGCTGAAGACAACGACACACAGGTCACGCAGGCGGACACCGCGGGGGCCGCTGTTGGCGGAGTGACTGCTGAAGACAACGACACACAGGTCACGCAGGCGGACACCGCGGGGGCCGCTGTTGGCGGAGTGACTGCTGAGGACAACAACGACACACAGGTCACGCAGGCGGACACCGCGGGGGCCGCTGTTGGCGGAGTGACTGCTGAAGACAACAACAACGACACACAGGTGCGCGGTCGCTGAGCGGCGTCTTGGATCGGCAGCTGTAGCGGGACAGCAGGACACTCGTGCGCGCACCCGTCACAGTCGCATGCGCGGACACTGAGTGTGTCCCGGGAACTGAAGCATCATTGCGTGAGGTATTGCGCTTGTTTGTTTCGGCGACCCTGCTGGTCGTTGGGACTCGTGTTGCTTTCCTGGACGAGGCGTGGCGGGATGGGGTGCCTGCAGGCGATGGCGGCGTGGCGGGAGAGGTGGGCGGAGAGCGATCTGCCCGACAGAGTGAAGGCGGCGTGTCGGCGCCTGTTGGAGAACGACACGACGCTGCGGACGCTGAACCTGGAGTCGACCAACATGGGGCACACCGGCGCGCAGGCGATCGCGGAGGCGCTGGCGAGCAACACGACGCTGCGGACGCTGGACCTGCAGTCAAACAACATCGGGGACACCGGCGCGGAGGCGATTGCGGAGGCGCTGGCGAGCAACACCACGCTGCAGACGCTGGACCTGCAGTCAAACAACATCGGGGGCACCGGCGCGGCGGCGATCGGCAGGGCGCTGGCGAGCAACACCACGCTGCGGACGCTGGGCCTGCGGTCGAACAACATCGGGGACACCGGCGCGCAGGCGATCGGCAGGGCGCTGGCGAGCAACACCACGCTGCAGAAGCTGAACCTGTGGTCGAACAACATCGGGGACACCGGCGCGGCGGCGATCGCGGAGGCGCTGGCGAGCAACAACACCGCGCTGCAATCGCTGTACCTGAGCAGGAACAAGATCGGGCACACCGGCGCGGCGGCGATCGCGGGGGCGCTAGAGAGCAACACCACGCTGCGGACGCTGAGCCTGTGGTCGAACAACATCGGGGACACAGGCGCGGCGTCCATCGCGGGGGCGCTGGCGAGCAACACCACGCTGCAGGAGCTGAACCTGTGGTCGAACAACATCGGGGACACCGGCACGGCGGCGATCGGCAGGGCGCTGGCGAGCAACACCACGCTGCGGACGCTGAACCTGGGCTCGAACAACATCGGGGACGCCGGATACCAGGCGGTGCGTGACGCAGTCGTAGATTCCAACGTCACGCTTCGTTTGTGAGATGGCGAAAGCCGGTGGCATCACTGCGCGCACCACCGGTCGACAGCCGACCTGCTCACCGCACCACTACCGGCCCGTGACGGCGTCGCGCGCCTGACGAGCTCCACAACATTGTTGTGGTTGACAGCCCAGTCAGTCCGTCCGACGGTCCACCGACCACATGGACTCCCCCGCATGGACAGCCTCGTCAACTCACCGGTGTGAGTCCCGATACGCGTCACCTGGTCCGCGCACAGAACCACACCACACCGTTGGGGACATCTTCCGGGAGCGAAACCTGCCGTGCTGGCGCACCCCAGTTGACGAACCATAATGCTTACGCACGCATGCGCCTGCGCAACGTCGTCGCACAGGAGGCGGTACGCGTCGCCCTGCCGCCGAGTGCCGTGTGCCGAGGGCGTCGTGAGCCGCGGCTGGCTGCAGCGCCCCGCAATCGCTTTTGCGTTGCACGTCGGGGGCACAGTGTCGCGGGGGGAGCGCGACTGTCGATCGGGAGCCCCGCCCCGCTCCCTGGCGTCCCAAACAACCAGTCGGGTCGCGCAGACCTCGCTGCAGGCCTCGCCGGGGTCGCACGCACCTGGGTCAGCGTGTCTGACAGTGTCACTCGTTGTCAGGTTGCGCTTTGCGGCGCGCCATGGCCGGACGGAGCGCCACGCCGGCCGCCAGACCCCTGAGCCTGTGCGCCGCGGTCGCGCGCGCGCAAGAGCTCGTCCCCTCAGACCCATATCTCGGCCGCACCACTCAATCAAAGTCCACCAACTGCAAACATCTACACGCCCGACCGAGCGGGGAGCGATCGGCCACGAGTCTCATCCGAACGGGCCGCTCGCACCACGATGGACGTGAACAAGGTGAACCACGTCCAAGCACGGCGCCCCACGCTGTGAACGTATACACCCATCCACGTCACGCCGCAGCCGCAGTGACAGCCGCTTCCGGCATCGCTCGCAGGACCTGCGCGACGCCCAGGCTCTCCTGCGGCAGATCTGCCAGGAACAAGGCCTTCGGCGCACCGAGGTGCCCCCGGGCGCGGCCTCCCGCGCCGAGCTCAGTTTGCTCAGCATCCGCCTGGACAGCCTCGCGGTCAAGTTCGGGCACCTGTGCGACACGGTCAAGCTGATCCTGGACCGCGCGCTCGACGACGAGCACGAGCACGGTGGGTACGGCTTCGACGCGGACTTGCAGCACGGCGCGCTAGGTGACCGGGAGGTGCGCGAGGAGCCCGACACTGCATCCGATGACTCCACGTCCGGGGGTCGGGTTGGCGGGTCCGAGGAGGACGGGGTCGAGGCTCCGAGCATGGAGGGAGAGGCCGAGGAGGACGGTCGCACCAGGAACGTCGCGAATGTGTCGCGGAGGCGCAGGAGGGGCGACCAGCTTGATGGCCCGCGACCGCGCAAGAAGGCGGCGCCGGCCGGGCGTGCTCGCGCGCAAACGGGGGAGAGAAACCAGGAGCACCTCGCCGGGGATAATTCGAGCGATGAGGGTGCGGAGGACAGCGGGGAGGAGGAGGGGGACGGTGCGCCCGGGCCATCAACGCCCGACCGTGGTGTTGCGTTGCGGACGCGCGCGCGGCTGGATATGCGCGGCGAGGCGCAAGGGAATCGTCAGGAGGGGCGGCCGGCGGCGCGGACGGAGCCGGCGAGGCGCCAGCCCGCTCAGAGGACGACGCGCCCGGAGGCACCCGCGGGCGCGCAACGGCAGACGGGAAACGGTGGTTCTCGCGCGGCCGCTCGGGCCGAGACGCGCGGCGCCGCGGGCGACGAGGGCGGCGTGCTGGGCCACCGCGGCAACGCGCTGCTGTGCCTGCTCGCGTTCCGCTGCACGTTCGCGGACGCCCTGCCCGCCGTGCTCGCGAGCCCCGGTCTGCGTCTGCGGCACGCGCCCAGGACGCATGACACGCTGGCGGGGATCTGCGCGAAGGCCCAGGCGGGGCGGCTGGCCGAGTGCTTCGACGCGGCGGACGCGGAGCTCGTCGAGCAGGCCGCGAAGCAGGCGCGCCGGCCCGTGCGCGCGCGCACACCGACACACAAACAAATATACTTTTAGCGTTGATTTTCCTCCGGCATTCCATATCTCATCTTGATTTTCTGGCACCCTCACCACAGAGGGTGATCGACACCGCCCCCAACACCCTGCAGGCGCTTAAGTCCGCCAACAACATCCGCGGCGCCGTGGGCCGCACGCTGCGCAGCGCGGCGCTGAGTTTCCACGTCAAGACGATCGCGGCGGAGAACAACTCCTCCGCGCCGCCGCAGCGCGCGTTCACGCAGTGCAAGGCCGCGCGGCACGCGTGCGAGCTCTGCCCCGCGGACGACATGCAGGAGTACGTTACCTTCGAGCAGCTCGTCGTCGGCGTGGACGGGCGGCTGTACGACGGGAAGGCGTCGCTGCTGCGGCTGCTCGTGGACGCGTGGGCGCGCAACTTCCCGCGCAAGCACTGGCCGCAGCCCGAGGGCGAGCCGGACCGCGTCACCCCGGGGGTGTTGGCGGGGGTGTTGGTCGAGGTAGAAGCCATGTGCACGCCGGAGCGGAAGAAGGTGCCGCGGGACAGGCACGCGCACTGGGCCGCGCGGTTCCGCCACATGTTCGACAGGTACGTGCGGCCGCTGATCGGGAGCGCGGACGCCGGGCGGCTCCTGTTGCCCGCGGCGGTGACGGCGGGGCTCTTGCCGGGGGTGTCTGCGGTGCCCGCGGCGTGCGGGCGCGGCGCCGAGGACGAGCCCGCGGTGATGCGGGAGAGCATGCGCGACGTCGCTGCCGCGGCGGCGCGGGCGCGCGAGGCTGCGTGAGCACACTGGCTGGCTTGGAGATCAGGGGGGGGGGTTGGGCCCGGTGTGTTGATGTGCCCGGGGTGTGAGCAACGAGGAGGACGGTGTGCTGCTCGTCGCGGTGCGAGGGCGATCGACTCGACGGCTCAAGTCGTGGCTGCATGCGTCAGTGGTGTCAGTCAGACGTGAGGGCACGCTGCAGCCCCAAGGCCGAGGTCTGCGGGGCCCGGCGCGCAGACTCGGGCTCGGTGCGATCGAGACTCGTTGAAATTCGAGCCGTGCGGCAGCGTGGGCGCCTGAGCCGACCTCCCGCGGCTCTGTTGAGACCTCGCAAAACGTGGGCGGTGGCGCGCTGTTGCTGCGGCGCCGTTCCGCCCCGGAGGCACGCGACGCAGCGCACTGGTGACGGACGTGCGTCTGAGGTAGGTACTCGGCCCCGGGGAGTCGCTCGTGGAGCGCTGGTGGCGGTGCACTCGCTGGGTGGTGCGTTCTGGCGGGAAGAGCCGTGGGGCCCGACTGTCCCTCAACGCCGTGCCAGGTGAGTTCGAGACTCAGCGGGCGCGTCACGAAAGCTGCTGAAACGGCGCTGCGTGCGCCTGCCGTCGCGAGCGAGGCACGGAGCCCTCTCACAGCTCCTCATCGCGGCTGCGTCGCCGGCCGTGCGCCGCAGAGCCAGCGGAGGCAGCCTGCGCTGGACCGCGATACGGTGACGGAGGCACGCCGGCGTGCGTAGAGGCTCGCGTTACGAGCACGCCAACACCGGTGGTCAAGCAGGTGCGTGGGCAACCACCACGGCGCGTCCGAGCCGCTGGGGCCTCGTGCGACAGCTCGAACTGCATATCGAGGATGTCGACGGCACGTACGTGCGCGCGCGCGTCCGCTCGTCCGCAGAAACCGCAGCGGCAAGCACCGGAGGTCCCTCCTGGCACCCGCCACCACAGCACTCGTTCCGCGCGCCCAGGATACGCGCGCGCGCGAAAAAGCCCACACCGTCTCTCTGTGTCTGCGACAGCGCGCAGATACTCGTTCGATCGGAAGGGACAGACCGTCGCCACTCGTCAGACAATCAGCACCTGCATCAGCAGCAGGGCACGATGCTCGCGCACAAGGTGAGTCGGTCTCGGCGCCGAGCGCGGCCCCTCGCTGCAGCGAGACGGCGTTCCTCGCGCCCAGGCGCGCCGGAACAATGCTGTCGCCAGAAAATCACCCGAAGTCGAGAATTTGCATTCTTCGCGGCACAGTTTGCATCATAACGGGCTCGGTCGTGCGTTCCTGGCCGCAGAAACTCGAAAGGCTGCAGGCCAAGCTCGACGCCATCTGCAGCGGCACGCAGCTCCCCGCGTCCCCCTCGCCGCCCGCCACACAGTCCCCCGCCACACCCCCCGTCAAACAAGAGCCCCCCCCCACGCCCGAGCGCCTCGACGCGCTGAAGGCGCGCCTGGCCGCGCTCGAGGCCAAGCGCGCGGCCCTGGAGGGCGCGACGGAGCCCGACGACGATGCCGACGCTGCCGACGACGATGGCCTCTTCGACGACGACGACGCGTTCGGGGGGGACGAGTCCGACAGCGGGGGGGGGAGTGATTCGGAGCACGAGGAGTACACCCCCGGGGGCGGCGCGGCGAGGGTCGTCGCGCGCGGCGGCGACCAGCGCGCGCGGCGCGTGGCGCTGTGGAGGGCGCACGCGTCGGGCGACGGGCGTCAGGCGGAGGGGGTGAAGTTCCGCCTCCCCCGCGTCGTGCGCCAGGGCGGGCCGGGCCTCGGGTGCGAGGGCAACGCCAAGCTGTGCCTTGTCGCGCACTACTGCACGGCGGCGGACGCGGTGCTCGCCCTGCTGGGGAGCAGGCAGCTTGTGCAGAGTGCGTGGCGCGCGCACGAGCTGGAGGGGTTCAGCGGGTACGACGTGGCGCTGATGGCCATGAAGGACCTCTCGGTGCTGGGCGACAGCGAGGAGGACGTGCGGGCGGCGGTGCAGCAGGTGGGGAACGACTGCGCCACGGATGCCGCGCCGAGTATTGCTCTCTCTTCTTATAACTCTCTTCTCATAACCACGTCCTGTTGAAAATCGTTTTATTCGTTTTTGAATCGTTTTGGATCATCATGTTGCATCCCACGAACGGCTGCGAGCCACTAGCGAACGCGCTCGTCGACGCCGCGTGCGCCCCGCTGCACCGCGCTCTTGCCTGCCTCGCACACGACGCCGGCGCACGCTCGCCTCCCTCGCACCGCGTGCCGCAGCAACAACACCGACGCTGTTCCGGGCGCCCCGCAGACCAAGGGCGCGGTTGCGCATTTCAGAGAGGCCATGGAGGTCTCCGCGCGCAAGGCCGCCCTGAGCTTCCACGTCGACATCGGGGGCGTCAAAGTGGGGGCCTTCCGCCGCACGGGGGGGAGTAAGTCCCGGCTCTGTCCGGCCAAGAACCTCGAGCCCATCGTCACGTTCGAGCGCCTCGTGCTCAGCGGCGACGGCGCGACGCCGCTGCGGCTCGGCCCCGGGTCGCTGCTGCGGTGCCTGGCGGCGGGGTGCATCGCGGGGTGCAGCAGGCGGGAGCTGCTGCTGATGCCGGGCGGGGAGGAGCTGCGCGTGACGCCGGGGCTGCTGGCCGGCCTCCTCTTGCAGGTGCGCTGCGCACCCGACGCGTTCCGATCTTCCGACCATTATCATTACAAGACTCCTGTTGAGTGCTTCCAGCTTGGCTTGGCTTTCCAGTCAGCCCACGTCTGCTCGGCACCGCTCCCCCCGCCAACTCATTGAAACACCCCCCCTCCCCTGACTCAGACACCCCCGCCCCTCGCACCGTCCGCGCAGGCCGAGGACGCATGCACGCCCAAGGACGTTCCTCTGCACGGCAGCGGCGCGCGCTGCGGCCGCCTGCAGCGCCTGCGCCACATGTACGACACCTACGTGCGCCCGCTCACGTCGCTCCCGGACGGCGGCGGCGTCCTGCTGCCGCAGGCGCGCGTGGAGTCGTGGCTGCCCGGCGTGGGGTGGCTGCCGATGGCGTTCTGCGTCCCGAAGCCCTACCTGAAGGACACGACGCTGCTGCCCGTAAGCATTCCTGACAGCGACGTCGAAGGGCAGCGCGGGCACGACGGGAACGCGTGCGGTTCGCCTGAGGCGGGGCCGAGTCCGTGCGCCGGCACAGGGCGCGCAAAGGGCGACGGCGGCGCGCCGTGGCCGGCGCGTACTGCTGCGCTCAGCACGGACGCGGAAACGAAGCTGCTGCTGTTGACGTCGCATGCCGGCACCGCCGCTGACGTCGTGCAGGCTCTGCTTGGCCGCGACGGCCTGGCGTCCGCGAGCACGCCAACGACCGGACCTGCCGACGCTCTCGAGCGGTGTCTGCAACGCGTGGCAGACCTTGCGAAGGCACCACGGGCAACGAAGGGTAGCGTAAGGCACAAAGTCACCAAGGTTGGTACAACCCCGTTATGTCGCGCTCAGCGCAGCGCCGCACGCACGCAACGTCCGCGCGCGCCGTTTGCGCTCACACTAAGCGCCCTTTCCGCCTCCACTACGGCCAAGAACACCTCACTTCGGGGAATTCGAAACATCGTCCTTCATTTTCACTTCGTGTCGGCATTGCACCGACGCCCGCGAGCCCTAGTGGCGCAGCGCCGCGTCGCCACGCCCGCTGCACCTGCGCGCCGGCTGCCGGCATGGACGAACGTCTGCATGTGGCCGATGTCTGCTGCCTTCTGGACACCGTGCGTCGCGTCGCAGGCACTCGATGCGATCAAGGCGCACCTCAGGGCCGTGGACAGGGTGGTCCGAAAGGCTGCGTTGACATTCAAGGTCGAAGCAGGCGTCGCGGGCTTTTCGCTGGGCGCGCGCGAGGGTCCGACCGCCCCGGCGTTTTGCTGTGCCAATCGCGAAAGCAAACTCGGCCGGCTGTGCCCCTCCGAGGGCGTCGAGGCACAGGCCGCGTTCGAGAGGCTGGTGGTGCAGGACGGGCGGCTGAGGCTCGGCGCCGGGTCGCTGCTGCGGTGCCTGGCGACCGCATGCATCGCGGAGCTGCCTGGACGGGACCTGCTGGCGTCAGACGGCCAAGGGGGGGAGTTCCGCCTGACTCCGGCGCTGCTCGCGGGGCTGCTTGTCGAGGTGCGCGCGACAGCGTGCCGTCCTGCCGCGGTCTGCGCGCTCGTTGCTTTTGTGTGGCCGAGCGCTGCTTCTCTTTGGCAATCGCTGCGAAGCAGCGTCACGGGAACGTGCAGCAGCAGCCCCTCGCACAAGAATCAAACATGGCGTTGCAAGTTGTTGGTCCAGTAATGACGCCCCCCTCCGCCTCCCTCGCTTCTCGCAGGCTGAGGACATGTGCACTCCGTCTGCGCGCAAGCCGGTCAACAGGCTCCCGGGCAGCAAGCTCACGCGCACGCGGCACATGTTCGAGACCTACGTCAGGCCGCTCATGAGTCAGCCCGACGGGGGGGGAGTGTTGCTTCCGGAGTCGCGGCTGGCGACGTGGCTGCCGGGTGTCGGCGCGCTGCCCATGGCGTTCCGCGTCGGGGCGGACGACGTCTTGCGCTGCTACATGATGAACCCACATCTCGCACTTTTGGCCGCGGGCAATAAGCGCGCAGGTCCCGCTGCCGACGCGGGGGGGGGGTCCGCAAACCAGAAGAAGCTGAAGCAGGAGGCGTAGGGCCGCGGGTAGGTAGGCAGGCGTGCGGAGTTGACTTGTTTGTGTTGCACGTTTGATATAGAGGTGGGACTTCGCGTGAGTCGACTCTTCATGACACGTGCGTGCGTGCGTGCGTGCGTGCGTGCGTGCGTGCGTGCGTGCGTGCCTCGACGTGCGGGGCGACGGGCCGGCGATCACGACAGGGGCGCGGAGCGGTGGGGCGCGGCGTCGGCAGCCGCACGCGAGGACCGACGCGACCGTGGAGCGTTGCGGTTTACTGGCGTCGGAGTAGGGACAGTGGGATGGTCGCGTGGCGGCTGGTCAGGGCAGGGCTGGTGCGGGGACGCGGCGCGGGGGGCTGCGCGGCGCTGCTTGGTGAGTCGGGGGACTTGGGCGGGCTGCAGGGGGGGGTTTTGAGGACTTCCGCGCCGGATGGTGCGGGTTGCGCAGGTGTGTGTCCCGTGATCGCGGCACGAGGAGAGCGCAGCAATGCGCGTACACCTTCCCGCGCAACTGAGTCCGACTGACCACACGCGCTCGGGCTGGGGACGTGAGCCCCCCCGCGACGGCGCGCGGGTCGCTTTGGCGCAAGCTGCCCGCTCTTCGGGCGCGTTGGAAGCCTGCGCGCCATATTCTCATCTCCCGCGCAGGGGGCTCGTCGAGGGGGGCGGCGCGGGCGGAGCGACTGTTACACTTCTGTCCGACACTTGGGGCCGGGCTGCTGAGCCCTTGGGCCGCGGAAGGGCGCTCGCTGCGCTCCACGCTGGCCGAACAATACTCTTCTGCACCATGGGTGCGCGGAAGGTACGTTTCGCGACGCGTCGCTGCGGGCAGCGCAGCCCGAGCTCTCTTGCGCAAGAGCACGTCTCTGACCCGACGCGTCGTGCGTGTCATTGCAGGACCTGGCGCGGCTGCAGGCCGAGCTCGACAGGATCTGCGCGGGGAACGGCGATACGACGCTCGGGACCCGCCGCGTCGCCCAGGAGGCCCGGTCTCCGGACCTTGATTGCTGGTTCCCAGGCGCCCGGACGAGCGCGTTTGAGGCGGAGCTCGCGGCTCTAGGCGCCCGCAAAGCACTACACAGCGACATGAGCGTCGATCACGGAGGCTCGGACGTCCCACCGACGGAGGTGGATGCGCAAGAGTCGGACGCAAGCGCCCATGACGACGCAAGCGGCCCCGCTGCCGGCGCGGACGCCGCTGGGGCGGCGCGGGGCGGCCACGCGGTGATAGACCTGACGCTAGACGACTCGGACGGCGACGGGGACGGCTCAGCCCCGGCCAAGGACGACGACAACGCTCCGGCCCCCCCTGTGCAGCGCTTGCTGCCGCTCGGAGCCTCGAGGGCCGCGACGCCTGCGCACCGGCGTCGCGCCGTACGGCCCGCGGAGCCCGTGCTGTGGCCCGCGTTCGTGCCCGCCGCACTCCGCAGCGAGGAAGCGCTGCAATTGCGCATGCCATGCATGGACTTTGGCTCGCACGCGGCCGTGCACGCGAAGATCAGTCTGACGGCTTTCTACAGCACGTCCGCCGACGCGACGCTGGCGCTGCTCGCGAGCGGGCGGCTCCGGCGCGGCGGGGACGCAGGGGCGCAGCGCTTTCCAGACGTCGCGCTGCACGCAATGCAGAACCTCGCGGTGCTCCAGGGGGACGACGGCGCGAACGCGAGGATGATTCGGCAGGTGCGGGCGACGCGTGCAGCCGCCCTGCGTGCGGAACCGAGCGCCCCGGCGATGGCTCGCAATTCCAGGAGGTCTTGTTTGCTCTCCATTCGAGTTCTCGATTGTCCTCTGCCTGTTTGAGCTGGAATCCAACGCCACGCCCCGTTCCGCTGCGGTGCAGGCTACCTGTGCGGCAAACAACGTCGCGTGGAGAATGGAGGTCAGCATCCGTCAGGCAGCTCGGAGCTTCACCGTTGCCACGACGTCAGGAACGCCTCTCACCGCCTTCGCGCGGCGGGATGCATGCGGCAAGCCGCAGTCCAGACTGCGCCCGTCTGCAGGCCTGGAGCAGCTCGTCACGTTCGAGCGCCTCGTCCTCAGCGAAGACGGCCGCACGCTGCGGCTGGGCCCCGGGTCGCTGCTGCGGTGCCTCGCCACCGGGCTGATCATGAGGCTCGGTAGACGCGACCTCCTGCTGCTGCTGCCCGCGCAAACGGAGCTGCGCGTGACGCCGGGGCTACTCGCGGGTCTGCTCGTCGAGGTGTGCCTTCCTTCCTGCGCCTGTCTCTCATACCTCTGTCTGGTCTCAGACTCCCTCCCCCGCGCGCTGATTTTCCACCAGGAGCTCGATCGGCGCAATCAGCGCGTTGTTCTCGTCACCGCGCCGTGCAGGCGGAGGACATGTGTACTCCCCCGGGCGCGGAATCGGCCCTGGACCCCCATGGCAGGAACCGTGTGCTGCGACTCCGTCACATGTTCGACACCTACGTCAGGCCGCTGACGCAGCTGCCCGACGGCGGCGGTGTGCTGCTGCCGCAGGCGCAGGTGGAGTCTTGGCTGCCGGGCGCTGCGTGGCTCCCAGCGGTATTCCGCGCCCCTCTCGATGACCTCCCAAGATGCGTCCAGCTGCCGCCACGCGCCGGTCGCCTTCAGCCGTGTCTGGAGCCCAGCTCGCCGCCGCGGGAGTCTGCGGAGAGGGAGCGCGGCGGCGCGTGCGGCGGCGGCGATGAGCAGGCGTCTGGCGACGGTGTTTATTCGCGGCAGACGGCGCTTCGGGCTTGCAGGGTGCCCGAGTACGTCGAGGACAGCGACGACGAGCCCTCCCCGGCGACGTCCGCGTCGTGGCAGTCGGAACTGATTGCGAGCCCTGGGCGTGCGACGAACGAGGAGGAGGGCGGCGGCGGCGGCGGGGCTGGCGGCGCGGAGCTGAATCTCTGTTCGGGGGCGGCGGAAGCAAGAGGTCACGGGCGACCCAGGAACACCGGGGGGGCTGTTTCCTCGATCTCGATCCCGGACCGGCCTGAGAGCGCTGCGAAGCTCTTCGCGCTGACCTTCAACGTCACGCGCGCGGACACGCTCCTGGCGCTCGTGGGCAGCGGGGAGCTCCCGGGGCTCAAGTCGGAGTACAAGGATGGCGGGAGGGTATCCTCGAACGGCCGGTGCGCTCTTGACGCGTGCTTGCGGGCGGTGCGCGACGTCACGGAAGTGTCGCACGGGGCCTCGGCGAGCGACGCGCTGAGCACCATCGAAGTGGTGAGTCACGTCCCGCGTCTGCCTCGGCGTGTGACCACGCAGGCAGCGAGCGCTGCCGCACAGAACCCCGCCGGCCCGCCCTCGATGCGTTGCAGGTGTTTCAGGCCGTCGAGAATCTGCAGAGTTGCGCGATACATCGTATGCGCCGTGCAGCGATGAGGCTCCACGTTCGCGAGGCGCATCGCGGGTGCTCCGATTCAGCGCTCTCGAGCTGCAGAGCTTTCCGCCGCGTGGGGGCGGAGCGTTCCCGTCTCTATCCGGCGGAAGATGCAGGGCACCTCGCCACGTTCGAGCAGCTCGTTCTGCGCCCGGACGGCGGGCTGCGCTTCGGCGAAGGCTCCCTGCTGCGCTGCCTGGCGACGGCATGCGTCCAAGGGCTGCCTGTGGCGCAGCTCACCTGCGGCGACGAGGGAGACCTCCGCCTGACACCGGCGCTGCTGGCCGGCGTTCTCGTCGAGGTGCGGCGGCTCTGTGGCAAAGAAGCTCTCTGCAGCCCATCGCGTTCGGAGCAACGCTGCTGATCCCCACCGCCAGCCGTGGTCACACCGCGCGGGGGTAGATATGCTTCCTGACGCGGCGCTCGCGCTCGCGCGCGTGCTGACGCACGGGCGCCTCGTCTGATACAGCCCCACGAACTCCTCCCCCGTCCCCACCGCGCCCTCGCAGGCCGAGGACATGTGCACCCCCGTCTGCGACAAGCGGGCGTTCCGTGCGCCCTTCGTTCGGCTTGCGCGGATGCGTGAGCTGTTCGACGCGCACGTGCGCCCGCTCATGTCGCTCCCGGACGGCGGCGGCGTGCTGCTGCCGCGGGCGCAGGTGGCCGCGTGGCTGCCCGGCGTCGACGCGCTCCCGGTGGCGTTCCGCGTCTCGAAGGAGGACATCACGCTCTGCTCCGCGTCGACGCACTTCAAGAAGGTCAACGATGAACGGCGCAAGCGGAAGCGCGACTGCGAGGACGACGGCAGCCTAGGATAGGACGGCGTTCCGGCAGACGCTCGCTGGAGGCGCGCTGCGCCTCACAACGATCAGCGGCATGCTGGTGTCGGGGCAGCGACGCGCGGGTTGATCAGTGCTCGGACAGCTGGTGCAGTTGGCGTGCGGACGGAGAAGGAGACGTTGCTTCTGAATGGGATCCAAGATTGTGGTAAGGCAGCAAAGCTCAGGGCATGTGTAGGAGGCTGCATTGACGCTGTGTTCGCCGCGCGCGTGTGAGCTGCTTGCATCGAAGTACAGGTACACCACGCCGCGATCGTGACACGGTGCGAGCCGCAGGGACGCGCCAGAGCGAGGTCCTGTCAGGTATGATACCCCCCCCCTTCGATGTGGCGTGCTGCGTTGCGCGTCGCCGGCGACTTTGCCCTCCCGGGACACACACTGATTCGATCTCTCCCCTCGCGCGCAGGGGGCTCGCTGAGGTAGACGTCCCCGGCAGAGCGGCGGCTTTCACATCAAACTTCGATATTGCCCGCGGTGCTGCGGCCCAGAACAGGCGAACGCCGCAGACGCCGCGTCCCGCCGCTGGAGAAATACTACACCGGCGCGATGGGCGGCCGCAAGGTGAGTCGCGCGCTCCGTCGCCGCGGGAATCGAGGATCGACGTTTCGAGGCACGACTGCGTCTCAAAGTCGGCGCTCGTCCGCGCATGCGTTGCAGGACCTGGCGCGGCTGCAGGCCGAGCTAGACAAGATCTGCGCGGGCAACGGAGATGCGGCCGCTCGCCGCGCCCGGGAGGCCCAGTTCACGGACTCTGCCCTCAAGCTTTTCAACGACCGACTGAGCGCGTTCGAGGCAGAAATCGCCGCTCTAAGCGCCCGCAAACCACTACACAGCGACGGAGGCTCGGACGTCCCACCGACCGTGGTAGATGCGCACCAGACAGACGGGAGCGCCGATGATGACGGGGCCTGCACGGGCGCGGACGGCGCCGGAGCAGGGCGGGGCGGCCACATGGTGATCGACATGACGATGGAGGACTCGGACGGCGGCGGAGACGGCGCGGCCCCAGCCGACGGCGCTCGCGCGGCCCCATGGCAGCGCCCGCATAAGCTGCACGCAGCGCCGAGGGCCGCGGCGCCTGCGCACGTGCGCCGCACCGGACGGAGCTCGCAGCCAGTGTTGTGGCCTGCGTTCCTGCCCGCTGCCCGCCGCGGACCGGAGCCACTCCACCTCGCCCCTGCGCAGGGGGGGTCTGCAAAAGACTCCGCTGCAGACCTCCACGCCAAGCTGTGCCTGACGGCGTATCACTGCACGTCCGCCGACGCGGCGCTGGCGCTGCTCGGCAGCGGGCGCCTCCGGCGCGGCAGCGAGGCACAGGCTTGCAGCTTGGCAGCAGCGCTGCACGCAATCGCAGACGTCGGGAGCTTCGACGGGGACAGCGACGCGAACAGGACGATGGTGTGCAAGGTGAGCTGCTCGCAACGCGCGTGGCTGTGCGTGGGGACTCGCGCGCCCTGACGTCAGCTCGCAATGCCAGCGCTGGTTGAGTGCGGCCTCAATACCCCCCCCCCACACAACCTCCACCCCCGCGAACATTCTGCGCCGCAGACTACCAAGGCTCTGCACGGTCTCCGGCGGAAGATCGAAGCGGGCGTGCGCGCGGCAGCTCTGCGTTTCCGTGTCGCGTGCGCGGGCACAGCAGACGGCACGCGCCCCGTCGCGCACCACGCCTTCCGCCGAACGACGCGCGGCAGTCGCAGAGTGCCCCCGAAACTGTGCCCCTCTCCGCATCTGGAGCAGCTCGTCACCTTCGAGCGCCTCGTCCTCACCGACGACGGCACGCTGCGGCTGGGCCCCGGCTCGCTTCTGCGGTGCCTTGCGGCGGGGCTCGTTGCCAAGCTCAACCGGCCCGAGCTGCTGCTGATGCCCGGGGGCACGGAGCTGCGCGTGACGCCGGCGCTGCTCGCGGGCCTGCTCTTCGAGGTGCGCGATGGCGCTATTTCCGACCACTTCACCCCCGTCATCTTGCGGCGAGATCGGCGGAAACGGCGCCACCCTTCTTCGACCGTGCTGCGCAGGCGGAGGTCATGTGCAGTCCGAAGAACGCGAGCCTGACTCTGGAAACCAAAGGCGTCCGCTTGGTACGACTCCGCCATATGTTCGACGCCTACGTCAGGCCGCTGACGCAGCTGCCGGACGGCGGCGGCGTGCTGCTGCCGCGAGCGCAGGTGGAGGCGTGGCTGAACGGAGTCGGGTGGCTGCCGGCGGCGTTCCGCGTGCCTGAGTCGGACCTGCCGCAATGCTTGTACATCTCGGGGCGCCCCGCGCGCGGCGCCGACGATCATTCTGTGGGCGCCGAGGCGGAGCTGACGCCGCGGATCGAGATGTGCTTGGCGCCGGGCAGCAGCAGCGATTCGGAGTTGTTGGGCGACGCCGATCAATGGCTACAGACGACGCGCCGGGCTTGCAGGGCGCGCTCGAGGCCCGATGACGTTGTCAAGGACAGTGGCGACGACCCCTCTCCGGCGACGTCCTCGTCGTGGCTGTCGGGTGCGATCGTGCAGCAGCGCTGCACGCGCGCGCACGTGGACGCCGAAAGCAGCGACGACAGCGACTCCAGCAGCGCGACGCCGAGCTCGGGGTACACGCAGCGTTTGTGCGGTCCTGGAACGGCGAAGGTGGGAGGCCTCGGGCGACCCAGGAACACCCCCCGGGGGGTGTCTTTCTTCACGGGACCAGAATGTGCTGCGAAGCTCTTCTTGCTGACCTGCCGCGCCACGCGCGCGGACGTCATCCTTGCGCTGGTGGGCAGCGGGCAGCTGCCGGGACTCAAGTCCATGTACAAGGACGTGGCGTGTGTTCCCGCGCCCCGCATTCTTGACGCATGCTTCCGGGCAGTGCGCGACGTCACCCAAGTCTCCGACCGCCCAGACGCAGCGAATTCGGTCATCGCAACGGTGAGCCCCCGCCTCGCCACGCGTGCGCTCCAGCAGCGAGGCCGGCGCAACGAAGCAGCATGCGCATCGCACAGCCCCAACACTGTTCTGTCTCCCCTTGGTGCATTGAAGGGCCTGGAGACCGTCACAAATCTGGAACGGAACGCGACGAACCACATGCGCAGTGCAGCGCTGAGATTCAACGTCGGCGAGGCGGGCAACGGGCGTTCTCAGGAATTGAGTTGCAGAGCGTTCTGCCGTGCTGCACCTTCGATCTCGGGGCAAGGCCGCCTCTGTCCGACCAAAGACGCAGCGCGCCTCGCAACCTTCGAGAGGCTCGTCCAGCGCCCGGACACAGGGCTGCGTTTCGGCGCAGGTTCCTTGCTGCGCCACCTCGCGGCGGCAGCCCTTGAAGTGCTCCCCCGGCGCGTGGCTCTGCTCACTGGCGGCGATGAGGAACAGATCCGGCTGACGCCGGCGCTGCTGGCCAGCATTCTCGTCGAGGTGCGGTGACCCGCCTGCGGCTCCGTGGTAGCCTTGCTCCTCCGCGCCTTTATTAAGCACATCATCACGCGCTTGCAGCAACGTTGCTGGCTTGCGTTCCGATGCGGCGGTCGCATGCCTGCTGACGCACGGACCCCGCGCGTGGACCAGATTTACGACTTCTCATGTCCGCACCGCGCCCCCGCAGGCGGAAGACATGTGCACCCCCGTCAGCAACAAGCAGGCGTTCGGTGCGAGCCTCGCTCGGCTGATGCGGACGCGCCACATGTACGACGCGTACGTGCGCCCGCTCATGTCGCTCCCGGACGGCGGCGGCGTGCTGCTGCCGCAGGAGTACGTGGCGGCGTGGCTGCCGGGCGTGAACTGGGTGCCGGCGGCATTCCGCGTGCCGAAGGTGGACATAACGCTCTGCTCCTCCGCAAAGGCATTCTGGAAGATCAACGATGAACGGCGCAAGCGGAAGCGCGGCCGCGAGGACGACGGCACCTCCGGACGGGACTCCGACGCTGAGCATCACACGTGGAAGCGCGCCTGACTCAGGGCGGTGCGCGAGAACGAGCAGCGACGAGAGCGACGGCGCTTCAGCACCGGGGGGCGCGGGCCAGGCGGCAGCATCAGGGGCCGGGCGGTGCCGTCGCGGGCTGGCAATGGCAATGGCAACGGCGACAACAATCGACGACGCCAGGTCTGGGCAGCCACGTGCGGAGTGCGGAGCGCTCGGGCTGCTGGGCTGGCGCTGCGGTGGCGACGAGCGGGTGCGGACGAAGGAGGACGATCTTGCGCGCGCAGAATAGAGAGACAGTGCGTGGAGCTTTCGAATTGTGTGCCTCGACGGAGGCTGCATCGAGGCTCCGTTCTCTCCGCGTGTGAGCTGCATGCATCGAGGCACGGTCGCGCGTCCCGTGATCGCGACGCAAGCTGCAGGGGCGCGGGAATCCGAGGTCGTGTCAGGTACAACACACCCCCCCTGGACGTGGCGTGCTGCGTTGCGCGTCGCCGGCATCTTTGCGCCCCTGAGAGACACCGCACACTCAATTCCGTCCTCGCGTGCAGGGGGCTCGCTGAGGGGGCCATTCCCCCGGCAGAGCGGCGGCTGGAACGGCCATCTTCGACCTTGCCCGCGGTTCTGCGGCCCGGAACCGGCAAACGCCGCAGACGCCGCGTCCCGCCGCTGGAGAAACTACACCGGCGCGATGGGCGGCCGCCAGGTGAGTCGCGCGCCTCGCCGCAGCGGGGAAAGAGGATCGAACTATTGACTCACGACTGCATCACCGGTCCGACGCGCCCGTGCATGCGCTGCAGGACCTGGCGCGGCTGCAGGCCGAGCTAGACAGGATCTGCGCGGCGAGCGTGCGAGAAGTCCCCGCGGACGCGCATGCGCACCGGCTCACGGAGCGATCTCTCGCCCAGCTCTGTGCCCGAGTCAGCGCCCTGGAGGCGGAGCTCGCGCACCTGAGCGACCGCAGAGCACTAGTCGGCGACGGAGGTGCTAGCGACCCGAGCGACGGAGGCTCGGAACGTTCGGACGTAGCACCGACGGCGGTCGACCCACAACTGACGCCGGCAAGCGACAGTGACGACGCGAACGGGGCTGCTGCTGGCGCGGAAGATGCCGGGGAGATCCGGGGCGCCCACGTCGGCGACATCAGGATGGTGGCCGACAGCGAAGACGGGCCAGGCGACGGCCCATCGAACGGCGACGACGCACCCTTGTCGTACGCGGACGGGCCGACGAGCGCTGGCGAGGCTCCGCAGGGGAGCGACGACGACGGCGCGCGGCGCGCGGTGCTGTGGGCGTCCTTCGTGCCGCCTGCGCTGCGAGAGCAGGAGACGATGGAGCTGAAAGCCCCGATCTCGGCAACTGTCGAATCATCGCTGCGTCGCCTCGGCACCGAGGACAGCAGGAAGCTGGCTCTGCTGACGTACGTGTGCACGGCCGCGGACGTGGTGCTTGCGCAGCTCGGGAGCGGGCGCAGGGCGAAATGCGGACGAGGCGCCAGCTCGGAGCGTTCGTCCAAGTGCGACAACATGAAGACCGCTCTGGTCGCGACGAAGGATCCGAGGGTCTACCGCGACCTTTTTGGACGTGGCGTAAAAAGCCAGCGGGTCAGTGCATCACAGTCCGGCGCCAAGCCTCCCTCCTCGCGCCACATAAATCGCAGTCAGACGGAGTCCATGGTACAACACTCTAAAATGACGTCAGTTGGATTCCTCCCACCGCAGGCTTTCACGAACGGGCAGAACCTCTTCGCAAACCACGCTCGCGCCGGCGTGCGCGCGGCGGCCCTGGGCGTGACCGTCCCTGCTGACGCGGAGGCTTCGAGGGCTACCAGCGGCGCAACCACCGGGCCGCGCACCGCGTTCCGCCCCTGCGAGTCTCCCCGGAAATGCCTCCGTCCGTCTCGGAGTCTCGGGGACCTCGTCACCTTCGAGCGCCTCGTCCTCCGCGACGACGGCCGCACGCTGCGGCTCGGCCCTGGGTCTTTGCTACGCTGCCTTGCCACGGGGTGGCTGGCGAGCTTCGACCGATGCGACCTGCTGCTGATGCCGGGGGGCGAGGAGCTGCGCGTGACGCCGGCGCTGCTCGCGGGCCTGCTCGTCGAGGTGAGGCCTCCTGGATCGAGATTCGTGTTTTGCTTTTTTATTATTATTCTGCCAGGCCCAACTGGTCGTCACTGCTCGCAACTGCACGATCGAGGCACGGCCCGACCTTGCGAGTGCGTGTCTGCAGGCGGAGGACATGTGTACTCCTCCGGAACGCAAGTTACCGCTCGCCGCGCCCGGACATCGCGTGCTGCGCATGCGGGAGCTCTTCGACACGTACGTCAGGCCGCTGACGCAGCTGCCGGACGGCGGCGGCGTGCTGCTGCCGCAGGCACAGGTGGAGACGTGGATGCCGGGCGTGGGGTGGCTGCCGATGGCGTTTCGAGTCCCGAAAAACAAAGTACCGGGCTGCTTGTTTTCTCAGTACGGGGCGGCACACAGGCTGCAACGACCGCAGCGATCGGGCTCGGACGCGCCTCCGCAGGCCTCGAGCGACGACGTTGCGGACGACGCGGATGCTTCTGGGAGCTCCCGCGACGGGTCGTCTTCGCCGTCGCCGACGCGTCGCAGAGGGCGCGGAGGGTGCGAGGCTGACTCCCGGACGGACAGCGGCGCTGACCTCTCCCCGACGTCTTCCCCGTCGCCGACGCAAGCGATCGCGCTCCGCACGCGGGCGCGCGAGAACGCGGGTGACGGCGGCTGTGGCGAGGTGCCGAGCACAGGACATGTGCGTCATGGACCAAGCGAGGCACAGACGACAGCGAGAGGTCTCGAGCGGCCCAGAAACACCCCGGGGGGTGTTCCTTTCATCGACAGTAATCAAGGAGCTGCCAGACTCTTCGCGCTGACCTTCAACACCACGCGTGCGGACGTGATCCTGGCGCTGGTGGGCAGCGGAGAGCTGCCGGGGCTGAAGCGGAAGTACAGGGATACGGCGGGGCGCGCGCCGGGAGCTCTCGACGCGTGCGTGAGGGCAGTGCGAGACGTCAGTGTCTTGTCCGACCGGCAACTCGGTGCGCGGGCGATCATCTCAAAGGTACGGCCGAGACTCCGACGGCGCGTCACGACAAAAGCAACGCACGTGTCGCCTTCTGAGCGCCATCGGCATGTCGTTATGCCTCGCAGGTGTCTAAGATCGCCCGCGCCCTGCGTCAGCTCGCAGAGGCCCGTATGCGCAAGGCAGCGCTGGGCTTTACTGTCAAGGGTGCAGACGCCCGAGCACGAGGGAGCCGGCCGGCATTCCGTCGCGCCGACAACGCCGAGAGCGCCCGGCTGTGTCCGGCCACTGACGCAGCGCACCTCGCGTCGTTCAAGCGGCTCGTTCTGCGCCGGGATGGGCGGCTGCAGCTCGGCGGAGGGTCCCTGCTGCACTGTCTCGCGGCGACGTGCGTCGACGCGATTCCCGGGTACGGTGCTCTGCTGGCTGACTCGGTTGAAGGGCAGGTCCGACTGACGCCGGGGCTGCTGGCCGGCGTGCTCGTCGAGGTGCGGCGACTCGTCTGTGCGCCTCAGAGGCGGCTGCGCTCCTCCTCGCAGCTTTTGCTGCGATCCATGAACACAATACGTCGCATTTGAATTCGCAGCTGCAACGTTGGATGCTTATGTTTGTTTCACGGAGCGGCGATCGCGCACACGGCCCAGCTCGCTCGCTTACACCGAGACCGTGCCTGAAACAGCCCCCTTCACGCCCCTGTCCGCGCCACAACCCCGCGCAGGCGGAAGACATGTGCACCCCGGTCGGCGAGAAGCTGCCGTCGGGCCGCAGCAAGTACCTTCCTCGCATGTTGCGGATGCGCCACATGTACGACGCGCACGTGCGCCCGCTCATGTCGCTCCCGGACGGCGGCGGCGTGCTGCTGCCGCAGGCGCATGTGGCGGCGTGGCTGCCGGGCGTGCACTGGGTGCCGGCGGCCTTCCGCGTGCCGGAGGACGAGATCGCGCTCTGCTCTGTCGGAACAACTCTTGTCAAGACGGTTAAGGGACGGCGCAAGCGCCAGCGCAGCGCTGATGACGACGACAGCTCCCACGGCGGCGCCGGTGCACAGCAGCTACCACAGCAGCGCCGGAAGCGGAGGCGCGCATGACAGGGCGGTCCGCGAGACAGGTTGACGACGAGCGCTCGAGCAGCGCGGCTGCGTCACGCAGCACTGCGTTGGCACTTGACGTGGTCGTAAATGCTCACAACAACACGAGTTTCATCGATTGATGACTTGTAGACGGTCCTGGTTGAGGCTCCGGTTCTCGCACGCGTGTGAGCTGCTTGCACCGCACCGTCGTCCTGCACGCCGTGGTCGTGGCGCGGTACGAGCCGCAGGGGCGCGGTCAGGCGAGGCTGCGTCAGTCAGAGGTGAGACCCCCCCCTCCTCGATGCTGCTTGCGCGCATCGCCGGCTCTTTGCGCTCGCGAGACCCGCGACGCATCGAACTCTGTCCTCGCATGCAGCGGGCTCGTCGAAGGGGACGTCGCCGCCACAGCGACGGCTCCAACGTCTGCGGTGATCTCACGGGCGCGCCCCGCTTCTCGGGGCCGCAACAGGGCGTTTTTTGCGGTTTCCGCTGCCTGAAAAATACTGTTCAGACACCATGAGCGGGCGAAAGGTCCGTCGCGCGGCCCATCGGTGCAGAACACGAGGATCGACTCGAGCCACATCTGTGTCTCCGACCTGACGCGTCCGTGCATGATTGCAGGACCTGGCGCGGATGCAGGCCGAGCTCGATAAGATCGTACGAGCCGGGAGCACGCGACCGCCCCGTCAGAAGGCCGCGGAGCCTCGTCTCGCGGAGCTTCCCCTCGACCTGCTTCGGTCCCGACTAGGCGCTCTTCACGCGGAGCTCGCGGCGCTAAGCGCGCTCAAACCGCAAACCAGCAACCACGGCGTCGACGAGCCGAGCGAGAGCTCGGACGTCCCACGCACGGCGGTGGATTCCCAACCACCCGAAGTCAACGAAGAAGACGTCAAGGGAGGGGGCGCTGCCGCGGACGACACCGGCGCGGCGCACGGCGGCTACGTCGTCGACCTGACGGTCGCGGACTCGCGCCGCAACGGCGGCGCAGGCCCGGCCAACAGCGCCCGCGCCGCCCACCCGCCCCGGCGCCACAAGACAGGGCCCGGGACGGGCGTGCGCCGCACGGTGCACCGCCTCGCGCGGGCGGCGCTGTGGCCCGCGTTCGTGCCCGCCGCGCTCCGCGAGCAGGAAACGCTGGAACTCCCCCCCATGTACGTGGCCGCTGTCGGGTCCGACGCAGACCTCCACGCGAAGCTGTGTCTGACGGCGTACCAGTGCACGCACGCCGACGTCGCGCTGGCGCTGCTCGGCAGCGGGGAGTTCCAGCGCGGCGGGGACGCCGGGACGCCGGGGAGGGGGGGGAGTGATTACGACGTTGCGCTGCGGGCGATGAAGGACGCGGAGGTGCTCGCCGGCGACGGCGACGAGCACAGGGAGCTGCTGCGCACGGTGAGGACCATGCAGCGGCGACCTGAGCGCCTGATGAGAGAGCAGCACCATGTGTCGGTGCTCTGTCAGACCCAGTGCATGCAACACCCCCCCCGTTGCTCCTGCGATGCAGAAAGCCCTGGCAGTGCACGACGTTCGCCGGAGGCTGGAAGCCGGCATGCGCGAAGCAGCTCTGGACTTCGAGGTCGCGGTCACCGACGCAGCGACCCACGGCGCCATGCGTCGCGCCTTTGTACGCCGGTCGCCCACGGCGCAGTCCAAGCTGTCCCCGTCCCCGGGCCTGGAGCACCTCGTGACGTTCGAGCGCCTCGTCCTCGGCGACGACGGCCGCGCGCTGCGCCTGGGCCCCGGATCGCTGCTGCGGTGCCTTGCGGGGGGCCTCGTGTCGAGGACGACCCGGCCTGAGCTGCTGGTGATGCCCGGGGGCGCGGAGCTGCGCGTGACGCCGGCGCTGCTCGCGGGCCTGCTCGTCGAGGTGCGCGTCCCGCGTCGTCACGCCCCCGAAATTCAAATATGACTCCCCCTTGCAGCCAGTGCAGCCCGCGATCGCGCGGCCGGCCCTCCACCGCGCGACGCAGGCAGAGGACATGTGCACGCCCGCGAACGCGAGCTTCAATCTGGACACGAGGGGCGTCCGCGTGCGGCGCACGCGTGCGCTGTTCGACACCTACGTGCGCCCGCTGACGCAGCTCCCGGATGGCGGCGGCGTGCTGCTGCCGCAGGCGCACGTGGAGGCGTGGCTGCAGGGCCTGGGGTGGCTGCCGATGGCGTTTCGCGTTCCAATCGAGCTTTTCCCTCACTGTCTGTTTCCACCGAACGTCCGATTGCCAGTGCCAAGCAGCGTGAAGGATACGCGGGTGCGGGAGCGCGGAGCAGCTGCTGCGAGGCCGCAGGAGCCCGCGACGTCGGACGCGGGCGCGCTGGCGCAGGCCTCGAGCGACGATGGCGCGGACGGGGATTACACCCCCGGCGCCTCTCGGGAGGCCTCCCCTTCGCTGCTGACGCAGGGCGCCGGCGACGCGCGCGCGGCGCGCAGCGACGACGACGTCGACAGCGGGGACGAGTCGTCGGGAGCGTCGTGGTCGTCGGCGCCGTCGTTGGCGCTCTCGCGGCACGCAGCACCACTACAAGCGGAAAGTGCCGTCGACGAGGCGAAGCTGTTCTTGCTTACGTACAGCGCGACGCGTGCGGACGTCATTCTCGCGCTGGTGGCCAGCGGCGCGCTGCCGGGGCTCAGAAAGAAGTACAAAGGCACTGGAGGTCCTCAATGCAGCATTGAAGACTGTCTGAAGGCCGTGCGCAACGTATCTGAGGTCTCCCGTCAAGAGGCTGCTGCGAGGCCTCTGGTGGCCAAGGTGCGCTGCCCGCGGAACGGTCCGCAGGCTCGCGACCGCGCTGCGCGCAACGCACGCGCATGCACGCGTGCGTGTGCGGATCGAAATGCCTGGGAAGTGACTGACGCGCCGCACGTCTTTCTGTGTTTTGCAGGTGAAGGAGGCCACGCATGATGCGACGAGAGCTGCGGCGAATCGACTCTACAGCGCGGCGTTGCATTTCCGTGTCTCGTCTGCCAGCACGGTGCTTTCAGAGTCGGACCCAACAACGGGCCGCCCCGCGTTCCTCCGGGTCCAGGGTAACGCGAAGGGGGGCTCCCTCTACCCGCACCCCAAGGCCGCGAAGCGCGGCCTGGTGACCTTCGAGCGGCTCGTGCTGCGGCCCGGGGGGGGTCTGCAGCTCGGCGAGGGGTCTCTGATGCACTGTCTGACAGCGGCGTGCCTCCGCGGACACCCCCAGCGCGCCCTGCTCTTAACCGACGGCGGACGAAGGTTCCGGTACACTCCCGCGCTGCTCGCGGGTCTCCTCGTCGAGGTACCAAACCCCCAACCCCGCTGCACAACGCAGCGCTTGCACCTGACGCAGGCCCCCCACGCGCCACCTGCCGCTCCCCGCACTCACGTCCACGTCCTGGTCCATCCATTCCCGTCCTTCCCCGCTCCCCGCGTCACGTGCCCGCAGGCAGAGGACATGTGCGCGCCCGTAGAGCACAAGCAAGCCTTCGAGATCGTCGGCCGCCGGACGCTGCGCATGCGGCACATGTTCGACGCGTACGTGCGGCCCCTCACGCAGCTGTCGGACGGCGGCGGCGTGCTGCTGTCGCGCGTTCGCGTCGAGACGTTGCTGCCAGGCGTGCCGTGGCTCCCGGTGGCGTTCCGCGTGGCCGAAGCGGACCTGCCGCGGTGCTTCCGGCGCGTCGTGCATGCTGACGCCAAGCCCTCGAAGCGCGGGCGCGAAGCGGACGGCGCCGGCGGCTCGAAGCGGAGGCGCGCGTGACGCGGAGGCTGTCTGGGCTGAGTCAGCCGCGGCGCACGCCTGCGCTCCGTGCGTCCGGGAGGACGCGCGCGGGCGAGGCGGTGCGGAACGCGGTGCCGCTGTGTAAGTGCATGCAAGCTCGATTCCGCGGTGGTCGACGTCGATTGCTGCGACGGTACGTGTTCCGTGATTACGCCTGGAGGGCCGTCGTGGTGCTGGAAGCGATGCTGCCTGCGCGACGCGACACAGGATGCCAGGGGGCGCTTCCGCGGACGGGGGCGCTTCCGCCGGCTCGACGGCGGCCTGGGGGTGTCTCGCAAGTCCAGTCAGGACGCATTTGCGGTCCGACAGTCCGACTGGCGGGCTGGAGATGCCACACCGTTGCTGGACCGGGGCGCCCGTCGCACGAACAGCCCGCTCCGGCACGCAGAAGGTCCGCCCAGCGCCCGCTCGTCCGTCGAGGCGGGGCTACGTTCGCCTCGTGCGCCAGCCGGGCCTCCGGGGCGCTCGTCCAGGGGCGAACCCATCTGTTTGGGCCGCAATCCGGCTCGTGAATCTCACGGGGCACGATGTCGACCGGTCGGGTGAGCTCGAGCGTCCACGAATTCGTCGCAACGGAGCGTTCACACGTTGGTTCAAGCCCTCACGATTCCTCGCCCGTTCGCTTCGAATCGCGCGCCACTGCAGGATCTGCTCCCCGACATTCTTTCGATGCTGACCAAGATCCACGCCGGCCTGCAGCAGCAACGCCAGACGGGCCCAGACGACGGCCAGCCGCTGGCGGATCTCCTGATGGACAGCGCGACCCTCGGGAAGCTCACGGCGATGTCCGACGCCGCCGACGCCGTTCCCGGCCAGGAAACGGCGCAGCCCGACGCGGCGTGCTCCGTTTCGGTCCCGGACACCCAGGTTGACGACTGGAGCGGCCACGAAGGGTCGGAGACGAGCGACCCGGTCGACTCGCAGGTCAGGCCGCCCGCGCAGGGCAAGCGCCACCCCACCGTGCCCTCCTCGTCGACTCTCGAGGACGAGAGCAGCGACGAAGACGCGGACGCCCCCGCGGACAGCAACGACCCTGGTCGCTCAGTCGAACGTCAAAACCTCGCCGCACCGGCGCCGCGTCGACCGGCTGACAGGCCGCGCGCTCCCCTCACGTCCTCCTCGTCCGACGGCACCCTCTCAAGCATCCCTCTGCGTCCGCCAGCGACCCCTGCGCGCGCAGCGCAGCGGCAGGTGCCCGACAGGCTGCGCCCGCCGGCGCCGCGGCCCGCCGACCGCGACGCCTGCCCCGCGAAGCTCATTCTCTGGCCGGCGGCCCTGCGGGCCGCCGACCGCCAGGCGGCGTACTTCAGGCGGAACGCCGTCAAGCCTCCGCCGGGGGCCGTCGACAGTGGGAGAGTCTGCCCCCTGGGCGTGGAGGGCAACGCCAAGCTGACGCTGTTGACGTACAGCTGCACGGCCGTCGACGCCCTGCTCGCCCTGTGCCGCTGCGAGTCGATGCCCCGTCTGACACGGAAGTATAACGACATCAGGAACAGGAGGGGTCCCTTCGCGGCGGCCATGGCGGCCGCGGCTGACGTCGAGGCGGCGTTCGCGGACCACAAGGTGGCGTTCCACATGATGACCAAGGTGCGGGCCCGCCTCATGCGCCGGCGCGGAAGACCCCCCGCCTGTCGTTGCGCAAAGGAGGGGGGGGGTGTTTTGGCATTCTCGAAGCTCCTTGCTGCCCGTGCGCCGCCGCTGCAGCTCATGCACACGATCAACGACATGCGGGCGGCCTGCGATCGGAAGGTGCGGAATTCCGCGCTCGCCTTCACCGTCGTCGACGAGGCCTCCGGGACGCACAGGCGCCGGGCGTTCCGGGTCTGGCCCGGCAGTTCCGGGCGCAAGTGCGAGCTGTGTCCGTGCGAGGACCTCGAGGACCAAGTGACGTTCGAGCGCCTCGTCGCGGCCGAGGACGGCGGGCTGCAGCTGGGCGCGGGGTCGCTGCTGCGGCGGATTGCCACGACGTGGGTCTCGGCGTTCCGCAGGCAGTGGCTGCTGCTCGCCGATCAGGAGACAGGCGAGCTGCGGGTCACGCCGGCGGTGCTGGCGGGCCTGCTCGTGGAGGTGCGCTGGCGGTCAGACACGCAGTTGTCAGTCTGTCAGACACAGCCGTCGCGACCGCAAACTCGGTGTGCCGCCACGCGCTGTGCTTGCGGCAGTGGGTAGGAGAGCGGGAGGGCCGGCGTTCAGTCGCATCCGCATCCACTCGCGCCGGCGCCGCGTCAAAACAACCCCCCCCTGACATCATCCGCCCGTTGTCGTTCTTTCGCAGGCGAAGGAAATGTGCACGCCTGCGGGTCAGAAGAGCGCCGTTATCGGACGGGACCGATCCGCGGAGCACCGCGAGATGTTCGACACGTACGTGCGCCCTCTCATGAGTCAGCCTGACGGCGGGGGGGTGTTGCTGCCCAAGGCGCAGCTGGCGACGTGGCTCGACGACGTGGGCGCGCTGCCGGCCGCGTTCCGCGCGCCGAAGGAGAAGCTGCCCGGCTGTCTCGGCCCCAAGAGGCACGGGAAGCCCTACGAGCAAGCGCCTGTCCCTGAGAGCGCTGGCGGCGGCGCAACAGGCGGGCAGCGGGCCAAGCGTGCCAGCGACCGGCAGCCTGGCCACCACAGCAGCAAGCAGCCGAGGCTGGTGATTCGGGACTACCGGGGCATCATCCGCGAGAGAGTGGAGAAGGAGTGAGCGCGCCCACGTTGCATGACGACTTTGGCGTTGAGGTGAGGCTGTTGGAGTAGCGGGTGGGACAGCAGGGACGGGTGTGAATGAGAGGAGCCAACGGACTGCCGCGGACGTGTCGGAGAGTCGCGGAACCGGCACGCTCGGGGCCGGAGTCAGCCCGTGGTGTTATGTCATACCGTGATCGCGTCAGGAGGGCCGTCGTGGTGCTGGAAGCGATGCTGCCTGCGCGACGCGACACAGGATCGCAAAATCCGCGGACGGGCGCGCTTCCGCCGGCTCTCCGGCGCCTGGGGGTGTCTCACGAGTCCAGTCAGGCCGCTTTTGCGGTCCGACAGTCCGACTGGCGGGCTGGAGATGCCACACCGTTGCTTGACCGGCGCGCCCGTCGCACGAACAGCCCGCTCCGGCACGCAGAAGGTCCGCCCAGCGCGCCCTCGTCCGTCGAGGCGGGGCTGCGTTCGCCTCGTGCGCCAGCCGGGCCTCCGGGGCGCTCATTCAGGGGCGAACCCATCTGTTTCGGCCACGTTCCGGCTCGTGAATCTCACGGGGCACGATGTCGACCGGTCGGGTGAGCTCGAGCGTCCACGGAGCGTTCACGCGCTGGCCCATGCCTGTACGTATTCCCTCACCTTTTCCGCTTCGTATCGCGCGCCACTGCAGGATCTGCTCCCCGACATCCTCTCCATGCTGACCAAGATCCACGCCGGCCTGCAGCAGCAACGCCAGACGGGCCCAGACGACGGCCAGCCGCTGGCGGATCTCTTGCCACAGATGGACAGCGCGACCCTCGGGAAGCTCACGGCGGTCTCCGACGCCGCCGCCGTTCCCGAGCAACAAACGGCGCAGCCCGACGCGGCGCGCTCCGTTTCGGTCCCGGACACCCAGGTTGACGACTGGTCCCGCTCCCAACGCGGCCGCGAAGGGTCGGAGACGAGCAACAAGGCCGGCGGGTCGCAGGTCAGGGCGCGCGCGCAGGGCAAGCGTCACCTCACCGTGCCCTCCTCGTCGACTGTCGAGGACGAGAGCAGCGACGAAGACGCGGACGCCCCCGTGGTCAACAACAACACCAGCGCGGGCGCCCATGGTCGCTCAGTCGAACGTCAGCACCTCGCCGCACCGGCTCCGCGTCGACCGGCTGACGGGCCGCGCGGTCCCCTCACGTCCTCCTCGTCCGGCGACGACGGCGCCCTCTCAAGCGTCCCTCTGCGTCCGCCAGCGACCCCTGCGCCGCCGGTGCCCGACAGGCTGCGCCGGCCCGCCGACCGCGACGCCTGCCCCGAGAAGCTCATTCTCTGGCCGGCCGCGGTGCCTGAGTCTCAGCGCCAGGGCGAGTACTTTCCCAGGACGGTGCTCGCCCACGTTTGCGGCGCCCCCGCGCAGGCATCCTCGCTGGGCGCCGAGGGCAACGCCAAACTCGCCCTGCTCGCGTTCCACTGCACGAACGCGGACGCTGCGCTCGCCCTGCTCGGCTGCGAGAAGTGCCCGGCGCTCGTCAGCGCGGCCCGCTCGGCGCTGGCAACGCGGCAGCGCACGCACCTGGAGCTCGCGTTGGAGGCCGCCGTTGACGTCGGATCGGTCTTCGCTCCCCCGAGCGCGTCCAAGACGATAACGAAGGTCCGCGGCCCGCCGGATCCGCGCCAGGATGTCGCCGACTGCAGGTCACACGCTAAGAGACTCCCCACGGAACTCCCCCCCTGCAGCTGACTCACTCGGTGAACGACCTGCGGGCTCGTCTGGACCGCAACCTGCGTGCAAGCGCCCTGGAATTCACCGTCGCGGTCCCCAACCACGTCCCCGCCGGCCACAGCCGCCACGATCCGCCCCCCGCCACAGACGCGAACGCCGCAGCACCCCGCAGGGCCTTTCGGCGGTGCTCCGTGGGGATCCGGAAGAGCGAGCTGTGTCCCACAGCGGATCTCGAGTCCGTGGTGACCTTCAAGAAGCTCGTTCTGGACGCAAAAGGCCCCGGGGGACTGAATCTTGGTGTCGGGTCGCTGCTGAGGTGCATCGCCAAGGCGTGGCTGTCGGGGCTGCGCAGGCAGAGCCTCCTGGTCGTCGGCGGGGACGGGGAGCTGCGGGTGACGCCGGCGGTGCTGGCGGGCCTGCTGTACGAGGTGCGCCGAGGGTCAGCGGTTTTGTCTTGTTTTTTTTTCGCCTTGTTCCTGGACAGTGACTGATCTCACGCAGCCGTAAAGAACCTCCGCGTTACCACGAAGTGTGCGTTTGCGGCGCGAGCGCCGCGCTCACCGAGATCACGTAGGAGACCGCGCTCAATACCCCCCCCTTTCACAGGCAGAAGAGATGTGCACTCCTCTGCGCCGCAAAGTGGCGTTCGGCGCCAACGGCCACCGCACGCTCCGCATGCGCTTCATGTTCGACACGTACGTGCGCCCGCTCATGCGTCTGCCGGACGGCGGCGGCGTCCTGTTGTCTACGCAGCGGCTCGCCACGTGGCTCCCGGGCGCGGGCGCGGTGCCAGTGGCGTTCCGCGTGCCGAAGGAGAAGCTCCCGCACTGCCTCGGCGTGTCCAGTTGCGTCGGCCGCCCGCCGGGGTCCGGCTCCAAGCGCGGCCGGGGGCCTGACGCAGGCCCCGACAGCGGGCGGAAGCTGCCGAAGACGGTAGTGCGGGACTACCGGGGCATTGTCCGTGAGAGGACGGCGGGGGACTGAGGATAGGGCGGATCATCGCGCTTGGATGAGCTGCGGCGCCCGGGGGCCGCGCCGTCGACGGCGGTCTTCCGTTGCATGAACACTTTGGCTCGAAGTTGAAGGTGTTGGAGTGGCGGGCGTGCCGAACGGGGACGTATGTGAGATAGAGGAGCCAATGGGGCTGCCGTGGACGCGTCGGACGGTCGCGGGACCCGCGCGTTCGGGGCCGAAGTCGCAGGTGAGGGTGCGCTGCACGTGCGCGCGCAACGACGCAGGGGTGCTGATCGGATCCTGGACGGTTTCGAGGAGGTTGCTCGTGACGCGCCTGCGCAGTGTCGTGCAGGCGAGCTCCCTGGCGGTCTCGGGGGGGGGTCTCTCGGGTGTTAAAAGGACGACGGAAGGCCTCCGCGCGGCATTGCACGCGTCAGGATTGCGTTGCTGCGGCTCGTTCGGCGCACATCGGTCGCCATGTGCTGTCGCAGAGGCAGAACATAATTGCCGTGGGTAGTTGGACCGCCGACAGGCCGTAGCGTCTCGCGCAAAGCGGATCAAGAGTTTATCGGGTCGATTTCTGCGCTCGTGCGCGCCCTGCACGGAACGTCCACGTCACCACAGCAAGCGCAGCGGCATCGGCGACGAAATGCCGCGGCGTCAGGTGAGGCGCAAGACCACGAAGCCGTCCTGCGGGCATGTTGAGCTGCAGGAACTTGGCCTCCCGCGGCGCCCGATATGTGTGTTGGATTTGCGCGATGCAACTCTCGCTCGATCGATCGAATCACGATTGTACCTATGATGTTGTTGCAATGTCAAGCTGTGTTGTGGCGGAGACGCCCAGCGCGTCCTCGGTTCTGATTTGACCCGCAGGCAACGGAGCCCCTACAGACGCCGCCAGGGACAAACAACCACCTATATCTCACCGTCGACGAAGATTCAGATACCTCTGCGAGCTCCAGTTCGCATAGCGTGGCCAGCACCGTCAAGGACGAGTCCCTGGAGGCCGGAGACGAGGCTCCCAGCGGTCTCGGCGCCTCCGCGCAGCGCCGACGCGACCGCAGCCCCGAGACGTCCGGTTCCGACTCCGAAGAAATCCCGCTCCAGCCCGCGGAGCACGTCCCCGCCGGCCGCTCGCCGCGACGGAGCAACACACGGCTCGCTCCCGCACCCAACCGGCGAGCCTCTCAACGCAGCGCGGCAGCAAAGCCCCTCATCCCGCCGCTACCGAGATACATGCGCGACAGAGAGGCCAGAACGTCGCGGAAGGCCGCGGTCCGACGCTCCCCAACCGTCCCCCGCCCCATCGTGGCCAACAACGCTGCGGGGCTCTCGACCCTCCACACTGCCAAGGTCTGCGCGCTCGCGTACCACTGCACGCACGCCGACGCCCTCTTGGCGCTCCTGGGCGCCGGGAGCGTCGTCTGCGCGAAACCAAGCGCGAACATCGCGCAGCACAGAACTGTTAGTTCTGCCGCTAATAGCAACAGCTACTTTGGCGTCGTCATGCGGGCCATGGGCGACATGGGCGACCTCGCGACCATCTGCTCGAACCCCAGGGAGACCTACCGCGCCGTCAAGAACGTACGCTCCCGCCACGTCCCCCCCTGAAAACACGCAACACCCCGCGACGCGCACACTCACTCACCGCCGCGGCGCCGCGCGCCGCCTGACCCGCAGCTGCAGGCCGCGGCGAACGCGATGAAGCGCCGCGCCACGCGCGCGATGCGCGTGGCGGCCGCGGAGACCTTCGCGCTCGGCGACGGCGATCACGACCCGCCGCGTCTCGTGTTCATGACGTGCGGCGACGGGCTGCAGACGCACGACGTGTGTCCGCGCCCGGAGGCGCTGCACCTCGCGGACTTCGTCAAGCTGGTCTTCCGCGAGGACGGCAGCCTGAACCTCGGGCCGTGCTCGCTGCTGGAGCTGCTGGCGTCCGCGTGGATCCAAAGCTTCCCGGAGTCTGACCTGCTGCTCTCGGAGAGGGGGGAGTATTGCCTGACGCCGGCGGTGCTCGCGGGGCTCCTGCTCGAGGTGCGCGGCGGCGATCGCGCGCGTTGCGACGTGGCGTCGCGGCCCGTTGCCACTTGCGGTGCAAAGCTGGCGCTGTGTTGGCGTGGCTGCGAGCGCCGTGCCCGCATCGGCGTGATCGCTGGCTCCACCGCCGCGACATCGGCCCGCTGCACGGCCCGTGCCATGGTCTGACTATGTCCTAGGATTGAGTGTTGAGGAATTGATAATAATTTGATAATAATTGATAATAATATGACTTTGTTTGTGTTGCCGGTGCTGTGCAGGCAGAGGAGATGTGCACGCCCCCCGAGGAGAAGCGCTCGCTCCACGACGGCGGTCTGCCCCGCCTGCGCGAGACATTCGACGTCCACGTGCGCCCGCTGCTGTCGCGCGTCGACGGGGGGGGGGTGTTGCTGCCGGCGGCGCGCACCGCCACGTGGCTCCCGGGGGTCGACCGCCTCCCGATGGCCTTCCGTGCAGGGAAGCAGGGCCTGCCGAAGTCCCTGCGCATGGCCGCGCATCAGGCGCGGTATGACGCGGGGGGGGGTCCGATTCGCGAGAGGATCCGCTGAGTCAGGACAGCGGGCCACCAGTCCGACCGCGAGGACGGCGCGCGCTTGGACACGTTGCGCGCCTGCTGGGGAGGTCGGGTGTATGTCTGGTGGAGTGCGGCGTCGCTGCTGCTCGTAACCATCAATGCACAAAGAAAACAACGCAACAGAGATCGGCAAATCATATGTCTCGTTTCGTCAGACTAGTCGCTCTGGCTTGCAGCTGCACAGCAGGGGCCTGTCGCAGCGCGCGTCTGCCGCGCGACGGGGCTTGGTCGGCGCTGTGACGACTTAGTGCGCACCCGTGTCAGGTCTTTGTCTGACGGAGGGACCTTCGGGGCGCTGGTTGCGGCGGCGGCGGCCCGCGCACGCGGACTTCGTTCGGGGCGAGCAGCTGCGCGCGCGCGGGGCCCGGAGAAGCCCAGGATGCTGCGGCTGCGCCGCGCGAAGCTGCTGGGCACGGCGCTGGGCCCGTGCAGTGGCCCCGCCACGTGCCACGGAGTCTCGCGGTGGCTCAGCGACAAGACAGGCGGCTCCTTCAACCTCTCGGGCTTCCTGGGGGATGCGTTGAAAGGCAAGAACTGCGCACACGCGCGCTGCTCGGCCCGACCTCGCTTGCTGGGGGAACACGGCACTTCGCGCGCCCTGGAGACCTCTTGCCATCTTCACGACCTGTCCGCACGGTCTGCAGACAGCGACTCGCTTCTCAAGAGCAAAGTCGACCGAGGAAGCGGCCCCTCCGGCGCGCCGCGGCGGAGAGATGGCCTCTGGGACGTCGTAGTCGTCGGCGCGGGCCCCGCGGCGTACACCGCAGGTCCGCGCAGCCCTGCGCTCACGTCCTGGTTGATACCGCGCTGCGCTGCGTGCGGCACGGGGCTGAAATGCGCCGTCCCCGGCCGTGCGTGCAGCTCTGTACAGTGCGCGGAATGCACGCAGGACGCTCGTGCTGCAGGGCGACGGGCCGGCGGGGCAGCTGAGCACGACGAAGGAGGTGGAGAACTACCCGGGGTTCCCGCAGGGCGTGCTCGGCCCGGAGCTCGTCGAGCGGTGCCACGAACAGGCCAGGTCCGTGCGAGACTCTTTTGGAAGTCTTCCAGCCGCTCCTTCCCCTTGGGATGTTCACGCACAGGGCTGCCGGGCTGGGACGGCGCGGAAGCTCGCACTGAGCCTCCTGCGGCGTGCGACAGTCAATGGTCAATGGTTCAGCCACAACTATTGATCTATGTTTGTTATGAGCTCGTTCACGATTGTTGTATCGTTTCCAGGGTGTGCGGCGCGGAGTCGGAAAACAGCTGGGTCCGCAAGGTCGATCTGGCGCCGGACGGCGCCGCGGAGCGGTTCCTGCTCACCGTCGACGCAGTGGGCGGCTCGCAGCAGCTTGCGACGCGGGCGCTGATCGTTGCCACCGGCGCAGGTGCGCTCCCAAGCCCACGTTCGCTCCGACCGCGCCACGCCGTACCTACACACCGCACCGCACAGCCCGCGCGAACACATTGACAAAACACGTGCGTTCGAAGTCGACGAAGAGTATCTGTTGATTCGAACTTCCCGCCCTGGTCTCGCTTTCGCGCAGACGCGCGGCGGCTGGGCTGCCCCGGCGAGGACGAGTACTGGACGAAGGGCGTCTCTGCGTGCGCGGTGTGCGACGGCGCGCTCCCCATGTTCCGCAACAAGACCGTCGTGGTCGTTGGCGGCGGCGACAGCGCCATGGAGGAGTCTCTCCACCTGACTAAGTACGCCAGTAAAGTGCTGGTCGTGCACCGCCGGGACAAGCTACGCGCGAGCAAGGTCCTCCAGGAGCGCGTGCTGCGGCACCCGAAGGTGGAAGTCGCGTGGAGCAGCCGCGTCAGGAGGATTGTCGGGAGCGGGGGAGTGGTGGGGGGGGTCGAGCTGGAGGCGACGGCGGAGGGCGGGGCGGAGGGGACGGTCGAGGTGGCCGGCGTGTTCATGGCGATCGGACACACGCCGAACACGGGCTTCCTGAAAGAGTCCGGGCCACCGTTCAGGTGAGCGCGAGCGGGGCGTGCGCCCCGGCAGATGAACGCCGCAGGCCGCCAGCTCGCACGGCCTTCGGACCCGTCGCTCTCGCTTGCTTTCGATGCGCTGTCCAGGCTGCAGCAGGCGTGCGGGCGTGCGCCAAGCGCTGCAGCGGAGCTCAGCAGCACCGGTCTCGTCCACGCACGGAGCCTTGAAAATGCTCCCAGACGTAGCCAATAGAGTCCGTCTCGCTCGCCGTGTGCGCAGCGGCGTCGTGGACGACGCGTCCGGGCTGCTGCGCGTCACTGCGGGCTGCACCGAGACGGGCGTGGCCGGGCTGTTCGCGGCCGGGGACGTGGCGGACGGGAGGTACCGGCAAGCGGTCACGGCGGCGGGCACGGGCTGCATGGCGGCGCTGGACGCGGACCACTACCTGCAGCAGACGGATAGCTAGCCTAGCCTACTGGCGCAGCCGCAGCTGCGGCGAAGTGTGACTCAACCGAGCCTCTCTCCCGCCGCCCCTCTCTTGCTCCCTCTGCGCGAGCAACTGGTACACAAAGACGGCGCGACTGAAAGACGGCACGGTCGCTACTGCGGCTGTGCGGTGGGTGCAGTGCTGTGCTTGGGTGAGACGTCTCGTTTCTCTCGCCGCCGCCCTGGAGGCTGGTCCGCACGCCCAGCTCTCATAGCCCGTTTCACAACATCTGCCGCCGCGGCAGTCTCGCGCGGGGCGCGCTCAGCTGCGGCCTCCGTTGCTGTCGCCGCCAGTGCTGCGCTGCGCCGCTACACGATGAGCTCGAAGAAGTACTGCACTTCGAGGCCCGCGTCCTCCTCGAGGTCGGTGCAGTGCACTGCGTTCTTCGCGCGGCTCTGCCCGAACACCGCGCGGATCGTCTCCTGCCGCAGCAGCCGCGCCAAATCCGGGTCCCGCGGCCCGCACAGCTGCCTGCAGCCGCAGACGCGCACGCAGCCGACAGACAGTGAGAGCGCACGCCACACAAGAGAAGAATGCGCGCGAGCCGCGGACACGACGCGGCAACTGCGCTGCACGTCGCCTGCAACGCACACGCATGCGCGTTTCCGCGACCACGCGGCTTCGAAACGCCGCAGTGAGCGCGCTCCGCGCTGAAGCATGCAAAGGTACGTCGTGTGCGCGCCGAGCTGCGGCGGTGCGGCGCGCGCGTGCGCACCGGAACGACTCCACGGTGTCGGCGCCCTCCGCGCCGGGGGCGACCTCGAGCGCCAGGAACGGCCCGGACGTGATCTCCTCGAGCATGTCCGAGAACTCGTCCGGCGGCACGACGCCGCGGTATACCTCGTAGAACTCGCTGGCGTCGGTGCGGTTGAGCGACACCAGCTGCAGCGCGGTCACGTCGAACTGCGCCTGGATGACCTGGAGGATGGAGCCGGCGCGGCCGTCGAGGAAGGCGTGCGGCTTGATGATGCCGAGCGTCGTGGACCCGTCGTTCACGCAGCACTTGCCCACGCTGCGCAGCAGACGACGCGGGGCGCAGCGGCAGTGTGCGGGGGCCGCGCGACGCCGTGCAACGGACCGCACACACACGCAGCTCCGCACTCGAGAACGACAGAGAGACAGAGAGAGCAGAGCCCTCGCGCTCGGACGCGCGAGCGCCAGCACGCGTGCACGCATTGCAGCTGCGGGCCGCATCGGCGCCGCGCTCACCTGCCACGCCCGGCCCCGAAGAAGAACTCCACCTCCTGCGCCGCCGTCTCCGGCGCGTCGCTCCCGTGGCACGCGTTGCGCGTCTTGTCCGTTCCGAAGCGCGCCCGGATGGACGCGGGCGCCTCCTCGCGCGCCGCGGCCGCGTCCGTGGGCCCAATGAGGTCCCTCCAGGCCTTGATCGCGTCCTCGCGGAGCAGCTCGAGCGCCACGATGCGCCCTGACGTCATGTAGTCCACCAGCGTCGGGTAAAAGGGCTTCCCGCGGTGCACAGAGTAGAACTCCTCGGCCTCGGCGCGCGAGAGCCGGCACATGCGCATGTTCTTCACGCGGAAGCCCGCCTTCGTGATGTCCGTGAGGATCTCGCCCGCGTGGTGCACGGCGTCCGGCTTGATCATCGCCAGCGTGCGCCCGAGTTGCTTGGCGAGCGCGCTCCGGGTCTCGTCGTCCGCGAAGTCCACCAGCTCGAGGCTCCGCCCGAAGATCATCAGCTTCGCGCCCAGGAAGAACCTGCGGGCGCGCGGCGCGGCGCGGCGCTCCTCTCGCGCACGACCATCGCAGCGGGCGCGCAGCTCTCCCCCGCGCTCACCGCGCAGCCACAGCGACGCGCGGGGTGGGAAAACGCAAGGCCACGCGCGACGGAGTCGTTGCGGCGGCCGGCCGCGCGGAGCAGCGGCGCGGACTCGCCGCGCTGCACCTGCGCAGCTGGACGGTGCCGCTCGCAGCTGCGGGCGCACAGCACGGCCCCCGCACGCCCCCCGCAGCGGCGGAATCAGCACGGCTGGACCGGAGCTGCTCCACGCGGCCCAGCGCGGCCGCCCTGGGGGCCTGTCCGGCCCGGCACGCGCCGTCCGCGGGGCCCCTCCATGCACCCTCTGGCTCCTCCGAAAACGGGCGGGCGGCCCCGCGGCGCCGCGGGGGCGCCGGGCGGCGCCGCGCGCGCGGGCGGCGCACCTGTCGTCCGGGATGGGGCCCGTGGGGAGCAGGGCGGGTTTCAGGTAGGCCCGGCGGTTCTTGACGTCATACAGTTCGACCTTGGCAGTCTCCCTGTGGTATGTGAAGAGGAAGGACCACTCCACGCCGGAGACGGGGTCGAGCCACGCGGCCTTGAAGTTGTAGGACTTCGGGTCCATCCTGCCCGACGGCGCCGCGGCGCTCGCGCCCGGGCTACGCGGCGCTGGGGGCGCGGAACGCTGCGCGGGGGGTGGAGATCGTCCGCTGTGGCGCGAGCGCGGCGTTTCTGCGCGTGTAGCGTGGCTGGCGGACAGGTTGCGTCGCGGGGCGCGCGTGTGGCGCGGCGCGCGCGCACCGCGCGCGCCTTGGCGGCCGTGCGGGCCCTGCGAAGCGAGTCGGGCTGAGAGCTGGTGGCAGGAAACCGCCTGACGCGGCGCGCCCTGGCACTATATGGCGCCAGCGTCGCTCCCGCGACGGCTACAGACGATCCAGGAGCGAGATAGGCGGAGTTCACGACCGGAAATCCACGGACGGCGCGCGCAGCCCGCCCAGCGGCACCTCTCCCGGGTCCGGGGCGCTCCACCGGGGCACAGGGAGCGCCAAAATGGGCGTGCGCGTCGAGGACGTCGCAGAGGAGCGCGTGGCGGCGGGCGTCGCGCCGCTGCTGACCCTCAAGCGCGCGACGGACTCCGCAGTGGAGGTCGCGGCCCCGGAGCTGGCGTCGGCGCGCGAGGAGCTCATGAGCGCACAGGGCGCGACGATGTCGTGCACGCTCGACAGAATCCACCAGCTGCGCCAGTCCCTGCTCGACCTGGTGCGCCCCGCGGCCTCCCCGCCCTCGCACGCCCCGCCACCACCATTGTTGACGCCGGCACCTCCCCCGTTCCCCTGCACAAGCACGCCGCTTTCCCCACGATCCCTCCCCGCATCCTCCACGCTCACTCACAAAGCATCCTCCTCCGCCGCGCCGCTACCTTTTTCTCCCCTCGGCCCGCGACCACGGCGACGACGCGCGTGCGACCCCCTCCCCCACCGCTGTGCTCCGCACGCACCGCCGCGCAGGGCACCGAGCAGGACGCCGTCGAGCTGTGCACCTGGGGCACGATGCCGGCCTTCCGCGTCGCGCGCGACGGCACCGTCGAAGCCCACCCCGGCCCGCCGCTCGACCCCGTGCACGCCCGCATCGCGGCGCTGCACGAGGTGCGCCGCGACATGGAGCGCGCCGCGACCGGAGAGGCGCCTGCGCCGCCGCCGACGCGCGCGCAGCGCCGGGCGCGCACTGCGGGCACAGAGGGGGGTCTGCGCGGGGCGATGGCGCGGATGGGGGAGCTCGTGCGCGGGGGGGGAGTCGGCCGGAAGCACGGCGTCGGGCCGATGCTGTTCGAGCCAGGCGTGCGCGGGCCCGTGGCTGCGGGCGGGCCGACGCAGCGGGTCCGGCCTGCGAAGGGTGGCGCGGTGCGGAGGGCGGGGGTGGACCGTGGGCCTGCGACACGGCGCGTGCGGGCGGAGGAGGGGATCGAGGAGGGGGCGGGGGAGGTGGGGGGGGCGGGGGGCGGGGGGTCGTTGGGGGAGTGGGGGTGTCAGGACGGATGCGGAGGCGATGTTTTGGGCGTACGAGCCCGCGCAGGCGCTCGCGCGGGCGGTCGCGCGGCACCCGGAGCTGTGGGGCGGGCGGGTGCGCGGCCTGCGACCGCTCCGGCGGTGCGGCGCGGCGCGGCGCCCACGACGCCGGGCGGCGTGAGGCCCGCCGCCTGGGCCGGCGGAGGTGGCTCTGCGCGCCGCGCACAGGGCGGGGCGCGAGGCTGCGCGTCGGACGGCGGCGGCGGGCGCGGGCGGGCGCGAGCGGGGGGGGAGTCTGCGGCACAAGCCGGGGGGGGGTAAAGCGCCGACTGCGGTGGCACGGGGGGCGCTGGGGGCGGCGAGGGACCGGTGCGACAAGGGGTGGTACCTTCGGGGCGTCGAGGCGCTGCCGGGGGGACTGTACGTGGGGTATAAGGCGCTGGCGGTGGACAGATCGGCGGGGGGGGGAGTGAAGCTGCTGTCGCTGGATGAGGCGCAGGTGGTGGTGGGGTTGGGGGAGAAGCGGACGCTCGCGGCGCCGAAGTTTCCGGTCGCGCTGACGCCGCAGGTGCGCCTGCGAGCAGCCGATCGACGCCGCGCGACCGATCGGGCGCAAATGATGGATCGCAAGTCGGGAATTCGTGTTTCCTGTTGCGTCCTTCGCCCTCGCCTGCCGCCGCGCCCTCGCCTTCCGCCTACGACACCCCAACGGTGGACACGCACCACCGCTTCGCGCCTCGCACCCAAAACACCCCCTCCAACCTGACTCAATCCACGCAACACCCCCGGCGCACGTCGCACCCACGCCCCCGGACCGCCCGCCGCTCATCCCCGGCCCCCGCTCAGCAGCCCCTCCACGCCCCCGCAATACACCCCCCTGCAGGACGCCCTCGAGCTGCCTGTCAGGGAGGACTGGCTGCACTGCCCCCCTAAGCCCCGGCTGCATGGGCGGCGCACGGCGTGGATGGCGTGCGTGGAGCGCTACGAGGGCCCGCTCAGCACGCGGCGCGCGGCGTCGCTCCCGCGCGTGGTGGTGCGCGTGCTGGCGGGGGGGCGTCACCGCCGGGACCCCGCGTCAGGGGTGGTGTATTTCAGCCAGGTGCGGTATGTCAGACTCGTGGACAGCGGGGACGTCGTCGGGGGCGACGAGTACCTGCCCGGCGCGCCGCGGTGGGAGGCGGCGGGGGGGGACTGGGACGCGTGGGAGCTGGAGGAGGGGGGGGTGTAAACACTACGCTCCAGTCTGAGCGAGCACGGACGGAGCCTGCCACGCAGGTCAAGCAACCAGCACGACACCCCACGACCCGCCGCTGCCGTCCTTCCAGCAGACAGACCCTGCGCAGCCGTCGCCACAAGTCAGCCACCAATCGAGATTCCATGTCTGGAAAAGCACTCAACGCGCCCTGTCTTTCCGCATCTCTCACACACCTCGCACCTCCCCTCCCACCAGCACCCCAGCCCCGCATCCACCTCCTACCCCCCCGTGCGGCGCATCATGCACTCATCCTAATGTACGTGTCCAAAACAGATCGAGATTCCTCGAATCAAATCCACTCCGCCCCTCCCTCCCATCCTCACACCCGCCCCTCCTCGCCCCCGCCCCCGCCCACCCCCGCCCGCACCTCCGCCGTGCAGCACACCGGCAGGTTCACCTTGCACGTCGCCCACGACATCAGCCCTGCGCGCTCCCACTCCGCCACGCTGCCATCGTCGCCCGCATCGCGCGCTCCGCCCTCCGCCAGCGCGAACAGCCTCGCCTCCGCCGCGCCACCGGGCCGCGAGCCAGCCGCCGGGCCGAGCGCGTCTTGGCGGGCAGCGGAAAGGGGGGGTGTTTTGGCGCTGAGGTCGTCCTGAGGCGGGAGAGCGCGCGTCGCCGTCGCTGCGGGGAGCGCGGCATCATCCTCGTCCATGGGCGCGGGCGGAACGGCGCGTCGCTGGACGTACGCGTCGAGCGAAACGGAACTCAAGGATTCGTATTCGTTGATCCGCGCGAGCCTGTCTGGGTCCGCGGAGTTCCACGCGCGGAAGCAGGCCGCGTCGAGTTTCCCGAAAATTGGCCCAGGCGCGTTCAGCTCCCGTTCCGCGGCGGACGCGCCCGGAGCGAGCGCTGAGAGGGGATGGAGGGCCGACGCGGGCTGCAGCGGGACGTCCAAGCCGGCCGGGGGATGGTCGCCTCCGTCGAAACGCTTCTTCACGATCTGGCCGAGCACTTCGTCGACGACTCGGCCGGACGGGACCTTCGCAGGGTCCAGGTCCCGCTCGCCGGCGCCCGGCGGCGTCGGCTTTGAACGGCCGAACCTGAGGGTCAGCGCGCCCGGCTCGTCCTTCCCGGAGCTGACCGAGCTCGTCTGCGCGGAGACGGAGGGCGGAAAGCGGGGTGACGCGCCGGGAGTTGGCGGAACACATTCGTTGAACGCTTTCGCGGCGTGCGGTTTCGCATCGCGGCAACGAACCGCTGCAATGCGCTCAAAGCAATGGAAATATTACGGGGCAAGGCCTCGCCTGTCCGAGCTGCATCTTGGCGGCGGCGTGGCGACGTTTCGCGCACAGGATTTTCCTCGCAGGCTCCTCTGGCGCCTCCCGCGCCTCGCCGTCGCGCTGCACGACGACCGAACTGCGCCCCCACGGTCCGTCTTGGTCGCAGCTCGCCTGTGGGTCCCGCGCGGGAGCGCTGAGCTGGAGCGGGGGCCAACCGCCCGCCCTGCGGTCCACCACTGGGCCAGCGGCCGTCAGCTGCAGGCGCCGCACGCCTGGCGGAGAGGTCGGGCGCCGCTGGCGGAGGCGCGGAATCATCGCACAGAACGATCCCGCGGCTCTGCGCGGCGCGCTCAGCCCCCGGAGCGCCGCTGCGCAGCCCCTTCTCGGAAGTTGAATGCTCAGTCGAGGTTTCAGGTCTCCCGCGGCGCAAGAACGACAGAGACTGTTCACAACAAGCACGCCGCTGGTGGCCCGCACGCCCGCGACGGCGGTCCGTCGTCTTGCGGATACCACGCCAGTGGGTCGGACTCAGAACTGGAACTGGCTGTCGGGAGAGTACCCCACCTCCTCGAACACCCCCTTCAGCGCCGCCATCATCCCCGGCGGCCCGCACCGCAGCACCTTGACGTCCCCTGCACGCACCACCGCACAAAACACCCCCCATCAACACCCCACGCATTAACACACCTCCCCCCACCTCCAAATCCCCCCCCCTCCGGCGCAGCGAGCGCACCTGCGGGCTTCGGAAGGTGCGCCTTGGCCATCTCGGCCGTCACGTAGCCCGATCCGCCTTTCCACCCCTCTGGCGGCCGGTCCAGCACCAGGTGCAGCTTGAAGCGCGTCGCGTGCTCCCGCGCCATGGCCTCAAGCTCGTCGCGCAGGAGGATGTCCTGCTCGGTGATGTTGCCGAAGATGAGGCTGAACTTCGTGCGGTCGCGCTTGTCCGCCAGCGCAGCCTGCGGCGGAGGTGCGGGGGGGGGGAGTGCCAGGGGGGTGTGCAGAGATGCACGTGGCGGTGTTTTGGTGCGGGGAGTGCGCTGCGGCGGCGGCTAGGAGTCGCGTGGACGCGCTGGTGTGTCCGTGGGTGCGTTTCCGCGCGTGGCTGAGCTGGGAGGGCTTCTCGATTGATGAATGAAGTATTCAATCGAGGAACTGCGAGTGGTGGCGCGCCGCACCTGCAGGACCTGGTACATGGGCGTGATGCCCGTGCCGCCCGCGACCATCCCGATCTCGCGGCACATGTTTGGCTCATACTCGAACTCCCCCTTGGGGCCCTTAAACTGCAACACCTCCCCCTCCTGCGCAGCGACACCCAACACACCCCAGCACTCCAACATCAACCCTGGCACCAGTTTATATATATATATAGAAACACATATGCAGGAAAAAGCCACCAGCAATCGAGAAACCAAGACTGCCGGCATTTCCCCGCACCTTCATCTTGTCGAGGTGCTGCGTCATGCGGCCCTGCGGGTAGACCTTGATCACGAAGTCCACGTGGCCCGTGACGCCCTGCGGCGACGTCGGCGTGTACGACCGCGCAATCAGCCCCTTGTCGTCGCGGATCGGCGCCCCGGCCTGGTCCACGGCGCGCAGCAGAATGTGCTGCCCGATCGGCAGCCCGAGCGGCTGCTTCGGGTCGCTGAGGCCGAACCTGCGGGACACACGGGCGGAGGGGCGCGTGGGGCGCGGAGCTGCGCGCGCACGGGCGGCCGCGCCGCCGGCTGCGGGGGGTTGTGTTGCGGGGGAGCTGGGGGGTGTCTGCGGGGCGTGTGCGCGAGGGTGTGGCTTCGCGGGCGGTGCGGCGGCGCAGGGGCCGCGCGCGCACCTCATGAACAAAGTGTTGTGGTTGAGACTCCGTTTCTCGACTAGCGGCAGCAGGATCCACTCGCTGGGGTCCAGTGCCGGCGGGAGGTGCTTCTTCCCGCCCCCGAGGCCCAGGAGCGTGACGAGCAGCAGCACCGCGAGCGCCGCGGTCACCACGGCCGCCTGCAGCCGAGCGGCGCGGGAGGACACGCCGTCTGGGGTCTCGCGCGCGTGCGCTTGAGTTGTCGACCGGCCCTGTGGCCGCTGGTGCGTGGTTGTGGCGATGATTCCGCCGCCCGGCCGGCGGCACCGGATGACAGGGTCGTGGCAGGCCGGCGTGCAGGCGATTGAGTCAGGAACAGCTGCGGGGGCGCGTCAGGTCACCGTCACCGCAGGTGTGGGCGCGGGGCAGCGCGCAGCCTCCCAAGGGCTTGCAGGACAGCCGAACGCCGCGGATGCGCGGCTCCTGCTGAAAACATCGCAGGACGGACATGGGGACGCGCCTGGTTGTCCTGCAGGAGCGCGAGGAGCCCTTGAAGGTCCATCGTTGCTGCCAGTCTTCGAAACACGACTCAGAACCCGCGCCTGGGTGCTGTCTGTGACCGCTGCGGAGTGTGCGTGATCTAGGATCTCTCAGGAGCCAAGGGGTGTGCCGTGTGGCGCAGATCCGGGCCTGCTGACTGCCAGGAGCTCACGAGCCACAGAAAGACCGGTTCGCGCCTGACTCAGCAATCTGCTGCGCGATCGCGATGAGCTGGGGGTCCCGAGGATGCGCTACGTGCCCGTCGTGGGCGCAGCGTCGCGCCAAGAGCCCCGAGCCGCACGCACTGCCCAGTCGGTCTCACGGTCTCTGGGCTTCTACCTCGCCCCGGGCCCGTCAGGACCCGAACTGCCGCGCGCGCGACGCAGCGCGGTCACACGCGACGTAGGAACGCCCCGACGCCAGCTCGTGCACATCTCGAAGCGTCACGGCCGCGAACGCCCAAGCCCTCTTTTGGACGCAGCTAGCAGGCGCCGAGAGCCGCGCACGCGGTCTCATGGACTGGTTTCGGCAGCCGATCGGCTGATCCGCGCCGTCAGGGACCAGCAGGTCTCGCGCAGCCAGACACAGAGATATCTGTAGGGGTCTAGACGATCAGGAAGAGTGCGACCGGGCAGCGGGGGCGGGCGCTGGGGCGTAGTGCGGCCGCATAAGCGGCGTCCGACGCTGCTAGCGCGGCGTACGCGTCTGATACGCGACGCGGAGGCCCGGTGAGGCTTCGCGTGGCGTTGTGGCGGCAGGGCGGCCGTCAGGCGGCCTGCGGAGGGGGCGAGTGGGTGCTGGAGTCCGCGCCCGCGCCTCGTCGTGGGCCCTCGCGCGGTCTCCGCGCCGCTGAAGCACGCGACACGGAGGTTCATACCAGCGCGCGGGTCTTCCGTGCGACGGCGCGCCCCTGCGGCCCGCACGAGCCGCCGCGCGCAGACCTGGCGAAGCGGCGCCGCGGCAGACCTGGGATCTCGACTGCCCGTGCGCGCGTCCTCCTAGGCCGCCCGAGCCGCCGCGATGAGCGCGTGGGCGGCGCCCGGGCCGCGCCGCACGTCGCACCCGCACTCCGTCGGCGGCGCGGGCGCGCTGCAGCGGGGGGGGTCTTTCAGCGACATGCCCCCCGGGGCCAACAGCAACACCACCACGGGGGGGGGGGGCCTGAAGCGTACTACGGCCCGGACTCCCCCAAGGAGAAGCGCAAGGGACGGAACTGGCAGATGATGCTGCTCGCCGCGGGCGGGTGGCAGGGAGGTGCGCCGCGCCACGAACCACCGCATCATATCTGCCGTTCACACTTTGCGCGATATGTACAGTGGCGCCGGCGCGAGCACACGCACGCGCGCCCGTCGCCTGCCTGTTGTGCGCTGTGCCTGGCCCGAGCTCTGTCTGTCTGTCTGGCGACTGAGTCAGCCGGGCGCTGTGGTGGTGTGTGGTGCAGTGGCGAGGTTTGTGGGCGCGGTGTTGGCGGTGGCGTTCGCGGCGTTTGGGCTCGTGCGGTTCTTCTCGGGCCCGCCGGCGCCCGCGGCGATGACGCCGCCGCACCTGCGCCCGAAAATGCCGTGGTTCGCGTGGCTGGGAGGCAAACGGGTGCGCCGCGAGATATGTTTTCATGACTGCCGACGCGCCCGTCAGATAGGACGCGCGCGGGTACCGCACGCCCAGCTCCCTACGTGCCCCGTGGCGCCCGTGCGGGCACACACCACCCCGTCGCACGCGCGCACACACAGTCGGCGTACACCAAATCACAACAACTCATCGTTTCCCATCTTCCACGGCGCTCCTCCACCCATATCTGCACCGACCGCAGCGCCGCTCCGTCCGGCCACCGACCCAACGCCACGCACACCCACACCCCTCGCCGGCACGTCCGCACCCCCACCAACACCTCGACAACACCCCCCCCCCTTACACTGCAGACACCCCTGTCAGCCCTCGTCCTCGGAGAAGGCCAGGCCCCCGCCGACACCTGGGGCGCCATCCACCAGTCCGTCGTCGACTTCCGCGCCACCCGCAGGGGGGGGTTAGAGCTTCTGACGGACTTCTCATACTACGCCCTAATGCTCCAGCCCGACGGGGCGACCTACCAGCGCCTCGAGGCCGACCTGAACGTGCGCCGCCCTCTCCGCATCCCCACGCGCGCGCACCGCACCCACGCCCCACCACGACCCCTCGCACGACCAGAACACCCCCCGCGGCAAAACAAAACACCCCGCCCGCTTCCTGCGCGCTGCGTTGCACCTCGCCGCCCTCTCCGCATTCCCACGCGCGCACACCGCACCTGCACCGCACCACACCCGCTCGCACGGCCCAAACGAGAACGACACACCCCACAGCAGAACAAAACCCCCCTCCTTCCGTTCGCGGCGCCTCGCAGGGCCTGAACCGCCACTTCACGGCCTACCGCGGCGCGCGCGCCAACTGCGGCGACCGCGAGATCCTCTCCCAGACGACCCTCTCGCTCGAGTCCGCCGCGATGGCGTGCACTGCCAACCCCCGATGCACCTTCGTCAGCCGGGACCCCTCCTCAGGCTGGACGTACTTCTGCTTCGGCAAGTACGGCTCGTTCGACGAGTACTCCAAGGGCGGGTACCCGGGGTGGTGGAGTCTGGAGCGCGTCGGGTGCGAGGACCTGACGCCCGACATGGCGGCGGTGCTGCAGTTTGCGGGGCGGAACCCGGTGTGCAAGCGGAGCTGCGAGTGCCCGGAGGGGCTGTTCGCGCTGGAGCCGTGCTCGGCGACGCGGGACGCGTCGTGCGTGGAGTGCGCGGACGGGGGGGTGTGTCCGGAGGCCCCCGGGGCCGTGATCGTCGAGAACTTCGCGACCGCGTCCACCAAGGTGCGACCGCCTCGCCGCGCGCCCTTCCTCGCGGGCCGCACACGCTTCCTGATCGAAACAAGGCGCATAGCAAAAAAGAAACAAACAAGAACAAGAGAACAATCAAACGCATCAATCATACAATTCACAAATAAAGACGAACCGCAGTCTCGCTTCTCCGTCGCACAGCGCTGCCCCGCGCCGCACTCACCCCTCTGCCAACCCCCCCCGCCAACACCCCCCTCTCCCTGCGCAGGCCCTGCACGCGGTCCCGCTGCCCGAGAGCCTCCGCAGCGAGCTCGGCACGCAGGAGATCGAGCGCCTCGCGCCGGAGCTCATGGCCGCGTTCAACCCCGCCGTGTTCGAGCACGACTCCAAGTTATACTCGGTGTACCGTCTGACCAACCGCCACCTGTGCGCGGGCGGCGACGGCACGGTCGTGCGCGGGTCGAAGCAGGACCTCCTCTTCGCCTGGTCGCTCATCGGCCTCTGCGAGCTCGACCCGGCCACGCTGCTGCCCGTCGAGGGCCGCTGCACGTCGCTGCACGTGCCCTTCCGCGACATGCAGGGCACGGCGGGCTATTTCGAGAGCCGCGCGTACGGGGGCATCGAGGACCCGCGCGGGATCTCGATGGGGCCCGGGAACGGGTTCCTCGTCTCCGGAACAGTCAACTTGGGCGTAAAAGTGAACGAGAACTTCCAAACGTTCGCCAAGATGTGTTTGTTGTGGCTCGAGATCGAGGAGGAGGAGGAGGGGTACGAGGGGCCGCCGAGGATCAAGTTCGAGAAGGGCATGGTGTTCGAGCACCGGGTGCGTGCCCGCGCCCTCGCCGGGGGGGAGTGTTGCGCGCCGTCTGTCTTGTGCGGACGGGGCCGCGGCGAGGAGGTGCCGGGCGGACTGCGCGGTGGCTCGCCACGGCGACGCGCCCCAGGCCACACGCGTGCCTGTTGATACATCAAAGCCTTGCATCTTTCACTTATTGATTTCCCTATCTTCACATCCTTCACCCACTTCTGCTTCTGCTACCGAGCACTCCCTCGCCGGCCACTCGGCCGAGCACGCACCCGCGCACGCACGCCAGCCCCAACCCCAAAACACCCCCAACACACCCCCGCAGCACGGCCGCGCGCTGAGTCAGGACAAGAACTGGATGGTCTCGCTCGACCAGTCCGGCGCGGACCCGCAGCCCGACGGCCGCCCGGGCATCCACTTCGTCATGTTCCCCATGCCGCCGCGCGTCTGCCGCGTCAACGTCGCCACCGCCTCGTGCGATTTCGTCGAGTTTTCAAAACCGGACCTCATTCGCGCCCTAGGGCACGACACGGAGAAGTACGTGCAGCACCTCGGGCCGTGGCACGGCGGCGGCGCGCTCGTGCGGACCGACTTCGGCCTCCTCGCACTCGTCCACCAGCGGAAGAAACAGAGACAAGGATCCCTATACACGCATCGCATGATGCTGTTCGACACGATCGACCCCACCGTGCCCATCTGGGCGAGCGAGCCGTTCCGGCTCCCGTTCGTCGGCGTCCCGGACGAGGACGTCCAGATGGCGACGTCCCTCCAGCCCCTGGCGGAACTCCCCCCCACCCTGCGTCAGCGCATCGTCAAGGACGCGCTCGGGCTGGCCGGCGCGCAGGCCGCGGAGGCCGCGGCGCGCATGGCGCTCGTGTCCTGGGGCGTCGCGGACTGCTCCGCGCAGCTCGCGGTGATCGAATTACCCATCGAACAGATGCGGCAGGCGCAAAGAAGGTACTTGGACAAGGGTGGGGAGGTGTCTCTGCAGCCGGCGCGGCCCGTGTCGGCGCGCGCGCCGCCGTTCACGCTGCGCAACTCGCGCGTCCCGGCGTACGGCGCCGGAGTCAGGTTCCACGTGTGGTCGGGCCCCGACAACCCCTGGCACCACTTGCTGGCCGAGGTGATACCGCTGCTGGCGGCGTGGACGCCGGAGCCGTCGCCGGGGGTGTCGCAGCTGGGCGAGCAGGAGCCGATGAAGCCGCTGCGGCGGGGCAACGTCCGGGTGGTGCCGCTGGCGGTGAGCGACGAGGCGCCGCCGGCGAAGCGCGGAGAGGGCGTGGAGGCGCTCGGGCACGTGCTGATGGCGAGCAACACGGCCGCGAACGCGCCCGCGGCGGTGGCCGTGCGGGCGTTCGCCGACCACCTGCTGCGGCGGCCGTCGGCGCCGGTGTGGGTGCAGTTCTGGGACTTCGGCGTCCTGGCGCTGCCGGAGGAGTCGCTCGAGGTACGCCGAGGAGAAGGGCGGTCGACACGGGCGCGCTCCGCGTCCCTGCTCGGCTCTGCTCGTCTCCAGACATTCACACTACATACTAGATACGAGATACCGAACACGGATCCCTGATGCTGGATTATGCGCGTTTGCGCGCCGACGACGGCGCGACGCGCTGCCCCTCGCGCTGTCGCTCGCTGACCCACCGCCCATCACCCACGCGCGCTCCTCCTCAGTTTCCAAACTCCCCCCCCTCCCTCCAACACCCCCCGCAGATTCTCCGCGACGACGTCGACGACATCTGGGTCCCGTCCCCGTGGGGCGCCGCCGTGCTCAAGGCCGCGGGCGTCCCGCCCGACCACGTCTTCACACTCCCCCCCACCCTCGACCGCGACTCCCCCCTCCACACCGAGCTCCGCACCCACTGCGGGTGCCCCTCCCAGGGCACGGGCCTCAAAGACCGCCACCGCGGGAAGAAGTTCCGCTTCGGCATCGTCACGGACCTCTCCCCCGGCTCCGGCCTCGAGTCCGTCGTCCGCGCGTTCTTCGCCGCCTTCCCCGACGGCGAGGCCTCGCTGGGTCGCGCCGCGGAGCTCCACGTGCTCGTCTGGGGCCCGCGCGCGCGCAAGTACGACGACCCGTTCGGCGCCGCGGAGGCCGGCGGCGACACGGAGCAGGAGGTCCCCCCGCACCTCTTTGACGGCGTCAGCGACGAGGACAAGCAGCGCGTGGTGATGCGGTCGCTGGTGTCGCAGTTCAACATTGGGCCGCACGTGCTCGACGTGCTGGTGTTCGCGCCCGCGGGGACCACGACGTACGCGCCGCTGACGTGGGCGATCGAGTGCGGAGTGCCAGGTGCGGCGTGGCGGGCGCTGTGGCTCTTGTGCTCTTGTGCTGCGGCGCTGCGGTCGCATGCGCGCACGCGTGGAGTGTACGTGCTTCCGAGGCTGCTCGGTTGCGGCCGCACGCGCCGGCGTAGTCTGATGCGCTTCGCTGCATAACTTCTGCTCCAACAACCCCCATTGCGATGCCGTTGTCTGCAGCGATCGCGCTGGAGCAGCCGAGCGCGCCGCTGGTGGTCCCCGACGGCTCGTTCGTCGTCACCGGCGTCCTCGAGCCGTGCCGCCAGTTCCCCTGCGGCTTCGACGCGCCGGCGCTCCTTGGTCGGAGTCTCCCGGAGTGGCCAACCTGGCTGTCCTTCTCGCGGCAGGCGATGGCGGACGCAATGGTGAAAGCGGCGCACGCGGAGGCGGACACGCTCAAGGCGATGACGGAGGCGGCGCGGGAGCACCTGCACGGGGTCGCGCTTTCGACGGAGGAGGCAGCGGGGGAGATTCTGGTCCGACTGGAAATGCTCATTGACAGACTGGGGGAGTCGCTGTGATGACCCCCATCACCAGTACAGCTCAGTATAGAATCGGTGCGACAATCGCGTCCACTGGGCGCCACAATCATCCAGAAAGGGGCGGCCGAGCGGGACGGCAGCCAAGACTCTCAAAGACTGCGTGACCGCTCGCAGACGAGCGACCGTGCAGCGCAGGTGCCGGTAGGACGCACGTGCACGATCAAACTGCTGTCTCCGCACTCACAACCCAGAAGCACAGCCACGCACTCCCTCCAGAACCCCACCCGCATTCGCACCGCCGCCTGCGATGCACCATCCACCCGGCTCTCAACCCCCCACCCCCCGCCTTCACAGCACACGTGCGTATGCGCGCACGTGCGCACCGCACCCGTGCCCCCACGACCGACGTCCCCAGACCCCCTCCCTGACTCAGGCCGGCACCGCCGACACACGCACGATGAATACGGCGAGCCAGACTGCGACGGGGACGACCCCCGCGGCGTAGACGCGCGTCAGGAGCGCCTCGTAGCGCGTCCGGAGCTGCACGGTCGTCTTGTGTCGCGGGATGCACCCGAGCAGCATCTGCGCTGGCGGCATGCAGGATTGGAGCAGGACGGCGACGTGGACGGCTTTGCTGGAGATGGCCTGCGCGGTGATGACGCCCTTGGCGACGAGGGTGGTGTAGAGGAGGAGCGTGAGGCCTGCGCGAAGGAGGGGCTGGGGTGAACGAGGTGAGTGAGGTTAAGAGGGGGGTTTAAATGCTTCTGAAGTCTTGTGTGAGAGGAGGGGAGTGTTGGGGGGGGATTTGCGTGGGAGGAGGTGTGGATGGCGACTGCGTCGCGTTGCGAAAGCGTGCGCGGAGCGAGGGCGTTGCCCGAGAGCAGCGCAAAGTTCGAATCTCAGTCGTGGATTCTCGTCTGCCAGCGTCCGTCAACCACGGCGCACCTGGGACGAAGAGGAACCGCGACGCCGCGACGAGCATCGCCGCGGCCGCCTCGTGGCGCCCGGGCATGATCAGCCGCCGCACGCGCGACGTCCACACGGGCCCGCCCACCAGCGTGTCGTCCGCGTCAGCCTGACCCAGGTGCTTGGGGAGGTGTATGAGGGACGCCAGCGCCAGCGACAGGACGGCGGGCGCCGCCGCAGTGAGCGACCGCAGCAGCTCCATCGCGCTCGCGGACGCCGCGGACAGCGCCTCGACCTCGATCGGGCCGGGCGTCGGCTGGGCGACGCCTGCAGTCGAGCAAAACGGTAACGCGCGTGTTTGCGCGCGGCGCGGGCCGCGGAAGGCGCCGCGGCTGCGAGCCCACGCATGGAAAATTCGGCAAAAAGCAGCTGCGGCAACGGAGGGCGCTCGCGGCGCCGCGCGCGGTCGCGGGAAGGAGGAGGAGGAGGAGGCTGCGCACGCACCGAACGCGAGGTCCGCCATGCCCTCCATCCGGCCGAACGCGAGTCCCGCGAGCGTGGCGAGGAGCGGGACGCTGAACGCGACCGGCCCCCACCACCGCAGCGCCCGCCCCGGCAACAAACCGAGCATGTACGCCTTTCGCGCCCCCACGTCCTCCGCGTCCACCGTCCGCCGCGCCCACCTGCGCAGACCACAACGAATCAATCAATCTCGCGCTCGTCGTCCCATGCGCGAACATCGTCGCCACGGCCGCGGTCAGAGGACCGCCGCCATCACTAAACGTCGGTTTGCGCGCCTCGCCGCACCTGTCGATGGCCTCCACGTCCACGCTCGCGGCCCGCGCGTCCGGCCCGACCTCCGCGCCCCCCGCGCCCCCCTCCCCGCCCCGCGCCTCCTCCCGCACGCTCCCCACCACCGCCGCCGGCCCCCTCCGCGCGACCGCGCTCCCGCTCTCCGCCCGCAGCGCCTCCGCCGCCGCCACCATCCGCTTCGCGACGCCCGCCCACGCCGACGTCGTGAGGCCCCAGAACACCGGCGTCCACACCGCCAGCGCCAGCCCGGTCGACAGAGCACTATGCGCGTACAACTCCGCGCTCGACGACAGCAGCAGCACCGACAGCGGCAGCGTCAGCGCGTTGCCGAGCACGCACGACAGCCCGACCCATTCCCGCCACCCCGTCGCGCCGGCCGCCATTGGCGGCAGCAGCGCCATCTCGGCGCCGGGCACGCCTACGGCCGACGCCGTCGACGCCGCGATGGCCGCGGCGGGGGAGACTCCGGCGGCGGGGAGGCCGCCCGGGGGCGCGGGGAGCCCGCCGGGCGTCCTGCGGCGGTCCAGGCGTTCGAGACGCCCTAGGGCTGACTCAGCCAGCCACCCACAGAGGCGCCCCGCGGCGAGCTGGAAGGTCATCATGCCGAGGACGAAGAGGAGGTTGTCGCGCGTGAGGATGTCCGTGGACGCCACGAGGCCGCTGCGGGGCGGGGCGGCGGGCGCCGGGGCGTTTCGATTGGCGTCAAGGGAATCCTCGATTCAAGCAGGTGGGAACGAGACGGGATTCCAGGTCTGCTCGCGCGCCGCCACAACTACCACGCTTCTGTGCGCGCGCGCCCAGCGGCAGCGTCGCGGCACCACGTCATCGGCGCACTCCCCCCGCGCAAACCAAACAACCCCCCGCGCACCTGTACAGGAGACACGCCGGCGCGAAGACGTGGAACGACAGCGCGCTCAGCACCGCGGACGTCGCCTCCGGGAGCTTCTTGCTGTTCAGAAGCGCCTTGAGCAGTGCCGCAGCCAGCACAATCTGTACCGCTGCGTTCCCGGTCGCGCTCAGCGCGCCCGACTCCACCGCGGCGCCCAGAGCCCCCGCGCCCGCCGCGCCGCGCCGCCGCCGCGCGCCCCTGCGGTCCCCGCGGGCCCACGCCGCGCAGCGGACCGTTTCCGCTCCGCGTGCGCGCGCAGCGGGGGCGCGCCGCGACGTCCCTGCGAGCAGGTTCCGCGGTGCGACGCGATATTGCGAGAGTTCGTGGCAGTGCGGAGGGGGTCGGGGCCGCGAGACCGATCGGATGTCGCGTCGTGTCGCGATCCGGGGCCTGGGTAGAGGTGGTGCCACTGGGTATCGCGGCGTGCGCGTCGCGGGCGGGCTGCGACGCGCCCGCGGGCCTCCGCGCGCATGTCCGGTGTACCAGCGAGGTCCACGCAATGCGATCGGCCGTGAAACGCGCGCACGGCCCCCAAGCGCCCGGCAGTGCCTCGCGAGCCCTGCAGGCTTGGGTCCCACCTGCACACCCCCACGACGGTGCCCCTCCCGCGTACGCGCCGTGCAGCGAACCCTGAGTCGCCTCGGACCTGATCCGCGCCGCCGATCGAACTCCCCCCCCCCGCGCCCGCGCGTGTGCATCGCCCAGGCCTACGCCGAGCCCACGGACGGTCGAGACGCCGCGGCGCCGCCGGATCCGCAGCTCGCGGTGCGCTGGAGCGCTGCAGGCGTCGCGCGCCTGCGGGACCGCGCGCAGAGCGGCTCTGGGCGCGGGCGCAGGGACGTGCGACACGCGCTGGTGCACTGCTGCGCGCACAGTGGCTGGACGGCCGCCGATGGGCCCCATTTCCGGCACCAGGTGGCTTGTGAGTTGCGGGAGGGGGCGTCCGGGGCGGCCCGAGAACCCGGGGCGCCTGGCGGGCACCCGTCAGGGGGGGAGCGCGCTGCATGACCGACAGACGGGGTCGTCCGCGGGCCGCGCGGGGCTTGAGGGCCGGCGTCGTGCGGAGGGCGTCTACAGCTCATCGCTTGCGAGCGCGGAAGTCTCGCAGAGAGCGGGAGGACAGCCCAGCTCGAGCTTCGCCCGCCGCTTAGGTACGTCCGCCTTGCGCCGCGCCACAGCAGGCTTTCGTGGCCCGCAGGGATATCTCGAGCTCGCAACGGATTCACCGACCCTGCGCGCGTCGTTCTGATCCTCTCTGACACCGCTCGGCGCCGCGCGCGGAGGGTGGCTTCGAGTACTAATTGCGGCACACGCGCCACGCGCGGACTTCCCGGCCCTCCCTTTCCGCATTCGCGCGCTGTCCGTTCTCCGACACGCCTTCAAGTTCGAGAAACTTGCGCGTTCGTCCCGGATATCAGCCGCAGCGCGCCTCCTAGCTGCGGAGGCGCAAGGGCTCCCTCCGGCGCCCGCGAGGCGACGAACGCCGCCCATCGCCACGCACACCGAATGCTCTGAACCAGAGCTACCTGGTTTCGCTTGATTCGCGCCCGCGCACCCACCACACGATCCACGCGGCGAGGACACTTGTCCCGCCACGGCGCCCTGGCTGCGCAATTCACGTCGCCGCCCCCCCCTGCGGCTCCGCCGCCCCGGCCGGGCACTCCCCACTTTCAAACGCCCGCTCCGCGCCCACACACACGCGCCGCGGCGGCCCCACCCACGCGAGCACCGTGCCGTGCCCCCTCTGGTCGGTGCTCCCGCGGCCCGCCGCCCCCCCCCCCAGAAACCGCCCATTCGACGCCCCCAGGCGCACACCCGCACCCGTTACAGCGCGCCCGTGGCCGCTTTCGTGCGCATGGAGCGCCTGCGCCTCCTCCCGCGCCCAGAGAGCCGCTCCCAGATCCCGCTCGCGGCCCGGTGCGACGCAGGCAGCGCTGGAGGCGACTGAGGGGCCAGGATGAAGTCGTCCGAGTTCTACACAGCCATCTGGCTGAACGCCCTGATCGTGCGCCCGCCGCCCGCCCCGCCCCGCCGCGCACGCGGCGTTCACCGCGCGCGCACCGCCATCCCGCCCCGTGACGCCCCGGCGCTTTCGCGAACCGCTCGGCTCCGCCGCTCCTCCGCAGGGCGCGATCGTTCTCGCGCTGTTCGTGTGGCTCCGGAAGATCGACGCCACGCACCGGTTCTACAACGCGCGCCTGTACAGGTGGGGACACCCCTCCGCTGCCGCCGCTGCCGCCGCGCCGCCGCCGCGCACGACGACGCCGCCTGCCACGGGCACGCGTCCGTGCGCACCCGCCCAGCGACCACCCTCTCGCCACGACAACCCCCCCCCTCACACACACAAGCACCAACACACCGTGTCCGCGCCACGCCTCCCCCGCAGCACCCGGGTCCACAACAAGCCCCGCAAGCTCATCAACTCGGTCTACCCATGGTACGCGCCCCGCTCACACACCCCCCAGACAGCCCACGACACCATGTGCAAACGCACAGCCACGCCCCCTCCTCCCACCGAACCCCCGCCTCCGCCCCCGCCCTCAAGCTCCAACACCCCCCCCTTCAACACAACCCCCCCTGACGCAGGAAGTGGATCGTCCCGCTGTTCCGCATCACAGAGGACGAGGTCATCGACACGGCGGGTCTCGACGCCGTGCTCCTTCTGCGCGCGATGCGCTTCGGGATCTACCTCTTCGCGATCCTCTCGTTCTTCGGCCTCGCGATGCTCATCCCCGTCGACGTCACCGCGGACTACGTCGCGTTCGTGCAGAACCAGCGCGCCATCAACGCGCCCGGGTCCGACGAGCTGCCCATCCTGGAGGACCTCGACGAGTGCGTGCGCCCGCCCGCCCGCCCGCCCGCTGCCCCGGCGGGCCTCCCCTGCGCAGGCGTGTGCGCCACGCCGTGCAGCGCCAACGCGTGCGCGCCGCACGTCTCTGCGCGCCCGCGTTTGCACTCTCCGATCGCTCCGCTCACGTACCGGACATTCCCGATTCCTCGTTCTCTGTTTCACATCTGCGTCTGTCAGGCGGGCATATCTGCTCGTCTGTCGGGCGCGCACGTCCCCGCTGGACGGGTCCATTCACCCGCGCCCTCCCCCGGCCCCGCAGGCTCAACATGTCGAACGTCCGCGTCGGCTCCAAGCGCCTGTACGCCCACGCGGCCATGGCCTGGATCATGACGCTCGCCGTGTTCTACCTCGCCAACTGCTTCCACAAGGACATGGTCGCGCTGCGCCTGCGCTTCCTCGCGACGCAGCCGCCCTCGGGCTCGACGCACGCCGCGCTCCTGCGCGACATCCCCGGCACGCGCGCCGGCACCAAGCCCGTGCGCGCGGTGCAGATCATCGACGAGGTGCGCACGCACACAAACGGGGAGGGGGGGTGTGTTGTGGGGTGTTGTGTTGCTCTCGCGTCCGGCTCACGGACACCGCGCTCTGCGCCCGCCCGTCGAGCACCGGTCCCAGCAGTTCCCAACCAGTCTCGGATCCTCGACTGCCGTTCCCGCGCAGGTCCTCTTCTTCCTCCCCGGGTGCCTGAAGCGCCCGATCCTCTCGCGCGCCGACGCCGTGGTCCGCAAGATGGACGAGGTCGCGCAGGAGCAGATCCGCAAGGCCAAGGCCGGCATGGCCCGCCGCAGCTCCCGCAAGGCCGGCCTCACCGACTGCGAGAACGGCGAGTGCACCGTGGAGCTGTCCCGCAAGGGCCGCCTCCAGCGCGCGCTCGACGGCGAGGCCAACCCGGCGCTCTACATCGGCCGCACGCAGTCCGCCGCGGTCCCCGCGCTCAAGGGCGACATCGAGTCGGGCGGGGGGGGCTCGAACACCGAGACGTCGCAGCCCGGGTCGGCCACGCCGCCGACGAAGTTCGCGGTCGTGGAGGACCCGAAGACCGGCGTCGCGAAGGTCGTCAAGGTGGACGACCCGTTCAAGGAGCTCCCGCGCATCCACGACGTCCGCGCCGCGGTGGACGCCGACGCCGAGACGGCCGAGTTCTTCGCGTACGCCGAGGCGCGGGACCGCCCCGTGACGTTCGACGAGTCGGTCGCGGTGCCGTTCAAGACGATCTTCGGCGACCTCGTCGACGCGGTGCACCCCGTCAAGGACTTCACGCGCGCCCAGGCGCTGCTCAACGAGTTCAGCGCCATCAAGGCGCGCGCGCAGCTGACCGCGGACGTGTACCACACGACGATGGCGCGGCAGCGCGACATCAAGCACAAGTTCGTGAAGCCGCGCGGCGTCTTCGGCGGCGCGGCGCCCACGTGCAAGGCCGACGCCGAGTGGCTCAACGCCACGTACGGCGAGAAGACCAAGCCCAAGGTTGAGAGCCTCGAGTTCTTCGCGGCGCGCATGGAGCGCCTGAAGGCGCTGCTCGACGAGGAGCGCGTCGCCGTCGTCAAGAAGGAGGCCCCCGCGGCGTTCGTCACCTTCAACAAGCGTTGGGCCGCCGCCGTGGCCGCCGACGGCATGGTGCACCCGGACCTGCGGAACTGGACGACGGACCCGGCGCCGGAGCCCGAGGACGTGTACTGGCACGCCCTGCGCCTGCGCGGCTGGGAGCGCTTCCTCCGCTCCTGCCTCGTCAACGGCACCATCGCGCTGGCCATCATCTTCTTCTCGATTCCCGTCGGGTTCATCCAGGCCCTGCTCGCCGTCGAGCGCTGGGAGAACGTCGTCGTCCTCAAGAGCATCGTCGGCGTCGACGCGATCCGCAAGTTCCTCGTCGGGTTCCTCCCCGGCCTGGCCATGGTGATTGTGCTCGCCGTGCTCCCGCCGCTCCTGGCGCTGCTCGGGAAGATCCAGGGGCTCGAGTCCTTCAGCCGCATCGACGGCTTCGTCGTGTCCCGCTTCTTCCTCTTCCAGATCCTCGTCGTCTTCTTCATGAACGTCGGCGCCGCGGCCTTCTCCGAGCAGATCGACAAGATCTTCTCCGACCCCGGAATCATCCCGGACCTGCTCGCGAACAACGTGCCGTCGGCCTCGGACTTCTTCCTCTCGTACACGCTCGTCCGGGGCGTCCTCCAGCCCTGCCTGAAGCTCCTGAACGTCCCGAAGCTGGCCATCTACTTGCTGCGGCTCAAGTTCGCGCCCACGGAGCGCGCGAAGCAGGCGGTGATCGAGTCGAGCAACCGGAAGCTCGGGCCGGTCCTGCCCGTGCTGACCATGGCGTTCTTCCTCGGGCTCGTCTACGCGCCGCTCAACGCACTCATGTGCGTCGTCACCCTGGTGAGTGTGCCCCCCCCCGCCCGCCGATGAATCAACTCACGCACAACTCAAACAAGCGCACGACACGCACACCGCACAGCGCTCTCTCCGAACGCCGCACGCCCGCCGCGGCGCACCCACACCCCCCCTGGAACCCCAGAAACACACACGCAAAGCAAGGACGACGCATTCCAACCCCCCCCCCGCCCCCCCGTCCTTCCCCTCCCTCGCGTCGCAGATCTTCTTCTGCATGCACTTCATCGTGCTCAAGTACCAGACGGTCTTCATCGACCACGGCACGTACGAGACCGGCGGCCGCCTGTGGCCCACCATCTTCAACCAGATCATGATCTCCCTCCTGTTCGGCCAGCTCGTGACGCTCGGCGTCCTGGGCCTCAACGAGGCCGGCGGCGCGGCCTCCATGTGCATCCCGCTGCCCATCATGGCCGCGGCCTTCTGGTACTACCAGACGAAGCTCTACGCAAAGCCTCTGTCGATCTTGTCGCTGAGGACCTGCATGGACCTGGACGAGGTGCAGCGCGTGGACCGGAACCTCGAGGCCGGCGGCAAGGTCCTCCGCGACGGGTTCTTCCGGCACCCCGCGCTCAACATCACGCACGACGACTGCGACGCCGTCATCGCCGAGTGCAAGGAGTGCCTCGAGCACGTGCGCGAGTACGAGCGCATGCGGTCGCCGGACTACGAGGAGGACACGAACGCGGAGACGTACAACGCGGCGGAGAAGGACGACGCGCTCGAGCAGCGCCGCGAAGCGCGCACCGACGGCGACGACTCCGCGTGAGCGCGCGCGCCCGACCGCGGCGCCCGCGGAGACCCAGGGCCGAGCTCTCTCTCGGGCCCGCCGGCGCGCGGCTGGACGAGCGGCGCGGAGCGGCGGAGGCGGGGTCTCGCGTTGCGCGCGGCGCTGCATTGGTTTTGGCTCGAGAAGGGACAAGATGTCTGCGCAAGACTGCGGCATGGCCAGCCTACCCGAATGCCGGCGCAACTATGCTGGTTCGTTCGTCCTGGAATCGATCGACAGAAGAAGGTTCCTTTCTTGACTGCCTGCCTATCGAAACACACCCCCCCTCACATGTCTGTTCGTGTAGACAAACCCCCCCCTTTCCCCAGTCGGGATCCAATCCCGACTCGACCCATCCCCGCCAAAACGTCTCCTTCTCCGGCCAGGAGCAGCGCCGCAGAGGCCGCTGAGAGGCGCGCCTGTCAGTCGTCGCTCCGAGCCCAGGACGCGCCGGCGACGGGCCTCCGTGTGACGCCGCCGTGCGCCGCTGGATGCGTGGCCGTCGTCTCGCCGTGAACGACCAAGAAGCTGCGCGATGCACGCGAAACGCCGGCACCGACCTCGCGCGACGCTCATGCTGCACATGCACCAGGCCTCGGCGACCCTCCCCGCGGAGAGCCTGGCGACCGTCGCGCACAGCGCCGCTTCGCCGGCCTCTCGCGGGCCCGACGCGCACCGCGCGCGCCCTCTCGTCGGCCCCGCACAGCGCCCACAGTGTCCCGCGGGTGCTTCCGGGAGCACCCCCGCTGCGCTGCTGGCCGTTTCCGGCCGAAACCACAGCGCGAGGATCCGTCGAGACTGCCACAGCGACGCCGCGGTGCGCGGGGCGCCTCGCAGGCCGTCCCCCGCGCCTCGCGGCAGGCGGAGTGATGCAGGCGCAGGAGTTGTTCCGCGGCTCGCGGCGGCTGCGGGGCTCGTCGGCGCCGCGGAGCGCGAACTCCGCGATCACGGTGGACAGGGCGACGCGGCGGCGCGCGGCGCCGGCGGTTCCGCGCCGACGAGGTCGCACGCAAAAACGACCCGGTTCGACGGGGAACGGGGAATCGAACCCGGGGCACCAACGCGGCACTCAGGTTTCAAGGCTGGCTCTCAGCAGGGCCTATCAAGCAGAGATAGGCTCTCGCGGCGGCGCCTTGGTATCTGATCAAATAGGACTTGAGAAGGCGACATGAAGGTCTCGACTCATGGGCCGATCGTGGTCTGCGATGCCGCCGCACGCGGTGAGCAGAAGCATGGCATGCCCGGCGCGCAGCCCCTTCTCGCAGCTGCGCACCCGGCGACTCGCGACGGGCCAAGAACAACAACCGCTTGCAGGCGGTGCGATGTCCGGGCCAGGCGCGAGGCTCCGGGTGGCTGCTGCCCGGCCCGCTCTCACTGCTGGCTAGCGGCGCCCGTGGTGCACGCGGGACGCTGTTTGCGCCCCCGCCAGCCCCTGCGACCCCACGCGATCACTTTCGCAGCATGGCAGCGTTCCAGCGTCGGTTGTTGGCGTTTCAGCAGGCACGCGCAGCTCGCCGCGGCTCGCCCTGGGTCGATGGGGCGGTGCTCTGCTGCCCGCTAGGCGTTGAGAGCTCGGTGCTGCGCGACGGCCTGACCGTCGTCGTCGGCCTGTACTCATTGGAGGTGTGCGACGGTGGCTGGCGTCTGAGGGCGCTCAAGGGGGCGGCGCTGCGACGACGTGGAGTCGACTGGATCAGCGACACTGCTTCGGCCGCGGACCAGCGTGAGACGCGCCCGCTGCAGTGCCGTGTGCAGGAAAGTTTGTCTCGGACAGAGAGATCGGTCCAGCGCTGTCCGGGGGCACCGGGCGTTCGGGCGTATCCACGTGCGTGTGCAATTCACATATTCGCGCTCGGATATCCGCCGCAGACGCCGTACGCGGCGATGCGCGGCACCGAAGGATGTCGCACTGGCTTCCACCTCCTCCGCTCGCGAAATCAGTCCTGCCGGTGCCCCCGCGACGCAGGAGATGGGCCTGAGCGTGAGCAGAATACTGTACGGCAGCGCACAGGCGGGGACGTCGCGGGAGCGCAGCCAGCTGCACCGCGTGCTGCGCGAGGCACCCGTGCTGGACACACTGCCAGACGGCGATAAGGCGAGCCTCGCGGCGACGTGCTGGGGCGCGCTCGAGACGGTGCTGCGGCACACGCGCGCGGTGCTCAAGGTGCACCCGGACGACCCCGTGCTGGCCGGTGTGGCACAGCGGGTGACGGCGGGGCCGTGCGCGGGGGCCGTGGAGCTCCAGGGCGTGCGCGTCGTGGCGACGGACGCGGGGGCGCTGCTGGACGCCGCGAGGGAGGTGGGCTTCGACCTGCCGCTGAAGATCGACGTCGACGAGAGCCGGAATACCATTGAACACGCGCGAGAGGAAGCGAGCAGCGAGAAGGAGATGCTTTTGTGGGTCGAGATGATGAGGGCGCTCGCGGCGACGCCCGGCGGGGCGCACGTGACGGGATTGACGGTCCCTGCCCTGTCAGGGAACTCTTGGGACTTATGGACGCATTTGACGTCGGAGGCGGAGCTGCAGGGGGTGGCGCGGGTCCTGCAGACGCGCACAGTGCGGGACCGCCTGCGCTTTCTGAAGATCGCGGTGGGGCGGGACGCCTTGATGCAACACCGGGCTGCCGAGGTACTGCACGGAGCGCTGGGTGGTCTGTCGGCGCTGCAGCACCTGCAGCTCGACCACCCCAGTGCACACTTGGCAAACGTCGTTGACCAGCTCAGCGGGCTCAGGACGCTCGAGGTGCGGCAGGGGCTGTGGATGCATGATCGTGGATTCACAGCCGCGGAGTGGTCCGCGTTCTGGGTCGCTCTGGAGCGGGCGACGGACCTGCGCAGCCTCACGTTGTCCGACTGGGCCGATCGGGACGCAAGCGCGGAGCTGCGGGCCCTGCCGGCGCGGCTGGAGGTACTCTGCATGAATTGCGAGCACCCCCTTCGCTGGTGGGACGGCATCAACCTGCGGTCGCTGAACCTGGAGCGTATGGGACACTTCGAGCGCTGGGACAGGCTGGCGGAGCTCCTGAGCCGCAGCAGGAAGCTGACGCGGCTGCGGGTGGGGGGTATTTCAGATCGCCCGCACATCGACCCGGACGCCGTGCTTGCGGTGTTTTCGGCCCTGGAGCACAGCCAGGTGGAGGACCTCTCGTTGGCGTGCTCATTCGAAGCAGAAGGAGCCTTTCGCGAGGCGTTGGGGGCCGCCGTTGCCTCCGCGGTGCGCAACATGCCCGCGCTCCAAGAGCTGCACCTTTCGGGCCCGACGACGCGCGAGGCGGACCCCGATGGCTGGCTCGGATTCGATCGGTCCGCGGCGGTGGCGGCCCTGCGCGACACGGCGACGCTGCGCACGCTGCGGCTCGACCTGTGCAGTTCCAAGATCGAACCGGGTCTCGGCGCGGCTCTGGGCGGCCTGGTCAGTCGGAGCACGTCGCTCGCGGAGCTGCACCTGCACCGCTTCGAGTGCCCCGCGGGATCATACAGTGAGCTCTTCCAGGGCCTGGGCGAGAACAGGACGCTGCAGGTGCTGCGGTGCTGCAGCGGCGGGGAGGCGCCGCTGGACAACGGCTTCGTGCGCCGGCTGATGGACGCGCTGTACGGTGGCGGCCGCCACGAAGGCCGGCAACTGCACACGCTCGAGATTCGGTCCAGCCGCGTCAGGCACGCCGGCGTTGCGCACATCGCGCAGGTCCTGGAAGACCGGCCATCGGTCAAGCTGCGGCGGCTGACTCTCGAGGGCGTCGACGTCGGGCTGGAATCCATCGGGTTCGCGCTGCAACGGAACTGCGCGCTCGTGTCGCTGCGGGTCCCTGTCAACGAAGACCGCATATACCGGGAGGTGGCGACGTTGGAGGAGGCGCTGGTGGACAACACGACGCTGCGGCACCTGGACATCAGGGAGCTCGAGGGCGGTTCGCTGTATTCGACAAATGTCGGGAAGCAGCTGCGAGAGGTGTGGCACGCGCAGCGGTTTGCGATGGCCCTGCGCGAGGCCATCGGGGGGAAGCCGAACAGGACGCCCGGAGAATATTTCATGCGGATGATGGCGCGCTGAATCGCGCGGCGGCGCGGAGCTTCCAGCCCGTGGCGGCGAGTATGCGGTGCGAGCACGTGCGAGTGCGCCGCCGCCTGCAGCGCCGGGTGCGCGCCGCGTGTGAGCGAGCATCCCGGCGAGTCGCTGCGGATCATCGGGCGATGCTCGCATGCGGCGCAATCTCGAAGCGAGGGTGATTTGAAGGTCGGTGAATCTAGGGGGGTGTCACCGCATGGGTGAGGGATCGCTAGGCGGGGCGGGTCGCGATGCCGGACCGACGCGCCCCGCAATGTCGACGTCCTCGCAAGCATCACTGCCGAAGCCGCACCGGAGGGGCACGCGCGCCCCTGAATATAAAAAACCCGTCTACTTCCTTCAAACATATCTATGTATTCACCGCCATCTATGTCTGGCACCGCGCCCGCCGCCCACCCCTTCCCGGCCATCCGGAGCACTCGCCACCCGCCCCGCGCTCACCGCAATGCCTCGGCGCCGCGTCGCAGTCGGACTGAGGGCCCGACGGCGGTGCGCACGCGCTCCACCTCCCCGCGCCCCTCCATCTCGCGCGCGACGAACACCCGCTGCTCCGGCGGCACCGCGGGGCACCCCTTGAGCTCCCCGAGCTTGCTCAGCAGCACCTCGCCACCCCGCCGGCGCGCCAGCGCGCGCGCGAGGTCGCGCCGCGCGCCCGTGAGGAGCGCCGCGACGCGCGCCGCGGCGGGGAACGAGAAGACGAGCGCGTCGGGGTCCTCGCGGCTGCTCACGAGGACGCGCGCGTCCTCGAGCGCCTTCAGCGCCGCCACCTCGGGCCGCAAAGACCCCCCCCCTGACGCGACTGGGCCGCCGGCGCCCCGCCGACGCTTCGCGGGCGGCGCGGCTGCGTCGCCGGTGTCGGTCCGGGCGGCCGCGGCGCCGTCCGGGGGGTCGTCGGGGAGCGCGGCGCGGAGTGCTGCCAGGGCGTCGGTGCGGAGAATTCCAGGGGATGTGCTGGAGGGGAGTATTGCGGAGATGAGGGCGTCGACGGCGCGGGGGAGCGCGGGGTGCCGGTGGGCCCCCGCGGCCGCGGCGGCGCGGAGGGCGGCGGCGTAGGCGTCGGTGGGGACCAGCACGAGGGGGGGTGTTGGGCCTGACGTCAGGTGGAGGAAGCGCAGGCGGCCGGTGCGGCGGAGGTGGTCCAGGTCGCGCGCGAGGCCCGTGGCGTCCGTGAGAATGGTGCTCAGCTGCGAAGTCAACGCGGAACACCGGAGGGGGGATGTCACGTGTAAGTGCTGCGCGCTGTCTGCACCACGTGCGGGATTCGGCGTCGTTTCTGCTCCGAGAGCGCAGATACAAGGTGCAGGAATCGTTTGCGCGCACGGGAGGTTCACCTGGGCGCGTGTGGCGAGCGGTGGGGCGCCCAGCGCATCGAGCGCTGGCTTCAACTGCGGCTGCAGCGCCTGGAACGCAGCCATCGCATCGCTCGGGAGATCCTCAGCCGTCAGGTCGTCGTCGGGGTGCCACGCCGGCGCATCTGCAGCGGGGATGCGCGCCCACGGGACGTCGGTGCGCAACGCATTGAGCAAACCGCTCGCGCACACGGCTCAAACGCTTTCGAAACGCAAGTCCGACCGCCCCACCTTCTTTTCCCTCATGTCTCCGATGGAGCCGCTCCAGAACGTCGTCAATGTCGCCCATGGCGAGCCCTCACACCCCCCTCTTCCGTACAGACCCTGTCATCGACCCGCGAGCCGCGCTCGCCGCACGTGCCGCCAAGCGCGCGCCCGCAGCCACCGCAGGACCTCTGCTCCCCCGCGACGCGCCCGGACCCGAACGCCGCGCCGACGCCGGGCCCACGTGCGCCCCCTCCACGCGTCGTCGACACGCACCGCACGCGCACGCGGCCGACACACCTTCGGCGCGCCGTGCGGCTTCGCTCGGGGCAAGAGTGGCCCGCGGGCATGCCAGCGCCGCGCCAAGCGGCCATGCGCGGGCCCGCGAGACCCCCCCCGGCGACGTGGGGAGTCGCAGCGCACACTCCGGGAGGCCTCGTCGCGCGCAGGCGGCGGCGCTGGGGCGCGAAGCGGGCGTCGGAGGCGGCGCAGGGGCCACTCTGCCCGCGCGGCGTGCGAAAGGGCGCCCAGGCCCTGACTCAGCGCAGCGCCGGTCCGCAGAGCCAAGGGTGGGGGAGACACGTCTCCGGATACCCGCCCGTCGGGGGCGGCAGGGCGGGGGCGTGCCGCGCGACGCGCTTTGAGCGCGAGAGACGGAGGCCGGGATGGCGGCGGAGCTGCTGAACGAGCCCGCGACGCTGCGGAAGATCAATTTGAAGCTTGCGGAGAGGCTTGCGGCGCGCGTGGCGGACAACAAGCGGCTCGAGGAGCGGCTGAAGGCGGCCGAGGGCGCGAAGGAGTCGTTTGTGGACACCGCGGCGTGCATCTCGAAGTACGTCCCCGCGCATCGGCGCCGTAGCGCGACGAGGCGCCCCCCGCTCCGCACACGTCCGCGCCGCGGCCCCGCCGCGCCCCGAGCGCCGCGTACCGTCCTCCCACGGCGTGCCTGCGGACTGGAGCGCTGCCGGGGCGGACCAGGCGGGGCCTCGTCGCCCCGAGCAGCCACGTTTCGGACGTGCAAGCAGGTCCCGGGGCTCTCGCGGCGACACCCCGTCGCGGCCCGCGCACGCGCGCTCCCGCTCCCCGCGCAGCTCGCATGTTGCGCGCCTCTGACAGCTCCTCCGCCGCCGTGCGGCCGCGTTCGCAGGCTATGGGCGGAGCTCGACGCCAACCTGCAAGCGGTGTGCAAGCGGGCGGGCGTGGAGCCCGCGCAGGCTCCGCCGAGCGACAAGGGCGCCAGCCCGGAGGATATCTTCCTCGAGAGGTGCGGCACAGCGCGCGCAGCGGCCACGCGCGCGCCTCGGCTGCTCGTCGCCGCACGCACACCTCGTGCCACCCACCACGCGCCCGCTCGACCGCTGCGGGGCCGCCCGGGCGCTTTCCCGCGCCTGAATATACTCCGAGACGGCAGACCTCGCGAGCGCGCCGAGGGAAACGGAGCGCGCGGCCTTCTGCGCGTCGCGGTCGCCGTCCGACCGTCGAAACTGCGCCCGCCCCCTCGCAGGCTCCTGCGCGGCGGGTCGGCCGCGGACTCGGACGCAGCGAGGCCGCGGAAGCGCAAGCGCGTCATTGAGGTGCCCACCATCGACCCCACGGACCTCGAGGTCGCCCTGCGCGGCCGCAGCGGCGCCACGCTGGGCATGCTCTCGGCAGTGGTGCAGCGCATCGACGACGCGGCGCGCCAGCGGGCCGAGCACGCCGCGCAGCTCTCCGGCGACGAGGTGCGGATTTTTCGCGAGCCGCACGCGCCCCGCGGCCCGCGCTGCGCGCGCAAGCACGGCGTTTGCGCCTCGGTTCGATTTCTCTAGTGACATGGGCAGCAGCTGCGCGCGTGGCGCGCGTGGCGTCTCGGCGCGAGTTGTGCGCGCGTCTTGCGAGGTTTCACGCGGGCGGAGAGCGTTCGCGGCGCCCCGTGCAGGCGCTGCGGAGCGAGGTGGCGAGGCTGCAGGCGGAGCTGCAGCGGGCGACGGAGCGCGCGGCGGCGAGCGAGGCCGAGTGCGCGCGCGTGGAGTCGGTCGCGGCGCTCTTCTTCGAGCAGTTCCAGCGGCAGGAGGCCGAGGTGCGGCGCCCACGCACCAGCTGTGGCTGCTCGACAACAGCCGACAGGTCGACGACGGCGCGCGTTCGCTGGCGAGCTTCGTCCTCCGGTTCTGCGCGCTATCGCTACGATGCTGCGCCATCATCCGCATCAGTGCGCGTTCACGCGATCGCGCCATGCGTGCCCCCCGTCCACATCTCTCGTCTACCCGCGCCAGCTGCTCTTCGGCCGCATAGACCCGCGGAAAACAACTTCTGCATTATCCCCGCACGCATACGAACGGCGCAACGCACTCACCGGGCCGCGCTCGCGCTCGTCCACCGCTGCGCAGTGCGGGGAGGCCCAGGCCGAGGTCGCCGCGATGCAGGAGCGCGCCGACGCGGCGATCCGCGACGCCGAGCGCCTCAAGCACGAGCTCAGCGCCCTGCGCGCCACGGCCACCGCCGTGGAGCCCCCCACCCCCGCCGACGCCGCCCCGCGCCCGCCCACGCCACCTCCGGCCACCCCGGCGCCCACCCCGGGCGCCCGCCCGGGCACACCCGGCGCGGACAGCGCCGCCGCGGCCGCCCCGACCGACGCAGAGGCGGCCGCGCAGCAGCGCGTCGCGGAGCTGGAGGGGGAGCTGCGGGAGCTGCGTGAGGCTCACGACCGGCGCGTCGCGGAGCTGCAGGGGGCGCTGCGCGCGAAGGAGGAGGAGGCGGATCGGTTGGGGTTGGAGGCGGCGGCGGCGGTGGAGGCGCGGGCGGGCGAGGAGGGGTCGGCGGCGGCGGGGGGGGGGTTGCCGGGGGAGTTTGTTGCGTGGCTCGGGAAGGCGCGCGGGGCCGCGGGGGCGCTGCGGTTCGACGCGGAGCAGGTCGCGGCGCGCGCGGTGGCGCTGCGGCAGGCGTGGGCGTCGTGGGACGAGGAGCTCGAGCATCGAGTCAGGGAGGGGTGTCGGGCGCTGGAGGGGGAGTTGAAGAAGGAGCAGGAGCGGGTGCTGGCGCGGCAGGCGGGGGGCGGGCGCGCGGGCGCCGCGGACGGCGGGCTCGCGGCTGCGGCGGCGACGGAGTTCCACAGGTGCGGGGCGTCGAGCGGCTCTCTGATTGTTGTTGTGGTTCCGCACTCGAGGATTCGCGAATGGCTGCGCGTACTTGAAGATAGGGCTCGCGGCCGCCCGCGACGAAGCTGCCGCTGTGTGCGACGCTCTCCGCCTCGGCGGGGCGCGGTGCGTGGCACGCCGTGTGCCTGACAGCAGCTCTGCGGGGGGTGTTGTGCTTTGTACTGCAGGGGCGTAATAGAGCGGCTGGGGGCGTGGGCGACGGCGCGCGGGGCGCGCGTGCACGCGGCGATCGTCGGGGCGCGCGACGCGGCCGAGGCGCTGGCGGACCGCGAGGGGCGGTTGCGAGCGCTCACTGCGCGCCTCGAGGTGAGCCCGTCGACATGCACACGGGGCACACCACTCTCCGTCCTGGGACGCGTGACAGGTCCTGTCGTTCGGGGGGCCTCGCGGGCTCGAGATTGAATTATAAAATGTTTGAAAAAACGTAGAATTTGTGTATCACGATCTAACCCGCGCCGGCCCCGCCGCTTCGCAGACCGTCGAGGCCGAGCTGCACGCCGAGCGCGTCCGCACGGAGCACCTCACCAACCGCATCGACGCCGCGCGCACCCTTGCGGACGTGGCGACCGCGATGGCCGACGACGACCGCACCGCCGTGGAGCTCCGCGCGCGCGTCGCGGAGCTCGAGGGCCAGCTCGCGGGCGGTGGCGACGCCAAGTCGAAGTCGGCGGAGACCCCGCCCGACCTGACAGCGGTGCGCGCTGCCCTGACTCAGGCCGAGAGCGACCGGGAGGCGCTGCGCGCGCAGCTCGAGGCCGCGCGGGGCGGCAACAGGGAGCTCGCGGAGAGCCTCGAGACGGTCGAGAGCGAGGTGGAGGAGGTGGGGGGGGTGTACGAGGCGGCGCTGCGGGAGAAGGGGGAGTTGTTGCGGCGGGTGGGGGAGTTGGAGCGCCAGGCGCAGGCGGCCGAGGACGACCGCGCGGTGCTCCTGCGGCGCGCGGTCGCGGCCGAGCGGAAGACGCAGGAGGCCGAGGTGAGCGCGCAAAGACACGTGGACGCACGCTCTCATGCGTGGTGCTGCCTGGCTGGTGGTTGTCGTGCCGGCGTCAGAGGCGGCCCCCGCTGCGGCCTCGCGCCCGCGTGCGCGCCCCACGCACACTGCTCAACTCCCTTGCTTCCATACACGCACCGATTCATGCATTTCACGAACAAGAAACCACATACTTCAGCATCTCTCAAACATGCGCCCCTTTCACGCATATTTCATAAACAACGCCGAGGCGCCGTCCCCGCACCCCGCCCCACGCGCCCACACGCACAAACCACACCCCCCCAACACTCCCCGCGCAGGCCGCCCGCAGCCGCGCGCACTCCGAGTGGCTGGAGCGCACGCGCCAGCTCGACCGCCTCTCGGCGCTCGCCGACCAGCTCGCCGCCGCCGCCGCCACCGCCGACGACTACGTCGCCCGCCAGCAGCGCGCCGTCGCCGCAGAGGCCGACCGCGCGCGCGACGCCGTCGCGCTAGAAGCTGCACAGCGCCGCGCCACAGAGGCCGAGGTGCGCGCCGCGCGCGCGGGCGACGACGCGGAAACGCTGCGGCGGCGCGCGCGGCGGCTCCAGGAGCGGCTCCGGCAGGCGCAGTCGGTGTCCGGGGGGGCGTTGGGGGACTCTGCGACCAAGGAGCTGGAAGTCCTCCGGGACGTGTGCTACTGCTCGCTGTGCAAGGTCAACGTGCGGGACCAGGCGCTCGCGCGGTGCGGGCACACGTTCTGCACGGACTGCATTCAGAAACGGATAAGGCTCCGCGACCGGAAATGCCCGTCGTGCGGCATCGGGTTCGCGGTGGAGGACGCCAAGCGCATCTACTTGGGGCTCGAGGGGGAGTGAGGGGGGGAGTGTCGGGGGGTGTGAAAATCGGAGGCGAACGGAAGAAAACAGGAGCGCTCCTTGTGCGGGCAACGTCGACTGCTTGGACGGCCCGTCAGACTCACGTCCCGGGGCGCGCGCTGCACCTCGCGGCGGCCGTGGGTCGTGCTCGTCCGGAGCCCAGCGCGTCGAGCAGCTTCCTACGCCCCCACGCAACCGCGCGCAACATGTCAGCCCTCGGCCACTCAGACCCCTCCACCCAACCGCCGCCGCGCCCGCTCGACCGCCCGGTCGACGTGGCCCCGAGCGAGCACGTCCGCCGCGCCGCGCACCCGCGCCCCGCTCTCATTGCCGCCGCTCGCTCATCCTGCGTGCGGGTACTCCACCGCGTCGTTGCTCTCGGCCACCCCTTTCCTTGGTCAATGAGGTGATCCGAATTTCGACGTCTCACATCTTCATCGGCTCCTGCCCCGCCGGCGGCTTCACCTCGACCTTGCCCGCGCCCACCTCCTTCCAGTTCGTGCTCAGCACAGTGCCCCCCGACTCGGAGTACGACTTCATCATCGCGCGCCGCGTGTCGTCGTCCGCGTCCTTGTAGATGTTCTTGAACAGCTTCATCAGCGCCGCGTCGCCCTCCAGCTGCTCGTCCTTCTCCTCGGCCGCGATCTCCGACTCGAGCTTCGACCAGTCGCCCGGCCGCCGCTTGCTCGCCCACGGCAGCGGGATCCCTGCGCAGCAAGCGCATGCGGACCGCGGGTTGCGAGCTGCGCGCGAGCGGCGCCGGCGCCGGCACAGGCCGGCTTGTATTAATTCGTCTGCGCGCAGACGGTCGTTGCGCCCGGAAAGCGCGCCGCGTCGCTGCGGAAGAGCGGTGCGAAAAAGAAGGCACAGACACGGCGCGGGCCGCGCGCACCGTCGTCCTGCGCGCCGCTCCCGCCCTGCTGCAGGTCCGTCCACTGCGACCCGTCCGCCTTCGCGAGCTTCACCTCGATCTTCGGCGCGACGTGCTCCACCACGGTGCCAGCAGGGTCCACTTTGCCCCCTAGCTGCACCGCCAGCTCGTACTCGGGCTCCCCGGCCTCCGACCGCACCTGCGCCGCGACAAATCGTCAGACAATTATTACTCTCGCCAAGAACGCGCAACGGCGGCCCGCTGCGGCCACGGCGACGCAGCCACTGACAGTCAAAGGCGCTCGCGCGCGCATTTCGTCGCTCCGCAGCGCGGCGGCAGGCGCGCGCGCAAGCAGCGACGCACCTGGATCAGCAGCGCGTTGTCCCGGACGTCGACGGTCGCGCGCTCCTTCGGGATGTTCTTCGCAAACACCGACACGTAGACGTGCGTGCCCGTCTGGTACCACTGGTGCCGGTACTTCTTCGCTCCGGCGCCCGTGAGCGTCGCGTCGAGCGCAGGCGCCGCCGGCGCGCCGGAGCCGCCGGCCGCCGCCGGGGCCGCCTGGAGCGTCGCCAGAGCCGCCGCACACTTCTGCGTCCACGCCGCGACGCCGCTGTCGCCGGGGCGCGCCTTTCCGGCCTCCGCGAAGGCCTCCTGCGCAGCCTCGAACTCGTCCAGGTGGAAGCTCGCGATCCTGCGCGACAACGAGCACGCCCGCGCTTGCGCTGTGTGTGTCTGCGCTGTGGCGCACCACGCGCGCGGGACGCCGCGAGACGCCGCGGCCCGCCATGGCTCGGCGGCCCTGTGCTCCATCGCGTGCAGCCACGGCGCGGGGCGCCCGGACGCTGCGCCCGCGCGCCGCGCTGCACGCCCGCGCGCCGCTCCCTGCAGGTCCGTTCGCTTCCCGGCCTCTTCCCGGCGGCGCTCGCGGCTCAAACGGGCAGAACGCGATCTCCGTGGACGGCCACGCTCGCAGAGTCAGCGCTGGCGCGGAACAGCGCGCTCCTCGCGCCCTGGGAACCGGAGAGTGCGGCATCGAGACCTACCCTTTCCGGAGAAGCGCGCTGAAGAGGGACTTGTCGGCCTCCGCGGCCTTGGTGGCGTCCTCGAGGGCCTCCATGAACTGCTCGTCGCGTATCTTGAGCTCCGCGCGCGCCGAGAGGAGCTCCGCGCGCCCCGGCTCCGACGCGACTGCCTGCGCTCAGCCCACCACACACATCGCCGTTCCGAAGCGCTCCCGCGCGCATCCCGCTCCGAGGCAATCCGAGGCCCTAGCGCACGCAGCGAGGAAGCCTTAGCGCTGCGTGGACGCCGCTCGGACCGCGTGCGGCGTGCGTGGAGGCGTGCAGGCAGCGTGCGGGCGCTGGGGCGGGGACACGGCGTACCTGGTCCATGTGCGCGCACGCGGCGGCGAGGTCGCCGTCCAGGAGCGCGAAGAACGCGCTCTCGACCGGCCCGCCCATGGCCGTCACGCAACCGCTCGGTGCGGGGTCACGGCCGCGGTGCTGCGCGGGACGTTTGCTTCGCCTCGCTGCGACGCCTCGGGGGAGCGTTCCGTCGCGAAATGCACGTGGGGTCGCAGCTGAGCGTACTGGCCGCGGCCCGCGCGCGCGCGACGGCATGGCCGGGGCCGGGCGTGGACGGGACGGACGGAGTGGTAGAACAGACACTGACTCAGCGGGGGGTTGTTGGGAGGGCAGGGCGCGGGGTGCGTCGGGAGGCGCCGCCTGGCGGGCGCAAGAGCTCGCTGGGTGCGTGGGTGCAGTTCACGCGCGATGTCTCGTGGCCGGAGGGTTGTGCACGGTCCGTTCATGCAGCGGGCGCGCACGTGCGTGAGACGCGACTCCGCCGGGGCTATGAGCACGCGTAGCGCCCGGTCGGACCCGTTCCCTCCGCCCGACTCCGGCCCCGCGCCACCGGGCCGCTGGGGACTCCCCCCCATGCTGCGTCAGCCCACGCATGCACTACGGCCGACTTTGGCGACACACTGCCGGCGTCGCATCCGCGGAGACTTGTCCCCGCCCGCACGGCCCGCCCTCCGTCAGGCGGGAACCCATCATCAGGCGCCACGGCATTTCACCCACGCCACACCCTTGCAACCCCCCCCTAAACCCCCCCCCTCCCGCCGCGGCCGTGGATCGAGCCGGTCCAGGGCCGTCCGGTCGGATCGCAGTCCGCGTCCGCCGTCTGCTGCCGCACCGGCTCCTGTCGGACAGCCCGTTTGCCTGCCGCGTGTGCCGCGCGATGCCCGCCTGCGAGTCGTGTCGTGCCGTCGTGGTCGGCTGCCCGCCCGCGACCTCCGCGCACCCTGCGCCGCGGCCGTGGCGGCGCGCTGGGCCGGCCTCGATCGACGGGCGAAACGGCGGGCATTTTCATCAACAAAAAAAAGCAACAATGAATCAATTGATGACTAATCACTCGCGCGTGGTGAGTCAACTACCACCCCGGGTGCGCCGCGCACGGAGCCTCCTCCTCGCCGCGGCCGCAAACGCAGCGCGCCGCCCACGCACAGCAGCAGCACATCCTCACGCAAACACACCCACCGCCGCCCGCCGTCAACTATCCACCTGGCAGCACACATCATGCGCGCCCATGCCACCGTGCCTCGCGCCACGGCGGCGGCCCACCGCGCGGCGCCGCGGACGCGTCGTCTCCGGCACATGTGCCCTGGCGACGCCGCCACGTCATGGGCCCTTCGAGGGGCCGACGCAGCGGGGGAGTCCACGGCACCACCTAGGTCGTCCGAGGGGCCCTCGGCGAGGGCGGACGGTCGCATTGCCATGGGCGCGCCGGGCCCCGCCGCGTGTGCATTCTACGCAATTTTACACCTCGTTTGCCGGACCCGCGCGACGTCGCTCGCGGTGGCGCATCGCATTGGCCACTCCTTGTATCTTGGCGCGACTTCCCGATTTGTCGTGGACCCCGCGGGCTGTATTGTGCGAATCTAGGGCAGGTGCCATGCGGAGCTGCTTCGTGTGCATTGCCGGCGGCGGGCGAGGGCGGGACTGGGACGGGTAAGCCGCCCTAGATTTCGTTGGGGGGCAATCGGGCATGCTCTCGCGTGCGGCCTTGCCGCGCGAATGCGACCGGACGGGCTGAATGTGGCGTCAACATCGTCGCCGGCGAGACCAAGGACCCGCGCGGGTTCTCTTTCACGCGGCCGGTTGCCGGGTTCCTGCTCACGAGGACGGTTTCACGCGCCGTGGCCCGCAGGGTCGACCAAACAATCGCTGAGGACCGCCTGCGGCTCAGCCAACACTCCAAACACGACATGACTCGCCTCCGGAACGCTGGGAAATCCGTGCCGAGCCACGACCCCCGGCGCCTGAGCACTCTGGGCCTCGCAGACAGCACACGACTCCTCCGCGACTCCGCCGCGCGCGACGCCCGCCCCGCGACCTACCGCAGGTGATCCTCGCCGCGGCGCCGCGGCGCCCCCGCCCAGCCTGTGCACCACACCGCCGGGCTGTACACGGCCCCCGTCACGGGGAGCTCCGCTGCCCTCCCGCGCGTTTGCCATTTCCGCCCCGCATCGGCGCGCCGGCGTCATGCGTCAACGTGGGGCCGGGGGCGGTCGCTACCACGCCTGTCAGGCCAGTCCTCGCCGCGACCGACACGCACTCGATGCGACGCCATCATCGCCCCGCAGGCCGCCCGCACGTTCGCGCCGCAGCAGCATGCAAGCAGCCGGCAAGCACAACAATCTCAGGTACTCCCCGCGCCATCGAGATTCGCGACCTGCGAGTTCCGCACGCCACAGCGGCCCAACCACCACCCTGGCAGTCATGCTGACAGCCTGTGGCGCTCCCGCACCGCCGCAGCTCCGGCCGGCGCTCGCTCGACCAAGCACCCTACGGCGCGAACGTCGCGCTCGGCCACCGCGCCGCCGCGGACGAGGACGGCCCGGGCCTGTTTCACTGTAGCAAGCGCCAGTGTTCCGACTGCCACGAGGACTCCATCGTCGCCGCATTGCCCTCGTGGCGACTCGCCGAGGCTCTCCCGCTCACGCCCACAGGTGATCCGCGCCCGCCACGCACACTTGCGCCCCGCCTTCTGTCCGCCGCCGCGTGAGAGCTCAGCTCGACTCTAAACCCCCTACGCTCCGTCGACCCGCAGCGTCCAACCTGCGCGTCCGCGGCGGCCCCGACGAGCACGCACGGAAGCACCTCACCGACCCCGCCCGCGTCGGACCCTGCCAAACACCCCCCCCCCACCTCTACGTCGAGAACCCGGCATTCGAGGAGAGCGTCTTCGTCTCGGCGCGCCGCAAGGCCGCCAGGGCCGCGTCGAGCCGCGTGACACGCCAGGGCGGGGAGGACAGCCACCCCACGTGGGACGGTGCCCCCAAGCACGGGTCTGACAGCGGGCTCGTCGGCGGGTCGGAGCACGGGCAGGCGCGCAAGCACGCTGCGCCGGCCCCGCTCGCGGCGCACTCGACCCGGGGAGTCTTGACCGCGGCGACCGCAGGCGAGCGCGTCACCGGCGAGGGCGGGCGCGACACGCAGCACGTGGAGCAGTGCGCGACCGCGGAGTGCTGCGGCGTGGACAGCTGCTCCAGCGGCCGCCTCGCGCAGCAGCTGCGCTTCCTGCGCGACGACGCGCGCTTCGCCTGCCCCGGCGGGCCGAAGCACCCGAACCGCGTCGTGCTGTGGGAGCAATGAGAAGAGCGTATGGAAGATGGAGCGCCACCGCCGCCAGAACGGCATGGCTGCCGCGGCTCCGACCAGCTCCGGCTTCTCGTTCTTCTGCTCTCCGGACCTTGAATCAAAACTCCCCCCCTTCCCTCGAGACCGTTTCCCCCTAACCACCCATCGCGTGATCTCACGGCGCCTGATCCGCGCGGCACGTGGCTCGACGGCGGAGCCGCCCGATGTGTTGGGCGGCGCCGTTGTCGGGGCGCTCTGCGCGGTCGGCCTGCACCGTCTATGGTTCCCACCGCCACCGGCGCGGATGTATTGCCTGCGTTTCCGTGCTGAGCACGAATATCTTCTTATGGAGCGTGCACCTCGGTCAGGATAGAACGGGCTTCCGAGGATCGTCTGGTCTCCTGCCCACAGAGGAGGCGCGCGAGCGCGCATGCACTCCTAGTCTCCTGTTCACCATGATTCCTTCTTGAATGAATGAATCATGGATCTCCTTCTCCGTTCAACACTATCACCGATCGGGTACTAGGACACCTCGATCGCTGCGCTCGCAGCCCCCCGTCGCTCTCCGCCCGCCCTTCCCTTCCCCCCGACTCACGTCGGCCATGCCTGCAGCCAACCACGACGTACTATCTGACAGACAAACAACCCCACGCCCCGAGTCAGTCAGTCAGCAGCAACGCTGAGTCTGACAGACCGTCGGCCCGCCTCGCTGCCGCAGCCCGGCGCTGCCAGTAGCACTTTGCACAGTCTTTGCCCCGTCAACCATCCCGTGGACGCTCGAGTGCGTCTGCGCGATCGAACACCTCCGCCCGCCGTGGCTGAGGCCCCTCAGGCCCCGCGGGGCCGGTCGCCGGCGTGCTGCGCGGCCACCGCCCTGCGCAAGCGGCTGTGGGGCCGCCGCGGCGACAGCATCGATACTGGACGACTGCGCGGCCCCAGGGCCTCGATCAGTACGACTTCTCTTTCTGGAGACATCCGCCGTGTCCGTGATGAATTTCCACCTCGTGGTGGGCGAGCCCGTGTTCGACATCGTCGCCCTCCACTGGTGGCATCATCCGTGACAGACAGGTTTACAAGAACTTGGAGCATTCGACTTCTCAATCGACTTGCAGCGACCACTACTCCTGCCGCCAGGACACCCACGCCCCTGGACGTGCTCCAGCAGCGTGCCTGCCTGGCGTCAGACCCCTCCGCTGACATCACTCCCCCACCCCTATCCATTCGACCACCTGCGCAGCCGCGGCCCAGGCTCTGGCCGGGCCTGCACCGGCATGTGCGCCCCATCGTTGTAAGCGAACCCATTCATCGCCGCGGCTCACCTCATACGCGCACGCTCATCTATGGTGCAACTGCCCCTGCGCACGCACGCTGTACGCATCCCGGGATCCCGTTCGCATCCCGCACGCATGCAACCCGTGCAACATGCATGTATATACGGTCCATACACGTTGAGTCTCTTTCAGAAATGAGCGCTGACACGTGTCAGGAGGCACTGCCTACTCGAATGTACTTTCTCCGCCCCGCGGCCGGCATGTGATCCACCGCGCTCGCACCAGTCACCCAGACACTGACCCACTCGACACGTCAGATCAGATCCGCACCACCTCCGCGCCTCCCTCAGGCGCGTCGCTGCCAGCGCCGTCTGCGTCCCCCGAGCCGTGCTGCGCCTCGCCCGCCTCCGCGCCGCCGTCGTCGTCCACACCGACGGCCTCTTCCCGCACCGCACCACCGTCGTCCGCGCCCGCGCCCTCGTGCACCGCCACCCCCCCCCCCATGCTCTCATACCTCCCCACGACGTCGTTGTAGTCAGGGTACGCCGCCTCCCAGTCCCCGGGAGCCGCCCCGAGCGGCACCTCCGCCGGCCGCTCGTCCAGCAGGTCCATGTAGCTCCGCACGCGCCGCACAAGGTCCAGGTAGGCCTCGCGCTGCTCGATGTCATGCAACCCCCACTTGTGCGCCCAGGGGTACCAGTGCGTGCTGCCGTCGCTGATCAGTATGTAGTTGCAGCACCCCCCGAGCGTCGGCAGAGCCACGCACCGCCCCCCGAACCCGTGCTGCACACCGCGCCACACCACATGCATGGCGGGGTCGTGGTACAGCTCGCGCCCCTCGAACAGGCCCGTCATGGCCACGTAGCCCGCCGCGAGGTCCACGCCGAGGAACTTCATGTCGTCCCACAGCGAAAACTCCCCCTGGCGCGGGAACTCCGGCGGCAGCCACCCGCGGTCCTGCAACGCGGGGAGCGGGCGTCGCGGCGTGGTGCTTGGCGGCCCCGAGGAACGGCGTGGTCGGTGCCTGCGAGCGCGGGCGAGCGCGGGCGAGCGCGGGCGAGCGCGGGCGAGCGCGGGCGAGCGCGGGCGAGCGCGGGCGAGCGCGTCGTCGTCGCTTGCCTTGGCGTTGGCGATCACGTCGCCGGTGAGGTCGTCTCCCATGACCCCGTCCGGGCCCCAGCCGGTCCAGCGCCACCAGGCCGCGCTGGGGTCGTCCCGCTTGATGTACTCCCACGGCCAGCAGTTGTTCACGCGGTCCAGCATCGGCTCTTCGCTCTGCGCACATCAACGTCCCGAAATAGTGACATGTCGATCCTGGTCGACGCTCCGACCCCTCGCAGGCGGTCGGGCGCGCAGGCACAGTGTGACGGCGCGCTCACCGACTTGGGCTGCGTGGGCAGCACGTACGCGTCCGGTGCCACGTCCCGCCACTTGAGAGGGTTGGCATACGCGTCGACGTGCAGCACGAGGAAGCCGCGCAGCCCCTGCACCCGAACAGGATCGCCGTGAGGTCGCGGCGCGTTGCGGTGCGTGGCACGATGGGCACCGCGCCCGCCAGACGTACGGCAGCGCAACTGCGCCCCGCGCCGTGGCGCGCGCGCTGCGCACCTGCGCCTTCATGTCCTCGTGGAAGGGCGCGACCACCAGGTTCCGCAGGCACATGTAGTTCGCCTGCCGGCAGTCGAAGATCTTGCCCTCCCAGTGCGCGCGCTTCTCTGGGTGTTCCTCAAACACATCCGTCACGCGGTGCCCGTACGCATACACGCGCGCGTACACCGTCTCGAGCTCCTGCGGCTCGTGACGCGCGAGGTGGCTCGTGAGGCGGCGGGGGCGGCCGTCCCGACACCCCCCTCCGTGCCGGGGCATCAGCGAAAACCCGCGACTCTTCCGCACCCAAGAGTCCTCGGGAGAGTATGTTTCGGGCCCCGCACGCGCTGCTCTGTGACATTGCGGTGCCGGCGGGGCACACTATATCGCGCGCAGCCCCCTTGCGCGCTCCTCCGCGTCGCAGAGGCCTCACGGCGGCCGCCACACACAAAGCCGCACCGTGCCGGCCGCGCACGGCCCGGCAGGGCGGCCGCGACGCGCGCCCTGCCATTCAGCGCCCATGGCTGCGCCACCTGCGGATTTCCAGCAGGTTTCGCGACAGGTGATTTTCCGGGGTGTTGGGCGCTGGACTGACCAGACTGTCAACATGATTTTGCTCATCATGGGGGCAGCATCGCGGTGTGCACATCCATTCTTCACACAAAACGGGAGGGCCACACATCCCAGGTACGCCGGGCCTCGGGTTTCCGTCATGCGTCAGTGACGAGTTCTCGGAACGGTGCTCTGCATGCCAGGCTGCAGATGAGCGGCGCTGCGCACCACAGTCCGCGTTGTGATGAGTTGAGCGGCTGCGACCGAACGTTTCATGTACTGTGTATCGCGGGAGCGCCACTGACTTCCCTTACGATGCACCACTCGAGCGGAACAAGGGCACACAGAACGGTTGTTGCGCCACAACATCCAGCGACTGCTTTGGCGATGTGCGTCGATGTCGGGGCGCCAAGTGATGATCAGGCGCTCGCAGATGTTGTATATCTTGGGAGGGCGCATGTTCGTCGGGAACAAAGGCGGCACAATCGAGTCCCGGAGCAAACACAGGTGTACACAGGTGCACGGCGGCGAAGCGGGCTGACCATGGCCCCGCGACCTCTTCTTCGTGCGCGAGTATCGCCGAGCATATCGTGTCCATTGCAGGGCAGACGGCCCGCCGAATCTCGTGCCGTGGTGGTTGGACGCCAGCCTGGCGAGCCCATGGACTCCGCCGCCCACGGGCAGCCCCTGTTGCAGTAGTACGCGATGTGAAACCAACGTATAGTACGGCGACAGCATCACACGCGTCACGAATGCCCGGGACGAGCGCGTGCGGGCGCGCGGGCGCGCTCAGGGCACTCTGGCGGGTTGCTACACCCCGTCAGAGTCTGAGTCGAGTCTGGCAGACTGCCAGGGTTTGGCTGATGGGGTGTTGTGATGCTGTGCAGCGGCGGAGGCGGCGGTGGGCCTCACCTTCAAGATGTCCTCCACGCCCAGAAACAGGCCCGTCGTGGGGCTCGCCGCCTTCGGGATGCCGTTGACGTCGCCCGTGTCGCCGAGCTCGATCACCGCTGCCACGCCCACCACGTATCGGCCCTCCGCGTTCCGCACCAGGCCCCGCAATCGAGGATCTGCCGGTCCTGCGTACCTACTCCCACGCTCTTCTTCATGCACTGCCTCCTGATGCGCCGCGTGGCTCGCTGGGCTGCGCCCGGCGCCCCCAAACCTTGAAGACAGCAGCTGCGCGCTCCCCCCTCTCAGATAATCGTGGGACAAGAAAAGAGCCACGAGCAGAAGGACGCCTGCCGTTGCAATGATGCGCGCATATGGGGAGGAGAGGACGCGCAGGGGCGAGGGGGCAGCCCCCGACTCCTGCATCCCAAACCACACTGCGCTCCCTGCGGCCCGAGGCTCCCCTCGAGGCCCGACTGGCTGCGTCCACACCACCAGTACAAGATACAAGGCAGTTGCGTCGTCTATCGGACCATCCTTGCGTCCGAACCACGCGCTGGGACGCCAGAGGGCAGCCTCTGACGCATGCGGCGTGCTCGCACCAGAGTCGTTCCGGGGAATCGAACTCTGCACCTCCCTGCCCTGGTCGTCTCCGGCAACCACCCGGCGCGCGCCCGCGATCTGATCACGTCGCTCGTGGCAGGGTCGCTGTCGACACTCCGGGGAGTGGGGGGGGGTCAGGTGCGCGGCGTGCGTGCCACGTGCTCGTCGGCGCGCCCCGCGCGCCCCCCGCGACACTGCGCGCGTCCGCCACAGCCCCCTGCATCTGTCCGCGCGGCAGTGGACCGCGGGCCCACGAATTGCTTCCTGCATTTGCCACAGCAGGCAGCTTCTTCCGGTCGCGCTGCGGGTGTCGTTTCCGGGCCTAGCTCCGTTTCGTCGCCGCCGCCCACCTTCATGCACCATGCTGCGGCGCCTGTGCTGCGCGGGCCGCTGCAACGCGGACTCAACCCGCGACACGTACGCGCCCTTTGCCCTTGTGCAGCGAGCCCGCGTTCGTCGCTGTCAGACCGACCGCGGGGCTATCCGCGCGCCCGTTGCACTGTCAGCTGTCATCCAAGCTGTGCAGGCGCGCTGCGGGCGGAGAACGCGCTCTTTTACTCCCGCGGCGTTGCCGCTCCGCCCCCCTGGCGGGCTCAACCACCGTCGCGCCCCGCGCTCGCAGGACGCGCAGGCTCGCCGAGAACGACCCTCTGCCTCGCGGTAGCCGGTGCGAGGCACGCAGAGCCCGGCGGACGCAGGAACCCTCGCGCTCTGCGGACCACGCGCGCCGATCGCGCGCACCCCCCACCGCTCGAACGACAGACGTCAACGCGAGCCAGCCGGCGGCTTCGTCCCGGGACGTTGCCTCACAGGGCGACGAAGCAGCAAGGTCCGCACCGCTCGGCCCCGTCGGGGCCGCCCGGAGGCCCGCTCTCGGCCCCGGTGCCTGTGTGTGCAACACTTGGTGAATCAGATATGCCAGAAAACCCCGCGGTGCTGATTCTGTGGGAGATTCTGCTAGCCCCGCGCGGGGCGCCGGTCCCGAGGGCGACCGGCGCGCGTCGACGCAGCGCAGGTGTAGATAGATAGGAGCGGGGGGAGTTGCTGTCAGTCTTGGTTTTCTGATTGCGAGCGCGCGTTTTTTGTCTGTCACCGCGCAGCGCTCGCCCCCACGCCCCTGCAGGCCCTGCAGCGTCCACGTCTTGCTCGACCGCGCCACGGTCCACGCGGACGCAACGCCCCCCGCCAGCAGGTCTGACGCGGCCACAGGAACCCACCGGGGGGTGTCAAAAAACAGCCCCTCGACACACGAGCAGGCGTCGACGCTCGCGCCCCTCCCCGGGCCGCGGCTCAGGGGCGTGATGGTCCCGACGTCAGAAGGTGAGCAGGAGCCCGCACCCCCCCTGACAACTGACAACTCCCCCGCAAGAGCATCTCCCACTGCAGCACGCCCGCCGAGTCTCCCTGCAGGCGCGGCGTTCGCCGCCGGCGGCGGCAAGTCCGTCAGCTTCGCCGTCGACCCTGTGTCGGGCCTGTGCCAGCAAGGACCCCCCCAAGACACCCCCCTCCACCGCGAGGGCACGGTGAGCGACGGGTACACCGAGAACAGCCTCTTCCGCCACAACCTCTTCGTCGAAGGCTCCTCCTCCGCTCTCGACAGCAGCACGTGGAGCGACCTCGCCGCCACCGACCACAGGGGCGGGGGGGACTGCTGCGAGGACGGCCTGTGCAGCACGGTCGGCGAAGCGGACGGCTGCTCGAAGGCGGTGTACACACCGCCGGTCTACGCCCGGGCGCAGCGCGCTGCGGACTCGCAGGGGGGGGTAGTCAGCGACTGGCGGAGCGTCAGGAGCGGGGGTGTTGAGGGGGGGGGTCGCACGGACGAGAGCTGTTCGACGCCGCAGCGCAGGGGATGCGGCGAGTGTCGCGCTGGGTGCGAGGGCGGGGCGGGACGGCGTCGGGGCGTTGGAGGGTTGTTGCGCGTGTGCACGCTTGGGGCCGACAGCGGGCACAACGACCCCGGGGGGAGCTCGGCGGCCGGCGGGAGCACCCATGGAGTGCTGCGTGAGCTCAGGGCGAGGCGGCCGAGCTCGTTCCGCCCGCGAGCGCCCCCCGGGTCGTGAGGAGGTGTCGGAACACATCCCCGGGGGTGTTTTTGACGGAGACTCCTGGCGACCAACACCCCCCACGACTCGACCATCATCGCAGCGTCGGCCGGAAGTCGACCGGTGCGCTTGGTCGGGGACGCTCCCCGGGGGGGGACTAATTCCACACTCCCCCCCTGTCCTCCCCTGCCACGTCGCGCTCCGACCCGCGCGCAGCCTGCGGCCTGGCACGCGCGAGGCACGCGGCCGGAACGTGGCCCTCTGCGTCCTGCGACACCGCCCCCCTCCTGCCCAGGTCGCTGCATCGCTGCCGCAGAGCCCTGGTGGGGGGCAGGCGTCCAAGCACGCCTTGTTGTTGGTCCTACTGGCACCTGACTCAAGCGCGATCGGGTCTTGATCTGGGCGCCCGTGCTCCTCCCTCCGCCCACCTCACTCCCCTCTCCGCCACGCCAGGCTCCCTCTCGCGAGACAGACACACAGTAGCAGCTCCCGCCCCTCATCAATCGCGAACCCTCGATCGATTGCCACTCGATTGAAAGGCAACCGAGAGGCGACAACATGTCGCACGCGGCTCGCACCTCCCCGCGAAGCGCACACCCGCCACCGCACACACACTCACTCGCACGAATGTCAATGACAGCAACACCCCCCCCCATCGGCGGTGTCGCGCACGTGCCCGCCGGCCGTCGCGCCTCGGTCGCGCGCTGCTGTGAACCATCTCCGCAGCAGCAGCACCGCCGACGACCGGCTGGTCCCCCGGCAGGCAGTCTCAAGACTCGCCCACTGCTCCCCACGCGCCAGCCGCGCGCTCGGGGGCCGGGATCGCCCCGCGCGCGCTCCGTGCCCTCGCTGGCGCCGCGCCGCGACGCCGCACTGCGGCCGCGCGGGGTCCCGCGCCCCAATACCCCCCCCGTGCTGTCTGACGTGCCTGCACCGTGGGCGGGCGGCCCGGGGCTCGAGTGGGCGCGAGGCGGCCGCCGGGGCCACGCCTGCTCGTGCTGGCTCTGTGACAGGTGCGGACGCCCGCGGACCGGCGCGAGCGTCGCCGCGAGCAATTCGTGTGCAGAGGTGGTTGCGTTGCTGCACAGTGGTGCAGCGGTGCCGTACTGTGACGGACGAGCGAGGCCGTCCCGGGCTGAAGGACGTACGGATCTTGTTGCTCCTTGCGTCGCAGTCGTCGAAGTGGTGTCGGGCGGACGTGGGAGCGCGGTGAGCGATGCAGGCGGCAGTGGGGGGCTCCTGCGCGGGCGGGACGCGGGCTAGGACGGGCCACGCGGGGCCGCGGCTGCGGCCTGAGTACGTGCGGGCAGCGGGGCGCCGCGCGGGCGTCGTCGCGGGCGCCATGAACAAGGAAAACGTCGCAATTATGGTGAACAGCTGCACGGGCAAGGTAGGTGTCCTCGCGCCGGGCCCTGGGCGGCGCAGCGCGGCCGAACGATGCGCGAAACGGCCCAGGAAATTACGAAAGCGCGCCCCGAACAGAACGGAGATCGCCTCGGACCGCGAGGCGTCCGTGCGTTGCACGGCGCGACCCAGAGCTCGTGGCCGTGGCGCGACCGAGCCTTTTCCTGGCCACGGATCCCCCGCGAGACCATCGCGTTGGGGTCCTCGCGACAGTGACATGCGCCTCGAATGCTGACTCAGCCTCGAGACTCCCCCAGAGCTTGGCAATCGGGCCAAAAGACCCCTTCTGGGCCCGCAGGCCACGTCCCCGGGTGCCCCGTCGCGTCGAGGCCTCGCGGCAGCTCGTTCGATCACGATCGTCGCCCCCCGCACTCCGAGCTACCGCCTCGCGCCGCGCGCCCGCGCGCGCGCCCAGCGACAGACCCGCTGTTCGCGTCCAAGTTGAGTCTCTGAACTCGACTGCTTTTCCGCCGCCTCCATCGCAGATGGGCCTCGCGGCTGCGGAGGCGGTCGTGCGCGCGGGCGTCACGCTGGTGCCGTACACGCTCACGGGCGAGAGCACCGGCATGGCCGTGTCGGGCACAGCAGGCAAACCCCCCCCCCCTTCCCTGCAACACCAAACGCCCGTGCGCTCCCGAGCCCGACGCTCCCCGCACCCCCGCGCCCCTCGCGCACGTCGTCCCCGCCGCCGCGCCCCTCCGGCAGTCGAGCCCCACCGTTGCGCCGGCAGTCTCAATTCCTCGTCTTCCGCAGTCTCGGGGATCCCGGTGGAGGTCGTGGGCGCGGAGAAGCGGCAGGAGGCGATGGACGACATCAAGCGCGAGTACCCCAACCTCCTGGTCATCGACTACACGCTGCCGTCTGCCGTCAACGACAACGGGAGCTTCTATGCCGCGAACAGCGTGCCCTTCGTCATGGGCACCACGGGCGGCGACAGGTGCGCTCCGCTCCTCCCCGCGTGCTCCGGGAAGCGCTGCCCTGGGGAGGCGTGCCGCGGGCAGTGGGGTGCGTGTTGGGGCAGTGAGGGGGTGTGTGTGGGGTGGGGTGGGGTTTGGCGGCCGGGGAGCGAACGCGAGCGCGGTTCTCCGGCGCGCGTGGCGCTCGGCTCGGTGCTGCCACGTCGTGCGTGGGCGCGCCGCGCACCTTCCGGCAGCCTTGCACACACCCCCCCCCCAGCGCGCGTCCGTTCGCCTGCACCGCGGTCCCGGGGCGCCGCAGCGCCGTCGCAGTCCGTCTGTCGCGTCCCGGCTGCCGCCGCGCGCTCGCCGCGCAAGAGGCCCCGGGGGGTGTGTTGTGTTGTGCGTCGCAGGGAGCGCCTGTACGATGACGTGGGGCGCGCGGGGACGTACGCGGTGATCGCGCCGCAGATGGGGAAGCAGATCGTGGCGTTCCAGGCGATGATGAAGTACATGGCGGACAACTTCCCGGGGGCGTTTAGCGGGTACAAGCTGGAAGTGGTGGAGTCGCACCAGAAGACCAAGGCTGACACGAGCGGGACGGCCAAGGCGGTGGTGGAGTACATGAACGCGCTCGGGCCCAAGTTCGACGTCTCGGAGATCCAAAAGGTAACGACATATCCCAACTGCCTCACAATGCCAACTACCCAACTATACCTGTTTGTTCTTCTTCGGTTACGAGCAAGAGCCGGCTCGCAACACAACGCTGCGGTGCCGGACGCTAGCAGCCGCCTCCGCTTCCGCGCTGCGCGCTCCAGCGCCGCGCGCGACCCCCCCCCTTTGCCGCGCGGCTCTTCAGCCAGTGCACAGCGCAGGGTTGACTCAGCACGCAGACCGACGGGCAACCCGCCCCCCCGCGCCCTCCCGCGCCTCGCCATCCGCAGGTCCGCGACGAGGACGCCCAGCTCGCGATGGGGGTCCCCAGGGAGCACCTGTCGGGCCACGCCTACCACACGTACCGCCTGACGTCGCCCGACGGCACGGTGGGCTTCGAGTTCCAGCACAACGTGTGCGGGCGCACCGTGTACGCCGAGGGCACGGTCGACGCCGCGCTGTTCCTCGCAGAACAGGTCGGGAAGAACGCAGAACAGAAGGTGTACAGCATGCTGGATGTGTTGTCCGCGGGGGCGATGAGGTGACGCGCGCGCGGCGGGCATGGCCGGCCAGGGGCGCTGGCCGGCGCGTGTGCGCGTGTGATGCGTTGCGGGACGGGCCAACGCGGGCGGGGGGGGTGTTGTTGGAGAGCTGCAGGCAGGGGAGCCCCGGTGTGTGTGTGCGTAAGGGGGGGGAATTGTTGGGGTGACGCGTGGGGGCAGAACGGGCCGCTGGCGCGCGTGATGCGCTGCGGGACGGGCCAGCGCGTGACCGGAGGCGTCGGGGGGCCGTTGGAGATGTGTCGGCGAGCGCTGGAGGTTGAGGGGCGTGGAGTGCGTGGTGGGCGCGTGGACGCGGTAGCGTGGGGTTCGCTGCCTTGGACGCTGCTGATGCGGGCCGCCAGCGCTGCAATATCAGAAAAGTATGATGGCGATTGGCGTATGAAGACTGATGAGTCACCAGCAGTTGTTGTTTCATCTGTACGGTGTCACATGGCGCAGGCGACGTCGCGTCGCTCGAGTACTACATAGAGTCTGCGTGTAATGAATTGGTTGGGCCGCGCAATCCTGCGCAGCGAGCATGCACCGTGCAGGCCACCACCTGCGCTGGCGGCTGTGCAAGCCAAACACCCCCCCCGCCGCAGCTCTGCGGGGGCGGGGCGAGCGAACGAACCGACGACGCGGTCGCCCACTCTTTCGTTCGGCCTCAGGAGATTCGTCTCGCGTGCGAGGCGAGAAAGGGAGGGGGGGAGTAATGTAAAATGTCAGGGGGTGTTCGGGGGGCGACAGGAGGGAGGCCGCAGCGATGGCCGCCCGAGTGCCGCGCTGATGAGGCATGGGGCTTCTACGTACGGAGGGAAGGGATG